TGTATTACTCGTGAACGACTTATATCGCTTCCACTACACTTACAATATATACTAACCCTTAGAACATTACGACAAAGATAATTATCTAATACCATACCAGTCCTTCATCAAGTACTACAACAATGTCAGAAATTACTCCTGGTAGCTTAGTTGGTTTAAAGCACAAGACTGTAAATATTTCCAGATTTTGTAATCTTGGGATCGGGCGTTCGACTCGCCCCCGGGAGAATGTAATTTTTTTTCTCATATTTTAGCTTTGTGTTACTTAACTCATTACAACCAACAGATAAGCAATGGCAAAGCAATCCACAGAGATAGACTATCAATACATACCCGTTTGTTTGGAAAATTGAGTCTACGCTTTTTAAGTTTCTATGATGAGCAAAGTTGTCAATTTTTTTTTTTTCTTCCTATTGAAAGGTCTTGGGAAGATGCTTCAAGAGAGGCAAACTAGAATAGCTTTAAAAGAGGTAGATTCTGGAAGCTATGTTCAACCTTCTTCTTTACTCACGAGATAAAAATTTGGCTTTTAGCAAATTGAATCTCGTCGCAATCGTTTAACTTGGCGTTGTACATTAACATGTTGCCCGCTTCAGTCTCTTAGCTTTAGAGAAAGTCTCTAGGTAAAATTGACCATTTGAACATTACCAAGTGATGCTATAAATAGCCTCCAGTCAAGAGAGCCGTTGGACCAATTACATTACAGATAATCAATATTAGTCATCAGTAAACTGTCCACACTTTCTTTGTGTACCCTGCAAATGACACTGAGACAACTCGCATATTGTTTGATGCTTGTTTGTCCCATATCTCATAATTTTGTGGTTGCGAAAGTGATTTTGTTTTTACCTCTTCTGCATTGAAACATTTGTTTCTAATCGAAGAATTTTTGTATGTTGTGTGTGCTGCTGTGAAATTGAAGCAGGTAAACCTTCAAGAGAGCAATGAAATGGGATCATCCATCTTCCAACTGTTCCACCATGTTGCTGTTGTTCTTTGTATTTCCTCTTTTTTTTTTTTTTTTTTTGTGGATTGCTATATTTCCTGTTTGATCTAAAGCCGTATTTCTATAAAGTTTGCACTACTGTTTACTGTATCACGTCATCAGGTCGATTACAAAAGACAAAAATAGTCTAGCACAAGAATGCAGAAAACGAGACAGAGAATCTAGAGAGTTCGAGCTAAGAGACAGCAAGTCATCCTCTTGTTCTAAATTGCAGTTCGAGATACCCTCATTTTAGTGAACATATAGAAAAAAGACGCGTCTCTTGTGGTGTGTGGTTTGTATTAGAGGTTAATCTAGATTTGGTTAGTTATTAATATTTTATTATTAAGCAGCGAAGAAAAAATACTTTGCGAGTGACCAGAAACAAAAAAACTTTAACCGTTTCTGCATACACAATGAACAAAGATGCATTTGCGACTTGTTTTATATTTTTTTTTTCTTCCTCTCTCCGAGATAAAACGATATACCCGAAGAGCATGGAATAATGACAACAAAAAGTATCTCAATATATATGTATATACATATAATATATATATTATATATATTTACAGATAGCCTTTTCTTTCAGAAAATTATATATCCCTCGAGAATATTAACAAGCACCAAATCACAGTTGCACTTTCATATTATATTTATGGTATGTACTCCAACGTCAAGGATCGAGGAAAGGTCAGATTACTTCTAATGTACGTTTCCCATCACATATGCTTCTTTGACCAACAACTTGAAATCGAAGATACTCTTTCACGAGACTCCAAAAGCTCCTTATCTCATAGACTTTCAGTACTTCCATAAGAACGGTGTGCCACACCCTCAATCTATAGAATTTAATTAACCCAGTGTGACTTATACCGCGCGATCTTTTGAACACCTTCCTGCACCGTGTATCGAAACCAAAGATGTATAAAGAAACAAACTCAAACTGCCATCTCCGACTAAAACATTTATACGAGGTGAGTACCAAAATTTTAGTTCCCCACTCCTTTAGACCAAAGTGGAAATTAATCTTGTATTCATGTGTGTTCCCCACATTTGTATTTTAGTCCAAGAAAAAAATATAAATCAACAACAAAGGAAAAAAAATATTGAAACTCAACTACAGTAATATCCTCAGAGCATTTTAAAGTTCACCGAGGTTCGGAGTATAAATATTGGCAACTGTCACCCAGTGCACCGGGAATATGGTTGTTTTGGAAATAAAAGACAACTGCAATCAACTAATCTGCCTTTTCCTCGCATATTATGATTAATAGGGGGTGTCCACCTTTACTAACAAGATTACAGCTTTAACATAGAAAATGGACTCTACATTACCTGGATACACTTTATCGTCTGAAACGCTCCCCAACTACTCATCGTCGTTGAACTTTTATGGATTGGCTTTACTCAAGACTGAGTTCTTAACTCCATACCAATACAACAACGGCAACAGATCTTGGAAACCGGTGCTCCTACATATGAACTCAACCCAACTAAACATCTACAACATCAACGCTGACAAAAAGCTACAAGATTTGCTTATCAACTTGTACTTTGAGTTGAATAACTTAAACCAGTTGACTATTGACCTTAATACCGAGTACAAGAAAAATAATGGAATTGATTTCAGTTCAAACCAAGTTGACTTGAGTGACGTATTTTCTGGCGATGCTTATGGAGGGCTTGAAGGTAACAAATCAATGTTTAGTGAGTCCAAGTTTGGCAAGTTAAAGAATAAGTTGAAGACGCAAAAGAACCAAAAGATATTGGCAACGATATCCCAATACTACGACATCCTCAAAGACAATCAATTACTCTTTGAGCCTACTAGTGGTGACATTAAAGGAACTACATTTGAAAAATACAAGGGTTCTTTACTTCATTCATATTCATTGTCTCATTTGCAAGTAGGCGAAGCACCATCATTGAACCAATTAATTTCAGCAATGTACAAGGAAGACCAGTCGTCGTCAACTTCAAACATTTCATCCTTGGTAAAGTATAAAAACTCCCTTCGGTTGAGGATTGAGTACAAACAAATATTGCTTCAGTTTTGGTCATTCCATTGTATGATCAGTTGGTTTAGAAATTTGTCCATTGGAAAGGATTTGAGTTTACCATTGGAATTGAGGACTGTTACCAAACTCAAATCGATACCTTCAAGATACACTAGTAGAAACAACGCACTACTTGCAGCTACGGCAGCGGCAGCCAGTTACGGTAGACGAAACCACCAGAATGCGGAAGCATCGATAATGGAGGATGAAAGTGCCTTATTTGGGTCAAACCATTTACATCACAAGGATGCCGACTCGGATGTTTTCAGTACCGATTGTGAAGATGATTCCATATTTGACAATGTACAACAAAATCCAAGAAGAGGTTCGGCAACTTCATCAATCTCAACCTCCACTGACATTGGATACGTTACAATCAATGATTTCAAATTTGTGTCAAAAGACAATGTCTACACCCCGGTTGAGAAGCAATACATTTCCAACTGTATTCCTGACCTCAATTCGTTTGACAAGTGGAGCGGTAGACTCATAACAGTTAGCAATGCAGACTATTTTGTGAGAGATGAGAGGAATTACACAAACAAAGATGATGTTTTTATAAGTTACAATGCATTGAGCGATTTGGTTCAGCTGTTTGATAGGAAGTTTCTGCAATTGCACCAGCATAACAAGTTGAGCTCAACGAGGACGTTTTTGATCCACCAAAGTGGATTAGTAGGTATTGCACAGAAGTGAATAAGTATTTATCTGGTTATTTGAATATTTATTTTTAGTATAACGAGTTTCATGAGTAAAGGGAAATACACGAGATCTATGGGAGCTGACAGTGAATCTCTTACGGGTAAACAACGTGGATGTGATGATTTTATAATTATAATATCCACAGTACAAGATATGGGAACGGGTTAATTTGTATAGACAGCAGAGCTTGGAACAAGCATGCAACCAAGCCAGAGCATCTAATACTTCAACAAGTATATAGGTAAGTAAAGTCTACTTCGTGATGACAACTCTCCAGACATAGGACTACAAAAAGTTGGGTGTTCTCATAATGCACAAAAGGACAGCAGTTGAAAAAATTGAGAAAAAGAAAAAAAAAAAAAAAATAAAATCCAACAATTTATGAAAAAAATTACACACTTTTTTCCAGTCTCTCTGATTTTACAACCAAATCAATCTCCAACCAACATCAGTTGTAAAGATTTTTGAGAGAGCACCAACTCCCTTCAACGCATTTACTACTATATATCATATACACACCGCCCCCACACCTTTCCACCCCCCCAGCTGCTTTAATAAAAGCATTGTCCATTTGTTTTGAACTGAAAGAAAGATGCCTACTCCTGCTGAAATTATCGCTGCTCGTTTGAACAACCAATTGGAAGATGTCGAGCAAGAAGAATCCATCGCGTCAATTGTTGAACAACCCAAATCTAGGAGCACCACGCCATCAATCAATGACGCTTCAGCTTTTCCTGCTTTGGGATCAAAACCAGGATCAAATGTTCAACATGCGGGTGCTTCTTCATGGGGACCGAAAATGAAGGCGCCTACAGCTGCATCTGCTGTCTCCTCCACTGCCCCCAAAGCTGCCAAAAACGGCAATGGGTTTGCTGTCAAGACGAAGATCTCTACAATCCAAGAGGCTTTTACTTTGGATGTTGAAGATCAATTGAATGTTGCTCGACCAGAATTTATCAAGATTTTGACCTTTGTTATGCAAGAGACAAAAACAAACGTTGAGTGCACCACTTCGCAACATACTAAAAAAAGAACATTTTTGATCAGTGGTAAGCCAGATGATGTGAAGGTTGCCAAGCGTTTGGTCGTCAAAAAGTTGACTAAGCCAGTGCAAATTAAGTTTAATGTTCCTGCAAAATTGAGATCTAGAATCATCGGTCAAGGTGGAAGGACCTTGAAACCTATTATTCAAGCCAATGATGTGAAAATTGAAATTGGTGATAAAGAAGAGAGTCAAGAGACAAGTGATGCTGGCCAAGACGATAATGACGACGATTTGTTTGCAACCACCGTTGTAATCACCATTGACGGTGACGTTGAAGGTGCCAAAGCTGCAAAGAATGAAATTTTGGCCATTGTGAAAGAGGAAACAAAGAATTTGACAGCAAAGGTTTCTTTGAATGAGAACGTCAAACCATTTGCCGAGAAAGAGTTGCAAGGTATTGTTGAAAATTACAATCAGTTGGACTTTTCCATTCCTACTTTTAAATCAGCATCCAATTCTATTGTTATTCATGGTGAACGTGACTTGGTATTGGAAGCGAAAGCAGATGTGAAAGCCGCTTTGGAGAAATTATCACAAAAAATTGTTGTTGAAGAAGTGCCAATTCCTGCAACCAAGCGTCAATTCTTGCCAATTGATGAAGTTTTGCTGAGGTGCAATGTCTTGATCCAATTGCCCAAAAATGCCGAGACAAATGTCAAATTCATCGGTGAGAGAAAGAATATCAAGTCCGCTCAAGAGGAGGCAAGAAAAGTTACTTCACAATACAGGGTTGAAGTATTGGATATGTCAAAGGCCCACAAGGGGAACTTGAGACACGTTAGTGCCGTTGCTGCATACTTGAATAAGGTGGGTGCTTTCAAAACAATTGCAGATTCCAATGAAGTTGTCATTAACACACCATCCATCAAGGAATTGGACAATGAAGCGTTAACTTCTATTCCAATTCAAATTGTATCAAAGGGGAGCGATGAACAGATCAAGACAGCGAAGAAATCTATCGTTAGTCAAGTTAATAAAATCACCCCTGACCAAACCAAGGTGATTGATGATATCGAATCCTTTTTGTTGAGCAAAGTTGACGATGTTATTGGAGCTGTTGCCAAGAAGGAGAATGTCGAATACATAATCTTACACAACTCCATTACCTTGCTCAAATCCCCAGAAACACAAGACGAAGCGGAGGATTTTGATGACTTTGAGGCTAATGGTGACGGTGATGATTCTTTCACAAAAGTCAACGCAGCTTTGGACGAATTGAGGCAATTGGCAGCTAATTTGTCGAGCACAACTTTGGAAGTTGCCTCGAAGGAGCAAGACACTATTGTTTCTGGTCCAAAGGGTGTTACATTGAAGTCCATCTTGTCTGCAGTTGAACCTGATTCTGTTTCTGTGAACTTACACAGCAACGGAACTTCATCTTCTGAGAATGAAATCTACATCCATGGTATCAAGTCCTCAGTTGCAACTGTTAAAAAGGAGATTGAGTCAGTGTTGGCTGATGCAAGGGAGTATCCTGATGGGTTCACCGATGAAGTACGTGTACCTTCCCAAATTGTGTCCAGATTGGTTGGTAAGAATGGAACTTTCTTAAACTCCCTTCGCGATGAATTTGGTGTCAAGATTGATGTCCCTGATCAAGATGCAAAGAAGGACGACTCTGAGAAATCTGATATCACTATCAATGGAGTTAAGAAAAATGTCGAAGCAGCCAAGGCGAAAATTGCAGCATTGGCAAAGAAGTGGGCTGATGAAACTTTGGTTAGAGTCAGAATCGAAAACCAATATCACCGCAGAATGATTGGTGCCCAGGGTGTGTTTATACATCGTTTGCAAGACAAGTACAATGTCAAGATTAGGTTCCCCGCTGCCGATGCGTCATCACCATCACCTTTTGCTGATGCACCCAAGTCCAAGGATGAAGTTACGATCAAGGGCCCTTCCAAGGGGGTTGCAAAAGCTCAAGAGGAATTGCAAGAGTTGTACCAGTTTGAAAAAGAAAACGGGTTCAAGAAGCAATTGCAAATCCCATCAAAAGCTGTGGCTAGGATTATTGGTAAAAATGGTGAAACCATCAAGGACATTGCTGATGGTACTGGAGTCGAATACACCTTCAAGCGTGAAAATGAGGAGTCAAACGGATTTGTCGAATTGGAATTGACGGGCTCCAAGAGTGCTTTGAAAGAAGCATCTACAAAGATTCAAGAAATTGTCGATGAGGTTGAAAACTTTGTTGTACGTACACTCAAAGTCGATGCCAAGTACCATCGTGATTTGGTGGGTCCTTCTGGATCTGTTATGAAACAAATTATCACCTCAGCAGGTGGGGATGACTTACCAAGAGGAAAATACCATCGTTTGTTAAGTATTCCTAATGAAGGCTCTGGCTCCGACGAAGTTGTATCTCAAGGTGACAAAGCAATTGTCGACAAGATCATCAGCGCAATTGAAAAAATCGTCAAGGAGAAGGAATCGTCTATTGTTGAAGAGATAGATTTGCCAAAAGATAAGCACAGATTGATTATTGGACCCAGTGGATCTGTCCGCCATTCATTGCAATCAGAATTTGGTGTGACTATTGAAATTCCAAGACCAAATGATGAAAGTACAATTGTTAAAGTGAGTGGTTTACCGGACAAAGTGTCAGCTGCAAAAGACAAGATTGAAGAGTTGACCAAAGATGATTGGAAGTTGTCTATTGACGTTTTGGCAAAGTACCATCCACTTGTTTCTGAGCATGGAGCTGCTTTCAAGAAATTAAAGAGTGATTTCAAAGTTGAAGTAACTCATGGCAATTTCACGAGACAAGCCAGCAAGTTGTCTTTGTCGTCAATTCCTGCTCCTCCAGAATCAGCATACCCTGAAAACGATGAGGAGTTTAAATTTACTATTGAACCGATTGGCACTGTCGATGGCGATGACGAAGTTGTAATTCCTTGGAGATTGAAAGGAGAGGAGAAGGATGTAGAGAAAGCCGCTGAGTTTATCAACAAAAAGTTGGAATTGGCGAAATCAGCAACTTCTCAAGGTTGGTTGTATGCATCAAAACCTTCGGTATTTTCCAAGATCATTGGACCCCAAGGTTCTAAAATAAACCAATTGCGCAACAAAACCAATACCTTCATCACAATCCCCAGAGCCACTGACAAGTACTCCAAGTTTGTCTATGTCGTTGGAGAAGAAGACAACTTAAATAAGGCGCATGAAGAGATTAAAAAGTTATTGTAAATAGAATTTTAAGTGAATAGAAAAAAATTAGTATAGAATCATTTTGTATATGCAGACATAGCCCGTCGCCGTATTTCTTACTTGTGATGACGCGGAGAAATTAAAACCAAAAAACAAAACAAAACAAAACTACGGGGTTAAGCCGCGCCTCTGTTGTTTTGGAATGACGTAGATCGCAACCTTTTGTTAAGCACAGCGCTAAACACGCTTAAGAGATGAGACAGAGAGCAAAAAAAAAAAAAAAAGAAGTGACTGTTCTAAAGATATAAATAGCCATTGATTCATCCCCCAAGAAATACTTCTCCTTACGACTTATGCAATAAAATACAAAGCTCAAATGTTGATACTTGGGACTGCAATTGCCATAGGGGCTATAGCCGCTGACAAACACAAGAGAAAGAAGAAGCTTAAGAATATGAGTGCTGAAGAAAGGCAAGAATTTGAACGATACGAGAGAGCGCAACACCAGCAACACCAGCAACACCAGCAACCAATGTCACAAAGCGGATACTCACAAAGAATGCAACAGCATCATTACCCACAACAGTACCAGCAGTACTCCTCAAAAACACCCCTGGAGAAGGAGAATCGTCAAGACACGGGGTATTACTCTCAACCACCCCACACCAATGGATCGGAGAGGATGAAATACAATCGGGGAGGAAGTGCTGCGAGCAGGCAGGACCAAATAGCAGCAGCAGCAGCAGCAGCAGGAGCTGTACCATCACCACCACCACCGCCTTCTGCATTACGAAGAGCGGGCAAGGAAAGACCTAGGGTTCAGCAGCATGTGCAATCGATGGTTGCAGATAATGACGTGTCTGACCCTCCACCAAAGTACACCCCTTGATTGTATAGAGGATTCTTTTGATATAGAGTTTGCATTTTTGAATGAATCAGGTTTACCGTATTTGAAGTTTGTAGTGTTTGATTTTGACCCCTGAATTTTGGCAAGAGAGTGTCGCAAATTTGAATTCACGACAAGCAGACAAAGAGGGGGAGATAGTATGTAGTGCAAATCGGAGTGAAACTGGAATAGTGGTCAGTTTAGTTAGAGAAGTACAATGCCACACCACCAGTATTAGAACTGTCGATAAATCTTTTATCTTTTTATCCCCTTGCCAAGCCCTGGAACCACTGTGGCTTTTTTTTTTTTTGCTTTTACATCTGCAATTTACGGCTATCGGTTGCTGGCGCAATTGTTGTTTCTCAATCTTATGCCTTGCACACTTCGGAACAAGACATAGCTCACATATACAATGGTTATGTTTGATTAGCCGAGATGCTGAAAACAATAACCAATATACGACGAAAAGTGGAAACGTTACAAGGCATCGATGAAAAATGCCGTGCTCAATTGATTTCAACTCTTCACGTATTTACACACTAAGGGGACCACAGTTTCTACTTAGTCGAGTGTTAATTTAGTTGTCCCTATTTTATGTACTCTCTCTCTCTCCTGAAATTGTACACCGTATCTATGCAATTAAAGATGGCTTGAAAGAAATAGTAATAAATACTACGAGCCACAAAATTAAACTTTATTGTTGCAAAAATGCCTTGTTAATGCAAATTCACGTGACTAAATTTAAATTACAGGGGACATTTTTGCCTTACAATATTCCGGAGTTTTTTTTTTTTTTTTTTTTTCCGGTCGAGACTGCTGCGATGAGCTGTATTACACACGAGTTACCAATGTTCAAGACTTACACGAGTCTCATTGGGAGTCGAGTAGCTTCTCAAAATGGAAAGACGACTTCAAAGGACTCCGAACGACCTCCATTTTTTTTTTTTTTTTTGAACTGTGGTTCCCACAACTGATTCTGTGGCTCTACCGCCATGAACATCACTTTTCCTTTTTTTTTTTTTATTTTTTCTTCGAAGGTAAGAAAAAAGTTTTCCTCAATTGAGTGAAATTGGCACAATGCAGTTGCACTATGGTGACCTCTCTTACTTACTCTACACGCCCACACGCATATAAACCAGTTAAGCATCTGCGCGCCTCCTCAATTCCATCATCAAAGCGCCACAGTTTGCATATCGAGGCGAAAAGGTAACGAGAAAAAATAAACATAAGATAAAAGAACAAAGAAAAAAAAAAAAAGAAAAAAAAAGAAATTTTAAAGAATTGTATGTAAAACGGTGGACTCAAATTTTTAATTAAAAAAAAAAAAAAATTAATTGCAGCTATAACGACGACCTCTACATTTCTTTTATTATAAAGAGGAGGCATATTCCACCTTCTACAACTCACATTCCTGCTACCTTCTCTCTACAACAACATTGCTTCATCTACAATGAGATTTGCAGAAGCTTACAGATTTCTGAGCAATTCAAACTCCGAAAAGAAAGCAGAGGAGGGTGTTGAAAGTAATAGTAATGGCATCGACAGTTTCGATAATCACAGTCAACTATCGTTAGGCTCTGAGAAAGGGGCTCACGTATTGGAAACAGACAGAAATGTCAAGGAAATCGGTATTGTTTCAGCATCGTTCTTGATGCTTAATAGAATGTTGGGTGCTGGTGTGTTTTCAACGGGTTCTACTATTTTTGCGTTGTCGGGTTCGGTGGGAACATCATTGATGATGTGGTTTGCAGGTACTGTTATTGCGTTCACGGGATTGTTGGTTTACATGGAGTTGGGAACAGCCTTACCAAGAAACGGTGGTGAAAAGAATTATCTCGAATATATGTTCCGCAAGCCAAAATTCTTAGTAACGGCAATGTATGCATCCTACGTTTTTTTCCTTGGTTGGGCCGCTGGTAATTCAATTGTTGTTGGTGAATATATTTTAAACGCCGCAGGAAAGGAAGTTACACAGTGGAATTCCAGAGGTATTGGTTTAGCTGTCATCACATTCTCCTTCTTGATCAATGGTATAAATGTCAAAGCAGGCTTGTTTTTGGCTAATGTATTGGGTACTTTCAAAATCGTTATTGTTTTGTTCATCAGTGTTACCGGTTGGGTTGCCTTGGGAGGAGGAATCAAAACAAACAACTTTCAACCTACTGGCAATTTCCACAACGCCTTCCAAGGTGAGAGTCCGACCGGGTTTGGTATTGTTAATGCTTTGTACAATGTGATTTGGTCGTATGTCGGATACTCAAATGCAAACTACGCTTTAGGTGAGATTAAGAATCCCGAAAAAGTTTTGAGAATTGCTGCTCCGTCTGCATTCATTGGCTTGGGTATCATCTATATGTTTGTCAACATTGCATACTTTGCCGTGGTCCCTAAAGCAGAAATTGCTTCATCTGGAAGAATCCTTGCCGCTTCATTCTTCAAATACGCTTTTGGTGACAAGGCAGAGACCGCAGCTTCAGCTTTCGTTGCCATCTCCGCTTGGGCCAATGTTATGTCGGTTATCTTTTCCCAAGGTAGAATCATTCAACAATTGGGACGTGAAGGTTCCTTGCCATTTTCACGCTTCTTCGCCACGTCGAGACCATTTGGAACTCCATTTGTCGGATTGATGCAACATTGGATTGTTTGTATTGTGACTATTGTGGCTCCACCACCAGGTGATGCCTATAACTTCATTTTAAACTTGATCTCATATCCATTGAATGTTGTCAACACAGTGCTTGCTGGAGGATTGATTTATATCTATTACAAGAAGTACAAGGGGCTCACAGAGTGGAATCCACCAATCAAAGCTTCACTCCCTGTGGTGATTTTCTTCTTCCTCGCATCATTGTACTTGATTGTTGCTCCATACATTCCACCAGTACATGGCCAAAAAGTGTACAACGACTTGCCATATTGGATTCATGCCGTTGTAACCTGGGGTGTTTTTGGTGTTGGATTGGCATACTGGATTGTTTGGGTGAAGATCCTACCATATTTTGGAGGTTACCGTCTCGTTGCAAAGGAGATTTTGGGAGATGATGGGTTCTGGAGGAACAAGATTTACAAGGTTTCTAAGGATGCTGATGAAATTGATCAGATAGGAGAGGATGTTGCAGTGGTGAAGTAAGGAGGTTTCGTGAAGTGGACCGACATCGTGATATTGACTCTTTAGTTCTGTAATTTGTATATTAGATAATGGTTTATATATGGAATTTAGACTTTCTAATGAGATAAATTGATTGTAGACGCAAAGCGCTATGCTTTCGGTATATTAATACTATTTACATGTGTTTTAAATTCTAAATCTGTGGCCCTTTGGTGTATGCAAAGGAGACCATATTCCTCTTACTGAATCATTGTCAGATACAACCTTGTGATTACACTTGAACAAGTCATTACCTGACCGTTGTATATATTCATTGATCTTCTCCGCAATTTCGTGATTCTTCATGTTTCTAACATCAACTTCGGTAACCTTGTCATCGTTATAACGGAATATAAGCTTTGGATGGCCCTGTCTTTCAAGTATTTCGAATGTCACTTGTGGTTTCAGCAAGGCTATATTATTCAACTGCCCGTTAGTCAAAATCTGTCTCATTCCCTGTGAAGACCCTCCCCAGTTACAATACTGTAGCGTTAGCTTATTGCACGGAAGGACGTAAGCACCAAGTCCATTCCGCGCTATCGACGTCCTTGCAACTGCTTTGACCGGCATTATAGAAGTAGTTATCTGGTCGTCAAGTTGGTGATAGTTGTCGTTTTCCTGACAAAATTTTTTTTTTTTTTTTTTTTTCAAATAGAATACAAAGGTCGTGCAGGAATTTCACAGAATTGCAAGGTAGTATGGTCAAGGGTGTACATGACGCTTGAAGGTGTTTGGACCAACAAATAATCCGCTTTACATACGAGAGCATCATCATGACTCTGCAAGAATAAGAAACATAGCATCTTTTAGTGAGAGCGAATGCCTCACACACACACGGATGCAGTGACGCCAAAAAGTAGACTTAAGAGAGGAAACAAAACAATAGACAATGAAAAAGAGATTGTGAGTCAAACGATCCAATGATCACCTCCTTATACGTACAACATTCATTCCACATGTCTTTGACCGACAAAAAGATCCATTAATAAAACCTAGATAAAATATCTAAAAGAAATAAAACCAAATAAATTGAAACAAACAATTCTAAAATACCTTTAGTTTTTGATACCACACAAATCCTTCCTAGAATCAAAACTGGTAATTATAAACTTTGTTTTTGATTCCACGTGGCTGTTGACAGGAGGGGCTCTAGCTTCCTCCAACCGCAGACCTCGTACATTACTGTCCTTTGCTTGCGACTTATAGTTGATGCTGTGTAATGGTGGTAATGTCATGAAACTCACATCCTGATTAGGGCTGCAAGGGTGGTGGGAAATAGGCGATTGAATTGGACTTGGGTAGGGGTTAATGTTTTGCTTGATTGTCAGAGGTACAGGTTTCATTGCAACTTCCGGAGACAAGGGGATCTCTTGGGTAACAGGGGACGCCAACAACGAGTTGATGTCACACTTTGTAGACCTTACCACTGGGGTCTTGGCAGTAGCTTTTAGTTCCTTAGGACTCTCCAGGATAAGCGCTGGTTCTGGCCAACAACATTCTAAAAAGTTTCTAGTACAGGCTTGACATTTTCCATTCACTTTGTCCTCATCACACTTTTTCTTTCTCTTTCGACAAGTGAAGCAACCAGTCTTGGTCCGTCTTTTCTTCAGACTCTCATCCTTCTCTGGCTTTGTCACCTTTGCAACAGAGCGTTTTTCCTTTTTGTTTGCTAGTGACGACGATGATGACGACGTCGATGGTTTGACCGATATGTTCAAAACCCGCTGGTACGATCTGTAGTTAGACTCCATCCTTCACGTATATTACCTTCTACAGAAGAAAAGAGAGTATAAAAGGTTACGAAAATTTTTCATCACGTCTGTGAATCATTATAGTCTTAAGGGTTGTATTGTCACTTTTGCTGCACAGTGCTAGTACGTCTTTCTCCAAAAATGAAAAAAAAAAACAGAAAAGAATAAAAAATTTAGACAAATTTGGCATTTCTCCAAAATTTTAACCGCGAATATCCCAAAATGGACGTAAGATGCGAAAACAGAAGGTAACACCTTAGACAGATGCCACAAATGGAAGGTAAGAGCACGCGCGGTTATACAAAAGTTGATGCCACAGCAGAAAAAAATGGCAACTGACGACGACACTGAATGTGTGGCGAAGCAAATGCTACATGAAAAAACCCGTAGCAAGAGCCAAAAATAAAAAAAAGAAATTTAAAACTACCTCAAAATTGCAACAACATCGGCATTTACTTAAAGTTTCAAGGGCAGTGTTGCCGAATTTACAGAGCAAAGAGTCGACCTATAAATAGACAATTTCCAAATCACACCAAATGCCTTACACCGCATCATATAGTATCGCATCGTCTTGCATCGCATCGCCTTTTGCCTTTACAAAGATGTCTTGCTCAAGTAGGTATTCCATACCTTAGAATTTTATCTCATTGAACTACAAACACATACATGAACCTTCAACCACCTTTTATACTGGCTTGATTCCTCTCAAAGCTTGTTCCAAGTCACCAGCAGTGTACTCTTCCTTGTTCAAATCTTCGAGCTTTCCAATGGGGCGCTCTCCCAACACACTAATCCTGAACGCGTGTCTAACTTCACCATCTTCTGTATCGAATGTGGCAGTGTGGGAGACTCCACTGTTGTGGAACAAGGCAATCTTGTTTCTCTTACCACCTTCCCAGTTGACTCTCAATTGCAAATCGTGACTTCTTTCAATGAGGTCATAAAGGAAATTCAACAAGTATTCACTCTCTTCCTTCTTCAATTCAACAATTCGTCTTCCAAAGGCCCTGTTGACATAGATGGATTTTTCCTTGGTGACAGGATCAATACGAATCAATGGGTGGATATTGGAAACTGCTTTTCTTCTTTCAACTCCACCTTGGTAAGAAGAGTTGGCTGCTTGATCCTCACTGGTGTGTAAAACGTGCAACCCCTCCAATCTTTCCTTCATGGCTGGAGACAACCTTCTGTAAGCCTCAGTTGTGTCAGCAAAAACTGTGTCACCACCATCACCACTCTCCAACACTTGGAAAATTGTGAATCTGCTTGGAGTGATTTCATAAGTGACATCACTGTGGAAAGCTGTGTTGGTGGTTCTGTGTTGGAAAACTCTTTCCAATTCACCCTTCTCTGGTCTTCTGTATGTAATATGCAACTCAGGATGACCTCTTGGGGAGCCTGAGCTTGGATGGATGTGCAAGTTTCCAAAATATTTTCCAAACTCAACAGCAAAACCAGGACCATACAGAGCAAAATCTTGGTCGTTGAACAACAAAACCTTTCTTTGAGCCAAAAACAAGGCCAACTCATCTTTTGCAGCATCATTCAACTGTGATAATTGAATTCCATCAACTTCGGTTCCGAATTTAGGGGTAATTCTGGTCACTTTATAGTCACCATCCTTTGGAAACAAGTTTGGGAAAGATGGATCGGCTCTGGAACCAGGATCAATGTATTTTTCAAATTTCAAAGGTGGATACTTTTGTCTTGGATCCCAGGTTGGTAAGAAATCTGGGAACTTAGCTTGTGCTCTGTTGTGTCTGTTTATGACCAAAACACCATCTTCATCAACTTCATCAACTTCTTTATTGAAATGGATATCCGAGTTACCGAATCTAGTTGTCATTGTATATATATATATATGTGTGTATGTGTGTGTGTGTTTGTTTGTTTGTTTGTTACTGGAAAATGTTGAACAACTCCAAGCAAAAGACTGGGAATATTTTCCAGTTTATATAATGTTTTCCAAAGTCATCCCCCCCCAGAATTTTCATGCAATAAAACATGATTATGATTAATAATGACGAAATTCACAATTTCATCGGCTTTGCTACCGGGCTGATTGATAAAGAATGTGAGCGAGTTGTTGTGGAAGACGCCACAGTTTTAAATTTAAACTTTGCAGCAGGTAGCAGCTCGCGGTTCGCGGTTCGGAAGCTAATTTCTCTTTTTCTAACTCCTTGTTCGGATCGGCTGAAAGAGGACAAATCTATGGTTAAAAGTTGACGGGGATCCGCAAAACTGCGTGCATATATATATATATAACTGCGGGGTTTATGCTATATTGAGCTGTATGGTGTTGTTGAATGTACTATTCCGTGCCCGATTGTCAACTGATTATATATATTGCTTGAGCCCAGAAAGTTATTGGCAACAAGTTTCGTGGCGCGCCACAATTTAGAAATAATGATGAAATGTTGCAAATAGAATACGAGGGGAGTGACCAAACTAGCTCTTGGCAAGGCACTACATCCTATAGCTCGACTTTACTTTCCAAGGTGAAGCATTTTCAAAGAGTGCGAGATTCACAATTTGGCCATACAATATGCTACGAATGAATAGAGGTAACATCACCGTAAACTGTATCGTCTCTTGAACAAACCCTTCTTTGTCCTCTTTTGGGCCCGGTTTGTGTTCTAAATCGAGGCAGGACGGTTTGTAATCTTATCGTTATTGGTAGTTTGCGTTAACGAAAAGAATGCGGGGCGCAAAAATGTGCCTTTGATTACCATGTCTTGAAAGATAAACACTGTATATACACAAGTCACTACGTATTTGAAATTTCCTCTTTGTCCTTATAATCAGCATCCTTTCTTCAAATGGATTTTAGAAGTAAGGGCACCGTCATGCCACATATTAGACCAACAAGCTTTTCCGGAATAGTGTGATAAAAGACAGATGTGATGCAGAACAGGATGAACCATAAGGTAATAAACAAAAGTGATATTAAAAGCACAGCTTTTTTGGTGAAACTAGAGCCAGCCTTTAATCGTGAGCCACCCTCATCGATACCAACCAGACTTTGCAGCGGACCAGATTCAAGATCATTCTCGACAACCATTTCCGTTCCCAAACCTGTCTTCGACAATACCGTACCCACATAAGGCAAAATTAACCTCCATATAAGAAGACTATTCGATATTAGCATAGTATAATGACTTGACGAATCAAACGCATTAATCCATGTGCCGCCTGCCTTTTCACACTGATACTCTCTGTAAATGTCAGGAGTCGTACAGTGCGCACCGGTTGCAACACTTATTCTTTCAAAGATGGGCGACCCAAAAAACCATTCGAGCAAGATCGTCAACCAAAGTAAGTTGCAAAGGTAAACTTTCATGGCACCAATGACCCAGAGGTCTTTAATAGGTAGTGATATTCTTCCATTCTCAACCTGTATCAAATTTGCCGCATATATCACCGAAAACCAATAAAACATGTACTTTCTGACAATGTAGCGTTCTAGGAACTGGACGAACCAAAGCTCGCCAATATAAGAATTGTATCGCTTGAATGCCAATGTTAGAGGAATAGACACCACATAAGCAATTGGATAGATTGAGCAGACACTAGCCCATGCAAGTTGAGGGTTTGGAGTGGTGAGGACGCTCCACATGGAACCAAGTTAGTCTTTAAATCACGCGATAGTGGCAAGTATTTGGGCAGCCCTTGACAAAATCCAATTTAATGCATCGTTGCGCAGTTGCACGCCTTCTTTCGCAATTTGGGCTATCCGCGCCGCGGCGCATCGGGAGGGAAAAATCAAGTTTTTTTTTTTTTCTTTTTTTCTCTTTTTTTTTTTTTTTCAATTTCCCCAGAGCAAAAGATCTAAAGGGAGAGGGGACAATTAATAAGCCAGATAATCCGAGTAGCAACAACCAGGTCTGAGCTTCCATTTAACATTCCAAAAAACATAGAAAACAGGAAAGAATGCGTGTGTTGGTTTCCAATATTAGACCATTCCTACCTTCCACTGTCCGGTCGTGTGTTTTGCAATCAGCTACGAAACAGCAACTGTCCTTGACAAGATGCTCCTCCACTCGAGCCCAAGATACAAGTGCATCCAACCCGCAATTATCTTTCCCCTGCTTGGACAAGCGGGAGAAAAAGACTGAAGAGTTGTCCCGAGGTGTTTTCAGCCTGTCGGGACCTTCCTCAAGTTTGAAGTCAGGTCCTGAGCCAAGCTATGGGTTTGTACGAACCGGTTTCCAAACTTACAAGTCGAGAAAACCAATATTTCTTGATTACGGGGGACACCTACCCGAATATGAAATTGCATATGAAACGTGGGGTAAGCTTAATGAAGAGAAGTCGAATTTGGTATTGATCCATACTGGTCTCTCTGCATCGAGTCACGCCAAATCGCAACCAAATAACACCAAACCTGGATGGTGGGAGAACTTTATTGGACCGGGAAAGTTTATTGATACCGACAAATTCTTTGTTGTATGTACAAATGTTCTTGGTGGATGCTACGGATCAACTGGTCCGTCCTCAATAGATCCGGCGAACAATGAGCGATATGCCACGCGATTCCCAATCTTATCAGTTAATGATATGGTGAGGGCCCAAAGAGAGTTAGTCAGAGACGAGTTTGGAGTATCAAAAGTACACGCTTCAGTTGGTGCATCAATGGGAGGAATGCAGAGTTTAGCATACGGGTGGGAGTTTCCCGAAGAAGTTGGCAAAATAATTAGCATCAGTGGTTGCGCCCGCTCCCACCCCTATTCGATAGCCTTGAGACACACTCAAAGACAGGTTCTCATGAGTGATCCGAATTGGAATCGTGGGTTCTATTATGATAATATCCCACCGCATGTGGGTATGAAGTTGGCTAGAGAAATTGCGACAGTAACGTACAGATCTGGCCCTGAGTGGGAGTACAGATTTGGCAGAGCAAGGGCTGATGATTCGCGTCCTCCAGCTTTGTGTCCTGACTTTCTTGTGGAGACGTATTTGGATCATGCTGGAGAAAAATTTTGCTTAGAATACGATGCAAATTCGTGGTTGTACGTTTCCAAGGCAATGGACTTGTTTGATTTGGGCGAAAGCACAAGGTCGAGAGCCCTTGAGGAAAGGCAAAGAAGCGAGCAAGAATACAAATCCTCTGCAGGACTGACTGAAGAGTATGAAGTTGTTCCCAAGGAACCGTATAAGGAGAAAAAAACCACGTCAAAGTTTACCGTTGAGGAGTCCATAGAGGATTTGAAAAGAGGGATGCAGAAACGATTGGCAAACAAGGATGTGCTAGTTATTGGAGTCGAATCAGACATTCTTTTCCCCGTTTGGCAACAACGTGAAATTGCGAATGTATTAAGAGAGAATAAAGAAAACAAAACAGGCCAGATTGAATATTTCGAACTAGGGAACGATATAAGTAATTATGGCCACGACACATTCTTGTTGAGTCTTGAGGATATTGGAAAACCAGTTAAAAAGTTTTTAGAAGCGTCAATAGATAATTGATTGGTGATTAGGATCCAATTCGTATCCAAAACGTCTGCTAATAGTGTAAATGTATTCTCTAAGATTGGCCACCACAACCTTGGCCAAACCATTCTTCTTTTTCTTTCCATCATCTTGTACATTCACCTGGTGATGGGGTAATAAGTTGTCATGAGCACTCAAACTCACAAACAATGCAAACGGGACAAGCCAAATTAGTAAGCCAAAAAACGAGCAAATCTCAGCAAAATCCGGTATCCTTGGAGCTTTATAGTCCGGTTGTAATCTTATTTCCAAAGGAGGAATGTAGGGATCATGAAAGTGATTAAACCATAAAAAGTGATTTGCGATAACCAATACTATACTTGCAAGGAAAATCGGACTGGTCAACTCAACATATGGAAACTTCTTCAAGTTTTGCAAATAAATGTAGTAAGAAAAGACTGAGAATGTTGACAATTTGATTGGAAATGAGTCAAATAGCACGAGCAATATGTATATCACTATTATGGCGTATATGAGTTTCGTCAAAAATCTCTTTGTAGGTTCGGTATGTTCTTCAACAAGTTCGGAAATGTAGTACAACCCCGACGCAATTGCTAACACTAGGAATAGGAAGCCAACTATCAACCCGAAATAGGAAAGTAGCTGTAGGATCATGGTGCAGTTGTCGATGCCGAAAAAGGGTTCAATTTTAAAAGTTGGTTACATATATACTTGCCAAGGTTTTTCCACTTTGCTCTTTTTTCTTAGTGGCACAGATCTCACACTCAGAAAAAGGAAAAATGAAATCTCTTACACACACATACAACGTATACATTGCAATACAGAGTATACGAACAGCTAATCGTAAATTTCCATTGGTGGAATTCTATCGGTATTGTAAAACCAGTTGTCATTTTCTAACTCGACATCAAGCCATTGCGCTGGGAATAGTACCAAGTGACCTTTCACGTTACTCAACAACTTCTCTGCTGTTTCCTTGTCATAAACCAACTCTCCGGACATCATTCTTCTGCGGGTAGCAAAGTTCGTAGCTCTATTCTTGCGGTACTTTTCATGGGCTCTAGCAGCTCCGCTATCTTTTCTTGAAGGTTGGGTTGGTGACTCGCCAACTGAATCCGGCTCGGTATCGTCATGGAGGAGATCTCCATTAGCTTCGGAACTCTTTTTACCAATACCATCACCATCACCATCACCATGATGACCATGATCATGATCAAGATCATCTTCTTCTTCTCCTCCTCCTTCTCCTCCTCCTTCTCCTCCTCCTTCTCCTCCTCCTTCTCCTCCTCCTCCTCCTCCTTCGTCTTCACCCTTTTTAGATCCATTTTTCACCGGTTTGCTGGGAACCGAGCTGAACTTTCTGGTCAACTTGTGGCGCATCTTATTTTCATTTGTCGCTGTTTCATCCAGCTCTTTCTTCTCTGGAGGAACTCTTCCCAAAACCCCCAAATCCTCTTCCAATTCGTCAATGGAGCGTTCTACATTGTTTCCAAGATGGAGAATGTCGTCCTTTAGTTCGCTTGATTCAGATTTGGAGCCAGAAGTCGATTCTCCAGTTGCTACTTGTCCTTTCATGAACTTGCTTTGTAATTTGGCAAAGTTTGTGTAGTCGGACCACCGCGCCACAGCATCGTCTGGTTGACAATGGAAAACCATTCGAAATATGTCCGTATTTTTCCTTGCAATTTCAAACCATAGAAGTTCATAAAACTCAGGGTTCAACGGATCTTCAAACTCGTAAGGGTCAATAAATGAATTGGCACTATCAGCATCTGGAGAGGAAATGGTTTCAATAATGTCAGTGATTTCTTTGTCACTACAGGAAACTGGAGTTCCAGCTTCTAAGCCACTTCTCACTGCCTCTTCAGGGCTCGGCTTGTCGTCCACCGACGTTTCGTCAGCTTCTGTTAAAGTTCCGTTCATTTCTGTAGACACTTTCAATGGTGACAACCCGGCGTTGGCACGCTTCTTGTTCTCTGCAGCAACATATTGCATCTCACTCGCCGCCACCCTTTGCAAGTACGATACTTTTTTCAACAAAAGCCAACGTTCTCGATTGCGTTCGTTGATGAGTTTCTCCGATTCTTTGTCGTTGTTTGCGGCAACCTGTGCATCATCGCAATTCAAAAAGTCAAGCACATCTTCATACAGAGGTACAAAACTGGTTTTTGGCGTGGCCGATTCCATTACTTGAAGTGCTTTCTCTTGTAAAAACTTGCTGCTTGACAAACGAGCTCTCTTTGAGAACTCTGACTGGTATTTGTCGAAACCATAACCACGTACGTCCTCTTTGTGTTGTTCATTGTGCTGCACGCGGTTGTCATAAGACTTCTTTTTCTTATCACGCACACCAACATTAGCCTCTTTGGGGCCAGTTCTGTAATTGAACATCGTTGGTAGATCAAGCGGCTTTGGCGCGTCATCGATTTCTTCCTCGTAATCCACTTTGGCTACTGTTTCATCCAATTCTGAAATGTTGATGGAATCCTTCCACCTTCTTGTTCCCTCCCTTTCATTCAACACATCTCTGGAAGCTATCTCTACCATTGCTGAATTAACACAATAGCTTTTCTCGCTGAACTTGTTGGTAGCAAACTTTAACCCCTCTTTAGTTTTTGCAAATTTTTCAAACCTCTTGAAGCGACGCTCAACTGTATCTAGGATATCAATACTAACACCAAGGTGCTCTCTCATCAATCTCATTCGAAGAGTGTGTGCAAACCTAGCAGCCTTATACGGCTCACCATTCATACGAGTTGAAACCATTTCAGTATCCCTGACAACAGCTGCAACTTCAGAATCTCTCACTCCTCGCATCGACCTTTCATTGATGTTGGCACTTCCAATAATGACGGACCGATCATCAACAATCATACACTTTGCATGTATGTATAGCTGCTCAGTAATCAAAGTTCGTTGCGGACCAATTCTGCCCCATTTTCTCAACGAAAAGAATTGAATGTAATCTTCGGGATTGATACCCTTTTTCCTCAATTTGGCAAAGATGGAGGTTTCACCTCTAGAAATCGACATAAATTGGCATTGCATAATAACACGAACCGAAGACCCCTCTGCTTCATCAACTTGAGCTTCAAAGCCTGGCATCAAAGGAATGACAATCATCGCCTTCCAAGTGGTACCTTCCTGGTGTGCACGAATTATCCTTTCAACCAAAGCATCACCGATTCTATTCTTTATTTCGACACCGTCGATGAAGCACGATGTAACAAAAAATTGATTTTCAATGTAAACAAAATGTTCGGAGGTTTCTATCAACTTTAAATAAGCATTTTGGATGCTCTGCTCATGTTCTTCGAGTCCCAATGACCATTTCCCCGAAGATCTCAATAATTGTACTTCACATGTACCACTATACCCTGCATTAATGGCTTCCTCATCAGTGAAGTCTGGCGGCGGCACAAGCAAAGGTGTCAATCGACTTGGCCGCTTTTGCCTGATTAGGTAATTCCATCTTTGAACAAAATGACGCGACAAGTCTCTAGCAATTTTTCCGTACGTCATCATGTGGATGTCATGCCATGGCATTCTCGGCGTCGTTTGTCTATTGTACATTGAATTATATGGCTTGTCCAATTCAAAAAAATCTTTGATCCTAGGATTCGAGTAATCCTTACCCACAAATATTTGAAAATTTTCTAGATCAGCCACAGTAGCATTGTCGTCCGCTTGAAACTGCTCGAATGTTTCTGGAGAATCATCGGTTAAAGCATGATCAGCTGTGTCATACCTACCATAGCATAAATCAATACCACCCAAAAATGCGTAAGTCAGATCCACAATGCACAACTTTTCGTGATGAGCCCAGAAAAAAGTATTTTGTAGTAACTGATTAGGTGATCTAATTACGTGAATGTTCTCCTCATTGAGCCACAACAAGGAATGTTTAGTGTATAAGGAGTCTGTGGCAACAGTCGTACCAACATTTCGATAAACAATAACAAAAATTTTCACTCCTTCTCTTGCCTTTCGTTGCAACAACCTATCAATTCTATATTGCTGGTTTCCTAATGCAGGTCTCCTCAAATACAATTCTGGAGACAACCACCAATCATGAATGTAGACAGTTTCTTTTGCCATTTCAATAGCAGCAGAAACTGCCCAAAAGTAGTCTCTACCATCGACAAACCATTGTGCAAAGCAATTTTGTCTAATTGGGGCAAATGAATCAAAACGGTGTTTTTTGCCCCATTCTGTATGGTGCTGCATTTTACGGAAAGATTCCAACCACGCCTTGTGGTCCCTCGAGGATTTGGGATTCAACACCAATTTCCTTTCCCTATTTTCCAAAACAATTTTCAAGTGAGGGAAAATTTTGGTGTGATGAGACTTGTTGTCAACCATTGTTTCGTCAATATCTTCGTCATCATCCTTTACCACGTTGCTCTTTGTTTGAATTTTGAAATTCGAGTCAACCAAAAAGACGTCCAACGGGGTTGTCGAGTTTATGTCTGAGACGTACAAGACATAGCTGTTTCTAACCAACATCCATTTTTCTGTCCTTCTATCGTACATACCCTTCAAGTCATTAGCTTTGAAATGACCCACTCTCCATCCTTGTGATTTCGCTGAAGAGCCAATGTGAATCGAACCTTGCTTTCCTTGGAATGATCCCTCGTAATTCAATAGTGATGAGATAGGCGAGATCTCGAAAAACATAAAAACAAAATTGGACAAAGGCGTTAATGCAACGTACTCAATAAGCTCGTTCAAGTAGTTTTCCACTTCTTTCATATATGCAGCATTTTTTGCGCGTTGAGCTGAAAGATGCTCGGGGTCTGTCTGCCCATGCGAAACCATTGATGTCAAACTCTCCAATCGCAGTCTAACTCTAGAAACACCGGTTTGCGCCGTCACTATTGATTCTGTATCTCCATGAGCGGCGCCGTTCATCTGCGTGTCCAACGCTTTTGCTCTTCTTCTCCTATCTTTAAAGGACGGGAAGGGAAACTTTGGCAATTTTGTTCTAGTGCCAAAAACAGTTTTCCAGTTGTCAAGTTTGCAACGAGAATGTAAAATACCCAAATCAGCCACGGTTCTTTCAATACTCCATTTCATACTTTTATCGCCAACACCATACTCCAAATCGATACGAAAATTCCTATTCCTTCTGAATTCATTTGAAGAAATGTCAGTAAGGGTAAACCCCAAGAGCGAAAATAACAACGGCACTCTGGCTATACCACCATCATCCACAAACAAGCACGACGCCATGATTCCCAAGGATGGACCATTGATGATAAATGAATTTACTAGGTTTTGTGCTCTTATGTCGGTGTTTGTGAAGGTATAGTTCGAATCCCTTATTTGAGGTCTAGCAAGTTTATCTTTTCTCTTCTTTTTCGATTCCAGCTGATTCGATCTAGCAACGAATTTGGAAAAGTTTTGCATAGTGGAGGAGCGCCGTGATTGAGGCGATGTAGGTGCAACCTGGTTCCCTGGTCGATGATCCTGCTGACTTTGTGAACTTTGGGCAACATTTTCCAGTTCCTGTTGTTGTTCTTGTTGTTGTTCTTGTTGTTCTTCTTCGTCTGAACTGTATCTCGACTCCTGCGGATCCTCGCCCCGCCAGTTGAAAAAGCTCATTGGATTCGATATGATGTGAGAAGAACCATGACGCGAGTGCAACGGCCTTTTGATATTTGATCGTTTCACGTCAGCTGCATTATGTGATCCCTCTCCCGATATCGATCGATACAACTGTCTCACATCGGCCAGATCCCTCGACACGCTGTTTCGCAGTGGATTGTTTGATGGCACATTCTCAGATTCGGTGCCAGGGTGACCCTGTTGGAAGCCATTCGCAACGGGCATTGTCTAGGGATGTGCTCTTTTGGTAGTTATTTGTGAACGAAGGTTGCCATTTATTTTATTTTTGTCTGCTTGTTTTTTTTTTTTTATTTTTTGTTTACATTTTTGCTGCAAGAACGTGGTGACGGAGACGCTGGTTTGAGCTGCTTAACCTGCTTAACCTGCTTGACTTGCTCCTTGACGCACCCATTCAAGCTCTAGGCAGGGCACAGCTTGCCAAAAATTGACAGAGTTTTTGTAATGCATGAATTTTGGGTTAGAATGAACATTTCTATGCACTTTTGTCGTAGACACAATTTAAAGAGATTGTTGACTGATTACTACATATTCATTCCAACTTAGAGTGTGCCACAACCTATCTGTGTGTAGTCCCCATACCTACCCTAAATCACAGTCGCAACTTCTAAGCAAATTACATCGAATAGTTTTTATCCCCATAAGTTCCGACAAGAAAATGTTGGTTTGTGAGTTATTGAACATGAACCTTGGAGCTGCAGTGAGATCTTCTAGACCAGACTCGTCTACCAACCGAAAATAATGCTCCACTATTCTTTGGTTTGCACCTTTGATGGATTCAACATTTGCCAGTTTGAACAACTCTTTGCGAAGGAATTTTTTCAATAATTCGTCCACTTTGGTAAAAACAATATCAACCGGTATTCCTCTCTCATGCAAGTATCGCACCAATTGTAAATCTTCATCCGCAAACCCATCACTTGAGCTTACCAATAATAATACTCTCTTCAACCGACGCCTATTATTAAGGTATGCAAGCACCATTTCCCCCTGTGATTCGACACCACCTTTTCCATAGCCCGGACTATCAATCAATCGTAGTTGATTCGAGATTCGGAACGAATTCATTGTCTTGGTGAATCCCGCTTTTGAAGAGACGTAAGCCAACGGTTCGTTTTTTCTTGCTCCCAAAATGCTGTTGAGTAAGGTCGATTTTCCAGCATTGGTACGTCCCATCAAAAGCACTTCAGGTAGAGTTTTCAACAATTCAGGTTTAATTCCAAATGTCCGTTTGGTAGATAGAGCGGCTTGTGTTGAACTAATTTGTGATTTTAGAAGGTTGTATTTAACATCGGGTATTTCATCGTAATCTGCTAAGGTCCACTCTAGCTTCACTTTGGCATGGTTAAAAAAACGCTGGGACTCTGCAATGTCACTTTTATTTGGTGTCCCAACGAATATATCATTCAAAATGTTGGGATTGATGATTGTCTTTCTTATTTCGATGTCTTTATTGCTGCGTTGGTATTGCTGTTGAGGTGCAACACTATGAAGTTTCGGTAAGTCACTTGCCATCTTAGGTATAGACTTTACAAGATAGTCTATAGATCCATGTTTGTTTCTCTTCTGGTGATACCGGCAGCAGGAACCAAGTCTATTCATTGGAGTGTAGAGAAAACTCATAATTCAACCGAAATCATCCCCTGGTGAAAAAAGTTTACATGACACAAAGTTAAAAGTGCAAGACGTTCCTGACCAGCACAACAATAAAAGCACCACTTGCAAAGTCGATGTCCTGTTCCATCGACGGCGTAATCGAGTTTTCTCACTACATCTTTCAATTGTATAGTACTTATTCTCATGTCTATTTATCGTATATTAATTGAATTAGATTACGATATTTACCAAATACTCACACATTTTCTCTACGCATTTCCGAATCCCGCAAATAATTCTTCCCACTCGTCTTTGTTTGCCGAGTCGTTAGATTTTTCAAACTCAGTTGTGTCTTCATTCTCCACCAGTGCAGGCTCTAAATTGAAATCCTCGCCCACGTCTTCTGTTGCTGGTTGAAGATCATCAAAGTTTTCATCAAACGCGTCCTTTTGCTCCTTTTCTGGTTGTTCGCCTAAATTTTCTGATGCATCGTCATATTCTTCATCAGTCAATTCAAGGTCCTTAATTGGTGGGAAATCTTGTTCGGGACCATTTTGAGCCGTAGGTGGCTTATTGTCAGAGGAACCAATACCAGTAGCGGCTCCGACAGCCGCACCAACCGCAGCAATAACACCGGCACCAGCACCTGCAGAAGCAACTCCAACTTCTTCGTGTGATTTATCCTCAGGTTTGTTCGTCAACTCATTTCCATTTCTTGGCTCGGTCACATTTCTGGCCACGGTCACAGTTCTGGCATCGGTATCATCTCTAACCTCAGTCGCATTTCTAGCCTCAGTCGCATTTCTAGCCTCAGCCGCATTTCTCACTTCAGCTTCTGCAGCTGCTAGTTTGTCCTTCAAATTTTGAATTTCTTTCTCATAAGCCCCTTCTTTTTGTTCCGAGACTACTAGCTTCTCTTGCAAGTTTTGGACTTCATTTTCAACAGCCACTTCTTTTTGCGCCGCAGATGCTAGCTTTGACTTCAAATCTTGAATTTCCCTTGCACTAGCTGCGTTTTTTTGTTCTGTAATTGTTACTCTCTCACTCAAATTCTGGATTTCATTTTCAGCTGTCACTTGATTTTGTTCAGCAGCCGCTAATTTTTCTTTCAAGTTTTGGATTTCATTTTCACTAGCTACTTCTTTCTGTTCTGCAACTGCCAATTGCTCTCTCAAGTTTTGAATTTCATTTCCATTAGTCACTACATTCTGCTCTGCGGCTGCTAATTTCTGCTTCAAATTCTGAACTTCAGCTTCAGCTTTTTCCTCTATGGCTGAAGCTTTTTGTTCTGCGGATACTATCTTCACTTTCAAATTACGGATCTCACCTTCGGCCCTTTCTTCTGCTTCCGCTACTCTCTTTTCCGCAGCAGCTAATTTCTCTTTCAAACTCTGAATTTCCACTTTGGACGTATCCTCTGCTTTAGAGTCAACTAACGAGTCTTTACTATTTGCAGTGGAAGTTCTTGCAACTGGTTCTGATCCCTGCATCAAAGACTGCCCAAAACTTGAAGTTGGCTTAAAAGTGCTTGTCAAGTTTCTTGGTGTCAAATTTCTTAAATGTGGAGCGTGACCAGCATCATTCACACCACCAGCACTTGCAGAAGAGGTGAGGGGAACATTACCGGTATTACCGGCTCTACCGGCATCTGTAGTAGAAGTAGCAGATGCAGCAGGCTGTTGTTGTGGAGATGGGCTGCCAAACACATCTACCAAATCATCCATGGAAGATTTGACTCTTTGTGGTGGAGCCGATGGAGCTGATGGAGCTTGCAGAGCTTGCAGAGCTTGCAGAGCTTGCGGAGCTGATGGCTCTTGCGACTTGGTACTTTTAATCGACGAGATCAAACTTTCTGGAATCACGTTGGGTAAGCTCTTGCCAGTAACTCTTCTGCTCACCAAAAACATAGCAATTGAAAATTCCAACTTTGTGAAAAGTCCGGTGTTTTGAATATCTGCCAAATCCCAAATGGCGGCCAAGTCTTGTTGATCTAATTTCGACGTCATCAAGTAAGATGCAACTTGATCTGGATTCAACTGGCCCGCGTTCTCTTTGTCGAGGTTGTTGAAAATAGAGTCAAACTGAGCTTTCATCACTGGTGTGACAACCCATTCATCGTCAGATGGAGGATATCTGATTGCAGTCTGCTGAGAGCTAACAGAAGTTTGACGGGAGGAGTAGGCTGGTGATTGAGGTCTAGGAGCCGGTCCTGGTGCGGGTGCAGGTGCGGGTGCGGAAGCTGGTCCAGGCGCAGGCGCAGGTGATGACCCTGCACCAACGTTCTTCACCGATTGCCAAACGTTATCAGGAAGAAAAGGTGGCAATTGCTTAATACGACCACTTAATATTCCTTGCACCAAATGCATCGCAATGACAAACTCTCCAACATGTAATACACCTGTATTGTTTCGATCAACTAAGCTCCAAATCTGCCCCAATGTTGCAGTAGGTAACTTTGCTTTCAAAAAAATGTCTTTGGCCTTAGCGCCACCCAATTCACCTTGCACAGATCCCACAGTCTTAGCAAACAACTGAGAAAATTTTTGATAGTCTGCAGCACCCACGGGTCCTATTGAATCTTGAGGTGTGGCTGACCCGGGAATGGCATTATTTGGTTGACTTGACAAAAAAGAGTTGCTGGTTGATTGAGGTTGCAATTGGGCAAATTGAATACCAGCGAATTTGGGTAAAGGCCCAGGTGTGTCTGCCAAACCTGGAGCTGGATGGTTTCCAGCCTGGGTATACCCAATCAATCTCATAGCATAGCAGAAACCAAATTGATTCAAGAAGCCTAAATTATTTTGATCAGCTAGTTGCCAAATTTCACCCAACAATGCTGGAGGTAAATTAGACTTTTCAAAAGTCGTACGGGCTTTCTCACCGGTTATAATTCCGGTGTTTTCAGGATCCAAAGATTTGAATAACTGCGTATACAACGATTTTTCCTCTGGCGTAAGGCCAACTTTGAAAGTCGGGGTGTCTTGATGAGTTAGTAAGAGTTTCTCAATGGTGCTCAGGGGTATACATACGACTCGAAATACCCATAGTGTTTGCCGTGCAAGGTTGAAACCCACAGCAAAAACAAAAATAACAAAAAAGATCTCGGGTTTTCTCAAGATTTGACGTCGGGTAGAAAGAGAGGGTTACGTAATGTATTACGAAGTTTTGGTAGCTGCCCAGTTTTCGATTTTCCCTTTTTTTCTTTTTTTTTTTTCCAACTTCTCTCGATGAGAAGAGCTTTTTGGAGCATACATTAGCTCTACAAATAAACAATGAACAGAGGAAGAGGCGGCTTTAGAGGAGGCCGTGGTGGAGCTGGTGGAAGACCAAGTTTCCAACAAGGCCCACCAGATACAGTTTTGGAAATGGGATCTTTCATGCAAGCCTGCGAGGGAGATATAGTGTGTCGCTCAATCAATGTCAAGATACCCTACTTTAACGCTCCAATTTACTTAGAAAACAAGACGCAAGTTGGAAAAGTGGATGAAATACTAGGACCGTTGAATGAGGTGTTTTTCACAATAAAACCATCCGAAGGTGTCAAAGCAGAGTCATTTAAGGACGGAGATAAATTCTACATTGGTCCTGATAAACTTTTACCTTTAGAAAGATTTTTGCCCAAACCACCTTCTATAGGGCCCAAACCAAAGAGGAAAGCGGGAGCGGGTGGCGCCGGTGGTGCTGGTGGTCGAGGTGGCCGCGGTGGTGCCAGAGGTGGCTTCGGTGGCCGTGGAGGTGCCAGAGGTGGCAGCAGAGGTGGTTTCGGTGCACGTGGTGGAAGTAGAGGTGGATTTGGAGGTCGTGGTGGAAGCAGAGGTGGCTTTGGTGGTCGTGGAGGATCCCGTGGAGGAAGCAGAGGTGGTAGAGGTAGATTTTGAAGCGGAGTAAGGAGTATTTTGATAGTATAACTAAAGTCGTTTACCGTTGTTCAAAAATAAAAATGTAATACTTTACGAAGTCAAAAACTACTTCTATTCCATTTCGACCCGTATAACATCTTTTGCTCTTTTACTAATCTTTCAAGTAATAACAAGTGTATGCATTTATACGACTCGGACTTGTTAGAATTGAGATATAGCAGTTCCCATTTTTGTCGTGTCGCGCTTAAAAGCCACGACGTGAACACTACTAAAACAAAAAGAATTTAAAAAGTTCCGTCAATCACACATATCAGCCTTAATGATCACCATAAGGTACCCAATACTTTTAGGTATGTTGTGACGAACTTGTAAATGACTACTATTACTAACGCGTTATTAGTTTTCGTTTTATCTTTGATTGGGGCGGGCTACTTGGGCTTTTCCCTGATCAGCTTAACTCATGACAAATTAATCCATTTCACAACTTTCTTCGTACTTACTGGAGAATTTTTCTTCATTTTCCGCACCAGATCATTGAAGCTCTTAAGTTACGTAACCTTTGCCATATGCAGTCTATGTGGTGGTATCGGCCTGGAATTTCTTCAACATCTCGTCAATGAAAAACGGGTATTTGATCCGATGGATATTGTGTGTAATTTAGTGGGCAGTATTTGTGGGTTGCTGATGTCAGTAATGTACCAGACTTATCGAGGAAGAGCTAATCCAGTACCCTCAGAAATCGAATTACATGGCATGCCGTCTCTTACGTGATTCTGCTTCATGAAAAATTGAAAAAAAGTGCCAGCTTTGTGTAATGTTCTTAGAATTTATGTAGCAAAATAATTAAAATATAAACTACAACAAAAGAAACAATATTCTGTCGTGTGCGTAATACGAATACGACTGCAAATTAGCACTTACTTTTTACTTGATTAAGTCCGTACATACATGGGATTCGGGGTTTTCAACCCCAGAGATGTTTGTGGAGATTGTTCCTCACAACAAGTCGAATCTGTCGAAGATTGTATGCTATGATACACTCGAGTACAAGTCTTTGCGATCTCAAACACTAGACTGATAGTGCCCTTCAGCTTTTGCATGAAAATAGGGATTAGATATTAGTTTCATGGATAATGAATGGTTCCTTTGTCAGCAAATGTGAGTGCTCCTCGTGATACAGATCTGAACTCAGCATGGAAGGCCATCAGTATTGTCGATGACTTCGTTATAAGGTCGCATCAGTCCTTAAGAAAAAAAAAACATTCTCCGTATTTGTGCGCTACAAAAGTTGCGGCAGAAATCGCGCATCTTCTCTCGTTTTTACGAAATTTTCTATTGCAAAGCGAAAACATCGCAAAACTGTGTCAGAAACAGTATATTTAGGTAGCCAATATTCCCCTAGGAATAGCTGAGGCTGTTCACGTTTGCTCTACAAATAGATCAAAATGCAGACCTTACGTATAAAGCTAGACAATGTACACTGCCAAGAGTGTAAAGCAACCATTAGAAAGATCATATCACGATACCACAAAATCAACGAAATTGAAGCCAGCACAGTATCAGATCTGAACATAGAAGAGTTGTCCAGCGGAGAAGTATTTTTCAATTTGAAGGATACAGATGTTACCTTATACGGGAATAAGGATGTCGGTTTTCACTTGAAAAAAATGATCAAGCAATTGGAGAAATCTGGATTCGGTGTAGTCAGGTGGAGTCTCGCGGATGAGAATGGCGAACTATCCTCGTCGGAGGAAGTGCATGATATTGAGGCTGGTGTGGATACTACAAACCATGACGGATTTTTTGACATTTGGGGAATTTTTGAAAGATATCTGGCCTCAAAGTCGGCAAGAAAGCATTTGAAGTACTGCACAGTTTGTCAAAACAGCAAAGCTGGCAAGGTCAATGAGACAAGTGACACATCATCGGCAGAAACCAAAGTGGAAGTTTCTCAAGCAGAGTTCAGAGCGTCGTTTGTGATTACCGGAATGACCTGTACTTCTTGTGTGCATACGGTGGAGGATGCACTCAAGGGACTACTTGGCAAGAACTCTACTGGTGCCAACTTTTCAGTGAATTTGCTTCAACAGTCATTGGTTGTCATAATCCAAAACAAGCAGTTGATCAATCAAATTATTGATTGTGTTAATGACCTCGGATTCGAATGTAAGCTCATTGAAGTATTGCCAGTTTACAGATCAATAAACACGCGAGTCACTGCAATTATTGGAGGTATGACATGTGCTGCTTGCGCAAACTCAATCGAAGGTGCAGTGAAAAACTTGCCCTTTGTCTTGGAGAGCGGTATCAATGTGGTGACAAAAAACGCCCAGTTTGTACTTGAAGATGACGGTCCACGACACGAAAACTTGGAAAAGTTGAAAGAAGCGGTTGAGGATTGTGGGTTTGATTTTGAAGTAATTAGCAACGAAAAGATCAACTTCACTTCCGCAAAACAAAAACCTCGAACAATAAATATCAAAGTGGAGGGAATGTTTTGCAATCATTGTCCTGAGATTATCATGAGCTATTTGCTACACTACGGAGATGCTGTTGTTGTCCATGATCCAATTACTTTAAAGCACCCCGTGATCAAATTTACGTATGTTCCCAGTCGTGAAGTGACTGCTCGTCAAATTGTCTCTGACTTGAACCACTTGAGAGATGACGGAGTTGGTGGTTATGCAATTGATGATGAAGAAGAAGGCGGGTCCTTCACTTGCAATTTGGTAAAGCCAGTCTCTGTGGACGAGCATATTAGAAGGTTGGCCAAGAGCGAAGTTATGAATCTAGCTTTGAGGTTGATCTTGGCTACTGCGTTTGCCATACCCACATTTATATTTGGAATTGTTGCCATGTCGTTGTTGTCAAAGCACCATCCAGTCAGAATCTGGGTGGAGGAGCCAATTTGGGTTGGAAATGCATCTCGTGCAACTTGGATCTTGCTTATATTGGCAACACCAGTGTATCTTTTCGCCGCTGACACCTTCCATCGTAAGGCAATCAAGGAAATCAAGTCATTGTGGCTCCATAAGAATCCGTTCAAAACCCGGTTGCTCAAGTTTGGATCAATGAACTTGTTGATGAGTTTGGGAACCACTGTTGCTTATTTTGCCAGCATTGTGTTGTTGGCATTGAGTGCCAATCAAAAGCCAAATTCCCATATGGGCTTCCACACAACGTACTTTGATTCGGTTGTTTTCTTGACATTCTTCTTATTGATTGGTAAATTGTTGCAAAGTTATTCAAAGAGTAAAACTGCTGATGCTATATCGGAATTGGCAACTTTGAAACAAAACACAGCGGTGGTGGTGGATGAGAAAGAAAGCCTGGATTTGGGCCATGCCCTGTTTGCCAATGATCAAGTGGTGGATCTTGAGCTATTGGAAATTGGAGATTATATAAAGATTGGCTCTGGTGAATCTCCCCCAGTTGATTGTGTTATTGTAAGTGGAGAAGCTGATTTTGATGAAAGTGCGCTAACAGGCGAGTCTACTCCCGTGAAACATATTGAAGGCCACCAAGTCTTTTCCGGTACTGTTAACATTGGAAGCCGTTCCATCATTGCCAAAGTAACAAGCTTGGAAGGTGATTCGCTTTTAAGTCAGATTATCAACACCGTCAGGGACGGGCAACTCAAAAAGGCTCCCATGGAACGCACGGCAGACTTAATCACTGGGTACTTTGTGCCAGCTATTATTGCCATTGCAATTACTACCTGGATTGTATGGCTCAGTCTAGGCTACTCGGGAGCGTTGCCGCAAAGCTACCTTGACATCGATCTTGGTGGTTGGGCAGTTTGGTCATTGGAATTTGCAATTGCCGTGTTTGTAGTTGCTTGTCCATGCGGGATTGGTTTGGCTGCACCAACGGCTCTCTTTGTTGGATCTGGTTTGGCTGCAAAACATGGAATCTTGGCCAAAGGTGGTGGTGCTGCTTTCCAAGATGGTGCAACAACTAATATTGTATGCTTTGACAAAACAGGAACGTTGACCAGGGGTGAATTGGCTGTAACGAATTACTCGTTTGTCGAAAAGGATCCGACGTTGATGCAATTTTCGTTGCAAATTGCCAGAGATTTGGAGGTGGCTTCGTCTCACCCGTTGGCAAAGGCGATCAGACTGTTTGCAGAGGAATTGAGCAATACTAAAAGCATTCCATTATTTGCAAATAAAATACCACAAGTCGAAACAGTTCAGGGCCGTGGAGTCAGGGGTGCTTTTGTTTACGATGATGATGTTGAAGATTATGCACAGCACCATCCAGTTGAAGGGATTCTTGGCAACGAGAACCTTTTCCAAGAGAAGGGAGCTGTGGTGTCGGATAAGCAGAAAGCGCTCTTGACAAAATGGAAAAGAGAATCCAAGTCCGTGGTCTTGGTTGGTTTAAGATGTCCCAAGATATTCAAAAACGATGCGTTGAATGTAATTTTGGTGCTTGCTGCAAGGGACCAAATCCGACCTGAAAGCAGAAAAGTTATCGACTACTTCAATTCCAAGAAGATTGAGACGTGGATGATCACTGGTGATAATGCGCTTACTGCAGATGCTATAGCAAAAGAGATTGGGATTGCCAATGTTGTTAGTGAAGTTTTACCAGATGAAAAAGAAGCTCAAATCAAACGAATTCGTCAATTGAAACAACAAAGCGGTGGTGACGACTCAAAACGTGCTGTTGTCATTGCTATGGTGGGTGATGGTATAAATGATGCACCTGCGCTTGCTGCTGCTGATGTTGGAATTGCACTTAGTTCTGGTGCTGATCTTGCAGTCACGTCGAGCGATTTTATCCTCTTGAACAAGTTGCACCCTTTGGTGTGCTTGGTGACATTGTTTGATTTGTCACGAGTTGTGTTTCGTCGTGTCAAGTTTAATTTTGCTTGGAGTTTGGTTTACAATATGATTGGGTTGCCAATTGCAGCTGGCGTCATTTACCCATACAAAAATTCCAGGTTGGATCCGGTATGGGCCAGTGCAGCAATGGCATTGAGTTCAGTGAGTGTTGTTTTAAGTAGTTTGGCCTTGAGACTCTATAAGCCAAAGCTACAAGCTCAAGATTTCAACATAGAAGATGAAGGTGCAAATGTAGTGCCTGAAGAGGATTTTATGTAGAGAAAGTAAATTAGCTATATTTACGTATCGCACTTTGTATTTATTAATCGAATACACCTTGGTCAAATTGAACCACCATAACGGTAACATTGTCAGTAGTTGAAGCATCAATTGCCAGTTGGCACAACTTTCTCGAAGCTTCCTGTGCATCCAATCCATTCTTGAAACAGTCTGCAGCTATTTTACACGCCTTGGCATCGCTGATTACATCCCAAACCCCATCGCACGCAAGAATCATAAACTCATCATCTTTAGTTATTTGTGTGGAGGTGGTAAAAGGTTTCCCCAATACCAAGTCTTTCATATAAGAGTCACCCAATGACCTGGTAACAGCAAGCACTCCGTTAACCCGATTCTTTAGTATCAATCCACCGGAACTTTCCACTCTGTCTATTTCGTTCTTATCGGAAGCCTTGTGGTCGTATGATAGTCTATACGCCTTCCCCTTTCGGCTCAACACAATTCTTGAGTCACCAACGTTGGAAGTATAGAGCATTCTCTTGTGACCATTCTCCAGCCCTTCACTCTCCCAGCGAAGAACCGCTACTGCGGCAGTGCAACCTCCCTGGATAGCATTTTTTTCTATAATTTCGTCTGCCTTGATGAATGTTTTGTATAAATGGTCCTTCGTATCGGAGTCGCTTGGTTGTCCTGTGTGAGTATTAGTCTCAGACATGTCCTTTTGCTCTTGCAATTCTAAATCAATTTCTTGTTCGAGTAATGAATGCAAATTATTGCCACACCAGCGTGCACTCTCTTTACCCGCATGGCCATCAAAGATGGCGAAATACCCCCAATCAACTCTTTCAGCGAAATTCGCAATATATGTATGCACGTCTTCCATTTTGGACCTATAAGTGGAGTTTTTGTTTTCGGCTACGCCCACTTTGAAAGACAACCCAGCAAAAGGGTCATACTCTGAGGACATTTTCGATCTAGGCTTGGATGAAGATGTCGCTTGTGGGGAGTCATCTATTGCACTGAATTTGTCCTTCAGATCCAGTCCTGGTAACGATATTTTTGGATCCGTCAATGGAGGCGTAGACCCCCGATCACTGGAAAATTGTGAATGTTCGCTTGATGAAAGGCTGTTGATGTCGTTTTGCTTGTGATGATGCTGGTGTTGCTCTGCTCGCCTTTGGGCTAATCCTTGGAGTGAATTGGGTTGCTGTGCAGGTGTAGCAGCAGCAACTGGTGAAGAACCAACCACTGGATCTGTTTCAGCTGTGCTCATTGTTGGGAACTATGTACTTGCAAAGTTATATGGTTGGTATGTGTATTGCAGGGTTAATGTGAGTACAACGAATGGTTAAATGTTGTCTTTTGATACTCTTAATGTAAAGACTTGTTGTGGTGACTTGAAAGCAAATGAAAAAGTATTTTAAGCGATTGCGCAGAGTGACTTACTACTACACGTCATGTGAATTGAGTAATTGTGTTAAATATATTTTTAACTCTTATTAGCAATGTCGTAGGAATGTGTTACACGACATTGTAAATACAAAATAACGTCACTGCCCCATCCCAACTATTGTATAGATTTTGTCAGAGTTGTGTCTAGGCTGAACACTGACTGGTTTGTGAATTGACCCAATTGCAACATCAACATGATCTGTCGATAACAAAATTCTCTTTACACTTTTAGCAAGAGAAAGATTCCGAATGGGTGATGGTTTTTTTTGCTACATTTTTTGGTGCAGAAAGATAATCAAAAATTGGTCTACGCATACATTGCCATTTCAAGTTTAAGAGACAAATTATCAATAGTTAACGCTCTGTTTATCACTCTCTAATATACGTGGTAGTGTATGTGTCTAATCAGTAAATCATTAAATATATTTCTTATTTCCGTAGCGGAAGTCGGAGGAAAAGAGATTATCTCCACACACACACACACACACATACAAACACACTTATATCCTTTCTGTCTCGTGCAAAGCAAAAAAAAAATAAAAAAAATTAGAATCCCAAATAATAAACGACCAAGAGAGGGGTCGCCACAATTTTCTTATCTCCAATCGCGTTACTCTTTCATTCACAGTTGAAACTTGACCATGCCTGAAGCAGTTCCTATCCCTTATACGGCACTTGGTAAGCCAATCACCGAGTATGTTGAGTACAACAAAGCTAAATTTTTAACCACTACTTGGAAGGTTCCCCACAATGTCCAATACAAGGGGAAAATCTTTTATGTCCACGGTTTCATGGAGAGTGCAAGCATCTATACTGAATTCTTTGACAACTTGTCGCAAAATGGTTATGAAGTGTTCTTCTTTGACCAAAGAGGCTCTGGTGAAACGTCACCACATGATTTGGGAGGGACAAATGAGTTTTATACCTTTGATGATTTGGACTTCTTCCTCAAGAGGAGTTTAGATGCACGCACTGATCCTAAAGAGAAGTTTATCTTGATGGGCCATTCAATGGGTGGTGGAATCATCTTGAATTACGGTATCAGAGGCAAATACAAGGACGGAATAAAGGCAATTGTTGCGTGTGGTCCATTGATCAAATTGCACCCTAAAACTCAACCAAATATTGTTTCCAGAGTGGCATTGCCCTATGTCTCCAAAGTTTTACCAAACTTCAAGTTAGACTCAAAATTGGAGTATGATTACATTACTTCAAACAAGCGTTGGCAAAACTATATTAGAGAACACGACAAAAAGTTGATTGGTTCACTTGGTCAATTCAACGATATGTTCAAAAGAGGTAAAGATTTGTTGAATCCAGAGTATGCAAAGAAGTTTGACACCAAGATTGCATTGTTGATTGTGCACGGTACTCATGACTACATCAATGATATCAAAGGAAGTGAGGAGTTTTTCCCATTGTTGCCAAAGGATATGAACAAGGTGTTTGACAGAATCGATGCTGGAAGACACAGTTTATTTGTGGAAAACGATGAGTTGTTCAAATTGGTGTTCAAGAAGGTGACTGATTTCCTTCAAGAGTATGCAAAGAAGGATTAGACTTACGTAGGTTTGTATTTTAATTGTTGTTTCCGATTTATTTAATTTCCATGTAAGCGCATAATCCTCTTTTGGCAAATCTTTTTAAACGAGATACAATTGACAGACAAATATTTATGCAAAACTTAACCCCCCCCCCTTGATCTCTTTGAACCCGACGGAACGTGCATACATACGGCACCACACACACGGCGGAAACTTCATCGTACATCTCCGCTGAACCTCCATTGTTTCAAGCCTTGGCTCATCTAGAGCACGTCAATGAATCTTCTGCCAAAGTGGTAAACAAAATAATGGGCTACACTATCAAGCAAAAAATTGAAATATGCCTCAAGGCAGAATCCAATCCCCACATGACGCAATCTGATCTAGCAACTTGGGCAATGAAGGAATATGGTCTGACTAAACCGCCTTCACAAACTACAATCTCGCGTATTCTAAGTTCAAAAAGTGACATAATAGCCTCAAAGGAGGATGACTTCAAGTTGGTGCGTCGGCGAAAGCAGACTAACCCTTTATTGCGCAAAATTTTGACCGAGTGGATTACCCAGGCAACGTGGGAAAGTATACCTGTTACCACCCCTATTATACAACTGACGGCACATGCTATTTGGACGAGGTTACCGAAAGAGGATAAAACGGGCAACGGAGTGTTCAACCAAAAATGGTGTTCTCACTTTATCAAGAAATTGAATATAAATATCACAGGTAGTGAGGAAGATATAAAGAATAACTTTGGATATAAGTTGAATAAAGTTTGGATGTTGGATGAGAAAGTCGAATTGAAAAATTATTTAGACAACTTGATTCAGCAAGATAACTACTCACCGCAAGATATTTTCGTCATTGACGAATTTCAGTTGTTTTATTCTCTTCCTTTGGACCAAATATTTGACGTTAGCTCGGTAGATAAAGGGTTGCAGCAATCGCATTCTTCAAATGAGTATTCGTTGACTGCGCTACTAGGTTGCAATATTGACGGTCTGGAGAAACTATTGCCCTTGATTGTGGGTAAATACGACAAATTCGATGTATCAAAGAGCTCATTCAACAATTTCCAAGTTGCGTCAAGTGAACACACTTTGCATCATAATTTAATGAACAAGATCACCCAAATGTACAATATATCATACAAGTCAAACACCAACAAGTGGGTTACATCGCTGATGTTTCAAAATTACATACTATCGCTAGATCACAAAATCCACAGTTTGACCCCCGAGAGAAAAATATTGATTATTCTAGATGATTGCTCAAGTCACCGATTAGTCAATATCAAGTTTCAGAATATCAAACTTGTATATTTGAAAAATGAAACGTGTCATAAAAATCCATACAACACATCATATGGATCTGTCAAATTTGACTACTTACCAATGAACTTTGGCATAATTGAAGAGTTCAAAATCTTCTACCGAATTCAACAGTACACTGAAATGATCAAATTGCAGCGCAGCAAATCGATGGGGAACAACAACAATAGGAAAAAGCCAAATTCGGGCACGTCTCCACTAAACCTCAATTACGAAATGGCAAATACCTCACCGGCACTAGAGGTTTTGGCCGAGCAGGACTATCATGTATCCATGATCCAAGTGATTGAATGGGTAACCAGAGCGTGGTCCATGGTTTCACCAGAACGTATATATCAGTCATGGAAAAAGACTCGGTTGTTACCTTTGAGTGCTGGTCATAATTGGCCCAGCGTGAGAACGAGAAGCAAGGCGGATGAAATTTGTAAATACTTAGACAAAAGACTTGTCGTCTTTGACGAGATGAAAAGCCATAGAGAATTGGAAGACATCATGGGACAGTTGAATGTTGTTATACCTTGGGAAATTGAGGAATTGGTAGGGTTGGTCAACGAAAGAGGTAAAATTACACTAAGCTATGCTTCGATCGAAGAGATTATAGGAAGCTGTCTACTGGAATCGATTGAAGATGATGGCCCCAGTGACGATGAAGATGACGGTAATAATCGAGATATGGATCTAGCCAATGGTGAAACAGAAGCCAATGATGTGGTCAATTCACGTTGGTCAATTAACGAAAGTGACCTCAAAGATGCCAGTAACATTATATTCAACAAAGCAATTGCCAGTGCGACTAACGCAAACGATACCATGATGAATATGGGCTCTATTTCACCCGCTTTGAAAAACAGTTTCACTTCGACGGATGTATTACTAGACTCTAGCCAAGGATTCAACCAAGGCTCTAACGGTGTTGCAATGGCCACATCCCAATCACCCACTTTTCCATTTGGATCCCCGCTAATGGGTGCCAATGCGAAACACAAGTTGGGTCCATTGGAGAATTGGAATAAAAAGAAACCGGCATCTCTGATATTGTCACCACAAAGACATCGATGGCAAAACAATATCAATCAACTTTTTGACACCCTGTTGGCAAATGGACCAGCAGCAGCAGCAGCAGCAGCAGACATTGGGGCGTATGGCCACTCGTCCCAACAACACTCGCAGCACGAGGAGTCACAATCGCAAAATTTTTCGGCAGACTCTCATGTGGATAATGATATGTTACAGTCCATACTGAAGCTAATCAACTACTCCTCACTCAATACAATCAATCTATCGCAAGCCACTATCGACGATCTCAATTACAATTTGAAAATCATACAGTCTCGATTGGGTCAGACTGAATAAACGATAGATGCTTTGTTGGCAATGGTATTGATTCATGAAGACTCTGAGATAAAAACGTATCCTATATACATATACTAAATGTAGTACTGTCGTGACTGATTTTAAATTGAGCACTCAGCTTCAAAATTGATTACTCTGCAACCCCCCCCCCCCCACCTTACAGAATGCCACACATTTTCTACTCTTTCTCATCAGCATCCTCCTCGGTTATACCCAACTCCTTGGCCTTGGCTTCCAATCTAGCCCTCTTCTCAGCCCTAGCTTTTCTTATCCTTGCCACTTCAGCTTGTATCTCGTGGGGTTCCTTGGGTATTTGGTTCAAAGTGGCTGGATCTGGCCAAAACCCAGGCAAATTAAACTTCTTATCCGTGTCTAAACCAACATAGTACATGATCAAGATTGGCGAGAGCAAATAGAAACCAAACTAGAGGAAGAGGTCCATGTTAGTAAATCAGGTGGACTCGAAACGGTGAGATCGTGGACTGTAAATGCGTTCAAAAAAATTACTGCTGCAACATACTTTTGTCGTTTCTAGTTGGGTACGCGTTATACTATGTATGAATCTGTTTATGTAGCCCATTCTGTTGTTGCTGGAATGTTGAAGGTTTGACGGAAAGGATCTGTGTGATGATTTTTTTTTTCTCAGCTCCAGCCTGTTTTGTTCAGTGTATTGGTAGCGTCGGAACCAAAGTTTCTCCTTATTAGACTAACGTGCTTAGAGGATCGGTAAGATTACAAATAGGAGACTGCTTAACCGATAAATGTCAAAAGCAGGCATATTAGAAAAAGTAGATAAAAATAAAAAATAACAATCACGCAAGTAATGGAGATCCCTTACATTGCGTGATGTTTGAAAATATGGAATCTGCGACTGAAAATCCTTTTGAAGCTAGTGATTGTAGGAGTGGGATAAATGTACTCATTATCCAGTTCTTTGATAACAACCCTGCGTTTGGAACTCTCGTTACAATGTTCACAATAAGAGCCAGTCCTGGATGCATAATCATCAACATCTTCGTCGTCATCAGCAAACAGCAAACCATTGTCCTCTTTTTCCTTTGCCCAAATATCATGATCATCTTGAAACAAATCGGCCAAACGATGAGATACATCCTCATTCTTGACCCTTTGAGTAAATGATTTCACCCGTTTGTTCATCTTGCGGTGCTTCCTATGCATCTTTTTAGGTTGGGCCGAAATGGTAGAATTGTAGGATCTTATACTGCCGTATTCGAGCTGAGAGCCAATTTCAAGTCCCTGCAGTTGCTGTTGCTGTTGCTGTTGCTGTTGCTGTTGCTGTTGCTGTTGCTGTTGCTGTTGCTGTTGCTGTTGCTGCTGCCTTTGTGGATGCACGTAGTTTGCAGTAGCTGGTTGAGCAAAATAAGGCTTGTTGTTCAATTCAAAATCATACATGGAGGAACCAGCAGGATGGAATAACGAATTTAATCTCAAGTTGTTGAGGAATGAGTTCTGGTTGCGATTTTGCTTAATGGCACTGACCTGCTTTTCTGTACCGTGCTCCAATTTGTCATCATATGCGGCAGCAGGAGTAGCTTCAAGTCCCTCATCTAATGCAATCAACTTCTCATTTCCCACTACACTCCCGTTCATTTCTTGGGTTGCTTCCTCCTCCAACATAGTCAACTTCTCCTCTAATGTTGGTGAAGGTTCCAAGTAGCACTCCAATACATCCATGATAACAGTTGCATAATCATGCAAGGTGCCATCTTCAGGGACAGTCTCTTGATTCACTTTCATCAAGGCCAACTTTGGCGAGCCAACTGGTATAGGAAGGGTTGCTGATGCAGAAAATAGTCTGCTATGGTGATGGTGATGGTGATGGTGATGGCGATATTGACGATTTGGATTGTTGGTTCCACCCGGTTGATATGTTTCACTAGCAAATTGAAGTGTTTGGGGGAGTTGCAAAGTTGTCATGTCTTTTTCCACAGAAGGGTCCAGTTTGTATGAAATGGGAATGTAACTTACTCGAGTACTGTTATAGTGCTGACGCAGTCTCTCTCAGAATCTTTAAAGTTGGTATAGTATTCTAATGGAAGAAGCAAAGTGGTGCTTTGCAGAGTGTAATTTCTCGATATGCAAAAATTGGACTTTATTTTTTTTTTTCTGCTCCACACACTTTTGCAACCACTTTACAACTACATTTCATTGCACTAACGCAAACAACTATAATCACAGACCTAACTTTGGTTAAAGAAAGCTATATACTCCAATCCAAAATACAATCCAATAACTCGTAAATAAATATCAACCGGTATTAAAACACCAACATACAAGTACACACACAGATACTAAATGCTTTCTAATCTAGCTCATTTGTACTTCGACACCATCCATGAGACACATTGTCAAATGAATCAACTTTCTGCATGGTGTTGGGCCATCGTAGTTACTGGTCAAGTTGGGGAACATTTGTGCCAAACGTACAATTACATATGAAGCTTCGGTCAAGGCAAATTGTTGTCCTAAGCAGATTCTTGGACCACCATTGAAGGGCAAGTAAGCCCAGCCCAATTTAGGTGCGTTTTCCCAACGTTCTGGTTTAAATTCGAGTGAATCTTTGCCAAAGAACTTTTCCATTCTTTGAGTCATGTATGGCGAGTAAGCAACAGTAGTACCTTTTCCAATGTAAACCGGGTCAGTTCCATTTGGACCACCACCGACGGGTAAGGTAGTATCCTTGTTTGCGACCCTAAAGTTAATTGGCACAGATGGGTACAATCTCAAGACTTCATTCAACACCCACTTGAGATAGTTACACTGTTTCAAAGTCTCAAAAGTGATGTTTTGGACATCACTATCCTCACCGGATCCAAAGTGTTGATATATCTCATTCTTCAATTTTTCCCAAACGTCTTGATGTTTAGCCAATTCAAAAAAGGTAAAGGACAAAAGACCAGCAGTTGTGTCTCTACCAGCAACCATAATGTTCAACAATTGATCTTGCAATACTTTGGGGTTTCTTGTGTGTTTGACCAATTCGTAAAGGAATGTGTACCCGTGCTTTTTCACCCGCTCGTCCAATTCTTCTGGAGTTAAACTCAACGCCTTCTTGACAAAGGTTTTAGCAAATTTGTGAACTATTTTTGTATTTTTCCAAAATGAAGGTGGGTTGTAAAGAAAGAATGCAGTTTGCAAATAAGTTCTAACACCCAAGGCTATTTGAGCTTGATTAAAAGCCTCAGCAAAACTGGCAACATCAGGATCACATTGTCTTCCAATAGATTCATCATACAAGGAATGGACAGACTCACCAAATAAAAACTCAGTACTAGCATCAACAGTCAACCTGAAAAATAATTCTTGAAGGTCGAATGACTTGCCCTTGTGTTTTCTAATGTGTTCAGCAAGTACCTGCACATGTGGCTCCAACATTTTAACATGAGAGATCTGTTCTCTAGCAAATTGTGGACGCAACAATTGTCTTGACTCTTTCCATCCTTCATTATCCAACGTGAAAATTCCATCACCCAACAAAGGCTTGAAATGGGCATGTCTTGAGCCCAAAGAGAAATCATTGAATTGGGTAGCCAAGATAGCCTTCATGTTTTCGGGCTCACCTGAAACCACGACTCTAACACCAAACAAATAGGCAGTAAAAGTAAGTCTTTTCCCATACTTTTCATACATGGTCATGGCAAAGTCAAGGATCTCCCCACTTGATTTTTTGCTTTGTAAAACATAGGCCAAGATTAAACCAAAAGGTCCACCTTCGGGAAAGATGAAAGCCTCTTTGCAGCCATGCTTTCTTATGAAAATTTCTTTCTTGACCTTGGATATGGTTGCATATATCAATCCAGCCACAATAGCAACACCGTACCAAGTGAACAAATGAATGGTGATAAACGATGTTATTGTTGATAAATCAATTTGCATGATGACGTAGCAATGTGTGTTTTTTCTTTGTCAGTGTAATCACGTGAATGCGTGAGTATAAATTGTGGGGTAAATTGACAACCGGACTTTTCAAAGTTGTAGAGTATGACTGGTTGTTTGACAAGATAAAAAATAAAATAAAATGGAAAGAAAACTGCTGTTTATAAAACGTTAATGTAAAGTAAAGTGATGTAAAACAAGAGTGGACTGTGTAACACCAAGATTGGAAGAAACGGAAAGGTGGACATGGAGAGACCTTTATATAATTCAAATTTTGTAAAAATAAATAAAAGAAACCAGCAGAAAGGGAGGGGTGTAGTTTTTGCATGCAAAGGAAAATTTTAATTTAGACGACGGAGAAGAAAGAGACACAAACAATGAAAGAGTGTGTGTTGTTAGTGCTTAGTGTTCACGGTTTAGTGATTTGTATTCGGACTTTTTGTTAAGTTTGGCGTTGTTACTAATTTGGTAACAGCAAAAACATTAGTCAAATACTGTTACACAAATTGTAATGTGCACCTGCACTTATTCCTAAGTTATCTCTCTGTCTTTCTCCCACCACTATAAACTACAAAGACAGGTAGTATTTACTACAAACTAAACAGAGAAACTTGCACTCTAACCGCTATACGGACTAACCCCTCAAATGTGTTTTGTGTATTGGAAGTTAAACTTTTTTAGAAACCAGCGTCATAAGAAGTATAGCAAACAGGAAATAAAACCAGTCGTGTCCATACTTTAATATTATAGTTTATGGACATCATGTGAAGCTGAAACCTTACAATCTGCTTGTGAATATTTTATCGATTTACAACTTTAATTGCTTCTGTTTCCATAATTGTTATCTTCCTCAACTGTGATTGTAATTGTCGTTGTTATCTGTATAAAACAGTCTTTAAACTTGTACAACAAGCAACGGAGATGTATATTGTTTTTGCTTAATTTTTAGGACATCTCACATTTCTGCAAACTTGTGTTTTAAGTCTGGAAGGCGGAGGGGCGGGAGGTTCGATAACAATTTCTTCTGCTCGTTTTGTGAACTACGCTGTCACAGTAGCAAGAACGTGCCACAGCTCACTCTTTTCAAATAGCATACAGTAATCAGTCACAAGTGAAGTAGTTTTCTGGAGATGATTGAACGAGACTGATTTCTGGTTCGTTCCCGCTTCCTTAACTCCTACATTGAGTCCCCCACCCCCGCATTTTCTCCATTTTCTCCATTTTCTCCTTCCTCTCCTTCCTCTCCTCCTCTCAAGACAAAGAATAAATACAAGTTGGGTTGATTATCACAAGCGCCTGATCAAATAAAGGTCTCCTTTCAAGGCTTCTGCAGTCCCTAACTTTGTTGCTCCTTTCATCCAGGTTTTTATTACCTGAAATATACCTATTGTTTTGGAATCATGACAAGGGCAAAGTTCCGTAACGCAAACTGTACTGTACAGTTGATTTATCACATGCATATTGTTTCTTCTTCTGTAATTATTTTTTTGTGTTGATTTTGTATTGTACGCGAGCTCATTCTATACTGTATAAAGACTGCAAATTGTATTTATATACACGACAGCAACCAACTTCAAATAACAGAGTATTAAAGTTCGTTCTCTTTGAGAGAAGGGCCGCGCCCGGCACTCGATCCCTCCCGTCAATGCTACGAGTGCCACTAGGTGCTCTTTAATTAAGAGGAGTAATAGTGAAGTGCACTCTTTACAACTTTGTGTAATTGATAATTTATGCAGCAGACTTTTATAAATCCCACGCCTTTTGTTATTCAAAACTCCGATTATATACACTCCGAAAATAAGCGGAGTTAGTTGTAATTATTATGGTGTTTTCTGCTGCTTATAGCCTTGAGCAGAAACGTAAACATCAGCTTGCTGAGCATCATCTTCTTTAGCTATTTAATTTGTGGTAGAAAACAGTGCCAGATGAGCTCTTCATCGGCCACATACAAAATTGTCGCAATAACTACTGGCACACGCCTAATTGCCTAACACAGGTTAATCTTAAGCTCTCAATTCGTTGACATATCCGTCCAAAGGTCAATTGGCTATGCTTGGTGATGAAACTCCCCTTTTTCATGTGAAATTTGTATAAATTAAAACTCCGTAAAATAACAATAAAACATTTGCTTCAAGAAACGAACACGATAGGAAACAAAACGATGGGGCAACGGGTAAGCAAAAGATCGACCTGTTATGCTCGATACGGTATTTCAGTATTGACTACCTCCTCACGAAACATTTCCTTCTTTTCTTTCACATGACAAAAAGTTGGTGTTGTTCAAGACGGACATAAACGATACCAAAGCGGTTCGAAATTACTGCCCCTCCTCTTTCCTCTTACTGATCCATTTAGACTCGCATAGGCGCAGCAAAGCATAGGCGCTTTCAATGAATTATCACATGGACTTCCCTTCCTACCTTTCGTTTTGGTCTGATTTTGTGCCATTCGTAACCCTATGTAGCTTTGTTGCCACCAAGCATACTCATACGTCTCCGTGGTGTAAAATTGGATCTGAGGTGTCTGGTATTTCAAGAATTTGCAAACTGATGGCGGCAGTGATGAGCGACAGCATTCACCAAAGGTACCAATCCCAACACCTTACGTACCGATTAGCAACTTCCACCACACCTGTATACTTTGAAGAGTCATCGACGAGGCCTTAATTTAGTACAATTGGCTCCCAGTTCTGTAAACTAGTCTCGATCTGGACGGATTTTTCATCATCCTTTTCTAAATCATATTGGCGTCCCAGCAATAACGACTGCTTCAAGAACTGGGCAATTTCTTGCGAACTTTGATCAATCATTTTCAACACAACTTGGTTTATCAACCTGTTCAAATCGTTATTTTTGGAAAACTCAATTATACTTTGACTCAATTGTCTATAAATTTGCAGATGCACTTCGTCTAAACCATCGTCATTCTCACCAACTTTTGACCCTGAATCAAATTTTGTTGTAATCTTTGTCAAAATGCTTACCGGATCATAAAAAGGGTTTGTAGACTCATCCGATTGCTCAATCAAAATCTTTAGAAAGTTTGGCTTATCCAAAGATTGGTCAATGAGTGAGCTCCAGGTATCTTTATCGTTCAACCTTTTGGCAAACTCAATGGCCATCTGTGGATCACCAAGCTTATTAATCACCAAGTTTAGTGCCTGTTTATTTTCGCCAATCTTGCCCAACAAATAGATCAATTCTTGGTAAAAGTTGTTTTGTTTGCAAATTTCAATAGCCTTGTCAACGTCGTATGTGTTTTGCAAGGAATCATTTTCATCACTAGCCACAAAAAACGGTAGTAAGTTGCGTCTCGAATAATTGGAGTACAATTCAATCAACTCATCTCCGTAATCTTTAACCAACAATTTGTCTATCTCTTGCAACCGAGCTAAATAGAAGTAGTTGATAAATGACAATCGCGGATGAGATTTAAACAATTCAACAATCTCAGACGAGGGTATTTCAAGCCGATGATCCACCAAGGTGTCAACTGTGGGTGATAGCTTTTCACCAAGTTTATCAATTGGCCACCTTGAAATAGCTTCATCATCATCAAATTGTAGTGTAATAAATGTTGGCAATTGCGACACGAAATTTTTTAATATATGGTTCTTTGCCAAGTACTCAACAATGTGTTTATCCTTCAATTTTTCAAGACGTGGAACCGCTTTGAGTGGCTGGAATGTCTTGTCGTAAAATGTGACAAGTGCCCTTTCTATATGGTTGTAATGTTCGCTGTTGGCATCTTTCAAGTGAGATTCTTGTTTTTTCAAGTCAGACTCGATTGTGTTGTTGTCGTATAGCTCAGTAGGCCAGTCCGAAATCAACTCGCAAGCCCTTTCTGCTCCGTTTTCTATCCAATATGTAAAGATCTTTGTGAACAACCCTGCAGGTAGAGCAGAGACTTTTGGTATTACAAGACTCAACTCATCGATATGTCCACTGTTGATGAAAATATGTGCCCAGATCTGCCACTGGCTAATAATCTCTTTACGCATTTCATCAACTGGATGCAGAGCATGCTGCAGTGTAAGCTCTTCTTCATCAGGGCTGCTCGTTTGTTCCTCCAATCCAGCTTCATCCCTCAATGGCAACAAATTCTTCAAAAACTCTGCAGCTTTCTTCCACTCGTCCTCCTTCACCAACAGGTCAACATATTGGATACCAAAGCTCAATCGCTTCATTGGAGAAACTATATGCTCACTCACTTCGTAAGCTCTCAAGAATTCGTCCCTTTCCAAATACCATTGTAGCCTATCGTCCAATTGGTATTCTTGTGCAACAACTCCGTCTTTTGCACTAATGATAAAGTACTTTGGAACTTGATCAATATGAGCTCCCAATGTAAAATCATTCAATCCTAGATTTTGAATATTTTTCAACGCTAACTCCTCTTCAAACTCCACATCACCCGTTGTAGAGTTAATCAATTTCAAATCAGGATTGTTGTCAGTTGCAGTTTCTCCGCTTGCCTTGTCCAACGACTTCCGTTTTGGTGGCTCGTAAGTAAGTACCATCCACAAATCATCCTTATAACTTGCAATCCCACATATCAAGTCATCTAGTTTGAAAATATGCTCCACTTCCACCTTCTTCTCTTGTGTGGCTCGGAATGAAATAGATGCAGTGGACGGCAAGATCCTGCTCATTCCTGATGAAACAACAGGCACTGAATCCAGATCTTTTGCATTCGGTGCGGAGTTGTCTTTTAACGATATTCGCAAAGACCAAATATAATTACTCCATGCAATTATGAGTCTATCTGTATCTGGTTGTGTTACCCTTGGCCAGTATAAATCGTTTCTCGGACTATCGCTTGGCTTCTCCAACACCTTGATCATCACTCTGTTACTCAAATGAAACACATTTATTCCCTTATCATTCATCCAGATGACCAAATCACCAATAATGGTCAACCCAACAACGGCTCCGTTATTTTGATCAATCACGAAGTCTGTCTTTTTGCCTAGCCAGTTTTTTCTTGAGTATATCACTTTTCCACTCATTCCCCCACTAATGAAGCTTCTCTTTGAGGCGTAGTTGCTATCAAGTACCACTGCATGTACAGGTCGTTGAAAATCGTAGGCAATAATATCTTTCTCATCCTCAATCGATCCAATAACTACAGTCCCATCCATGGAAGCAGATGCAAAGAAGCGGCCATCCGTATACGTGCTCAAAACAGATGCCCGGTGTGCTTTGAATGTACGTACTGCAACAAATTTGCTGGTGCATATGTGAATGAAGCCAGAGTGAGTGGCAAATATAAAATACTCCTCATGGAAAAAGCACGACGAGACCGGGTCCTTGTTAAAGAAGTTGCTCGGTAGTTGGTTTATCCGTGAGTATTTGAGTTTTGGTGGTTCATCGTCTTCGTCTGCGTCTTCAATATCAGAAGTTCCACTGTGGTTGGTATCCATCTCATTTTGACTCTCTGGGTCAATGGGTTCTACATGGTTTGCATTGGTTCCAGTACTTTGGTCTGCCTCTGTCGTGGTCAGAACTTCCTGTGTGCTTGTTTGAGGGTGCTCACTATCTCCATTTATGATTGGCCCTTGGAGTAGGTGGTGGTTGTCTTTCTCAGCGTCAACCACTTCAGTTTGACTCGGTGTCTCGAGGTCCTTACCAGAGTCGTCCACATCATTACCGGCCTTGGAGTATTCCCCACCTCCTTTTTTTGAAAGTCTGCTTCTCCTCTTGTTGGTCATTGACTTCGATTAATTATGCACTGGATGTTTATCTTTGCGGCTCAGATTTAAACTAAGAATAGAGAAGAAAAATAATCCACTAGACCACATCCTCCGTTAACAACAACAACAACAACAACAACAACACCACCATCATCATCATCATGTTAGTTGCAAGCAAAGGAATTCTTGTAAAGTGTGATCCCTCAATAAAAGCACTCATAATCCAAATAGACTCAGCTACTCCTGGAATTGTTTTGGAGGAGTTGGATGATACACATTTATTGATACAACAAGATAAAGTGGAAACTGTCAAGAATGAACTAAACAAAATGTTGTCCAAGAACATCTACAATCCATTTGAAGAAGAATAAACTTAATACACTAGAGCCTATTGGATAACTTACATCGGTGAAGTTGGGGAAGGCGATTTGTTGGCCATGTCACCATATTCTGCGTGCTCTGCATCTGGATTTGGTACCTTTGTCAAATCCAGTTCATTCATGCTGGTCTTTGCCGAAGCAGGTCCAGGCTGGAATCCCTCCACCTCATTGTCGTTTAATTCAAGATTCTCTAGAACTTCTTCGTTGAATACGGGTTTGTCGTACTGTTCATCCTCGTATAATTGATTAACTGTGTCACCAATGAACCCAGATAAAGCATCCATTTCCATCAAATCAAGCTCTTTGTGGTCTTGCAGTTGCAAATCCTCGGCATGTTTCAAGAATTCTTCATATGTGGCCAATATCAAGTCTGATAAGTTGTTCATTAGAAAGTGTGTGACAACGGGATCGTTGATTATTGATTTTATATCGTTGTATAGCTTGGGAATCTTGATAACAACGTTGTCTTTGAATTGAGACAACGATTTCTCGCTAATTGCATTTTCTGTAGTTTCGAGAACTGGCGCACATATATCATTTGAACAATGCGTTAAAAGTTCACTGACTGCAGTATTGAGCTCAACTTCTATCTCTTGGTTGGCATCAATCATATTGTTGATAACTCGGGGCACAGTTTTTCTAGCAATTTCGAAGAACCCTTCCTGTCTTTGTTCTGTAGTTCTTCTTCTCAACAAATTCCAAATGTGTGAGATTCCACTGGTAAAGTCTATTGTATAGTCATTTCTCGTATAATGTATGTCAAAATTCTTGATCTGATTGCGCAAGATTATCAAATTGTGAAGGTACGACAATCTCCCCTCCACCTCACCCAAGTGAGCTGTTATCAATTTCGAATATTCGCCTTTTAACAAAACTATGCATGCGTGAACAATGTAATGAGCTATGTCGTCAAACACGGCTGAATCAATTAGCTCGTATATGTTTGACAATAACGTCATGGCCTTGGCCAAGGGAAGGTACACGTCAGGAAATAAGTTCTCGTCATACTCCTCATCCAAAGGATTTACAGTCTTGGTTTTTGATTGTTTCTTGTGACCTATTTTCAAATCCACAGCACTTGGTTTGTACTTCAACAATCTGGTATCAACATAGTTTTGTATTCTAAAGATTAATCGATGTTGAGTGTCATCCAAGACTGGTTGAAATAAAAAGCCATATCTTATAGTTGTGTCTTGTTGTGCAATTCCAAAATAGCTCTGTGAATCAACAACACTACCACTTGGATCGTCCAAATCTTCAAACTCATAGTATTTTTGTAACAAGGTCGTCAATTGGCATAATGAACTGATGTTGACTTCCTTAAGGACCCATAGACGAATAATATCGTATAACGGATCAAGCACGTTCTTCAAAAACGCATAAAACTCTTCCCAGATCATTGCTTTTAATTCATCTTCATAAAACGATGGGGTGAAAAACTTGCTAAATAAAACAAACTCCTTTTCGACAATCTTTTTAAAATAGGATATTTGATCTTGACAGGTTTGGACCAAATCAATATTCGACTGCTTTTTGTACAGATCATTAATAGTTGATGTCTTATCTATGTAGTGTTTCAACAATTTGCCTCGAATTTGAAAATAAGTGTTTAAAACATCATTAATTAACCCATTGTATTCATCGTGTTTGACACTTCGCTTAAATAGCTCTCTAGCCAATTCGTGGAAAGTCTCTTGGCTGTGTTTTAAGTAAAGATTAAACTCGTTATAAATCAACAAATCAATGGTAACAACTTGCTTTGATTCATCTGAGTTGCGCTTCAATTTTGAACTCACTGTTTCATCAGTACTTCTTAACTCGTTGCCCAAGAAGTTTCGAATCAATGTCAAGGCTCTAGTCATGCATTGGCGAAACCTACTCTTGTACAATTCACAATCTTTGTACCCGGGGTGTTCATCCATGAACTCCAAGGAATCGTCCAAATGGCGCAAAATATCATTGATGAAAAATGAGCGTCGATTAGTTAGCAAGTGGCTGCCCGATTTGGACAAACTTTTTGTAATAGAGTCCAAACGCTCAAAATGCTTCAAGTTGGAATGAATTTTGTTGTATTTTTGCTCATGCAAAGTTTGCTTCTCGAGTAACTCGTTGGCCATTGCGTCAAAGTCCAGTGTTTTCTCAGAAATACGTTTATACTGTTGAAAGCAGCTGTTGACATCTTCTATCAATGTATCTGTTTGGCTAATGAGTCCATTTAGATGATCTCGATTCATTTGCAAGTTGCTCTGGAATTCAAGCATTGAATTCAAATGTTTGGCATTGATATGTTCTATGTTTTCTGTTTTTAGTACAACATCAAAGTCGAGCGACTCAATGAATTGTGTCCAAACGGTTTGTTTCTCTTGCTGGCACAACGGGTATAAGAAATCATATTGCACTGTAAATGCTCTACGGTCGTTTGATTCCGACTTGGATCTCGAACGTTTAAACGTTGTTGGGTTAGGATTAATTTTGTCGTGAAGGGACGTTGAGTCATTCTTTGTCATATGCACATCACTTGCTATTTGCAGCACGGTTGATTTGCTTCTAGTCCTAGCCATGTTGGTGCACGATGTAGGCCTCACCCCGCTGCCTGTGTATCACTCACTCGTTTGTAAAGATGAAAAATCAATGAAGAAAAAGTGCGGAAATTTTACAAATCCTCCTCAAGTATTCCTACTTCGAGTTCAACTTCAACTTATACACAATTTCTGACACACTACCTAAATCCCACATAGGATGCCTCTTTCGAGGTTTTGACGCCAAGAGAGGAATGATACGCCTTGATAGCAAAAAGCTCTAAAACACTGCTAGTTTCCTACACTGTGCTCACGAAATTTCAAAAGTACACTCAAATGTTACAAATAAATTATTCATTACTCAAGAAACTAGTATCTAAACGCAATTTATGTCCAAGCCAAAGCGCATGATCAGTATGGTCTTTGAGATCGCCCTGTCCCGTTCTTGGGTGTATCAAAACAGACAATTTCCCATGATTCAATTGAAAATAAGGAACAAGCTTTACAAACATTGCTGGGGTTCGAAAATCCAATTCCCACATGTTCAAAGGATGAGGTCCAATTGGTTTATCGTGGAACTTGTAAACTCTAATATCACCACTTTCAATCTCTTTACTAAACTCTTTTAAAACCTTTTCTCTAAGGTCAAACGCAAATTGCCTATCCTGTTGATTGTTGTTGTTCCAGTAAGTGTGGATGTCGTAAGATATAATATCTCCGTAGAATGGTTGTGTCATGGTCGTTGAGCAGGCATTACATAAGCAGGTGGGGGGAGTGGACAGTGAGCCTTTTGGAGCTCTTTTATACTTTTGTGGATTTTTACCCTTTAGTAATCAGTGCGGCTCCCAATGACTAATGGGCGTGCGCGCCGCAATAAAAACAAATGCGACACTAGATTGATAATGCGACATTAAGGGAGACGCGTCACAATTTATAATTTTATTTTTATCATACAAGATTCAGTTTTCGCTGACTAGAGAACTAACATGATTGACCCGAGAGATGAGACTGTTAACAAGGATGACTTACTTAGTGATGACTCCTTGGACGAATTGAAGGATCTTTACAAAGAGTTTGAGCTAAAGTATCAAGCAATCAAGAGAAAGGAGTTGGAGAAGAAGGGTAAACAGGTCAAAACGAAGCCAGATCATGAGACAGGCACCCAAAATGTTACAATCGTCCCCAGGTCTCCGAGCCAAACAAAGAAGCCGGCCGAAGCTGTAAGAGAGTTGACGAAGGGGGAAGTTGACTTGCCATTACCAAAAACAAAGAAAGCGTCCGAATTTTTATCTAAACTATACGATGCCAACATGGCCAAACACATACAAAAATTCGACAGCATAGATTACAGCTTGCGCAAGTTTGAGTTTGATTTCAGTAACTTTGAGTTTAAACCGAGGGATGTGGTTGACGATTTATGCCCATTATCTGGTCTTTACTTGAGGCGAAGATACCTCCCCAAGGAGAAAGTGGATCAGCTCATTAAGGAAACTGACGACAACATGAAAATTCTCAAAATCGACAAACTTTTGGCAAAGACAAATAAGACGAATAATTACCAAGAGCCGATGTATACAAATTGGTGTCTTGTTGGGTTTGTGTTGCTGAAGTCGGAGGTGTTGTACACGAAAAATGACAAAAAGTACATGAAGTTCAGAATAGGCAATTTCCAAAACAGTGTGGAATTTGTCCTTTTTGATGCAGCATTTGAAAAAAATCACAAGTTACAGCAAGGTGATTTGGTATTGGTGTTGAATCCCATTGTCAACAAGTATGAATTTAAGGTCAATGAGCATATTTCCAAGACCGGTTTCAACTTGAAACTTGACGGGTCGAACGTTAATAGTGTTTTGGAAATTGGAGCGATAAGAGATTTTGGAATCTGTCGGTTTGTAAAGAAACTGGATAATCAACGGTGCAGCAATGTTGTCAATATCACCAAGCAACATTTGTGTGACATACATTTGGACAACAAATTCAGGCAGAGTACAAGAATGGAGTTGAATGGTGTGTCATTGAGATCCCCCACAAAAACCAAAACCAAAGTGTTTCTCAGTACAAATAAAGGTCTGAATCAGGGCAATTTCGCTGGGTTTATGAGAGAATACAATGAAAACTCGACATTTACCTCTTCCGTAGCTGGAAAGTTGGACACGAAGAGATATCAGGATCCAAAACTTTTGCAGACTCAGCTAAAGCGGAAAAAATTGCAAAACGATCGAGCAAATGAGTTATTGGAGAAAAAGTTGTCAAAGTTATCCTTAAGGAATCGTATTGTGGAAAGCTTGAACATGAATGGTAACAACCGTGGCCAACCTGCCGGGGGACAAGCTCCACCCTCAAGTCAATTTCCATCATCAATGATTTCCAAAATTGGATTTGATCCAACTAATCAAGATAATGATAAGTCCAAACAAACGCATCCGGAAAGACTTCAAGAATTGTATGAGCTAAGTGCAAAATGTTCAACTAAAAGGTCGCTTGTTTCCTCTCTGGACGACAAAAGAAGTAAGTTGGAGAAGTGGAAGAGGAATAGGAATACGTTGAAAGAATACGACTCAAAGTTGATGCAGCTGAACTTGAACTTGAGCAAGCCTGTTGTTGACAAAGTTAAGCATGCTGGGGGATCTTTGCAGAGGGTCAAGAAAACCAATCGTGTGGTATTGAGTGATGATGACAGTAATGACGATGATGACTTGGACATAGACTTTGGTAACGAGGATACAAAGGCTAGGTATGAAAAAGCATTAGGTAAATAGAGAATAATATACTTGAAACGATACTTTGTTAATAGAGAGCACCATATCTTCAACAACGGTATAGTACTTTTTGTGCATTTGGTTTACTTACACATCACACGTGTGGTGTTTCAATCTATTGTAGAACCCTTTGTAACGAAGATTTAGAGGTGTAACAAAATTGGAAACCACAAAAACTAGAATCTTTTGTCGTGTCTGTGTTGTCCGGTAAGCGCCATGCACGAACTTTCTCTCCTGCGCAAAAGGCTCTGGTTTGTAGGGCAATGTCTTCCTCGTGGTCCACTCCACTGGATGAATTCTCTCTGTACTGAGATAACTCTATCTTCACTAGCTTACACTTTCTCTATGTCTCCACTTTTCGCAGCCATGTTTTTGAATAATAGCTAGACGCCGAGAAATTCCAACAAAACTCCGAAATGCTGACGTCCACAGGGAGAATTAAAAAATAAAAATAAAAATAAAAAGTGGATTTCGGGTCCCCCTTGTGTCTGTTTTACATGAGTAGTTACGGGGCAACAATTTGTAAAACTTCTTTGTCGAAGCTACAGCACTTCACGTCTTTATATTTCTCCATAAACAATGAAGTTGTTACCAGTGAAACAATACGCAGCCTCTGTCTCCGTTTATTTGTGTTTTGGATTAGTGTACACGCCTTGACTTGGTTTTTTGTTGCTGAATGAGAGGAAAAGTGAAGACGAAAAAAAAAAAAAAAAAAAAAAAAAAAAAAAAATTAAAAAATGTAAATTAATTGGGAGAATTCCCCCNAAAAAAAAAAAAAAAAAAAAAAAAAAAAAAAAAAAAAAAAAAAAAAAAAAAAAAAAAAAAAAAAAAAAAAAAAAAAAAAAAAAAAAAAAAAAAAAAAAAAAAAAAAAAAAAAAAAAAAAAAAAAAAAAAAAAAAAAAAAAAAAAAATTAACAAATGTAGATTAATTGGGAGAACTTCCCCTCCATTGAATTGAATAATTGATTTTGGAAAAATTTCCAACTAACATCTTTCTTCAAGTCTACATATTCTTCAATCGGCTATTCAAGAGACCCCCATCCACAATGGCTACTTCTGTTGCAACTCCAAAGAGACACACCAAATCTCAATCTACTTATGTATGTCACCTATACTTTTTTTCATTAGTTTTTTTTTTTTTTTTTGCACAGCAAGCTTGCTATTGTCAAGCTCTGACGCCAATTTGCTCCGTTTACTAACCTTGGTATAATTAGGCGTTCGACAATACAGCAACCAATGTCGCTGCTTCTCAAATGAGAAATGCTTTGAACAACTTGGCAGACACTGTGCAAGACCCTGAAGTCAAGAGAAAGTTTGAAAATGAAATGGATAACTTTTTCTCATTGTTTAGAAGATACTTGACTGAAAAAGCTTCCGGCACCACCTTGGATTGGGAGAAAATCAGATCGCCATCCGCTGATGAGGTTGTCGCTTACTCGAAGCTTGAAGATGACAAGTCTCAAGCATCTGCGAATTTGTCAAAATTGGCTGTTTTGAAACTCAATGGTGGTTTGGGTACCTCAATGGGTTGTGTTGGTCCAAAGTCTGTAATTGAGGTTAGAGATGGAAACACATTTTTGGATTTGTCTGTTAGACAGATTGAGCACTTGAACAGGACTTTTGATGCCGATGTCCCATTACTTTTGATGAACTCATTCAACACCGATGCTGACACTGCCAAAATTATCAAAAAATATCAAGGTCATAGAATTAGAGTCAAGACTTTTAACCAATCCAGATTCCCAAGAATATACAAGGACTCCTTGTTACCAGTTCCAGAGTCTTATGATGACTCGCTTGACAGTTGGTACCCTCCTGGACATGGTGACTTGTTTGAAGCTTTGGTTCAATCAGGTGAGCTTGACGCATTGTTGGCTCAAGGTAGGGAAATTTTGTTTGTATCAAATGGTGACAACTTGGGAGCCACTGTTGACAACAAAATCCTTTCTCATATGATTGAAACTGGCGCCGAGTACATTATGGAGTTGACTGATAAGACAAGAGCCGACGTCAAGGGTGGTACATTGATCAACTACCAAGGAGAAGTAAGATTGTTGGAAATTGCACAAGTTCCAAAAGAGCACGTTGAAGAGTTCAAGAGTATCAAAAAATTCAAGTACTTCAACACCAACAATTTGTGGATCAATTTGAGAGCTATCAAGAACTTGGTGGAAGCAAATGCTATCGAAGCTGAGATTATTCCAAACCAAAAATCAATCTCCAAGGGTCACTCTGAGATTAATGTTTTGCAATTGGAGACTGCTGTTGGTGCTGCCATTAGACACTTCAAGGGTGCACATGGTGTAGTTGTCCCAAGGTCTAGATTCTTGCCCGTCAAAACCTGCTCAGATTTGTTGTTGGTCAAATCAGACTTGTTCTACTTGGAGCATGGTGCATTGAAGTTGGATCCTACAAGGGACGGATTTTCTAACCCATTGATCAAATTGGGATCGCATTTCAAAAAAGTCAGCGGTTTTCAAGCTAGAATTCCCCATATGCCTGGAATTTTGGAATTGGACCATTTGACCATTACAGGAAATGTTCATATCGGTAAAGGTGTGCAATTAAAGGGTACCGTAATCATTGTTTGTAACGATGGTGATAAGATTGATATCCCAAATGGTTCAATCTTGGAGAATGTGGTGGTTACTGGTAACTTGACCCTCTTAGAACATTAAGTACGAAACTAAACAAATAAAAAAGATGGTTAACCGTGCCTTCTTTTTTTTTTCACGTGTATTTAGTATATACTCTATCCGATTAATTGAGCAAATCCTTAGCTTCAGTCACATCTTCATCTCCTGTGTAGTTTTCCAAGTACTCCAGTAACGACTTTTTCAACTCTTCAATCTTTTTGGAAACTTGTGGGACCATGCGTTTGCTTTCATCAAGAACTTCAACCTGTTTCTTCAATTCGTACTCGTCGCCATTGTTTGCCTTCAATTGATTCACGTATTGCTCTTGTTCAGAAACTTCTCGTTGGTACATGTCCTTTTCCTTGATGAGTCTTTTCAAAGCACTCACTTTGATTTGTAGTTGTGATGGGGCCATTGTAGATATTGCAAAAGCAGTGACGGGTGTGTGTATATGTATATGTGTATGTGTATATGTGTGTATTTTGTTGTTTTCTTTCGCGTTGGAGAGAATAGGGAGATCCATTTCATCTGCTTCTTCCACCATCAAATCAAAAGACTATGTGTGTTTAAAGAGAGAAAATTAATTAGCTGTATAAACATAGTGGAGATTTTTCGGATCCCAGCCTCCACTGCCAGACCCGTCGTCCAAATCTTGAACGACTTTTGCTGCCTTAATGACATAATACGTCTCATCGTCACCAATTCTCACAATGGAATTATGCCACGGAGTAGGAATGTGCAAAAGATCAGTACATTTGGGCTCTTTGTGATTTTGGATATTTTCAATTGGGAGGCACTGCTCTGTTCCATTTTGACTCAACAAGGAAATTCCGAACTTGGGACCAGCATTGTTGTGTGCATGTATGGAAAATCTCAAATGGAAGGGGAACATCAACTCCACCAAATTTGAATAGGCGTCATTCCGTTTGATCATTTCATGAGCCACTAGACCGACAATCTTCTTGAACTTTTTTCTTGTCATTTTGCCGACTTTGGGATGAAATTGCAAATCTTCAGTCATAAATTTTGAGAAGCCGCGGAACAAATGTAGTCTAGCATGTCCAGGTGTTTTTATGTCCTCCCTCAATTTACCATTGTCTGTATCACACGATGATATCAATATCTTCCGGCACACTTCCGATACCGGATCGATTTCTGTACCTAAGAAATGGCCCAAATCAACGTTTTCAACCATTCCAGGAAGCTCTTTTGAAAATTCAAATATTTCTGGCAACGAACAGAACCTAAGTGGTGACGAGTCTGCCAGTTTAATCTTTTTGTACATTTGCTGCAATGCAGCCGAATATCGATTGACTTTTGAGTCGTCAACAGCGATACAATCGCTAAACACATGACCATCACTCACAATCCAAATTACTATTCCTGGTGGATATATCTTTTCAATTTGGTCAGCAAAATAAATCAACCTTTTCAATGCTAGCTCCTCCCCCTTGTCGGGTAAATCACCAGATACTTTTTCATAGTTTGAAGATTTGCAAGGAAAAGCAGGAAGGACAGCTTCCAATGGCTGGCCACGGGATGTGAAAAATTCAACACTTTTTTTGAAGTGGTCCCTACCAAGAACATTCCACATATCGTGTTCAACAGTGTGTTTCAACATTGTAGCAAAAGCATCAGTCACCAAGTCCGAATACTCAGACAAGTTGTTGATTTTAGGGAAAGCCACTCTTGACAGAGTGATCAATAAGTTGATAAACCAAAGCACAAAATCTGTGACCGAGATTTGCAAAGTAACAACCCCTTGTAATGTTTTGCCAAGTTGCTTTTCCCACACAAAGTACTTATCACCTATTGCTGCTTGAGAAAATCCTTCTTTGTAAGGGAAATGCTTGGCATTGAGGATCTCATTTGTTAAATCATCTGCAAATTTGTTGAATTTTCTATAACTCAAGATGCTTCCACTGTCGCGACTATAGATCATGCAGACGTTTTCATATATTGTAGGTGGGCAGGTCCCATCGATTGTGGTGCTACTGCTAGCACTGGAATTTAAGGACAAAGTTGAGACGGACTCCATTTGTTGTGTGTGTGTGTGTGTGTGTGTGTGTGATCTGAAGCTATTGAAACACAATTAGATTTCGATATGGAGATTTTGAACTCTTTTATAAGTCAATGGGAAGTGAAGTGTGCTAGTACCAGATCAGATTTTGCAGCGTGATTTCTTTTAGTTTCCTAAATTCGTGAATAAGGAAGTTGATGCAAAGTGCCATTCTGCTGTATTATGTAATTTTTTGATCTGACGGGCGAAAAGGGATGAGGAGACAGAAATCATAAATAAGAAGGAAAATTTGCGTGCTTTATTACTGGTTATGAGAAGACCAAACTGATTATGATTGAGTTAGTCAAGGTGGTGATTGCTTTAATTGCGGGATTGGGATTGTATGCATTGTTGCCGGTGGTATTTCCCCCGTTTGGCTTTCCCAAGAACATCCCAACAATCCCATTTTATGTGTCTTTTGTCAGTTCGTGGACTAATCTTGATCAAAAGGATATCTACAATAGGTACTTGCGAGAAAAGTTGCAGAAACATGGTGCTGTTAAGATTTACTTTGCCTCCAGATGGAACATTTTGGTTTCAAGACCCGAGTATTTGGTGCAAGTATTCCAAAAAGAAGACATTTATGCCAAAAGTGGAAACCACTTGAAGATTCCTGGTTCAGTCTTGGCCACCTATACAGGTGATAACGTCATCTCGGCACATGGATCTGTTTGGAAACTATATCGCGAGGTGTTATCACTGAGCATCCAATTTCCCGATATAAGCACAATACACCAAAATACTGAAAAGTTCTTGGACTTGCTAGAAAAAGAGTTGTTGACTAAATCGTCAATTTCAGTCAACGACCTCCTTCAAAGATATTCCTTGGCTAATGTTGGTGATGCGATTTTGGGGGTTGATTTTGAGGCATTGGATGACAAGGAATCTACAATGCACCAGAAAATCAAATATATCAAACTGCAAATTTTCAAGCCATTTTTTATGAATTTTCCCTATGTTGAAAATTTTGGCATCCCTAGTCGAGTCAAAGCTAAGCGAGAAGTTGAAGGTTTCAGGAATTGGTTTGGTCAAAATCTATTGTCAAAATATGATCCAGAAAGGGAAAATAGTGCAGCTACAAAGATGGCCCAAGCATTGTACAGTGAAAAGTTGACACAAAAGCAATTTTTGGATAATGCAATTATAATAATGGTTGCTGGACACGAAAACCCCCTTTTGCTAATGCTTTCCTTGTTGTATGTCCTTGCAAAATATCCAGAGGTGCAGGAATCAGTTCGCGAGGAAACGGATCCCGAAAAGCCGTTCTTGACCGCTGTGATCTACGAAACCTTGAGATTGTACCCGCCGTTGGGTCAAATAATCAACCGTTGCACGACGACGCTGGTTTGGTTGGACAAGATCTACATCCCCAAGGGTGTTTACGTTGGGTATAATAACATGGCTACAGGAAGGGATAGATCTGTTTGGGGCGCTGATGCAGACCACTTTCGACCCAGCAGATGGGGGGTGACTCTAGCTGAAATAAACTCGCTTTACTCACTGTGCAAGAGATCTGCCAAATTGCCTGCATTCCATGGACGCAAGCGTGCGTGTTTAGGGGAAAGATTTGCATTGCATGAGTCCAAATGTCTCATCACTTCAATTCTAGGAAAATATAGAGTATGTCTAGATGACAGTTGGAGGGAAAGAATTACCCCTGCAGGACCTATCAGTCCCCATGGTATGAAGTTAGTATTTGAGAATGTTTAGTTGAAAAGGTTATAGTTTCTTAAAAAAAAAATGAAAAAAAAAAAAAAATGATCTCTATTTGTGTGTATGTGTTTGCGGCAAGTTGCAAACATTTATATTTTGCTGATTTCGTCTCTAAAACAGTAGCTAGCAGATTGGCAAAACATTTACATCATGGAAGACAGAGGTGCACATGAAACAGATGAGGTTATCTCCTTGAATAATGAAGACGATAAATCAACGTCCATTGTTGAGCAAGAGAACTCGAAGCCAGAAGATGAGCCTTATTGTTCGCTCTCTTTTAAACGAAAGGTGATTATAATTGTCATTGTTACTGTCACTGGCTGCTTGGGTCCAATGTCAGGTAACATTTACGTTCCCGTTTTGCCTCAATTACAAGAAGCGTTTCACGTATCAAGAGCCACAATGAATGGAACAATAGCTGTTTTCATGGCGGTTTTTGCCTTTGCTCCACTAATTTGGGCTTCGTGGGCAGATTACGGGGGAAGAAAGACGTTGTATCTCGTACCACTTCTTTTCTTCATTCTTGCAAACGTTTTACTAGCAACAGTTCCGGCAAATATTGGTGCCCTTTATGTGCTTCGCATCTTGCAAGCATTTGGTGCAAGTAGTGTGATGTCTGTTGGAGCCGGCACTATTGCAGATATAATTGAGCCAAAAGATAGAGCCAAAGCCATTTCGATTTTTATGTGGGGTCCACAATTGGGCCCCGTGGCTGGTCCACTTTTGTCAATGGTATCAGCAGCATCATGGAGATGGATTTTTGGTCTTTTGGCAATTTTTGGTTTTGTTGTGTATCTTGCTATACTCTTTTTCCTTCCGGAAACATTGCGTTACTTGGTTGGTAATTGCTCTTGCTACCTGGATCAGATCTTTGTCAAGCCCAAATTGTTTCAGAAAATATTGGTGGAGGGATACCCACGTCCACCGAAGCCAAGCTTTAAAAATTATTATCAGTTGTTGAAGTACAAACCGGTGCTTTTGTGTTCCATTAACTCCGGTATGCTTTTTGCTAGCTTTTATGGGGTAATGGTTACATTTGCTCATGTCTTGAAGGACAATTATTCTTTCAACAATATACAAACAAGTATCAGCTTTCTTTGTCCAGGAGGCGCTTTGATTATTGGTCTGACAATTGGTGGTTGGCTATCAGACAAGGTGCGTGAAAGGATAATTGCGCGAAACGATGATTATGTTCCAGAAAACCGGTTTTCAATCCAGATAGCAGGCTTGATTGTATCCATGGCTGGGTTAATTGGCTATGCTTGGACAGTTGAGAAGCACGCAGCAGTCTGGTCAATCTTTATCTTTACCTTTTTAACTGGTTTTGGAATGACTTGGGTGTTGGTAGCAACGACAACGTACTTGACAGAATGTCTGATTGCACAACCTAGTGCAAACGTGGCTATTGGAAACTTGATGAGAAATCTTTCCGCTGCGGTATGCACTGCTATCATTGATATCTTGGTCAAAAAGATGGGGTTTGGTTGGTGCATGACTGGGCTAGGACTTTTGAATCTTATCGGAATAGGATTTGTGGTTATTTTATTGAAAAAGGGTCCCCAGTGGAGGAAAAAAACATTTTAAAAATTGAACAGTATAATATAAGTAATCTGTTATAGGTATTCTAGGCAATATAATCTTCATTTTACATTTGGTTTATTGATGTAATTGTTCTGAAACGTGATTATTTGCTTGGTGACGTATTGGACATAAATTTGAATCTGGTAGAAAATCTGGCTATGGCCTAATGGTAAGGCACTTGACTACGGTGAATTACTTCGCTTGCTATCAAGGGATTGGAGGTTCGAGTCCTTCTAGCCAGGATTTATTTTTGTTTTTTTCCTCGCTTAGCATTTTTTTTTTTTTCTGTACGTTGGCTTATACTTGTGGTTCACGTTCGAGCCCTCAGATGTCGTATCCCCGGAGGGCCCAGTAATTAGGTTCAAACCGTGCATAGTGTTTTATAAGTTTTTTATTTGTTTTTTGATTTCTACAAGAAGCTTCATGTCAACATAAATCAAAAAAAGGGCTTTCAATTTAGCTGCTAGCTTAGTTCTAACATACGCACTGAATTTCTGGTCTTGCTTTGAATAAGCCAAGTCCAACAGTCTGTGGTTAGTTCTACTCTTTAAAATTCTTATTTGGTTTGTGAAATGAAGAAGCACAGTCTTGAGATCGACTAATATTTTTAATGATTGTTGAATTGAAATGTTGGAAGATTTGTAGAAGGGCAACTTGCCAATTACAACTTGCCAATTACAACTTGCCAATTACAACTTCTCACAAATTATGAATACTCATATTCATCAGTACTACATAAACTCATTGACTATAGAGTCAACAAAGAGCAATGTAATCAAATGAAACAACAATGAAGTAGGTCACTGTACTTTAATTGGGCGGCTTCCCTTCTGGGGAGTTCATGACAGTAAATTACCACCTGGTAAAAAGTACTCGTTTATATTTTGTATGCAGTTCCATCACGCGTCAAGGAGTAGAGGAATAATCCCAAAGTGCAGCTTGTAACACTTACTGAAGTTTCCTTTGAATATTTTGCAAGAGCCAATAAAAAGTTTTAGTTTTGTTCAGAACATTTGGACATCTTCTGGAAAACTTGGTTATAAATACATTTTTAGCAACAAAGCTGCTAGTTTTAAATTTTAGATCAGGATTTGAATACTGTTATGCAGTTTCATTATATTTGGCGGACATGTGCTACCTACAAAGATTGCGTCCAAAGTTCAGTTTTCTATGAAAAAAATTGACTCTAACCAATAAGTTTACCTTGGAGTCCGTAGACACCAGTTCATTTGCTGACGGAGCAATGTTTTTGGTAATCAGTGAATCATGGTTTCTAACGCAACAAGTATTAAAATTTTGCAATCAGTTTAGCATCAGATTTATTTCCAATATTTACTGTAGAATCAGATGACACTTCATCATTATGCAGTGTTTTACAATCAAAGGCTGCAGCTATCAGTTTTCAGCAACTCTCTCTTCACTAATGACTCTATCGAGTCTAGTAAAAACATCAAGTAGAGTTCTTTTGTCTATTGGCGTACAGTGTGGTCCACAAATGTTAGAAAAACTCTGCGCATTCCACCCTGACACATTTATTGAAAGCTTAACTAGTGTTTTGTGGTCTTTAGTGGCATACAGAAATCCCTCAACTGCTCTAATGCATCAATTTTCTTGGCAAAACCTCCAAATTTGCTGCAAAAGCTACTATTACTTAAGCAATAAGAGGAATTCGAAATTCAATCTTTACTGGCCATGGCCTAATGGTAAGGCACTTGACTACGGTGTATGCAATACGCTTGCTATCAAGGGATTGGAGGTTCGAGTCCTTCTGGTCAGGATATTTTTTTTTCTCTCTCTCTCTCTCAGAAAGAGAGTGATATCCCGTGAGATATTTCACTAACGATTTAGAAAAACCCATCAACCGATCCATGAGTCTGGCAAGCAAGTCCCATTGCTGTGCACACACTTTCTTGTTGTCAATATATTTTTATCTGACAATCACGTCAAATTCCACTTTTTCTACGAAATTTGCTGCAAATTCTGGTGCCAAAATTTTTGCCAACTCGCTAAATTTTGGCAATACTCAGTGAAATTAATGCTTCTTTGTAGAAAATATCGGACAGATTCAACATTATCTTTTTTTTTTTATTATTATTATATATAGCTTTTATTCACAATTGGATCCTTTCAATTAACCAATTCTTCAAGCAATCTCTTAGGAGGTCGTGTACCATAAGTTATGTCAAAAAAGATTGATCTAGAAGAAATTTGTTTTTGTGAGGCGCAAAAAAAATCATTCAAATGACACTAAGAAAATATCTCTCAAGCTTTTGCATTTCCTCCTTGTTTTCCCTACACTTTTCCAAACACCAATTATAAATGTCATATTCAGCTATACCTGACCAACCACCGAACTACCCTCCAGCAGGAGAGGAGGGACAGAGTCAAGAGAGACAATTTGGAGATAACGTTCCTGACGATTTTAAATACTCAGTTGATGTAGCTTCATGTGAACTTCCTGTTCGTCAACTATTCATCAGGAAAGTTTATCTGTTGTTAACTATACAGTTGATGGCTTCGGTTCTTGTTGGATATATCGTTAGATCGTCGGACCCCATTTTGAGTTGGACCTTGAACAATCCATGGATCTTGATTGTCAACTTGTTTGCGTCAATTGGGTTTATGGTTGCTGCGTTCTTCAAAGCTAGATCGTATCCAGTCAACTTGGTGTTGCTCGGTGGATTTACCATTTTTGAGAGTTTCACTTTGGGAATCGGATGCGCTTTTGTTGAAAGTACAGTGATTATAGAGGCCATCTTGTTGACATTGATCATATTTATTGGATTGACCCTTTTTGCATTCCAGACAAAGTACGATTTTATTAGTTGGCAAGGTACTTTGGGCATGATATTGTGGGGGTTGATTGGATGGGGATTCATTATGATCTTCTTTCCAGGAAGCAAAGGCGTTGAAAATGTGTACTCGTTTGTTGGGGCAATTGTGTTTAGTATCTACATCATCATTGATACACAAAAGGTTATGAAGACATGCCACCTTGACGATGAAGTAATTGCGACAATTCAATTATACCTTGACATTGTGAACTTGTTTTTGTTCATTTTGAGGTTGTTAAACAATAACCGTGAAAATTAGTATACATATCTAAACAGCCTATTTTCAATATCGGTTTTATCTAGAAATTCAACATCATCGGGAACATTCTCTTGCGCTTGACCTCTATCTCTTTTCCTATTTTCGCGTTTGAGCATCCAGCCAATATACAAAGTCAATGGCACACACAAACATTGCGTAACCAAAATGACAATTTTCGCTGGGTGATACTTTGGAGCACTGTATGCCTGAAACAATTGTGGCCCAATGATATTTGCAACAGAGAACGCAATCATGATCAAAGCAGTCCGCATGAATTTCTTACTCGAGCCAGCAGTATTTGCACCAATCCACGCGTAGATCAACGTGATACACGACGACCCACTGTATAACAAGTAGAGTGCCAACAAGTTGCCAATTTTGTTTGGTGAAATGAGCAATACGATAGCGCCGATGATTGTAGGAAAGAACATTGATGTCAAAAACAAGGTGTGGTGGCCAAATTTAGCAACAAGCTGGGTGGTTGTTATAATTATAATCACAATTAATGCACCAACGGGCAACTGAAGCAAAGCAGACTCGTAATTGTTGAAACCAAACGACAACGTAATGGTGACACTAAACGTTCCAATGGCACCCGTGACTATTTGCGAACAGAGGGTCAAAAGCACATAAAACCAGGTGAACTTGTCCAAGAGAAGTTCTAAAATTTGCCCTCTTTTGAACTTAGAACTCTTTGTCCCAGTTTGATTCACCCTCACCACGTTTTCCAAAATGTAAACTCTTTCACTTTCATTCAAGAACCAACAAGTGTGGACATTGTCAGGTAGAAAGAAAAACACAAAGATTCCAAATGCGACAGTTATCAACCCCATGACCAAGAATAAAATTTGCCACGACTTAAACTTGGTGCTGTTGATATGCTGGAACCCAAAAGAAAGCAATCCACCAATAATTGTACCAACACCAGCCATAACTGACCAAATACCCATGCGCGCCACCTGTTGCCGTTTGGTGTAGTACAATCCACTGATAATGATCAACCCCACGGCACTCGAAGATTCAAATATCCCCAATATAGTTCTCACCACCATCAACGCAGCATACGTAGATGTAGCTGCATGGCATGCCACTACAACGCCCCATAAGACAATGAAAACCCCCATGGTTTTACCCAAGGGGAACTTCTGCAAACAATAAGTAACAAGTGGCTCACCAAAGATGTAAGCAGCGTAGAATATTGTGGACAAGTTGGCAAACTGGTTACCCCGGAGATTCTCCTTGATACCCATAGCAGCCGCATAGTTCAACAACAACTTGTCCAAGTATTGCAAGAGGTATACCCCGCATAGTATTGGTAGGATTATCCAGTCGAGCTTTCGAACAAGCTTAGCATGATTGATATCTCCCACTTCATTGTGTTCTTTGAGAAAGCCCAACGCGTTGTCATAGGAAGTAGAGTCAATGGAGCTGATCACTTCCTTGTCGTTGGACTCTGTATCACCCTTCATATCATTCACTGTAGACGGTGAGAAGCACTTGACTCCTAATGTTGGAAAACTTTTCAATCATGCTTCACAGATCCACTCCAGATTAAACTTCTTTTTTTTTAATTTTTTATTCTTTTTTTTCCCCTTTTGTGCTTCGATGTTTATGCGCTTAGACGATCGATTTGCAACTTTCGCATCTCGATTCTGGTACTGTCTCTAGCTGTGGTTATGGATGAAAACCAGTTATGGTTTCATAAGGCGCAAATGGATCTACACAATCTACCGAGTCTTTCTACTTCTCTTTTACTACCCATAAATAAACTTACACACTCTAAAACACACATAATTAATTAATCCACCCCCGTCTTTCAAATTGATACAATATAACCAACCTATCCAATAAAACTCTTCTAAAACACTTTAACCAATTAAAAATTTTAAAACAAACTCCCCCCCCTAAACATGCTCGAAAAAAAAAAATAAAATAAGGGCAAACAAAAACACTTCCAACAATTAATGAAATCTGAAAACAAAAAAAAAGACAAAATAAAACTGAATAAAACATCCCTTCCATTGAATGCATCAAGATCAAAATCAAAATCAAAATCAAACATAACAAAAGAGGAGTGACACCATCATAATTGAACGTGTCGAACCTGCTCAACCACCGAAATGTAAATTGATTCTACCAGATCTTAGACCCCGTGATAGATATAGGGCCACTGTTCATAGTAGCACTTCTGTTGGTACTGAATAGACCAGCTCCATCGGTATTTTTCGCCCAAATTGATCCCGACCCTGACCCTGTCGCAGACGTGGTGGTTCCACTCGCTGCAATAGAGCTACTATTGCTGGTCCCATTCCAAATATTGCTCTGAGTAGGAGTAGTTGCCAAAGTTGGCGAATTCAGAAACGGCGCCAGGGTCATCGAAGGTATATTTGTAGATAAAAACAAACTTGGCGGCGAGTTCCTGTCAATAGAACCTCTATTTTCAAAACTCTTTGCCGAACCAGAGTCAAACACTCTAGAATAACCGGTTGGCGTTGAGTTTGAAGAAGATGTCGAAGAATTGATGGAATTCGAACTTCCGTTAGACATCAAAAAGTTGTTATTAAACTGTGATTGACCACTGCCTCCAGTTGTGTTTTGATCAAGCAACGACGAGTTCTGCACATCGCCAAACACCTGAGGTGGAGGCTGGGTAAATACCTGAGGATGCTGAACGTTGTAAGAAGTGAAACCTTGCTCCTGAGCTGGACGAACATACCCTTGAAATTTCTGTTGGGGCGGAAAAAATTGATTTCCTTTGATATGTTGCGACTGCTGCTGGAACTGCAGATGTGCCTGTTGCGGCTGTTGTTGATGTTGTTGCTGCTTTTGAATTTGGTGATATTGATATTGTTGTTGCTGCAATTGCTGCTTTTGTTGCTGCTGCTCATATTGCTGCTTCTTTGCCAATGCAGCCTGTTGCTGCAACAAAAATGTTTGTTGTTGCTGGTGCTGAACGGCTGCAGCTGCAGCGACAGCGGCCAAAGCGTACTTGTTCTGCTGTTGCATCTGATGGTGATGGTTGTTGTACCCGTGATGACCATGGTTACCCCTGTTTGTATTATTGTTGTGGTGGTTGAATCTATTTTGATAGGTCTGTTGATATTTGGCAGTTTGATGCTGGTTTTTCGAGTTGTTGAGAATGATCTTATTAATCACTTCCAACTGTTGACCAAACGGAACAGACTCCACTTTTCTCTTGCGGTAGCTAGTGGTTGAGGACATGGTTCCGTAAATGAGGATAAATTACAATTTGAACAAAACAAAGGACAAAGTGAATAAAAACCAAACTCGTACCCGCTAATGCAAAATTAAATTAAAAAAAAAAATCAAAACAAAACAATTCGATATGAAATGAAGATGAAAATGGAACCAAAGCAGGAATTCTAAGACCCACGGCGGAAGTGTTACTCTGATAGGTGTGGTAAGACAATCTATGTGTTACTTCTTTGTCAAGCGTTTGAAAATAATAACCTTCAAGGTTGGTGCGTTGGACTTTTGTTGATATATATAAGTCAATATATATATCTGTACTTCACCTTTTTTCTTTTTTTCAACCTTGTAGTCTCAAAGTTATTCCACCTTTTGCCCTTTGAATAAATATAAATGAATGAAGTTGTGGCTTTTGGGCCTCTTTCGTTGTAGTTTGTTCTGTAATGGAAACTTGATGAAATCTATGCTGGCCAGAGATTTTTTTCTGTCTCTGTCTTTCTTTTCTTTTCTGATTTTCTTTTCTTCTTTGTGCTACTTGAGATAACCACCAATGAAAAATTTTGATTAGAAAAAAAAAAAAAGAGATCACTGTTCACGTGACAAGCTCTACAACCCAGATATTACAAACTTTAGTCATTTCTACAAACTGTTCTAAATATACATCAGTCATACATTAGTAGTGGATGCTGCAGTTTGCCACAGAGGGACGGCAGTGTCTTTCTTTTCTGTTTTCTCTTCTGTTTTCCCTGTCGAATTGCTGGAGGAGGAAGGTAGTTGCCATGGTGGTATTCCTGCACTCTTGATCTTATCGTTGATCTCAGCTTCAGATTTGGCTTGATCTTTCTGCCAGGCAGGAATCGAAGAAGGTAAGCTTGCATTGTCCTTCGAGTCTCCCTCAAGTTCCTCTTCTCTGTGTTTCATTTGCCATGCAGGAATTCCAGCTGACGCAACTTTGCCTACTGACCAGCCTCCCATGCGGCCTGCTGGTAACTCAGGAACATGTGACTCTTCCTTGGCAGCTGGTGTTGAAGAGGGCGTACTCGTTGTTGGTTCATCTGCCAGTGCTGAAGGTTTTTCAGTTGGGACTGAACCACTCGTGGCTGGCGCCTCATTCTTTGCTTTTGCACGTTTCAATATTTCACTCGCGGATGGAATCGACGACACTGGAGCAATGTTTCTACCTGCAGGACTCGAAGTGCCATTTACAGCAGCAGCAGCAGCAGCAACACCAGCACTCGATGAGCTGGTTGCCCTCACTTGAATCAAATTCTTCAAACTTTGCAACTCGTCTTTAAGACCAACTAGTTCATAATTTACATCCTCCTTGTTCAACTTCATATTCTTCTCAATCGAATTACTCAAGTTATCAATCTCCAACCTCATTAACTTCAAATTATCATCAAAGTTAAACTTATCCTTGTTGTACCTGGCCAAGAAATCATTGATATTTTCAATAACTGTATCAATATCTTTCAATTTCTCCTCGTTGGCAGTTTTAATCTCCTCCTGCTCTTTTGACAACTGTTCCAAAATCTTGTCTATCTTTATAAACTCTTCATTGATAACTTCCTTATCTTGTTCAATAGAGGACTGGCTTGGAGGAATAATCGATGGCACAAGATACTTGGTCACTACTTGATACAACCCATATGTGACTCCGGCGGTCGCTGTGGCCATGATGAAATAATCCTTCCATGATCTCTCAGGAACAGGCGGCGCGACGTTGTAGTAATCAATGGGCAACTGTTGCGGGGGCTGTTGAAGTGAGGTGCTTGTTGTGTTACTACTTGATGGAGTGACACTAGTTGATGACGACGACGATGATGATGGAGGTTCATTGACTCTCTTTAATGCTTCCTCAATCTCCTCCTGATTCAACCCTTTGGACTCTAAAAATTCAACTTTCTTGGTTAAAGCTGCTGATGCAACGTTTGGATCCCTTAAAAAGGATACCGCACTATTGATCAACTCTTCGTTCATATCCCCTGGTGAAGAAATGTATCGGTAAATTCCTCTCAATTCTTGTTCTGTTTTTTTTTTTTTCTTTTTTTCTTTTTTTTTACTCCCCACATAAGTAAGCAATTTTTTCTTTGCGCAAGTTCCAGCGGATAAGCATTTACGATTCCTACCAACACAATCATTACAAATACATCCCGATCTCTATACACAAGACACTATGCAAAGTGCTTCCTGACAAAGCTACTTTTGATCAACTCTTCATATATAAACCAGCTAATTCCAGCGCTTACACCTTTTCTCCCCAACCTTAAACTCAACCCTCTGAACAAGTTCTTTACCCCGCCTTCTTCATGCAACAACGTCATCACGGTCTTCCAGAATGACCCCCCATTGGTCAATTGTAGCCTCGTTTTGATAGCATCAAACGGAGCAGTAATCGTCGTGCAAGTAGTTGCCGCCAACACTGCAGCTGTTGAGTTAATCAATCCAGCATGATAATCCCCTCCTAGATGCCGGGGTATCAACGTTGGCAACAAATCATTTTTAAACAGTTCATAAGTTAAAACATATAGTCCTGCATATGGACAATCTCGTATCAAAGTAGCTGTAGAGCCTCGAAAGAAGTTCTTTATTGATCCTTGATTTTGAGACGAGGACATTCCTTCTGGTTGCAAACCGGTTTTGTCTAAATAAACACCCAGAACCCCCTCATACATCGAATTGTAATTGTATAAATTACTTTCAAACCGCGTTTTCAAGACAGTTATAGGCATGGTTATGTAACCAACGATTGCTCTGGCAGCAAATCCGGTGGTTAAATTCTCCATTGGTGTTAGTTTGGGCAAAATTGAAGATTCTGATTTTATGTCAACAGCTCCGTCTCGACTATGCTCCTTTCTGTAAGTAGCCCAAGCAGATCTCATCTTGGATAAGGTTGTAAAGTAAAGCCCTGCACCAATTGATGTACGAAGGGCGGAGGGCAAAGTACCACGCCATAGATCCTTCACTTTTGTTAATTTCCTCAATTCCTTAATTAATGATGTTCTCACTTCATGCTTGCTAGTAAATTGCTGCTGCTGTAATCTTGTCTTCAACAAATCGAACGGTTGTAATGTAATTGCGGAAATGAGCCCAGCAGATGCCCCTGCCAATAAATGAGCTGCTGCATCGGGTGATTTTGCAAGAGGACTCGATTTCGTGGCCAGTGATGGCGAGTCATGGTGGGTGTAGTTCGAAGTTGCTATCGAAGACATCTAAGGGCCATGTGTGAACTAGATTTGTGATTCGAAAGGGGGACACTTGGAGAAGAGATATTTGGAGTGGAATGAGTAGTATAGATATGCCCGAATGGTGGTGTATGGTGGTGTATAGTTCTTTTTTTTTTTTTTTTTTTATTTTCAATCCAAATGGTGTACTCCAGAGTAATGTGTCAAGATGCTAACAAAAAGTTTAAAGCGGTAGAAAAAAAAAAATAGAAAAACAGATTAAAAAGAAAGGGACCCGACATTATAAGAGAAACCAGAGAAAAAAAGAGTCATGTGACTACATGCAGATGATTTACTATTTACCGACTTACCTTAGATTTATACAAATCTAGCAGACTTTTGTCCATCACAAACACAGCATCAATTTCGGATAAATTGTAATTTTGGTGATCCCATAAAGCTAGGCTTGCAAGTGCTAGGCAGGAGTGCATGGGATCTGGCGATGACTCCGACGTTGACGAGAAACCACCGATAACCGTATTCTGCGTACAATTCAAAAGAAACAGCTCTGCTTGAGGTATATCCAAAAGTGACAAGTTTGTTCGCAGCATCAAGTATAAGCTGCCACTACACCACCAAGAATAACAAGTATCGCCAAGTTTATTATCTCGTCCATTGAATCCACCAGTGTCCAGATTTTTAAAGTAGGCGTATATGTTGTCACCGTATAGCAGTTGAGGATAGGATATCTGTCTTTGCAGTAGCCACCTTTGCGTATTGTTAAGCTTTTCAACTGGATATCCTAGTAATGTGAGAGACGCAACAGCGCAAAAGGTGAAACCTAGATGTGCCTCGTCCAAAATCCTCGAGCTAAACCCTCCGTTTACATTTAATCTGCTCAAGATAAAGTCCTGTAGTGATGGTAAATCAATATTCTCCTTGAGATCTCCTTGATAAAGGAGCAATTGCCGCACAAGCAAAGCCATATAGCACTGTCTCAAATCGGGTTCCCCAAAGCCGTACTCGTTGTAAAATGGAACAAACCCTCCTCTACCTGGTCCTTCAGCAACTTGACACTTTTTCAAGTATCTCATAACTTTTGTTCTGTCCAATCTTTTCAAATCCGACTGTAGAGTGATCAAACTAGCCAACGCAAAAAAGCAAGCTGAGATATTTCCGTAATCATAGAATTCTCCTGCACGGCTAAAGTATGCTGTTGACCTGAATGTCGAGTAGTGTTCCCGGTCTATGAAATACAGATCCCATATGTATTTCTCGTGATACGTACGTTCGTCTTTGGAGAGTTGCAACTTTTTCAAAAGTTGTAGTCCTTGGAGACTGAAGAAAATGATTGCCAACTTATTCGAATCCTCGGATGCCGCACTCGAGGGCAAGGCGGTTAGACATCTGTTGAAGAATTTTTCATGTTTAGCATTTAGTAAGGGCATGTAAGCAAGGGAAGGGCGGGATAACCGGGGCAATCCGAATTAGCTGGTGCGGTTTTTATGATACACGTCACATCCCACCATCCACAATTTAATTTTTTTTTTTTTTTTTTTTTTTTTTTTTTTTTCTTCTTCAATAATGTCGCGTTTCGGATGGATGTCATGTCTGATTGTTTCACGACAAGTCCTCGTTGTGGTGAAACGTTTCAAATTTAATTACCCACATGGGGTCAGATGGTCAAACACAGTGTATCCGATTTGAGATTTGTTAATAAACGGAAATTCTAAATCCCAGTACTTCCCGAATACTTCTCTGTCTTACAAACACGTTCAATGTTTTTTTTTATTTTTGGTTTTTTTTTTTTTTTCCTTTTTTCGCTTGTACTGGGTGCAAATGTGTGGGGATATGGCTTGGTTATCTCCGACATCGGCACACCAATTTTGGATATCAGTACGATAAAGATAGCAATGGCAACTTTGTGACTATTCTACGTCACACGTCCGTACCATTAGCTTCGGAAGTTTAAAAAATACCAGCATTGGGAATCTCAATCCAAATTGGGTTTTTTAAAGTGATGTGAATATGTGCAATGGGTTAACGCAAATTTAAAAATAGACATTTATTTTGAAGAGACGAAGTATATGCAGGAAAAGTTATTTCTTCTATAGAGAACCCTCGTGGGCAGATCCCCAAACTTTACACAGTTGGTTTTACAAATTTCATAGAAACTGAGAACGTGCGCCACTTCGTCAAATTTGAGAACATAAGGGGAGTGCATATAGTGATATTGCATGCTTTAGATTCCCCCTATTGTTTTCATACCATTACTGGCATATTTCTATCTGGAATTGGATGAGGTGCCGAAGGTTCAGATGGCTTGAAGCTCAGCATAGCCTCAAAAAATATTCACTTTTCTACTTTCACGATACAATGAAAAGCAATTGGCGGAAGTAAAGTGTCTACACTTTTCGTGTGTGTGTGTGTGTGTGTGTTGGGGTGAGAGTCTGTTGTACTTAGCTACACGTAGCAGAGAGAGAGAGAGGGTATGTATAGCTCATACTCTCCACTTGCATATCCATGTTATGCAAATTTGTGCTCTCTAACCCATTCTTGCCTCCTTTGTTGTTTTGTTAATTGTTTTCACAGAAAAGAGAAAATAAGTGGTAATGGGGATCTGTAACTAGATCCACGATTTTTGCAATCAAATTAGGGTAGGGTCCACTGAGGAAGCAAGAGAGGAGGCGCTACAAGCGAAGTAGTCACTGGACATAGTGTGACAACTACCCAGGGTGCATAGTATAATGAGAATGTGAATGAAATCCTACGCTATAAATTGTTATTGGTTACAACTCGTGTGGTGTGTGAGTGTGAGTGAGTGTACTAGTGTTTACTAATTATACGTAACTTTCAATGTCAAGCGTGTAAAAGCTTTTCTAATTTTGTGTCACATTTGCCATGTTTCTTTTGTATTCTTCAATTGTGTATTCTTTTTTCTTTTTTTTTTTTTTTTTTTGCTTCTCTCTATTTCACAACCACAATTTTTGCCAAAAAAGAAACGCTTAACAGTCACAATATTTTTTAATAGAGCACCCACCCCCCAACTAAGTATACTATTATGCACAATGTTGGGTTATATGAAATAGATACACACACAAATTTCATATTCCTGTGCCTTTTTTTTTATTGTTTTCATACAAGACTTTTGCTATTTTCCGCTAACACAGTTTTACAATCGCGTTGTGTTATGTTTGCTGTCTTGCGCTATACTATAAATAACCGCCTAAATATCCTCTCGACTTACTACCTCAGTACATGTTGATTCTGTAGTTCTCTTCCCACGTTACAAGTAGCTACAATCTATCACAATGAAGGTTTCAACTTTGACAATTATTTGCTCAGCAATTCTTACTGTTAATGCACAAGCATTTGACGGCTCAAAGAAGTTGGGTGTCGTTAAGAGAGCAGACAGTGACTCCGCTGCAGCTACTGCAGGAGGCGAAGACGCAACTGGTTCCGAAACTGGCGCTGAAGATACTGGTTCCGAAACTGGCGCTGAAGATACTGGTTCCGAAACTGGCGCTGAAGATACTGGTTCCGAAACTGGCGCTGAAGATACTGGTTCCGAAACTGGCGCTGAAGATACTGGTTCCGAAACTGGTGCTGAAGAAACTGGTTCCGAAACTGGTGCTGAAGAAACAGAATCAGAGACTGGCGCTGAAGAAACTGGATCCGAAACTGGCGCTGAAGATACTGGTTCCGAAACTGGTGCTGAAGATACTGGTTCCGAAACTGGTGCTGAAGATACTGGTTCCGAAACTGGTGCTGAAGATACTGGTTCCGAAACTGGTGCTGAAGAAACTGAATCCGAGACTGGGGCTGAAGAGACTGGATCAGAAGAATCAAGTGGTGGTGCCGGTGGTGCCGGTGGCGGCTCAGGAGGTTCAAGCACTAAAGCTTCTAGCGGAGGTAGCTCGAGCACTGGTGGAGCAGGCGGTTCCAGTGGAAGCAGCTCTAGTGCCGGTGGAAGCGGTAGCAAGAGCTCTTCATCAAGTGGTAACACCGGTATTTTGGCCAACCCAGGTGCCGGATTGGTTGCTTTCGGCGCTGTTGTTGGTGCCATGTTAATCTAAGAAGTTATCTTTTTTTTTTTTCTTTTTTGCTTATTCAATACGTCTTTACAATAAAGTTAGATTACAGTTTATCTATTTAGTTTAATAATATCCTATTTTCTTTACACTATTGCGTCACCACTGAGCCGGCGAGTAAGTATTTCATATCTCCAAATGCCGTTGCAAAATGGCCAAGAAATCAACATTGTAAGTTATTATTTGAGCTGCGTGTAGTTGTGTGATAATAGAACATATAACTGGTAACTTCTCCCCGTGTGATTTGTCAAGGACAGTACTATAGCAGTAAAACTCATTTTCAAGACCATCAACAAATTCACTCCTCTCTTCAAACAAATTGTCAGCATTAGTTGTAATCTTGTCATACCAATTCACATCAACAAGCTCAAAGTCATTACTACAATGTGGGGGCTTAGTCAAACAGTAATTGTCTTGACCAAATTCGTCCTTTTCATTCAATACAAAGTAGAAATCGGATAGCTCCACATTTAGTCCACAACCAATCAACTTGGTGAATGCTTCCTTCAATGTCCAAAAATGATTGAACTTGAAGTACAGATCAAGTTGTCTCAATTCTAACTTGTGGAAAATCGGTTCAAACTGCTTTTTGTAATCCGTCGATGACACATTTTGTGTCGAATGGGATAAATCTATCCCGATTGGAAACGAATGAAGCGCAATAGCAAAAATATCATTAGATGACGATGAGTTGAATTCAAGACCTTCGATGCTAGGTTTCCCAAACTTGTTGTACTCGAATGAGACTTTTTGAAACACAGGGTTTCCCAATACCTTGTTCAATGCACATCTGGTCAACAAAATTGAGATCAATTGTTTATACCTGAGTGGTGGCCCAAGTTGTTGAATTTTGGCTTGTAGTGGAAGATCACCCAATAACCTCAATGTCAGCTCAAAGTTGAAATCATCCTGGAGAAAGGCATTCAACTCAGGGGTGACTCTCGTAATTACAACAATTATGTTCTTCTCAAAGTCATGGAGTTGATTCATTCATGAATAGTGTGGGTGATCTTTGATAAATGATTTTGTTTGAAAATCAGTCTGGTCAAATACACGACCAAATCTAGTTGCAAACGAATTTTGCACTTTCATTACACACAACTCAAACTTCGTGAACTAAGTTAACCTACACCATACTCAAGTAAATCTGGATTCACAAGTGCGGAGTGGGGGAGGAGGAGGCTTGACTTGATCCATGCTTACCAAATGCGAACCCAGAAAATATGACTACGAGACACTCTTACACACGGGCTATTTATTCTCAGCAGTGTAAAATTTGAAATTATGAGGCTCTTCAAAAGGATGCTTCTGAGCATATTCGAATGCTTCCACAATAACTTTCTTTGCTTTTTCAAATGACTCTTGAGAGATTTGGTAATGGAACGAGACCCGTCCCGAATATATCTTGACTCCGTATTTGTCACTGATTTCAACCAACTTGCTAGGATTGATCTTGTTAGCAGCAACGTCAACAAATACAAAATTTGTATCCACTGGATGTTCCAAAATGATTCCCTTTTCCTTGCACAATTGACCCAACTCTTTTGCCATTTCATGAGTTTTTTGCAATTTTGAAAAGTTCTCATCGATTGCTACAATCGCCATGCTGGCTAGTAACCCACTTTGTCTTACACCCCCACCATTTTGTTTCTTAAAGTGGTTGGCTTTCAAGATAAATTTTTTATCTCCAACCAACACCGTTCCAATTGGTGCCCCCAAGGTCTTTGACAAGCACAATGATACACTATCGAAATATTGACTGTATTCCTTCAACGAGATCCCCGTTGCCACACTTGCGTTCCATAATCTTGCCCCATCCAAATGTAACTTGACATCGTTTTGTTTACAAAAATTGGAAATCTTTTTAATTTCGTCCAAGGGGAAAATCATTCCATGTAATGTATTCTCAAGACAAATTAACTTTGTTGGCGCACCATGAATTTCTCCATCATCAGGGATAAAGTTGGGCAAGATGTCATCGTCTAATGTTAAGTGAATGCCGTTCTTGGGCTTGATTGGTTGGGCCATTGCTTGTGTCAAAGTTGACATTCCTCCAGCTTCATGAACGTAAACATGTCCACGGTAATCACACAATACACTATATGGAGGCTGCAACAAGTTTACTCTCATGGCCAATTGATTCGATAAAGTTCCACTCACACAGTACAAACCCGCCTCCTTGCCAGTCATTTCAGCAACTTTCTTCTCCAACTCAATGGTTTTGGAATCCTCGTTGTAAACTGCATCGCCAAGCGTGGTTGTGGCCAACGAGTTGATCATGGATGCCGTTGGCGTAGTGAACGTATCACTGCGGAAGTCATTGTGAGCAGGGCTCTGCTGAGTAAACACTGATAAATCCATCTTTGAAGGGTAAGAGAGGGGCAGGTCCAGTGCTGACTCATTTGGAATTCCTTCCGAATTTTTAATGCCGTTCAAATAACAGGTAGCGCCGTAGACAAAGTCCGAAACAACGCCCTCAAGATTAGTATGCATATTTCAGCACAATAATTGTTCAATTGATGATTGTGTTGTCGTGTTTACTAAAGTTCTTCATAGAATCAAGAGACGAATTGGATTGAAGAGCATCTACCACTGAGAACTGTTCCTCGCAATACATATCTTTCTTCTCCTAGCGGGTCGGTTTAGTATAATGCACCTTTGGTCCCCTCTATATTTCGATCTGTTAGACGCCATGACCCGAAAGAAAGCTGATGTCTGTTAATCATATTTGGTTTATGGAGGACCCTCCCCCACTCGGAATTTTTGTTCGCATGAATTTCCTAATTCGAATATTAGATGCGCTCAACAAACGAAATAGGATAAAGTAGAATTCCACTCAAATTGATGTATAAATTCCTATTCAGAGTTCTTTAAATTCGACTTTCTGCTATGTCTTTTCCATACATATCCGCAATAGCTTAACTCCCTCAGCTACTTGATAGACAAAAATCTACCCCACCTCTCTACCACAGTGATGTCAATTCCTTTAGAACAACAAGTTACTTTACCAGACGGACAGAAATTCGTCTTGCCTACTGGTTTATTCATTAACAATGAATTTGTCAAATCCAAAAGCGGTCACACTTTAGAATCCATTAATCCAGCTACGGGAGAAGTCAATGGTTCCGTTTACGCAGCAGAAGCAGAAGATGTTGACGTTGCAGTTGCAGCAGCTAAAGAGGCTTTTAAATCTTGGAAAAAAGTGACTGGCGTGGAAAGAGGCATTTTATTGAACAAGTTGGCAGATAAATTGGTTGAACAAAGAGATTTGTTGGGATCGATTGAAGCTTGGGATTCGGGAAAGACTAAGGAGCAGAATGCTGTTTACGATATTGATGAATGTGTTAGTTGTTTTAGATACTTTGCGGGATGGGCTGATAAGATTACTGGGAAAGTGATTCAAAATGATCCCAAGAAATTGGCCTATACTGTTCATGAACCATTGTCTGTAGTCGGTCAAATTGTTCCCTGGAATTATCCATTGGCAATGTCTGCTTGGAAATTGGCCCCAGCTTTAGCTACTGGTAATGTTGTTGTTTTGAAAACTTCTGAAATTACTCCGTTGTCAATGTTGTATGTTGCTCAATTGATTAAAGATGTTGGTTTCCCACCCGGGGTCGTCAACATCATTTCAGGTTATGGGAAGACCGCAGGTACTGCATTGTGTAAACACCCTGATGTTGCCAAGATTGCATTCACGGGATCCACAGCAACTGGTAAGTTGATCGCCAAGATGGCAGCTGATACCATGAAAGCAGTCACTTTGGAGTGTGGTGGTAAATCACCTTTGATTATTAGAGCAGATGCCGATTTAGATCAGGCAGTGAAATGGGCAGCTATAGGTATCATGTCGAACCAAGGTCAAATTTGTACTGCCACTTCTAGAATTTATGCCCATGAATCAATTTACGAAAAGTTTGTTTCTGCGTTATCAGCTCATGTCCAACAAGAGTACAAACAGGGTGGTATGTTTGATGGAGACGCTATTGTTGGGCCACAAGTTTCGGAGCAGCAACGTGACAAGGTATTGAAGTATATCGACATTGGTAAACAAGAAGGTGCTAGAGTTGTATTGGGTGGTGAAAGAAACACTGAAGGTGATTTGTCAAAGGGTTTCTTCATCAAGCCAACAATTTTTGCCGATGTCAAACCATCAATGAGAATAGTTAATGAAGAAATTTTTGGTCCCGTGGTTTCTGTTGGTAAATTCAGCACAGACGAGGAAGCCGTCAAATTAGCCAATGGTACTGAATATGGATTGGGTGCTGCTATATTCACTAATGACTTAACTGTTGCACACACAATGGCATCTGATATTGAATCGGGTATGGTGTGGATCAACTCGTCCAATGACTCTGATGTCCATATTCCATTTGGTGGAGTTAAGATGTCTGGTGTTGGTAGAGAATTGGGTGAGTATGGTTTGGATATGTATACTCAAGCAAAAGCCATCCATGTCAATTTGGGCACCAAATTGTAAAACGGGTGGTGACTGTATATACAAGTTGGTGAGTAAAGCATACTTTTATAAAGTACTATTGAGAGGTCTTTGTTAATTTATATGCTGTAGCATTGTTCTGGAGTCATCGAGAGCTGCATCACACCTTTGCGGTTGCCTTAATCACAATGCAGGTTCTAGGTAGACAAGGCATTCCATTGCGTTCACAAACATAGTGAGTATCTCTCTCTCTCTCCTTTCAGAAGACCATAAGCGAAACTGGCGCATCTTCAACGTACTGCGGCAAAAGGGGGCCTGTGCCTGATAAATGCGAACTCGTAAAAGAGGCTATAATTGGCTCGATTTTACGAAGTTACGACGCCATCACAACAAGAGTTCTATCTTTTGTGAATAAGAGTCAATCGGAGTAATGACTTCTCTTCCACTCTTGTGAAGTGTGTTTGACATAAGATCCAGTGTTGTAGAAAACTATGAATGTTTATTTAATCCATTGAGAAACACTTGCCAAAAACGGGTCAAAGAATCGAAAAAGTTACTTGTTCAGGTCCATAAATCGTCAAGTGGACCAATAATTACTTACCTGTTATTGGACAAACCACTTTACAAGCTACAAAATTTTCACATGATTATCTTTGTTAGGGCTTCTGCATCAATTGCAAAATCTGAAACCTCGACGAGACACAAAAGTCCATGAAAGTTTAGAAAAAAAATGGTGCAGTTGGAACAAGTTGTCTCAAGTGGCGAAGCACACGACTGCACATCAATAAGCGCTTCGCTATTGGGTTCGTTGTATGCTTTTGTATCGACCAAGGTTTCTTTCCTGCGCAAAATAGAGTAGAATCATAGCAAGGATGATGATAGTAGTAAAGTCTTAGGTAAAAGAAAATTGAAGTTAAAAAGTTTAAATGAGTGAAGCAGACACAAAGGTTTTTTTTCAAGCATATTACGATATTATAATAAATCCTTCCTTTATTTCAACAAACTCTCATACATCCAACTTACATTAAGGCAGAATCTCATACACATATACCACATAGACACTATTCCTTAACAATAAATAACTGCATCAACATTTGCTTTTGCCTGATAGCATTTTCAGAGATAGGCACATTGACAAATCTCAAGATTGCGGAATAAAAATCGGCAACGTGTTGTCCCCAATCTCCGCCCCATTATTCATTTCTTTTTTTTTTACGAAAAAGATATACAGATTCATACACTTAAAAAAGTTATCCCACAAGTAGAGTGGTCATCTTGCCATGTCAACGGCAAAATCAGCACAGCAGCTATTGATCAGTCAGTTGTATTTGTATCTCAAGAGTAATGGCCTCGATGAAACGGCTCAATCCTTGCTCAAGGAGACTAAACTGACGCAACTTTCCCAACGACAGCAAAATGAGTTGCTGACAGACGACGAGTTCTTGTACGAATGGTGGAATACGTTGTGGAGTATGCAGAGTTCGATAAACCCACAGTTAAATCAGGTGCTCAACGCTTACAATATACCGTCTCCGCAACAGCAACTTCTTTTACAGCAGAGGATGATTCAGAGACAACAACAACAACAACAACTGCAACAACTGCAGCAACTGCAGCAACTGCAACCACAACAGTTTGATCTCCACAGGACTCAACAACAGGTGCAAAGTACCCCACAAACGTTTCCTCCTCAACAGTCTCGACCAGGACCTTCATCGCAGCAAGACAATTCGTCGGTTCCCCCCACGCCACAGACAGAAAAACCACTGGGGCCTCCTATAGGCATCTCACGTCAACCAAGTAAACAGCCGGAGTTGAGTCAGGATGGACCACTGCGAAAGCGGCCACAGCAACAACAAAAGGGGCAACCACCACAGCAGCGGCAGCAGCAACAGCAGCAACCTCCCCCTCCTCCATCGCAACAACAACGGAGAAAATCGAATGCTAGAGGCAAAAACCAACCGGATGGCGCCGATGGGCCTGGTCCTGCCAACTCTCAAAACTCACCTGCAAGCACAAGCTTGTCCAAATCCAACTCCCAAGCTAGTTCTAACAACTTAATTCCACCAAACGTAAATCAGGTACAGCAGCAAGCAAGACTACAACATTTGAAACAACAATTTCAACAGCAAGCACTCATGCAGCAGCAGTTACAACAACAAGCGCAGCTTCAAGCACAGCAAGCTCAACTACGAGGTATCAATGTATCTAGTAGTAATAATATGAACCAAAATGCCCCAGTTGGTAACGCAACAAACAATTTGCAACAATTTACACCGCAACAAGCACCAAGACCACCGTCATCACAACAGGGCACTGATATTGACCGGGCGTCTGGTGCATACCAAAATGCCACTCAAATACAGCCAACACCAAACGCACCCACCACACAACAACCACGACCACCACCACCACCACCGCCGCAACAACAGCAACAGCAACAGCAACAGCAACAGCAACAACAACAGCAACAACAATATATGGAACAAACGCAGGTACCCAATTCGTTCGGTCAACCTATAACCAGCGGTGATCAAAATCAAGGACCAGCTTCGCAGTCCAATGCAAATTTTAAAAATCAGCCATCAATGTCGCAAAGAAATATTCAGTCTCTTGACGCTTACCAGATGACATTGTTACAGATGGAGAATCAAAATAATCTACAAAGGCAAAGGTTTTTACAACAGCAACAACAGCAGCAACAACAACAACAAATACAACAGCCACAGCTGCAGATAATATCAAGCTCCGTACCACAATCACAAACGCAGATTGTACCCACTGGTGACGACAGTGGTCAGTTAGACGCGTTGTTTTCATTAAACCAAACGCTGAATTTTCCTGTGGGTGGTATTCCACCAACAAGCTCACAATCGCAACAGTCACAACATCCACAACCCATACCCGTGCCAGCCGGACAAACAGGACCTGTAGGACCCGGAGGCACGAGACCAAATATTCTACCAGGACAACAAGACATACCACAAGATCAAGTTGCAGGACAATTGCAATTATCAACGGGAGACGGTGTCTTTGACGACTCCATCTTCCCTTCAAGCACGTTGCTTGATGAGTTTAAACCTTCGGATATTGACGTTGATCAAGTGTTTGGTGACCATGAAATCGGAGTCAACCACAATCCTACCAATGACAACGGTGAAGGAATGATGGGCCTTGATTCAAAGTTGGGTGAAGTTGGGGATACCTTGCGGAAAGATTGGTTGAGCTCCATGGGCTCAGGACCAGGTTTTGACTGATAGAGACGCTATTTTACTACTAATGATTGTGTAGAGGATGTGATTGTGATGAATACAGCGTAGAAGATAAAATAGACGAGGTGATGGACCGTATTTCCTCGGTTATTAATAATTGCAGCCGGTAGAATCTACCCCACATTCTTTGTTCAGGTGTTGTTTTTGTTTTTGTTTTTTGCGCACTCTTACAGGGGTTACAACTTTGTTGAGTACTAGTAACTCAGATGCAAACAGATCAGAAATAGACGAAAAGGAAAAGAAAGCAGTAATGTGATGATACTAAGGAATGTATATTTATATGTATCGGTTGTTATCAATCATATGACATTGTACACGAGTATAAGGAATGCGTAGTTAGCTTTTACTGTTTTCCTTTTTTTTTTTTTTTTGATCAAGTGTACACTACCAATCAAAAAATCCAAAACATACACAAAAGGTTAGACTGTTTCTTCTTCCTCTGATCTTACATCAATCACATCAAACACAAGCTGTTCAAGTGTAACCTCTTAGGGCAACAAGTGAAGGGGGGAGAGAGAATATATGTATCCCAGCTGGACTGAGCTTATCAAACACAGAATTTTAGAAGCTTCAACAACATTGCAACTATTCGTTCAAAAGCTAGCACCTATCAAGTGAAGTGGGTTTTTGTTATCACAAACCACATTGGTCTAAAGGGTCCCAAAAATATCCATCCTTTCACCCTAACGCAGTTGCCGCGTTACCACTTACACCACAATGAACTTTGACAGATTCAACCCACTATCGAGTAATTTTATTTACAAACAGACAGTCACAAAAGAGCCACAACAAGATGCAAAACTTAATTCTAATTCAGACATGAGTGATTGGGGGATTGATGAGGACCTTGCCACTCCAACATCTGCAGAAGGTACCGCAACATTCTCGAATTACATGTCTCCCACCGGATCATCGTCTGCTACTGTTCACACAAATCCCATACAAGCGCCACCAACATTATCAAATCGACAGCTGAGCTATAGCAATCACAGTTCGACTACGTTTATGCACGACGAGACATTTGTTCCACCGCTTCCTACATTTTCTCAGCACCAGAGCCTCCATCATCTACAACTGCCACAATCACATTCACAACCGCATCTGCCATTTAAAAGAAGGGGTTCGATAAATCTGAATTCGTCGCTGCAGTTTAATCCACATCCCAGTCTACATCAATCGTTGAGCCACCACCAACTACATCGATCACATTCGAATGCTAGTCAGTTGAACTTGCTACAGTATTGTCAGCACTCGGGAAATGTTCTCTACCCAAACACAGAAACCTTGTCCAAATTTGTCCAGAAATATTTATCAATGGAGCATCTACTGGCTGGATTCTGGGAAAAGTTTAAGTACAATCTCATTATATCAAACTTACTCGAGGATTCAATGATCCTTTCCAAAAATGAGTCGAGCTTGCAACTACTAAATTCCAACCAAACTTCCAATTCAACGAAACATTTGAAATTTTCCATCAATGATGATGGTACACGATTAACTATCTTGAACACATCTTATAACCTCAAATACAACTATCGCTACAACAACTTTTCAGCGATATTACTTGTTATAAATTTGATTATCTATTTACTAAAGCAACAACAGTTTGCTTACTTTGGCCAGCTACATATGAATCAAGAGTCTCAATTTTCCATGTTGAAATTCATTATTGTTGCTTCATCCAAATTAATCAAAGTTCGGAAATTTAAAACAATTACTGAAACGACCAAAATACTAGACTTGTTGAAGGATTTTTTGAGGTTGAATTATATTGCCAATAAGAATTTGATACTCAGCATGGTCAAACTAAAAGGCAAGGAATTGGATCAACAACAAGGAAGTGCAAATGCCACTCATTTATTAAATTCTTTGTCGTTTTTGAACTTGTCATTGAAAAGTGTGGTTGTAAAACTCCTTCCACATATGAATGGCGATCTATTTCAGCAACATTCTAATGTAAACAATATCAATGTGAGCATACTAACACAAAATTATGACCACGAAGGAGACCAGGATGATGATCTTGCGGAGGTTATTTTCAGTATCAATAAATTCAATCAACTAAGGAAATTGTTTATTTGTCAACTAATAACCTTGAACGAAAGCGCACAAAGCAATTTCTTTCTTTTGAATCTTATGGATCAATTCGAAATTGAAGAAACAGTAAGTGACTTGTCAACCTTTGAAAAATTTCAGCTTGTACATGATGTGCTATCTGATCACAACGAGTCAATAAAAACCATCAATAAAATGTTCTTTAAGCGCGAGGTTGTTTCGCAGCTGGATAATTTGCAAACTAAACCTACAGATGAGGACATTACCACTAATCTACACCTGAGTTTGTTTCAATTCACATCGAGAGTCCACAAGTTTGCAAACAATTTGAGCTATTTTAACAAGTATAACCAATCGCTTAGTCGAGAGAATATAGACGAGCAATATGAAAAATTGGCCATTTTCCAACAATTTAACGACGAATTGAATCAACTCAAGTTACTTCACAAGCAAACTTTGCAAGAGCTCAACCAAGAAGTGAATCCCGATTATGCCATTGTAAACTCGCCCAGATCAACAGTATCATCATCGCCTCAACTAAAGCAAATTTCGTCCTTCAATCTCAAGTCATTTAATAATTCATCAATAAAGAAGCGGTTTTCATTACCATCAAGTGTGTCAACCTCGGACCTGACTACAGCTAACGGCAATTGTGATGGAGTATTGACGGCATCACCCACATTGACAACAACAAAGTCGTTACCCGAGAGCAATGAGAGGCCCTTGACAAAACCCAAAAAGTATAAGCGGTTATCTACGGGGCTACAGTTGGGACTTCTAACTGTGTTTGAAGAGAATGGGGATCGTCCTTTGCTGAAGGTGTCTTCCAATGACAATCGAAACTCCACTTCCTCATTCACCTCACAACCAACAGCAACCATTCCTGCAACAGTACCTGCAACCGCCTCTCCGCGGTTGCTCCCCCCTGCAAAAGTCTCCTATGATGACAACTACATAAATATTCTCCCAGAACATCAATTTGAAAGTTACAACAAATCTACATTAGATCAATTGATATCTAGCAAAGTCAAGAATCGAAATTCATTGCAGAATCGAAACTCGATCAATATGAGCAGCCGGTTTTCATTAAACTCGGTCCAGAGTAACGTTTCTGGGATATCTGATTTGATTTCAACGCAGTTGACGAGCTTCAATGGTGGAGAAGGAGAAGAAGAAGAAGAAGAAGAAGAAGAAGAAGAAGAAGAAGAAGAAGAAGAAAATCATTGTAACCATGCTGATAGAACTAATTCTGAATCAAATTTGGAACTAGCCAATACTCAAGTGGGGCAAGTACAGCAATCACAACCGAGGGAATTGAATGATGATTCATTAGTGACTGAGAATTTCGATCCTGGTCAATTGACTCAGGAGGAATTGAAAATGAAGCTCGAGGCTAGTTTTGCCAAAATTCACAGTTTGGAAGCTGAAAATAAGAAATTGAGCAATGAAAAGAATAGCAGTGGTGGTGGTGGTCGTCGTAAAAAAGCCAAGGACGGTGTCGTTCTTCATGATATTACTAATGAGCAGCTACAACAACTCGTTGAAAGTCAACCTGGTGTTCCCGATACTGCATTCCTCAAAAGTTTGGAATCGAAATTGAGTATGAAATGATTACTGTGCTGTGTTATAGAACAAAAGCAGCATGTTAAATACTTATAGTTTGCAATAAACATCTATAATATGTTAATATAAAAGTAATAAACATTACAATAATCATTTCCAATAGATCTATATACTTATTATTGACATATCCTTCAGCCCACTTGCACTAATTGCTTGACTCGTCATTACCATCACCAAGTAACAAGAAAGCAGCATCCTTCTTCGAGTTCTTGGTTTCTTCCTTACCACCAGAGCCACCAGAGCCACCAGTAGTCTTACCCTCCATAACAACCTGCTGCACCTGTTCCTTCTGCTTAGCACGATCTCTCATCCTCTCCTCAATCGTGTTTCTCGTCAACAATCGATACACAGTAACTTGACGCGTTTGACCCAACCTATGCGCACGATCCATAGCTTGTGAATCAATGGTTGGGTTCCAATCCGAATCGTAAAAAATGACCGTGTCAGCGGCAGTCAAATTGATACCTAAACCACCGGCTCTCGTGCTTAGCAAAAACACAAAGATTTCCGGCTTGGTTTGCCAGTCGTGGACCAAGTCTCGACGATCATCCAATTTGGACGATCCATCGAGTCTGATATACTTGTGTTGACGATACGTGAGGTATTCTTCCATCAAATCCATCATTTTGGTCATTTGGAAGTAAATGAGGACTCGATGGTCGTGTTGCTTCAAATTGACTAATAGTTCATCCAATTTGGCCAATTTGCCAGACTCGGTAATAAATCTATCCATTGACGGCATACGAATGTTGGAGTAATCGATAAACTTGTTGATGGGGTTGGGTAACATGTTGGTTGGCGGGTACCGATCCAAGGGGATTTGGTTTTGCATGTATCGGTACTCCTCGTTCAATGACATTGGTGCTAATGCAGACCGGATTTTAGGGTTGAATAGTTCTTGGTTATATTGGTTGGTGAAATTGGTCGAGGAACACGTGACTGTCACTGGTGGGGCAGATGCTACTGGTGCATAAGCAGGGTCCATTCGATTCAAGTACATTTCGTCATAAACTGGCTTTGAGACTGAGCAAAGTTCAGTTAATACAGGGGAATTCGCAACATTTGAAGACTCCTGTGTCAACTCATTGTCATTGGCAATGAGTAATTTGCAATGCTTTGGGACGTAGTCTCCTTCGTATAGGTAATTTACTCTGTCGAGTTTTGAGCCCGTGGTGTAATTGTGTGAGTCAATTGCACGCTCGATAGTATTGGATTTGGCAACAGCTTGAATCTCACCCAAGGACACACCTATTTCGTTAGTCCATCCTAAACTTTTTGTATTTTCGGGGTTGTAAATATTGAACTTCTCATACAACGAATCCAATGTATTTTTGCCATAATTGGGGGTCAATAACTCATCATAAATTAGCCTAGGTAGACCAAATTTGATCTCATTCTCGGTGGAGTAGCTGTACTCCAACTCGTTTCCCTCTCTCAAAAACGAGCTAGTTTCAGCAAATTTACCAAAAGTAAAAGGCGACCTCACATCGGCTCTTTCAAACAAGTCAGGATGGTTACAAACTTTCCTAAATTGCATCACTAAATTAACCAACGATGTCGAATCTTCGGAGTTGGAGTTTGCTGCATCCAATAAATCCATAATAGAAATTTGAGATTTCAACATTTGGTAATACTTCTTTTGTCTATTTGTTAAATCACAGAATAAGTCAATCTCAACTTTATCACCCAATTCACTTTGAACGTTCTTCTTAATACGTCTCAACATAAATGGTTTCAAAATCATGTGTAATCTTCTCAATTGCTGTTCATCCAAACCGGTGTTTGATTGCGCATGACTTTCGATATCCTTGGAAAACCAATCACTAAACTCATCATGCGAATCAAACAACGTGGGCATAATGAAATGCAACAAAGCCCACAACTCTTGCATGGAGTTTTGGATGGGTGTACCTGTCAATAACAACCGATTACGACAGCTCAATGACAAAAGTGACTTCCATCTGGAAGATTGAGAAGACTTGATAGCCTGTGCTTCATCTAGAATCATATATTGCCACTTCATTTTTTGGAAATAAGCAATGTCTGACACAATTAATTGATAGGATGTCACCAAGACATGGAATGGTGCATCCTTGTCGTATCTCAATGACTTTCTATCCCAAAACTTACGCAACACCTTACGATCTTTTGCATGGCCCCAGTACGGTAAAACTTTGAACTGAGGCACAAATTTGGAAATTTCTTGTTGCCAATTGTGTAATGTCGAAGAAGGAGTGACTACCAAGTAAGGCCCCCATATATTGTGAGTCTCTGCCAAATATGCCAACACTGAGATACTTTGAACAGTTTTACCTAACCCCATCTCATCGGCCAAGATACCATTAATACCCTGTTCGTACAAATTGGCCAACCAGTTCAACCCCTTGATCTGATATTCTTTCAATGTGCACTTCAACATCTTTGGTTGTTCGATGCTAATGTCACCGAGTAATGTAGGGTTCTGGAAGTTCATTTCTTCCCCATTCGTATCAGGATTCTTGAATGGTTCTGAGTCGTCAAATTGTTTGGCCTTATTTTGAGCACTGACCAATGCATTTTGTGCATTTTGTGCGGCTGCTCTATGTAATGCGTCTTCATCGTCATTATCGAAATCCAACGAATGGATATCATTTTGTGCTGCATCAACGTCAGCAAATTTGTCCAAATGTTCTTTTGATTGTGCTTTTATTCTTGGGTCTGAGTCTGCACCTTCAATTTCATCAGTTTTGATCTTTTTACCAATGAAATGAGAATACAATTCTGTTTGAGTAATCAAAAAGTTTAATTTTCTTGATTGACGTTTAGCTTCACGATCCTCTTCTTCTTTCTTGGCTTTGTCAGTCAATTCCTTCTCATGTTTCTTCTTCAACTCTCTCTCAATTCTTTCATTACGTTTCCAGAAATTGAACATTTCCCTCATTGCCCTCCTAGCTTTTGTAGTTAAATCTTTTTGATTCTTGGTGTTTCGCAATTGCCATCTCTTGGCCTCCCTCGCAGCCAAAAGACACGTCTTTTTCAAGTTTATCAATTTCGCTTGAGTTGATTGTTGCATCAATCTGCTAACTTTTGGTCCATCTTTTCGTGACATGTCCTTCCATATAGAAATGTATGTAGTATCATATTGTCTCATGAACGCTTTCTGCTCCTTTGACGTCATGCTCGATGCCTGTGCCGACTTTTGTTTGCCATCTTGTTCTACTTTAACTCTCTTGAGGTCACCTCCTGGCTGTGGTGTTGTTCTCTCCTCATCTTCATCTTCATCAAACAACAGATCGTCATCAAGCTCTCCACCGTCATAATCATATGTCTTTCTTTTAGCCTTTGGACGACTGCTTCGCCTAACATTTAAATCCATAATTTCCTGTGGAACAGAGGATTTTGGTCTAATGGGTACAGGTCCATTCGAGCCGCTAGATGATGTAGAAGTCTTGGCATAGTTACCACTGGTGAAAGTGTTGCCGTTGGCTGCTGGTTGCTCTTCAGTTGGTCTCTTTTTCCTTGACTTGTGATCAACCTTGTGGATCTCTCTTGTTGACCCCCATTTATACTCTTTACCTCGGGTGCTGTTGTGATGCAAAGGCTTGGAATAGTCTATAAGAACCAATTCCTTGTTTTTGTTGGTGTCACTAATCTTGTTTGCTCTAGATGAAATATCTTCAGCAACAACGCGGTCAATGTAGTTTGCTGCAAATTGATGGGTGTTGACCAAGTAGTTGTTTAGTTTTGCTTCATCAAACTTTAGCAACTTCAAGTCATGGCTCAACCTTTGGTATTTGTCCAACTGATTGATGATGTTGATGTTGTTTTCAAAGTTTGATTTGTACTGTTGGTCGATTTTAGGGTGAGGATCTGAAAAATCAGGCAACACGTTGTCTGATGGTAATATACTCGATACTATTGATTCATTTTTCGACAACGTAGGCAAGGACATGTGCTGCTGGGGTTGGCCATTACCATTTTGGTAGTAGTGGCTGCAGAAGGGTTGAGACTGTGCTGGAGCAATGCGTTGAAAACTTTGTTGCTGTTGATGCTGGGCAATGCCCATCACACCGTTCGTACCATGTCCCTCGTGAGAAGGGCCATTGTAGTTGGGTAGTGGTTGTTCTTGTGTTTGTAGCTTTGTTGGCTGTGATGATTGCTGTGATTCCAATTCCTGTGCTTGTGCTTGTGCTTGTGCTTGTGCTTCTTGCGGTGGCTGTTGTGGCGATGGTGGCACTGTTGTACCGCCATCATTAGATAGCATAGACAAAATATTCATCTCTTTTACTTCTGTTGTATATATATATGGATAGGGTTTACTCTGTCCGTCTGGTGTTGAATTTACCAGTAAGAAAAGTTTTTTGGTTTGTTGTAAAATTAGTTTGATTGATTGGTGAAAGTACTGATTTGTAGTATTGTTGTTGTTGTAGTAATAGTTGTCGTTCGCTTATACTATCTATATAGAACTCTCGATATAAAACTCTTTTAATGGTAAGATGGTTGGTTGTTGCTTACTAAAGAGAAATCTTTTACTCTTGCCTTTCTGTCTCTCTCTCTCTTTGTCTGTTGCTTCCCATTAAATCAAATGGCGACGCATGAGAGAAGGAGGCGTGTCTGTGTGTATATAACTTTGTTCTGTTGTTGTGTGTGTGTCTCTCTCTCTCTCATTCTCACTTGGTCAACAAACCTCATATAATTTTATCACACAATCAAAAAACCAAATAAATGCAAAAACAAACTGAAATTTGTTTGTAACATGCACAATAATAATAATAATAAAGAGAGAGAAAAAAAAAAATTTCTCCTACAAGTTGTATGCAGTACTGTACTATTGAGTGCATATATACGCATAGACTACAAACATTTATGATGATGATGATGATGATGATGATGACAACGAAGACGATGACGGTGACGATGACGTTGTAATAACATATATCCTCAGTTTCTTGCTCTTCTTACTCGTTACCCTTTGCTTTCTGATTCTTTCTACAGTGAAAAATCCTTTTACAATGAATCGGCAAAGAGGCAAAAGAGAAAAAAAAAAATTCTGTTCAAATTCCCTCACTCGAATGTCTGTGACTTCAGACTTTTGTCATTTTAATCAGAAATCTAATTGGTGGAAGATTAAACAACGTGCCTAACTTAGGAAAGCAGAAAGCAGTAACGAAATATTTACAAAGAATGGATAGCATTGTAGACAACAACCACGCTTATTGAAGTAAGAGTACACGTCAAGATTCCCGATTTCCGGTTCCCATGAAAAGTGGATTAAAGGCTGGTAAAAATCTGGTGATATATCAACCATCACCATCAGAATCTCTCATTACATCTTAAATGTCCACTTGAACCAAGTGTTTGTCTTGATGCAATTAAACGACACTTGGTTTCAATTTCTTTATATCCGTATCACTTTCCTAACTTGTGTAACCCGTGAATCAACCTAATTAATAAAAAGCCCTCATAACAACATCAACATTGTGAGAGAGAGAGAGAGAGAGAAAAAAAAAAAACTGGCGACTGATTCTTTTCTTGCGTCACGTGGATATCCCACTATTCGACGGCGGGGGGGAATTCCATTCCATTTAATAGTTCAAGGCAATATACTCGCACTCAATTCCTTACACACCACCACCACCACCACCACCGCATATCACTCCATCTAATATCGCTACACCACAATGGGAATCGATCATCCAGCTTTTACTTTGTCAGGACTTTGTGCCGTAGGTGGCCTTATGGGTTATTTCCGTAAAGGCTCAGTGCCTTCTTTAATTGGAGGATTAGGAGTTGCGACACTTTACGGAGTATCCGGTTACTTGTTGAACCAAAACGCCAATTATGGTATTGAATTGGCCTTGGGTACTAGTTCCCTTTTACTTGCTGCTGGGTTGTCGAGATCTGTCTCAACTGGGTTTAAAAAGCCTGTCCCACTTGTATTGCTCGCTTTAGGAGGAATTTCAACTGGATACTACGCCAAAAGTTATGCAGACTTTATGTAAGTCCAGATTGTACATAGACAACACTTACATGGAAGGTGACAGCCTCCTCAATCAAAATTACACTTTTTATATTACTCTATACTTATACATTATAATGACGTATCAAGATGTAGGCGTTTTCTTGTTTCAAATTACTCAACGATCTATACCCACCTTCCAATCTCATCAACAACCCACCAAATGAAATATAAACCGACATCTTGTCATTATCAGCATTCTCTTCAAACTTGTAAACAGTCCCATACATAACATAGTCGTAATCATCTGCCAATGACCTCTCCCCTTGCTTTGGTGGCCTCCATGATCCATTTGAGGTAATCATTGAACTTTCATTGCCTAGCGTTGATGCCAAAGTTATCGTTAACGAGTCGTTATCTTTTACAGGGAACAACTCACTGTTTATGTCCAATGTGATTGTAATGTCCTTTGAAGTTAACGAATGACCCGTTATCCTGCACACTTTGTTGTACCTTCCTGGATCAGTGGAATCCACTGCAAACATATCTTCAAATAACACTCCCGACATTTTAAGATATACGTATTCCACTTGGTGTGTTTAATGCTCGTGGTGTTGGTCGTTTTCTGTTTTACCACTCCACCTGTGTTTCTGTTTTGCTGAGAGGAGATGAAAAATCGATTCGATGGTTTCGTTGCTTTTGTGGTCGAAAAAAAAAACGAAAAAGAAATAAGAGTAATTGTAGTCGTGCAAGTAATTACAAATATATCTCAATTGGTGTATTTTGTAAACATAGACATTCAATAACGATTCCATTTATAGAATTTCAAGGGGGGGGGGGGAAGAGAGACTACCTGTTAGTAATTACCACTTACCATCTGTGCTCTTTATTACACCATGATGAGTGAAAAAGAGGTTAGTATCAAAGAGACAACTACCACCGAAGCCACTAGCAAAGCAATCAATGCAAAGTATGCAAGAATTGCATTTGCAACATTCCTATTAGCAGGAATAGCGATGTATATTCTATGCTACTCCGTGCCTCAGCCAACCAACCTTGCAGCAGCTCCGTTTCAAACATCTACACATGCATCCAACTTTGACAAGAGAGATGACTCGTCCACCTCCTCCTCTACTTCAAATTCAGACTCCTCCGAAACATCAGATCTGAAAAGCACACCCATTTATGACAAATCGTGGATGCAGTTTCTTTTTGCATTGGCTGGTTTGATTGTGCTCAATATGATTGCCATCTGTATCCATCATCTATATCTAATTGTCACGAGGTCGCAAAACAAATATCGAGCTTTCGAGGATGAGAAGTCTCCGTTTTAAGAGACCGCTATAGCGTACCTTCAAAAGAGGGATATAGGAACCTATATACATGCATAGTCTACTGAAGACACAAAATAAGTTGATCATCTCATCTCTTGAAAAGTGTAGATTTTAGTAAAAGACCATTCTGGGATTCAAAACTACGACCACCTCTTGGCCACGGCATATCGCTGAGAGAACGAAAACATACAGTGTTTTCTACACAAAAGCCTCTCTCAGTATTCTCCGGCAGTACCCGAAAAGCTGGAAGTAATGTGCAGCCTCTTAACTTTTGAAACAAAGTTCGAAACAATTCCAGCACGGTTTCGCCTAGTTTGGTTGTTGTTTGTTTGTTTTATTTAGACCAATAAAAGATTGTTCTAGCTGCTGCGACATAGTAAGAGCAATCTAGATAAGAGGCAAAGCCAATCAAACACAAAAGTGGAAATTAATTTCAAGAAAAAAATCGGAGAATTCCATTGACAAGCCAAAGAAACCTACAAACACGTCAAACCACCCATATCCTTTTTATAAATAAAGAGCCATCTGCTGCACGTCGTCTTACATCTTGCATAGCATTGCGTTCCATCTTGCTATTCTTTTTTTCTTTTTTTTCATTTTTTGTCTAAGTGTTTCCTCACGTATTAATTGTCTACAAAGAATTATAAAAGTTCGGTTGCCATGTCCAAACTTCCGTCGTTAACAACCAGACTTATTCAAATAGCGTGTGCCATTCTTTGGTGTCTAGCAGCAGCAGGTCCGGTATTTGGGTTTGCCGCACTAAAACCAATATTGATTTCTCAACACATCTATGAATCGAAATGTGATGTGGGAACGAAATCAACAGAAACCAAATGTGTTGATCAAGATTTGTCGTTGAACTTGTTGTTTACAGTTGCTTGTATGGTGACAAATATTAGTGCGTTGCCTGTGGGGTCGATCTTGGACACGTATGGACCGAAAATCACTGGTATTGTTGGATCGATCATTATAGCCTTGGGCTCATTAAGTTTGAAATTTGCGCATGACCTGACTTTTCTTGATGGATATTTGATTGGTTACACTTTACTAGCTCTTGGTGGCCCATTTGTGTTTATCAGTTGTTTCCAACTTGCCAATAGCTTTCCCAAGAATTCAGGTTTAATTTTGGCATTGCTAACAGGAGCTTTTGACTCATCATCAGCATTGTTTTTGATGTATCGTATTTACTACTTTAGCGTTGGTGAAATATCAGTTGGCAACTTTTTCACGGGTTATTTGATTGTGCCGGCATTCATATTTCTTTGTCAAGTGTTCATTATGCCAAGGGACTCATACAAGACTGTGGGAACTTTGGCGAAAATTGCCGAAACAGGGATTGATGAAACTGGAAGACCATTGGATGATGACTTGTTGCATCCCGAGGATAGAGAAAGTGCAATTACCACTAGAGATGATCTTTACCAACCAACAATCACGGAAACCACGGCTCTTTTAATGAGAAGACCCTCGGGTGTGAGTAGACGAGCATCTACATTATCAAGAGCTTCTTACAACTCAATTAAATCGTCTTATGAGCAAGAGGCAGATACAAAATTGGTGTCATCGTCAGGAGGTGTATTTGGTGTCTTACATGGGTACCCCATCTCACAGCAATTGCAATCTCCTTGGTTTATCCTAATGACATTCTTCACCACGATCCAAATGTTGCGTATAAACTTTTTCGTTGCCACGATTAAAGCTCAGATTTTTTACTTGTATGGAGGCGATGAAGAAATTGCCACAACCGTTAATCACTTTTTTGATTTGGCTTTACCATTGGGCGGAATATGTTCGATCCCATTCATTGGTCTCATTTTGGATAACTTGTCAACGTTGGCGGTGTTGTATATCCTAACAGGGATGTCATTATTCATTGGAGTGATGGGATTACTATCATGGATCCCGGGTACGTATGCAGGTATCATTGTTCTTGTCATTTATCGTCCGTTTTATTATACAGCAGTTTCGGATTTCTGTGCCAAAGTGTTTGGATATGATAATTTTGGCACTGTTTATGGGGCAATTATTGCCATTAGTGGAGTGTGTAACATTTTGCAACAAGTGATGGATCGTACAACTAAGGAGTATTTCCATATGAACCCCACCCCAATCAACTCAATTTTGGTCAGTTTGACATTTGTGTTTGGTGCGGGATTGATTGGATTTGTGAAATCCCAAGAGAAGGATATCAAAAGAAGGAATTTGGAGATGGAAGCTGAAGATGCATCGTATAGATCTATTCCAACATAGAGTAGCACTTGTGTATATACTATTATAAAAGATACCTTAGAGACCATGGGTTATTCTCTCCTGCGTTTTCTTATCTTCACAGTATCCGGATCAAGTGCAGTGAGTGGGGGGAGACACAATACTGACTTTTTCGACTCCGGTATAGTCTCACACAATGTGCTCAATGCTTCCGCAATTGCTGCTGCATCAATATCCCTCGACTGTGGGAACCAGCTTCCATCTTGAGGAAAATTCCACAAAATCTCTTCATCACTCTTCATTTCTTCTTCTTCTTAGCATCCGCTTTGTTTTCCTTTTCTATTTCTCTTCTTGTGCCCTTCAATAATTCTAAATGGCCGACTCTACTTGCAATCAACTTTTCGGTACTTTTCATCAACTGACCTTGATGGATCTTTGTCAATTTTTGTGCCTCTTTTGCTGTTTGCTTTTTGGGCTTGATGATCTTTGGAGCTGCTCTTTTGGGATTTTGTTGTTTCTTTGTTACTCTGGCTGGACCTTTAGATTTTAGTTTCAAGTTCCCTTGAGCCATGTTTGCTTGCTGATGGAGTTAGAAGGAGAGATGAGATAAGAAGCCTTTTTTGTTTTGTTTTGTTCTTTTATTTTTTTTGGTGCGTCACTGTCTGAAAGGTTTGTCGGAATGATACGCAAATTGGAACAGACAGCAGCTCCTAAGTACTCCCAAACACAAGCCCTCCCAAGCAAACTATGTTGGTACAGTAAGTAGTTGCCAAACACTCCTTCTCATTGCTTAACAAGACATGACTCGGAAACTTGTCCACTAGGCAGGTCCTTCTGTTTTTGCCTACTCACAAATGTGCAGCTCACTCTTTCAGTTGTTGTGTGCCCCTTTGCTCTAATCAACTATATTTAGAGACTGCTGGCATTAGGTATGACGTGGACTACAAGCTATGTTGGTATTGGTGGTGAAAGGTTGCAAAAACTTTGTAGAGTCATAGTCATCTCATATTCTATGCAGAACGTGCTCGCTCAGAAGAGCGCATCTCATTTTTAATTTTATCTCTTCACTGAAATTTTATTTTGACTCTGTTCTGATCTTTCCTTTGGTTCAACTCACAACCTTTGCCTACCTTTTGGCAGCTAAACACTAACTAATACAACCTCCCCCCCTCCCCTCAGTCACCTTTTACATAGATTGAAGATGAGTTCCCAGCTTCTTGTTTTGCCAGGACCAAAGGCATTGTCTCCGTTTAGAGTCAACAACTTGATTCAAGAAATTGAGAGGAAATCCCAAAAACCAAACACGATTCAAGAAGTTGCTAGTCAATACACACACTACGTGTCTCTCAAGAAGTCATTGACTGAGAAGCAGTTGGAATTGTTGAAAATCTTGTTAACTTATGATAATCCTGTCGATGCTTCAAATCCGTTGAATGGTGAATTGATTAAATTGTCCACGGGTGAATCTCAAGCAAAAGGATCAGAAGAGTTTGTCCAGATTTTGCCCAGACCAGGTACTATATCTCCGTGGTCTTCCAAAGCAACCGATATTGCCCAAATTTGTGGGTTGGGTGATTACATTGAAAGAATTGAACGTGGTTTATCGTTATTGTTTAAAACTCAAAATGGAGAAACATTCACCGTGTCCGGTGACATCTTGACATCCGTGTTTGATAGAATGACTCAGAAACTTTACGTTGATAACGATGTCCCCAAGTATGATGATTTGTTTGCCCATTACAAGCCTAAACCACTTGTTAAAGTTGATCTATTAGGCAGCAAAGATAACTTATTGCAAGCCAACAAAGAAATGGGGTTGGCGTTGGATAAAGGTGAGATTGATTACTTAACAAACGCTTTCACACAGGTCATTGGCAGAAACCCAACCGATGTGGAATTGTTTATGTTTGCTCAAGTTAACTCCGAGCATTGTCGTCACAAGATCTTCAATGCTGACTGGACTATCGATGGAGAGAAAAAGGACAAGTCATTGTTCAAGATGATTAGAAACACTCATGAGAAGAACCCACAATACACAGTTTCTGCGTACTCTGATAATGCGGCTGTTTTTGAAGGACCTGAGGGCTACTTATTCACACCAGATTTCAAAACCAAGCAATGGACATCGATCAAAGAAAGTGTCCAAACGTTGGTTAAAGTTGAAACTCACAACCATCCAACTGCTGTATCACCATTTGCTGGAGCTGCCACGGGTTCAGGTGGTGAAATTAGAGATGAAGGTGCAGTGGGAAGAGGTTCGAAATCAAAAGCTGGATTGTCGGGATTCACCGTTTCCGATTTGAATATACCAACTTTGAAACAGCCATGGGAAAGAGAAGTTGGCAAACCAAACCATATAGCCAGCTCTTTGGATATCATGATTGAAGCACCAATTGGCTCAGCTGCATTCAATAACGAGTTTGGAAGACCAGCCATCAATGGTTACTTTAGAACTTTGACTACTGAGGTTGAAAATGCAAAGGGGGAAACTGAAATTAGAGGTTTTCATAAGCCAATCATGTTGGCTGGTGGTATGGGTGCCATTAGACCAGGCTTGGCATTGAAAAACAAAAAAATCACCCCTGGTGCCAAGTTGATCGTTTTGGGTGGACAGTCGATGTTGATTGGATTGGGTGGTGGTGCTGCCTCATCCATCAGTTCGGGTGAAGGTTCAGCTGATTTGGACTTTGCTTCTGTGCAAAGAGGTAACCCGGAAATTCAAAGAAGAGCACAACAGGTTATTGATGCGTGTGTTTCATTGGGTGCGGAGGGTAATCCAATCCAATCCATCCACGATGTGGGTGCTGGTGGGTTGAGCAATGCCTTACCTGAATTGGTTCATGATAATGATTTAGGTGCCAAGTTTGAATTGAGATCAATTTTATCTTTAGAACCAGGAATGTCTCCAATGGAAATTTGGTGTAACGAGTCCCAAGAGAGATATGTCTTGGGTGTTGCGCAAGAAGACTTGGAAATGTTTTCCAAGATATGTGAACGTGAAAGAGCACCTTTTGCCGTTGTTGGAGAAGCCACCGAAGAGCAAAAGTTGATTTTGACTGATTCATTGTTGAAAAGTACACCAATTGATTTGGAAATGTCGGTGTTGTTTGGTAAACCACCCAAGATGTCGCGTGTTGCCACTACTGAAAATTTGAAATTGAGGCCATTTGAAACTAAAGAGTTGGACATTGGCGAGTCTATTGATCGTGTTTTACAGTTGCCAGCGGTAGGTTCGAAATCGTTCCTTATCACTATTGGTGACAGATTTATCACTGGATTGGTTGATCGTGACCAAATGGTGGGGCCATGGCAAGTGCCAGTGGCAGATGTTGGTGTTACTGCAACTTCTTTAGGTGAAACAGTGTTATCCACAGGTGAAGCCATGGCCATGGGTGAAAAACCAACTTTGGCATTGATTTCAGCTAGTGCCTCGGCCAAAATGGCTGTAGCTGAATCATTGTTGAACGTATTTGCCGCCGATGTACCTTCTTTGGATCACGTTAAATTATCTGCCAACTGGATGTCTGCTGCAAGTCATCCAGGTGAAGGAGCAAAATTGTACGAAGCCGTTGAAGCCATTGGTCTTGACTTGTGTCCAGAGTTGGGAGTCTCAATCCCAGTTGGTAAAGATTCGATGAGTATGAAAATGAAATGGGACGACAAAGAAGTTACTGCACCTTTGGCATTGACAATCACTGCTTTTGCCCCCGTTGATAACACATCCAACACTTGGACACCAGAACTTCAACATGCCGAAGACTCCATCTTGGTTCTTGTTGATTTGGCTGCAAAGGACAAGAAATCACTTGGTGGATCTGCATTGGCGCAGGTTTATAAACAAGTTGGCGATTCTGCTCCGACTGTGCACTCAAATGCTGTGTTGAAGGCTTTCTTGCAGTCATTGGTTGTATTGCACAAACTGTTCCCTGTTTTGGCTTATCATGATAGATCTGAAGGTGGTTTGCTTGCGACCGTATTAGAGATGGCTTTTGCTGGAAGATGTGGGTTGGATGTGTCATTAGAAGCTCAAGAAGATCAATTTACTGAATTGTTCAATGAAGAGTTGGGTGCTGTTTTCCAAATTAGATTACATGACTTGATCAAATTTAGAGAAATCTTTGCCAATCACGGTATGGGCAAGGAATTCATCAAGGTGATTGGAAAGCCTAACTTCCACAATCAAGCGATCAACGTCTCTTACAATGGTGCGCCTATTTACACCTCCACCCGTGCTCATTTGCAACAATTGTGGAGCAACACCTCTTACCATATACAAAAGATGAGAGATAATCCAGTTACGTCTAAACAAGAGTACGATGCAATTGCAGATGACAAGGACCCCGGAATTAGCTATCAGTTGACATTCAATCCTGCGCAACGTAAAACTTACAAAACTAAACCAAGGGTAGCTATCTTGAGAGAACAAGGTGTCAACTCGCAACAAGAAATGGCATGGAGTTTTCAACAGGCTGGTTTTGATGTGTATGATGTGACTATGTCAGACATTTTGGAAGGAAGAGTCACTTTGGATGATTTTGTTGGATTGGCTGCTTGTGGTGGCTTCTCATATGGTGATGTTTTGGGAGCTGGTGCTGGATGGGCCAAATCTGTCTTGTTCCATGAAAATGCCAGAAACGAGTTCAAAAAGTTTTTCCAAGATAGAACTGATACTTTTGCATTTGGTGCATGTAACGGGTGTCAGTTCTTTAGTAGAATTGCCGAGTTGATTCCTGGAACTGATCATTGGCCCACATTTGAACGTAACTTGTCGGAGCAATATGAAGCCAGATTCGTCATGGTTGAGGTTGATCCTTCGGAAAACAATAACTCCATCTTTTTGCAGACAATGAAGGGCTCTAGACTACCAATCGCTGTAGCACACGGTGAAGGACGTGCTCAATTCAAATCACCAAAGGATAAAGAGGAGTTTAAATTGGATGTTATTCATTACATTGACAACTACGGAAATCCTACGCAAACTTATCCATTTAATCCCAATGGTTCCCCTAATGCTATTGCTGGTATAAGTTCAGCAAACGGAAGAGTATTGGCCATGATGCCTCATCCGGAGAGAGTTACTCGTAAAGAGGGTAATTCGTGGTATCCACACGCACAAGCCAAAGAGTGGCAAGGGTATGGGCCATGGGTTGAATTGTTCAAATCTGCAAGAGCCTGGGTTGGTGATAACTAAGATAGTATTGTATAATAACGAAAAAGAATGAGTATTATGTTTGTACAGGTAGATGATGCTTTGGTACTTACTGTTGGTTAGGGCTCAGCCCTAATTCACGCCTAATTTTTTTTTATTTTTTTTGGGTTGTTTTTTTTTTTTTTTTTTTTTTGCGCGCGCACTTCAACAAAAGTGAAAAATCTGAAAACGAAAAATAGCGAAAGCAAATCCAACCTCCTTTCTAGTACGACTCCTCCCTAATCTCCAATCCCCAATCAAATACAACAATGGTCAACTCAACTATCTTATCCAAGAAGAAGAAATTAGTAGCTGACGGTGTCTTCTACGCTGAATTAAACGAATTCTTCACCAGAGAATTAGCCGAACAAGGTTATGCTGGTGTTGAAGTTAGAAAAACTCCATCTAAATTGGAAATCATTGTCAAGGCTTCCAACACTCAAGGTGTTTTGGGTGAACAAGGTAGAAGAATCCACGAGTTAACCTCATTGATTGTCAAGAGATTCAAATTGTCACCAGAAGGCATTGCCATTTACGCTGAAAGAGTTGAAGAAAGAGGATTGTCAGCTGCAGTTCAAGCCGAAGCTTTGAAGGCTAAATTGTTGAACGGTTTGCCAATCAGAAGAGCCGCCTACGGTGTATTGAGATTTGCTATGGGTGCCGGTGCCAAGGGTGTTGAAGTTGTCATCTCCGGTAAATTGAGAGCTGCTAGAGCCAAGTCTCAAAAATACGCTGACGGTTTCATGATCCACTCTGGTCAACCAACCAACGATTTCATTGATATTGCCATTAGACACGTTTTGATGAGACAAGGTGTTTTGGGTGTCAAGGTTAAGATTATGAAGGACCCTGCTGCTAACAGATTTGGTCCAAGAGCCTTGCCAGATGCCGTTAAGATTGCTGAAGCTAAGGATGAAGATGAAGTTATCCCAGCTCCATACGTCAAGAACTATAAGCAACAACCAGAACAAGTTGTTGAATCTGAAACTGTTGAAGTTGAAGCATCTGCTTAGATTAGTTAGCACTTTTGTAATAATATAAAAGAGTTTTAATCATCGCTAGTGTAGAGGATGTTGATTATTTGAGAGAGGAATATATGTGGATCAAAGTGGGTGTTGTTGTTTGTTGGTGAAGAGTTGTTGACGAACAGGGATCAGTCACATACTGTAATACTTTTGGTACACCCATGAGTACAACCATCTAGACTACCTCGCGTATTCTTCTCTTTCTTGAAATTTTGTTTCGGTATGTTTCGATCAAGTGGGGCAGCGTAGAGACGTCTTGAAGGTGAATCTATAGTGTGTGTGTATGCGTATGTGTTCGTGTGTATGCGTTCGTGTGAGTGTTCGTGTCGGTATAAAGTTCGGAGTTTTTCCGTTTTTGTGAAAAGCCGTGACAAAACACACACACAAAAAAAATATATCGGATGACCCAGAATCAAATCGAAGCTCGGATATTTGAAAGATATTACTTACATGTCGCAAGTGAAAAAAAAGGTGAAAGGTGTCTGCTCTGTGCTGATTTCAGTGTGTGACTACGTGAAATAGTCATGTCATTACACCCACCACACACACGAAATGATCACTTTGCATAAATGCATCCCTTATTCCCGAGAAAATGATGTAATCTTCGGCGATAGGGGGAAAAAAAATATAAATACTTTTGGGTTCCCCATAAATGACACAAAGATCCAAGGTGAATCACCGTTTTTACTTTCGGAGTTATATCTCCATGAAATGCAATCACACGCCCATTATCAGATCTCTATTCTGCAACGAGTAATATAAATATGAGTTAAAAGTACCACGCCTCCAACCTTTCGAAAAATTTTTGACTGTTTCTCTTTCTCTATAATTCCAAAAGCAGTACTCATATACAATGTCGCATTTTATAAAACTTACCTCAGAGATCAATCAACCATACGTCATCCCCAACGTGTCACCAGTCACTTCACCGAAATCGAAAGCAACCGACCCTGAGGTGCAACACATAAGGGCCGCTACAGATAGGAAAATGTCGATTATCCATATCCAATAATTTCAATCATGTGTTAACACTTTACATTGGTTAATGTAAAAGAGATTCAGTTCTAGGTTTTCTATTATTTATATAACTTCATTATAATGGCATAACAAATCTTTGAAAAAAAAACAACCTTTCAATGATGTAGACCATCGTGTGTGATAGCAATAAAGGTCTCTAAAAAAAAATTGCATTCAACACGTTAATCTCAATACTGTAGACCCGTTCATTGCGTATTCCACCCCATTCCACCCCATTTAGAATCATCTAGCAACTCTTTGAACCTTTCCTAATTTCTTAAAATATATCCCACCCGATAAAATTCCCAATGCCAACAATAAAAGTGGAACTGGTTTTTGAAAGTTTGTAGTAATGGATCTTGATAACCCTGCAAGCAATAATAAAATACTGGCCGCTAATGCCAATTCAACTCCATATCTGCCATTCAGGTTTATGATGTAACCGGCAATTGCGTACAATGCTGATACACCCAATCCTCCAAGTAATGATGGCAATGAGTTTTTGCGAAAATATCCCATTAGGCCACCAATAGCACAGAGGCTTGACAAAATGATAGTTGGATAGTCTACTCCCATTTATGTATACGGTTTGTTATGTTTGGGTGGTGGAACTGTTTGAAACCAAGGAGTGAGCATAAAAAAAAAAAAAAAAAAAGAAGAATTGAAACGAATACACAATCATTGAGCTCTTTCACAAAAAACAACATGGATGACGCTGATAAGCGTACGTTGGATACATCGACAGCCAGCTCTAACAATGCCTTTGCTAACAGTATTCTTTAGCTGATCCCGTCCTCAAACAAGTACCACTAATCAAAAACCCTTCCTATCAACCACCAAAGGCTATATCGTTGAGAGCCAACTACAGCAAACTCTTGCCGACATTGTCCCAAACTGTCATTCCGCCAAATCTCAACATATCAAAGGAGGACATTGACAAATGGATCAATGACTTAGACCAGCTCAAAAATAAGATTGCGAATGAGCTGGGAACGGATGATTCTGTGAAAAGTTATGAGTCCTGGATCAAAGAACAGACCACCAAAGTTGCACCGGGGTTCGACTACAATATTCTCACCCCAAAGAAGTGACCAAATCTTGAATTCACAGCTTGTGCTGATTGATTCGAAAAGTCTCTATGTTTACCTGATTGGAATCGATTCAAAGGAAGCTTCAAAGTGGCGTACAAGAAACGTTGCGACTTTTACTAAGAGGCAGTTTTCAGAGCCAGTTTAGTCCACAGCACCCCTAATGGCCGCTCGAAGTTACCAAGTGTATCTGAGGGGCATTCAATTGAGTGCTGGTCGCACTCGAAAAGTATTAATGGTGCGCTCAAGTTCGGGGGACATTCATTGCAAAAGATAGATATACAAAAAGAAAGTCATTCATGTATTCAGCCACTCAATCAATGGAACATGTTCAGTATCAAAAAAAAAAAATTGTAGTGATATCTGCCCTTATCCCACGCAACCCTTCCACCTTGTTTTTTTGTGATACCAGAACCGCGTTCGCGTCCGCGTTTGGGGGGTGGGGGGGGGGGGGGAGGCAAGTTTTTTGGAAAATTTCGAAGTTTTTGTCAAAATTTAACTCGATTTGTTTCTTCTCGCCTCGAGAGATTTTAAGGTACCAAAAATAATTTTTCAAAAAGAAATGAAGTTATACGTAACTTTTATCAGGGTCTATACAAACCACAGCATGAGATACAAAAGCCGCTTAAAGCAAATTCTATCAATATGTTCACTTCTCGCATTGGCCTTAGTACTCTACTACCACAAGAGATCGTTTACCCCTGTGGAAGTGAAACCAAGTCACAAGTTTGATTTGATAAAAAGTAGAAACACCTTCCAAAATCCTGTTTTTGCCCAATTGGCAGTGCCGACTAAAGCACAACGATTCATGAGTCTACCGTTGCAGGACAAGTGTGATCTGTATTTCAAAAGTGCTAAATTGGCTGAGTTTGATGTCAATTTCTGGAATAGTTTCCAACCTGATCCACATGTATATAAACGGAAAAAATGGATCAGGGATAGAACACGACTGGAAAAGAGGAAATACAAAAAGACTGCGGATTGGAAGGAAGAGTATGATCAGCAAATTGCGTTAGAGTTTGCCGATATCGCGAGGGAATATTCTGGGTTGGAGGAGAGGATGTTTGGCGAAGTGGGACATATGAAGGTGTTTGGGAAATGTTTTGCCAGTGAAGTGGTGCATGGTCAAGGCAATTGCGAAAAAGTTCAACAAAAGTTGTACCCTTGGTTGACCAATAGGGGACCATTGGTCACTACTGCTGATGGTGAAGTGAGGCTGAATGAAGTAGAAGGGTGCGTCACTCAATCATTGGTTGCAAACAAAGGTCAAGGAATTGTTATTCCCACCCAATCGAAACTAGTTGAAAATGTGTGTCGATTGATCAACTCTTTGATTGCTCTTGAAAATAAATTGCCTATTGAAATAGCCTATTTATCACTTTCTGACGAGGAGAGGGTGAAAATCGTCTCTGCAGCTAGAAATTCAACCACTTTTACTCAACAAGTTTCATTTGTCGATTTAAAACCAACATTGCAATTAAAAAAGTTTCCCTTTTTGGAGTCAATGGATGGTGGGGTGGTTCTCCCAGTGTTGAGTTTAATGTTTAATTCATTTGGCGAAGTGATCTTGTTGACAGAACAGGCAATCCCCTTGAGCAACCTCGAAAGCTTATTTCAAAACATAAAGTACAAATCGAGTGGACGATTTTTCTTCAGATCACGTCCCTTTTTGGATCGGGAAAAGTTTACTCCTGGATTTCATGAAATTACGGCATTGTTGAAGCATCACTTGCCACCAAGTTCAAATGAGGTCAAGTTTTTCAACATGTCAGCCCCCGATTCTTCTGTTGCAACTTCAAGATTCTTCAAGCATCTGTTTCGAAATATTCTTGATACCAGTGTCATCGTCATGAACAAGCTGAAAAGTCTTTCGGGTTTACTCATTACAGTGAATTTGCATTTTTACAACGTATTAAAATTGAGACTCACTCACAAGTCTATGTCTGACTTGATTTGGATTGGGCAAGAAGTTTCAGGACAAGAGATTACATTCAACAACAACTATCCTGTTATTGCTGGTATTTATACACCGGATCAGAACTTGCCACGAGATGCCAAAAACACTTATGAAATCTGTTCATCTTCATTTGCACAATTGTCAGAAACTGATGACGTTTCACTTTTATACATCACGTCAGATCAATTGCAAAATGCACTTGAGCATCCAAACTCAATGAAGCATATTTTTGAACAGAAATATGTGACCAAATATACTGAATTGGTGGCTAATTTGTTTGATGCTAACGATCCAAACAAAACAGAAATGACCCGAGTTAATTACAATGAAGTCACCAAGCTTTCACGCAATCCATTACTAATTGAGCATATTATCAAACCACCAACACTAACTAGTATTGTGTATGTGCATCATTTCGAAGAGCCCAATGAGTCGTGGGTTGAACAGTCAGGTCTTGTTTCTGAACGAATGAGGCACGAGGGTAAGAGATACTACTGTGCTTACGATACTGTTGGAAACCCAATGGAGGAAGGAGTGAAGGGAGTGACGATTAATATCGACGATGAACTGTTTGCAAAGTACGATAAAATTACTAAAGCATGGATGGGATTATAGCATGGAGTGGCATAAAGAGCATAGAATAGCATAAATATACATTGTAAGCATTTGATTTACTCCGTTTGTAAAAAAAAAAAACCTGCTCTTGAAATCCTTATCGCCATGTGCTTCTCTCCTTTCGTATGTGTTTGATGTTTTCAATGTGGGCATCTCACCACCATTCACGTGAATTTTCAACAAAAGTGTCTCCTCTGATGAATGATGGTGGCATTTTTGTTGGTATTCACGGTATTAAACATATATGCGCTTGTGGTGTATGTGTTGTAGTATGAACTGTGCTAAACTCCGAGAATAGTTTTGTGTAGTTTCAGGAGTTCGTTAAATCCTAAGTATGACAGTGTGGGGATTCTATGTAGATTGATATTTACAGATTTATAACAGGACTTCCAAATGTGATTATGTAACATTGTGTTGTCATGCGGTGCCTCTTATCCACTGAGGGAAGATTAAGATCCACATTCAAATTTGAGGGAAACTGATAAAGAGTACTAGTCTTAACACTTTGTTTTTTTTCTATTAAGAGTGTTAAGTAGTACATTGGATGTAGAATAAGGTTACGTCGTTGTGTCGAGCACAATGTAATAACAAGTCTCCTATAGGCTGTTGTAGTTTTATAATTTAAGGTTTGAACTGTTTTTACTCTCTGTGTGGCAGTATCAAAGAAACAAAAAAAAAAAAGGGTATATTATTCACATGATAACATAACAGTGACACAAAAAGAAGGAAAAAAAAAAAAAAGAAAAATAAAAGATTGTAAGAAAATGAGGGGTAATGCTGCAACGGAGTTTAAAAACAATACTAACTATTTACTTTCCATTTCTATAACAAACACAGTTACTACTAAGCTCTAGTTTATTTGTTGCTTATTGACTTGTTCTTGTTTAAAGTTTTCTTGCCCATATAGGTGGAGTTTATGTAAGATGAGTTAAACAAACAGTAGTAATATCAACTATAATGTAACAGTGACTAGTTGAAAGATGATCTAAAGAACTGAAGATATATATATATATATATATCAATCAATTCTACTCTTTCAACGCAATAGAGTACTACAAAGTACATCAAACACATTTGGTTCATCACAGTACTCTCATTCAGGTGTATATATCTCCATCAGAAACAAAGCGTTGCAAAAAGGAAACTATACAAAAACTGTACATACTCAAGGTTATTAATTAAGAAGAAAGGCCAACAGAAAGAGATCATGATTGAATCAGCAATTGTCACATACTGGTATATCACCATCCCTTTAGTATTCTTAGTATACCTCGTCATAAGCTACATCCATGAACAAACTTTGATACGCAAGTTTAAAGCCAAGCCATTCACAAATTATCTCAATGACGGTACTTTTGGTATATGTGAAGGTTTCCTGGCTTTAAAACACAAGAAAGCGGGTACTTCAATTGAACACTATCGTGAACAATACGAATTATTACCACACCCTGATGTCCCCACCTATAGAGGATATGTATTTGGCACACCTATTGTTTTGACCAAAGATCCCGAAAATATCAAAGCCATCTTGGCTACTCAATTTAATGACTTTTCCTTGGGTATCAGACATGCTCAACTTGATCCATTGTTGGGGGATGGTATCTTCACTTTGGATCATCAAGGTTGGAAAGATTCAAGAGCAATGTTGAGGCCGCAGTTTGCTAGAGAACAGATTGCTCATGTTAAAGCATTGGAACCTCATTTCCAATTCTTATTGAAACATATTGAGAAGAATAAAGGTCAGTTCTTTGACATTCAAGAATTGTTTTTCAGGTTTACTGTTGATTCAGCTACTGAGTTTTTATTTGGATCTAGTGTGTCGTCTTTACAAGATGAGTCTATTGGCTGTGACACTACCGACTTGAACTTTGCTGGAAGGTTGGAGTTCCCAGAAGCTTTCAACAAGTCACAATTGTATTTGTCCACTAGAGCTTTGTTGCAGAAATTGTACTGGATTTACAATCCAAAGGAGTTTAGGAGATGCAATGCAGTCGTCCATCAGTTCAGTGACTACTACATCAACAAGGCCTTGAGCTTTACCCCAGAGGATCTCGAAAAGAATAGCGGGTACGTTTTCTTATACGAGTTAGTGAAACAGACTAGAGACCCCAAAGTTTTGAGAGATCAAGCATTGAACATCTTGGTTGCCGGTAGAGATACAACTGCTGGATTGTTGTCCTTCACCGTATTTGAATTGGCAAGAAATCCCGAGATGTACTCCAAATTGAGAGAGGAGATCGAATCCAAGTTTGGCTTGGGCAAGGAGGCTAGAATCGAGGAGATCACTTTTGAAAATTTAAAGAAATGTGAATACTTGAAAGCAGTCTTGAATGAAGCTTTACGTATGTACCCCTCGGTACCCAGAAACTCGCGTGTGGCTTCAAGAAACACCACATTACCGCATGGAGGTGGACCAGACGGCATGTCGCCAGTTTTCATCCCAAAGGGCAAAACTGTCATTTACAACATTGCTGCAACACAAAGAGATCCAAATTACTACGGAAAAGATGCTGATGTGTTTAGACCTGAGAGATGGTTTGAAGAACTGACAAAGAAGTTGGGCTGGGCTTATTTGCCATTCAATGGTGGTCCTCGTATCTGTTTGGGTCAACAGTTTGCTCTTACTGAGGCTTCTTACGTCATTACTAGATTAGCTCAAAATATCGCCACAATAGAATTGCAAGATGGCTACTCCTATCCACCTAAAAAGATGACCCATTTGACTATGTGCGTATTTGATGGGGTGCACGTTAAAATGGAAAAATAATGGAGTGCCACAGAATGGTTAAGGATGTTTGACACATCATTTTAATATTTATTTTAGTCTATATAGGGTGCTGACTTTCCCTGTGTAATCTTGAGTGCCCTTATTAATATTAGACAAATAGTCAATCTCTATTCATTGATTCAATTGCTGACATCCAAATCTTGTGAAAATTCATTTGATTCTTCATTCATTTTGTTCAGCAACTTCTTTTATAGCTTTTGGCGATCCCCCCCTCAGCCCCTAGTTCCCCAATGGCAAATTTGTGACAATAGCTTTAACTAATTTCAGTCCCCAAGTAGATAAATTGTACTACTGCTCCTCTAGGTAGCGCTAAAATGAGAAAAAGGTGTTGCAAAAGACAAGGAAATTACAGTGACAACAAATACCATTTGTTTGAGATGATGAATGAAAGAGCATGATTAAGCCATCAAATTTATACAATAATTGTATTTTACTTAAAACAAGAGAGGTACGATTATGGGAAAAGGACCATTACAAATAAGAAACAAGTTGTAGGGAGTAGACGTCTTCCTACACTCAAGAGACAATTGCCAAAGAAGCTGCTTAAAAGATTACACCTTAAACAGATGGATACGGTACAAACGGTCAGTTCACAATTGTCTAGATCAATGGTTGCTCGTCCAACAGCTTACTCAAGAGTCTTTGGTTACAAAAAGGAGTTTGATCGACAAGAGCATCCTAACCAGTATCCCCTATCCATTATCCCATCATGTTAATGTCTTGGTTCGCAAGCAATCGCAAATGTTTAAGAACTTTCACTTTTTAAATCAAGACTTTGTCACCGGTTCCTATAAAATTATCAAAACTATACGAAATTGAAGTAGATTTGAGCACTTCATACAGCACAATATTCCCTCAATGGGATATACAAGTGAATACAAACTCAGAACAACCTTCAAATGCATACATGTTGAAGTCGTTTGCGAAAACCAATTAAATCTCAGCAATTGTGGGTTAGAACCCTCAGGATAAGCTAATTGCGTTTGCTTTCAAATGTTGCCATCCTTTGCATTGCGTTGTTTTTGATTTAGTTGAAGCAGCAGATACAATTGAATTGGTTTCAGGTGCTTTATTTACTCAATTGGCCAAGAATTTCAATGATGGTTGGAAAATAGAGCCGCTGGAAAGGTGATGTACAACAGACTATATGAATTAATGTTGTATTTCTTTACAGGTATAAATGGCTGTTCTCTTCATAACTTGAATGGTGTTATTATTTGGCTGCCAAAATCACTCAAGCAACACGTGAAATGCATGTGATAGTCAGCTGTTTATCATGTGAGTTTACTATAGGATAGTACCCACAAAATAAAATTCTCCAACAATTCAGCCATATGGCTCAGTTGTCCTGGCAACTTGTCCGAGTGGTTAAGGAGATGCCCTGCTAAGCTACTAAGCAAGCGGTTTAGGCATTGCGCTTTGCGTGCGCAGGTTCGAACCCTGCAGTTGTCGTTATTTTTTGTTGAATTCTCTCCTTTCTTTCTCTCTTTTATTCCTTTTTTTTTTTTTTTTTCTTGCAAGTGGGTGTGTCACGTATAGATGAAATAACTGACAAATGAGGTATTCGGGAGGAGTGAGATTAGTGTTGGTTTAGTCATCTTGATGGTGGACCGAATTCAATGGACTTTTGCAACTGATATTCATCATCTTGCTTAAAAATACGAATTGTTTTTTCTTTTTTTTGCACCATATTGATGCGAAGAAGTTATGCAGAAAAAGTTGCCATTACTTTTCTTGCTACTTGAACAACTTTAGTGAGTGTACAGAAAAACACCACTCTACACAACAGCTACATGTCATGCGGTGGCAAAGAATGGTGGTCATCAAGTTGGTTCAAAGGTTCCTCTCTCCTTTTTCCAATGTGTGGTGTGTGTGTGTGTGTATGTGTTCTGTTGCAAAAAAACAAAATTTAAAAAGAAAAGCATCACTGAGACTTTGATGACGCACGTCGGTTCTTTCCATAAGCAAGAACAGAGAAAAGTTTTACAAGAAGATGAAAAAAATTATCCGTTGTTGTCCATTTTTTTGAAGAGGTCTACACTTTACATCTGCGCCTAGGTGATATACCATGACGCATGATTAGATTGCTGTGCCTGCTATGTGTATATATTACTTCTGTCAATTGATGCACACCACCCCAGTGTTGTTCCTTAATATGGATTACTTTTTGGTGTGTGTGTGTAGCGGGTTTAACAAAAATAAAAAAAAAAAAAAAAAGAAAACCTAAACAAAATAGGGGAAACGGTAAATGCCAGTCTCTGACAATTCAAAGAGAGACATATAATGAGTTTCAGCCCTAACCCTCATGCATAAAACCCACCTCTCTCTTCATATTTGAGGGTGTTTTGTATTTGTGTTTTGCTTTTATGTTTTGTTGGACATAAACAAAGTCACAAGTTGTGTAAAATTAAATAAATTGAGTTTTCAACGTTGCACACACACACGACTTGTGGAAGTTAATGTAAAAAATTAAATCCCGCATAGTTAAGGCAAAAAATTTTAATAGAAGATTTTTTTTTTTCAAGATCCGCACAAAGACACACACACACACAGAGACACACACAGAGACACACACAGAGACAACAAAACTCTTGAGTATTAACTGAATTAGGGAAATTTTCTTTAGTAAAAGATGACGCACCACTACTTGACTACACGATTTTTACTTTTCTGTTGTCTTGCACGATTCTCCCCGCCACCACCACCTCACCGCGCTGTATCCCGACCCATGCCGACCTAAATTTGACACACACACAAACACAACCTCTCTCTTTGAAGTACTTTCAGGTATGCACGTAGTCTTCCAATGTGGGTACTAAAATAAAGCTTCTTTTCCATTCTCACAATGTAGTATGGGTCTTGAAGAGGGACAAGGTTTATTGTCAAGAAGTTGATTGTTTTACAGTTTGCTCTGCGATAAAATTGAATGTAATGGTTTGTTTATAAATTTGTAGTGTGTGTGTTTGCTAAATTTAAAAAGTCTTTTATATTTTTTTTTTTTTCCATTTATTTCTCAAGAAAGCAAAAAAAAAAGTAAAAAGAAAAAAAAAAAAAAAAAAGAAAAAGAAAAGATTTAACATTTTTGCACTTAACACAATCTTTGTTTGTTTTTGTTTATTGTTTGTAAAAAAAATATATATAAGAGCTAAAGGATTTCGAGAATATAAAATTCACTCTCTCAACTTTGTTTAACTTGTTGAATCTCGCTTTCACGTTCTCCATCTATTCAATTATTTGAATACGTTCCAAAGACTCAGTGTTTCATTACATTTGACAAGAGAGGGCTCGTCTTCTTCAAAGGGAGAGATATTTGTGAAGGTTCATACTTTTCATCGGTGTACCTAATTTTTTTTTTCGCCTTTTCTTTTTAATTTTTTTTTTTTTTTGCAGACAAAGTCTAAAGACAATTGAAAAGACTTTTCTACAACTACAACTGCTACAACACTACTACCTTGTTCATTTTCACCCTAGTCTGTCCTGTTCTTGTTATTTAAAGGTATTATCCATCATGTGTTACTAGCAAAAGGGCTTTTTGAGTAGCACAAGTTTATACCCACAAACAACAATCGAAACCAGAGAGAACAAAAACAACTACCCAGAGTGAAGAAGAAAAAGAAAAACAACTACATATTCCTTATAATGTCGATATTCGGGAGGAAAAAGGAGAGTGATTCGAGAAGATCCTCCAACTCGTCAATGTCGAGCAACATATTTGCCAAATTCGATGAAAAGAAGGATTATTGCAAAAGGTGTAAAAATAACAAGAAGGAAAAACCAGTGGCGGTCACTTTTAGTTTGAGGTAAATGTTTTAATAAAAGGTCTTTTAATCTCTTACTTGTTTTATTAGATTACTTCCAATCTTTTCCTAGACGGTTAAATTTGCCAAAGCGGCCATTACTGAAATCACGTGATTTGATACAAACTGTACAGTGAAAAAAAAAAAAAATTCTTTCCATCGCGACAAAAGTCACTGTTAGGTTCTCTTCTTTTTCTTCTTCTTCTTCTTCTTCCTTTTCCTTCTTTTCCTTCTTTGCTAATTAACTATTCGGGACACTTGCATTGAGCGGTCATGCCGGTACAAAGTAATCAAATGAGCTTTCTACCCTAGTGTGGACGTACTCTCTAGCCCGATAAATCGATGGCGAAAGCTAATGTTCAGTTGTGGTTTCACATTTATAATGAAATTTTGACTCTACGAGCTTTCGTACATGTACACTATCATTCACATCCTACGTAGTGTAGAAGTGTGTCAGTATAAAGACCAGTCCTACATATTCTTAGACCGTGCCGACGTGTATTACGCCTTCTTTTTAATCCTTTCATGTAAGTGCTCTTTGATCTTGGATAACCCCACTCTTCTCGTTTTGGTGTTGACAATGGCAGAGAGTGGTTTGGATGGAATTCTCTTTCGTTTGAGGGTACGATTGGGCGCCGGTTGTTTATTCTCTTGACCACCAGAAAAGTTAACTTCATCTTGCAAAGGAGCTGAGTTATGGTTCGGTTTGCCCTTGCCCTCTTTCCCGGCTCTGTTTGTGGGATCTAGTACTTGCGATTCTCTTTCCTTCACAACCTTTGGCTCTTCTTCCTCGCGCTTCACCTCAAAAGTGGGAGACGGCTTTATCAATTTCTCCTTCTTCAAAGTTGCAGCATCATTCAAAAATTCCTTTTTAATTCTTGCTACATTGCTTTTGGTTATTTGTTTCAGATCCACCCCATCTGGTTCCGATTTTACGTTGACACACGATTCAAGCTCCTTCTTTACATATTCGCCACCAAGGCACGAGACCAGCTCAGTCTTGATAGCGTATGCATCACTTTCGCATTCACTTTTGACCAACTTCTTGTCGTCAACAAGAGGAGTTGAACATCTTTCGATCTCGCTGGGATCAAATTTCTGCTCATGAATTGGACTCAATATTCGAGTATCGGCCAAATCCTTCAACAATTGAGTTTTATCCAACTCTTCTGTGGCTTCATTTTCTTCTTCAAAATCGATATTTCTCTCCATTTCGGTGTTGAAACTACTTGAACTGTTTGCTGCAACGACTTGGCTGCTTCCAATCAAGATCACGTCTTCATCGTCATCATGGTCTGCATTCTCCACAGTTTCAGCTTCCCCCAGCAACAATGGACCTGCTTTTCGCAGTGTGCTGCACCCTCCTCGTCTGACGGCATCACTTGCACGGCCGGCACTACCCATGGCACAATTTTCTTCATCATCATTCAGAGCAAAATCGACACTATGGAAGTTTTCGTTACTCAATTGAGATTGTACTGTTCCATTACCGTCGTAATCAAAGTAATCATCTTCCATAGTGAAGGTGGGCAACACCGAATTCAACTTTGTTTGAAACGTTGATTGAGAAGTGGCACTCAATGGTGGTAGCTCCGAATCATCCTCACTATCAGAAATGTGGGTGATTTCGTTATCTGCAGTAAATGGGCGTTGTATATACTGAGTGGCTGTTGGTGTGGTGGTGGTGGTGATGGTGCCAGTCACTGGCTCTGAACATGATCTCCATCGTGGTTCTCTTAGTCGTCGTAGCTGGTCAGGGCTGAGTTTGTATCGTAGAAGATCAGACTCATTTGCAGTGTTGTTGTACTGTATCATTGGATCGGGACCAGCCTCCGTCCTATTTCTATACTTCATTTATTGAACTTGCTGCAAAGTGGTGGTTTGTATTGGTTGTAAAAAAAAAAAAAAAGAAACAGCACAATATAAGAGAGATAGGATTTTGATTGAAACAACCACAGAAGAAAACAGCACGCTACCAAATGCAATCAAATTTACGGAATTTACACTCATTTACTAATGAGGTTTCAATACAACTGTTTTATACTTATTTACGCGTCTCTCTTACATACCAGATGTATAACCCTCCAATTAGTTCGGTAAAGAATCGCTTTAAACACAAGTATCAAACACTTACACAACATGTGTTGTAGTAACTTTCTTAGTATTAGCCTTGGCGCGTCTTTGTCTTGCCAGTTTTAATTTTTTTTTTTACTCCTTTTATAAATATCGACTAGAATATCCTCCTTTTCACTCTTCCTTTCCTTTTTTTGTTCTTTGGCAACACGTCATTCATTCATCCAATCGTTATCTCAATTTAAGTATTGGGATATGCTCACATCCTACTTTCAAAAACTAGAGGGAATCAGGTTGAGGAAACCTCGCTTTTAATTAGGCGTGTGTTGATCCCTTCTTCGCTGGTTTCTGTCCTTGCCCCATTCCATTGTCGACCACCACCCGCCGCCCTCACACCCGTTACACATGCATACATGTGTTTGTGTGTGTAATTGGCGGGGCTTCTCCTATTTTCTAGCTACTCACAAATCACAGCCCCACGATAAGCATATGTCCAAAATATAATAAGCTGGTACGGAACATCGTCCATTGTTTGCGTGTTCCATGACGATGAGCAACAGCCTTGCAAAAACGACATCAAAAAAAAAAAGATGAATCAAAAAGCTGGACCAGATATCATTTTCTATTTCAAAGACGGATGGAAATAGTTTTCACTTTACTGTTGGAATTTCGTTGAGAGGCAGTGTATTCTAACCGCAGTCTTGTTCACATCCTAACCGATTTTTATCGGGAGGGAGGATGTAACTCTGCGAAAAATGAGGGGAATTTCAAAAACTGATGAGATTTTCGATGTTTTGGCTTTTTTCGTTTAATTCCCGACCCAACCCTCCCCGTTCTTGGTGAACGAGTGAAAGTGGATTCAATTTTTTGTTTTTGCAAACACTGATTGATTGGAGTGTACGCGGGTGATTTGTTTCTTTATCGAAACTACGCCCATCCACTTCTGAAGACTTAGAATCTTCCTTGCCAAATGAGAATGTTGATTTGATTGTGCTTAACAAAAGGAGAGTGTAGGAACTACCTCGCACTCACATACACACACATGTGTGCACGTCGCAATGTTCAAGATCCGAAAAATGGCTTGGAATTTCAATCTTCGTCAATAGTCACATCAGTAGTTTGAATTGATGATGCTTTCGCATTACTCGTTGTGCCCGCTTGGAGTGAATAGGGGGAAGAAAAGTCCTTCGCATGGCCTTTTTGCCCGTCGTTGATTTCATTGATTTTCCTTTCTTTGCAAGAGATGCTCCTCCCTCGTTTGGCATACTCACATTTTTGTTTTTTTATATGTTTATTGGATCTTAATTTTTTTGTTTTGGAGAGGCATATATTTCCCTTCCCTCACATGCCCTCCCCTTGTTTTATTTTTACCGGATGAAAAGATGGTGGGATATCCAACAGGGGAAGAAGGGGAAGAAGGGGCAGGAGGGAAGTGAATTTCCCAAAATCAAATAAAAGGAAATGTGGAGGTTTTGTAATCCGAGGTTCCATGTTTTCGAAAGACCAAATATGCCAGAAACGAGGATTTTGACAGTAGTGATTCCATTCGACGACTTATCCCCCCTCAATTGACCGCAAATGGTTATTGAATTTGGACTCACAATCCATTTTCTTTTTTTTTTTTTTTTGATGATCGTTAGTACATGAACAAAGGGCTACATTGTCACTGTGACCGGCTTAGAAAACTGTTGCATTTAAACGGAAGTTGTCTATGTTTTTCTTTTTTTTTCTTTTTTTAAGGGGATCTCACCATTGGCATTCTACTTCATATGACTGGGTGTGTCCCCTCGCACCTAATCCTTTTCATTTGTGACCAAAGCCATGTACTCTTGATTCGATGGGCTTCCTATAGGGATAGTTTTAAAATTTTTTTCAAAATTTTCCAATACTTTCGGGTATGTTCGATGATTGAGTATGTGCTTTATCGAATGAATGGGGATGAAAGTTTTTGAGTATCCAGTGGTTTCATATATCCTTGGCAATTTTCCAGTTTATTTGGCGACGCTTTGGAATGTTTTGACTTTAGTTGTGGAGTTGGCGAAGAGAGTGGGAGGAAATGAATGTAAATTCAGGGTGGAGACATCGATGGGGGTTTGACTGTGGGATTACGTGAGAAAGATTGGATTTGAAGTTGTCCATTTTTCAATTTTTGTATGTATGATTTGTTTCATTTGAAAGATTGCAACTTACTTACTAACACTTAGGAAAACTTAATAACAAGATATGTGGATTATTATTGATTATTGGGTCTAAACAGGGGTTTTTTTTTTTCTTCTACATTATTATACATTTTGAACAGAAACTTTTATCCTCTGATTCTGGAGCTTTAGTGGATTGTTGACCTCTTGCACCAGCTGGCTTTTCAGTGGTTGACTTGTCGGTTGTGGCATCTTTGGGTTTAGTGGGTGTTAACTTGTCAGCTGGTTGTGTTGCAGCAGCAGCAGCAGCAGCAGCAGAATCATTTGATTTGCCTTGACTCTTTTCTCCTCCTGGATAAAACCTTGCCGCTTGCTCAGCAAATACTTGCCCCTGCGTAGTAGCAATTGTCAACTCCAACTCAGTAGGTTGTCTAGAACCATCGCTTGCAGCAAAAGTACCAGCACCATAAGCAGAACCACCATGAATCTCTTCCAAACTAGCTTGCTGAGCAAAAGTTTTAGCATAACCCAATGGGATATAAATCAATCCGTGATGAGCCAAAAAGTTCAACGAGTTACGAACAGTGGTTTCTTGTCCACCGCCTTGGGTACCGGTAGATACAAATATACCTGCTGGTTTACCGTATAATGCACCCTGAGCCCATAATCCACCGGTGGCACCAAAAAATTCAAAAAATTGTGCTGGCAAAGTACCAAACCTGGTTGGGATACCAAAGAGGAACGCATCATATTCGGTCAACGTGTCCAATGTGGCGATTGGCACATCTTTGGGTTTGGGAGCCGCGTGCAATTGATCGAGAATGTCCTGTGGCAATGTCTCTGGTATTTGGAACAAGTCGGCTTTGTAACCGGCTTTGGAGACACCTTCTTGTACTGCTTTTGCCAAAGTGAAGATGTGGCCGTATGTTGAATATACGATGATTGCGATCTTCATTGCTTAACTGAGCTGTTTGCTTTTGAATTAGTGGAGGGGGAGTAAATTAAGGTTATAAAAACTCGAGTCTAAGGGGCGATATTCTTGAAGAACTGATTCAATCTGGGTTGTGAAAAGATTGGAAAAGTCAAAATCCACGTATAAACGGACAAAAGGTAGCCAATTGATGTATATGACAACGTAAAGGGCGTCTTGCTTTCAGCAAATTCAGATATTGATAATCAGTTGAATTTATATATATATATATATATATATATATATGTATATTGTGTATGTGCTGACATAAAGAACATAATCAACAGAAGAAAAAAAATTAGTAAACAGATGTTGAACTTCAAAATTTGGTACAATATCAGTTTTGTGTACTTTACACAAATTGTCAGCCATTAGTAAAAAGCCATTTCTTATTAAATATCGTTTATACTCAAATACAATTACACTGGGGGGAGGGGGAAGAGGGGGGGCGAAATTGTCACGACAAAAGCAGTATTTGCACAAGGCAGACCATTATGCTAGCTACAATACAACATGGCCTCGTTTCTACAAAAGATCTCATTAAAAAGTACACTCGGCTATTAGCAACATACACGAGAAGCAAAGCGGAGGGTGAAATGTATCGGTCCTAGGTTTAGTTCCGAGTTTTAAAATTCAGATCTGCATAAATATCGAGGCACAGAACACGTATCTCGTAGAGTAGTTGAGTAGCATACAAGATTGACATTGAAAGTGCACAGTTCAATACCCTTGATACCAACGACGTCCACTCTTGTTGTCAAGTTCCCCTTCTCTCTCTCTCTCTCTCTCAAACAATAGGGCCGCATAATCTGCAATTTTCAACTTAACGAAGAACTCGGTTCAGCCAAAGCTTCTGGAAGAATCTATTAGGCGTATATAATGCAGCAACCTAAAACCCCCACCCAATAGTTCAAGATAATTTAGAAACTGTGGAATGGAAATGAAGATATACTGCTGCTGGCTGTTCTATTGTATGTTTGTATGCAAAGTTGTCATAAATATATATTTGTTTTGTGTGACATTTCAACAAAACATCTTTTTACAAATTTTTTAGTAATGGAGGCGACGCAAAAGAATTTCCCTTTTTCATTTTTGGTTCTTTTCTCAAGTACTATTCACTTTGGTCTTACTCCTTTAGCTTTACTAAGATTTGTAATTGGCGAAATTGGGGGGAGGAAGGAGTTTTTTTGCTGGCTATTCCAAGTAGTGCCACAAAAGAATCTACACGTGAATATAAGAGGAATTTGAGTGTAGCGTAAACATAAACTCGGAATCTCGAGAGCCGCAAATATCGGGGTTCGGAATTGAGCTCTAATGCTGCTACATCTACTTACTCGGTCTATGGCGCACATATATCAGTAGTCCTTCTCCGCCCATGTTAGGAGTCTAAATGGTCCCCATGTTTGCCACAGTTGACAATTGTGGTTGCAACTTGACTGTGGCTTCAAATGAATAAGTCCTTTGTAATCAATTAGTAAAAAAAAAAAAACAAATGGCGCTAGAGTAAATAAAACATTGCCATGCATCATATAGAAGTAAGTAGCGTGGTGTGTAGTATGCCCTCTGTTGTAGTTAGTAATATTAATCACCTAGCTGTGGTAGTATATGTTTTGTTTGGTTTTAAAGATGAATAAATTTTTAGTAATTTGGAGTTACAAAAGTTGATTGAGAGACAGACAACAAATAATGATAATTCTCATATAATAATAATAACAACTCATTTCTATAGGAATATATAAATTGTTGAGAATAACTACAATTTGAACCATACAACTCTTGCTATTCCAATACTATCTACAAACAAACAAACAAACAAACACATACAACAATGGCTCCAAAAGTTGCAATCATCATCTACTCATTGTACCACCACATTGCTCAATTAGCAGAAGAAGAAAAGAAGGGAATTGAAGCTGCTGGTGGTCAGGCTGATATTTACCAAGTTCCAGAAACACTTAGTGACGATGTTTTGAAGGCATTGCACGCCCCAGCTAAGCCAAACTACCCAATTGCCACTTTGGACACTTTAACCTCATACGATGCTTTCCTCTTTGGTATCCCAACCAGATTCGGTAACTACCCAGCTCAATTCAAAGCCTTCTGGGATGCTACTGGTGGCTTGTGGGCCAAGGGTGCTTTGTACGGAAAGATTGCTGGTATTTTCGTTTCCACTGGTACTCAAGGAGGTGGTCAAGAAACCACTGCTGTTAACGCTTTGTCCGTCTTGGTTCACCACGGTATCATTTTCGTCCCATTGGGTTACGCCAAGGCTTTTACCTTGCAATCTAACTTGGAAGAGATCCATGGTGGATCCCCATACGGTGCTGGTACTTTTGCTGGTGGTGATGGTTCAAGACAACCAAGTGCTTTGGAGAAGGAGATTGCTCAAATCCAAGGTAAATCATTCTTTGAAACTGTCGAAAAGTACCACAAGTAAAGTGGTGGAGGGGATTATGGAGTTATAGAGTAGTTAGAATCTGAATAATACGAAAACTTTTCTTATAAAGACTTACGCCTCTATTTATAATTGAATGATCTACTCAATGTCACTTTCATCAAATCCAAAAGCGAATGCACCACCATTGGTAGTCAGGTTTTCTGGAACCACCTCTGTTAAATGTTCCCATTTCCTACTACGACCAGTTTCCTCTTGATATGCCTTTTCTTCCCACTTCTTAACTTTTTCCAATGCCTCATTGACCAAGTCCTGGTGTCCCTTTCTTTTCAACAAATGAATAAAGATTTCAAAAATGGGGAATTTGGGCAAATTGGCCAACTCTCCACAATCCTCATCCAAATCATCGATCCGAGTACCCAATTCATCAAATTTGTCCAAACAGTCCACCAACGCAGCATCAACTACCGATGCATCATCATCACCATCATCATCATTGTTTCTGTTTCTGTTGTAGTTTTCTCTCACAATCGATTCAAGACACTTTTTCACATCTTTCAACCTGAATCCCGATATCTGCTTTGGTTTATTCTTGAAAAAATTTAAAACATGAGGTATTTTGGACTGTGGCACGAAATTTTGTGTAATCGCAATTGAATCATCAATGTTTATAACCAAATGCCACCATCCTGCAGGCACATACATGCATTCACCAGGGAACGTAATGCCAACCTGAGGAATCGTATTAGCCGCTGCCGCCAGTACTGAATCACCACCACAGTTGATTTTAAACACATCGTTATAGAACCCGGAAATCACCCATTCGGCAATACCCACAGGTGAAGTGACTTCGCTTTCTTCATCATCGGTTGAGACTCCAGGTGGTTGGATACCCGGTGGGATCATAACCCACAACTTGCGTCCTTGTATAGCCACGTTCCACGCCGAAGTTGAATTTGGATCCTTGTGGAAGGTAGAGCCAGATCTTGCCGATCCCATAATGAGCCATGCATGGTCTGGTCGACAGTTGAAACCTAAATTTTCATCATCAAACACTTTGAAATAATCTTGATGGAATATTTTCGGCGGGTTGTACTCCTTTTTCAAAGTTTTCATAGCCTCACTATTACAATCAAATAGATATAGTGGGTTTTCATCATGATTGCATTGTAAATATTGGGAGTATTTCTCAAGATTCCAATTAACTGCCTCTTGTCTGAATTTGACCTGGGGGAATCGGTTCAAAAGCGATTCAAATGTCCAATGTGGCCATCTTGCAGTGTCTGGATTAGTTAAAATGAATGGAATATCATGATAAATGGAGTTGAACTCGTCAAGTCCCAAATCAGCCTCATTAATCCGTTGTATTCTTCCACTTGGCAATGTACCCAACTCACCACGCAAGGAATCCTGATGATACATCTCTTCTTCCTGTATGACTTTTCTAAAAATATGTTTATAATCAACTTGTGAACATTGATATGGTCGGTAAATCTCATCACAACAAAGCAAGTTGTTGAGTAATTGCAAATTGGCATTGTGCTGTATAGGTATACGCAAAACTGAATTTCTCCACGATCCAAGCCATGAGAGCTCATCGTATTTGTCGATATTGGCAACATATATTCGTTTCCAATTCTCTTCATCCGATGTCAAAGCGTAAAGGATACGTGACGTATGTGATAAATTTAGTAGACTTGGCACATCATCGATGTATGAGATAATGTGGAGGATAACATCGTAGGGAAACCTATTCAAATCGCCTAGTAGTTGCTGTCCTTTGGTCAAGATATCCAGATCAATGGCAATGAATGTGTTTCCACTAGGCTTAACGTTTAATGGATGTTGCTTGTTAGCGATGGATAGAATGGAGATGGTTCTTGAAGGTGATGGGTAAGTGTGCTTCTTTTGAACCAGTGGATCAGTTTTCACTTTTTTCAAAGCTGGCTGGTCTGTTTGTATATCTCCTATATGGTGTATTGAGTCCTTGATCATGGCTAAATTTCAAAAGGCTGTGCTGTGTATGGGAGATTATCAAAATGGTTGTGAAAAGTCAAAAAAATTCACAAATTTCTTTTGTCATTTCTTTTTTTTTCTTTTTTTAAGTATCCGAACCGAAGGTTGCAGAATGTTTTGCAATGCACTACTTGCAATGGCTCAGCAGAGTCGCAACAGAGTTTGTTTAACTCAAGTTTGAAGAGGGAACCTCTGTCGTATCAGTTGAGGAGCCTACTGGCTTAGATGACCTACTTGTCATAGAACTTTTCCATTATATAACAAATCAATAGGACTCGACCCACAGGGGAATGCTGTACATCACCCAATGTACAGCTCCACATTCAACCAATATGAGACTGCTAAGTGAGAAACATCATACCACTGGGAGCATGTTACTATATTTATATCCTCCGTAAAGCGCCGTAAAACCAGCCGTCTTCTCTAAAAATGTCATGACAATTTTTAGCGATCATGAAAGAAAAAGAAATTACTGCAACCAACAGAGTCAAAGAGGAAATTTATATTCCACACAAGTCTCTTATGTTTAGTCAATTCACAACCAGATATTCTTCTTCTTCTTCTTCTTCGTCATCCATTCTTAGAGCTACTACTAGATACACAAGAAGAACATTCTCCATGACTAAACCAACCCCCTCACACGCAACAGCGTCATCATCCTCTGCAACCACAAAACCCGCCGATAGCAAACAAACACCACCTACTACTAATACTGCTGCCAATGATGATGACGATCCGGTGACTCACACACAACAACCAATAATATTTGCACCCAAGACGTATCAATACACAAAGGGCCACATGGATGTAAACGACTTATTGCCCAATCCATTTGAACAATTTCACAAGTGGTTTAAAGAGGCCCAAGAGCAATTACCTGCCAATTCCGATATAATCGTTGAATCAACAAACTTTTCAACCGCCAGATTACCCAGCGGTAGAGTATCCAGTCGGATCGTTTTGCTCAAGGAGTTGGATAAATATGGGTTTCTCGTGTACTCCAATTGGAACACTTCGAAAAAGGCTGAGGATTTCAATAGTAACAAGTATGCTGCCTTGACATTCTTTTGGCCTCACGTACAACGCCAAGTTAGAGTTGAAGGGATCATGGAACATGTGACTAGAGAAACTAGTGAACGGTACTATAACACAAGACCAAGAGGTTCGAAGATTGGTGCTTGGGCAAGTCCACAAAGTCAAGTTATTTCATCAAGAGATGATTTGAGTCGATTGAATGATGAGTATACGGAAAAGTTTAAGGATTTACCAGACGATGCAATTCCATGTCCTGAATATTGGGGAGGTATTAGAATCGAACCCTTGGAAGTGGAGTTTTGGCAAGGTGGTGTGAGTAGATTGCATGATAGAGTTACATTTAGAAGGGATGATATTGCCAATCCTAATTGGGAAGTTGTTCGGCTTGCACCATAGAAAGAAGGATCCATTTCAAAGATTAAAATAGACGACATATATATACAGGATAAAAAGTAAAGAGTAGCACCTCCCTCTCTACTTCTTTTTATGAACTATATGATTCTTTTCAAACAACAACGCCTCTTCTCTTTGAGGTATCCATTCTTTTCTCTTCAATTCCCTTTCGTAATCAGTTTCACGTTTACCAGGATATATGACTCTTTCATCAACAGGATCTAAATCCAGTTGAGGGTTCTTATTAACATCTTTAATCAATCCATCTTGACGTTTCAATTTTTTCAAAAAAGATCTAATTTCAACAAAACAATTCATACACATAAAATGTGATCTTTTCACAGCTCCACATGCTGGACATCTGACTATATTGTTCAAAGGTTGAATTTGCTTGTTTCCTGGTGTATACAACTTGACTCGTTTTCTTCGATACGACATCTTCTTTTTAGGTGCTGCTCGTAATATCGTACCATTATCAATCATGAACGGAGGCTCACCAGACGTGTCTGATTCAAGTTGTTCTTGTAAGTCCGCCAAGCGGCTATCTTGATGTTGGTGGTTGTGTTTGGTGTCAAGAGGACATGATGATGGATTGGATGAGGGCCCAAGAAGACCGAGACGGATGGAGATTTGCGGAACTCTGGGAAGTGCATTCCATACCAGTTGTTGGTGAGATGCTACTGCACCGAACCTTAGTGCAAATGACATGACAAGTTCAGTTGGGGGACAGTAATGCATTAAGCTTTTGATTGGAAAAAATTTTGTAATTTTTTTTTTGTTTTTTTTTTTTTCTTTTTAATGAAAGGAGAGTAGGTAGCTCTGTCAATGTTGCAAGTATTGCGTCAAAGTAGAAAGATTAGTGATACTTGCATTGATGACTGGTAACTATCAAGATTGCAGATGCTGAAAGATGATTCTGTTGTGGATTGTGACTGATTTTTGAGGATTTACTCAAAATCACCCAGCTACTACAAAGGTTGGAAGTTCAAATAGAAATTGCACTTCAAGTCTGTTGTTCTCACAACATATGTACTATACAACTTCACACGAGCTGTATACAAGCATGCGTATCTATCTCAATGATCGTTTCCCTTTAGCTTCTGACTATGAAAGTTTCAAATCTGCATTCAGTTGTTGATCGTGTAAATGTTGTCAATTCTGATCAGTTCGCGTGTCATACCCAATTTTTTTTATTTTTCTTTTTTCTTCTTTCTTCAAATCAACGTGAAACGTCAACATTCCAAAGAAGGAGGGGACAGTCTAGATCAAAACGCATTAACCACTAGCACATTGCCTCGTCGACTCCACAATTTACCTCCAATAATGTCGCTTACTGAAGAACCAAGATACACACATCCTCAAAAATACGTTGGTTTTGACACCATCACAGCCCAAATCGAGAACCGTTTATTGAAACGTGGTTTCCAATTCAATATCATGGTTGTTGGTCGTTCTGGTTTAGGTAAGAGCACATTAGTCAATACCTTGTTTGCCTCGAAATTGGTTCAATCCAATGGCCGCAAATTGCCCACTGACCCAATTGAAAAAACCACTGAAATCAAAGTATCACACCACACATTGCTTGAGAATAATGTTCGTTTGAATGTCAATGTTATTGATACCCCTGGATTCGGCGATCAAATTAATAACGAAAAATGCTGGGATCCTTTGGTCAAGTATGTAAAAGAACAACATTCACAATATTTGAGAAAAGAGTTGACAGCCCAACGTGACAAGTTCTTACCTGATACCAGAGTCCATTGCATCTTGTACTTTATTCAACCTAATGGACAAAAATTGAAAACTTTGGATATTCAAGCATTGAAGAAATTGTGTGAAATTGCCAACGTTGTTCCAGTTATTGCCAAATCTGATTCATTGACATTGGAGGAGAGGGCAGAGTTTAAGAAAAAACTCCAACTTGAATTCCAAAAGTATGGGTTCAACATCTACCCTTCTTCCTCCGAAGAGTATTCCGACGAGGAGCGTCAATTGAATGAAGACATCAAATCGTTGATCCCATTCGCGGTCGTGGGGGCCCAAACGGAAGTCAACATCAACGGAGAACTTGTCAGAGGCAGACAAACCAAATGGGGAGCAATCAATATTGAGGATGTGAGCCAATGTGATTTTGTATTTTTGAGAGATTTCTTGACAAGAACTCATTTACAAGATTTGATTGAAACTACAAATTTGACTCATTATGAGTCTTTCAGATCAAAGCAATTGATTGCATTGAAGGAAAATGCCTCCAGTAATAGGCAATCTCAAGTGCACACTTAGCTTGTATTGTATATTGCTAACACATATTATATAGATTATCTTGCATTTGCAATGTAGGATTCAAAAAATGCAACACGTGAATTTTGCCATTTCTTCAACGCGTCTTTCTCTCTCTCTCTCTCTGTTTTTTTTTTTCACTATTTATTTTCTTTTATCATTCCTCTCTTCTCATAGAGTTTGTTTCTCTTTTCAACCTAAACCGCCAATTATACATATACACAGCCATGGGTGTTAAAGGTCTCAATCAACTAATCAAAGAACATTCACCTAATGCTTACAAAGAATTTCAATTGAAAAACTTGTTTGGAAGAAAAGTTGCCATTGATGCATCAATGTGTCTTTATCAATTTCTCATCGCCGTTCGACAATCTGATGGTCAACAATTAACCAATGAAGAAGGCGAGACGACTTCCCATTTATCAGGATTCTTTTACCGTACGATACGAATGGTGGAGAATAACATCAAACCTGTGTATGTGTTTGATGGGAAACCACCAGTTTTAAAAGGTGGTGAATTGGAAAAGAGGTTACTACGTAGGGAGGAGGCACAAAAGCAAATGGACCAGATTAAAGATGAAGGAACAGTAGCTGAAGTTATGAAGTACGAAAAGAGGTTGGTGAGAGTGGGGAGAGATCAAAATGATGAAGCCAAGAAGTTGTTGGAATTGATGGGGATACCTTATGTTAATGCACCTTGTGAAGCAGAGGCACAATGTGCAGAGTTGGCTCGTGGTGGTAAAGTATTTGCCGCGGCGTCGGAGGATATGGATACTCTATGCTATGAGCCACCATACTTGTTGCGTCATTTGACGTTTGCCGAAGCTAGGAAAATGCCCATTGATCAAATCACATACAGCGAAGCCATGGAAGGCTTGGACATGCCAAAGGAACAATTTATTGATCTTTGCATTTTATTGGGCTGTGATTATTGTGAAACTATCAAGGGTGTTGGGCCAGTGACTGCTTACAAGTTGATCAAGGAACATGGGTCATTGGACAATTTGGTTGAATATTTGACCAAAAACCCAGACAAGACGAAATTCAAAGTACCAGAGAACTGGCCATACAAGGAGGCCAGACAGTTGTTTTTACATCCAGAAGTAATTGAAGCCGATAAAGTTGAAGTGAAATGGAAAGAGCCGGATGTCGATGGATTGATTGAATATATGGTGAAACAGAAGGGTTTTAGTGAAGATCGAATCAGGAGTGGTGCTGAAAAGTTAAAGAAGGGATTGAAAGGTGGTGTTCAAGGAAGGTTGGATGGATTCTTCACAGTCGTCTCCAAACCAAAGGACGAAAAGGGAGCCATTAATGGCAAAAAGAGGAAAGGTGATGATAAGAAGGGTTCAGGTCAGAATAAAAAAACTAAAAGAAGGTAAATTGAATGAGAGTCAATTTGTTAGCTAATACTATTTCAATCTACCCGAACCAATTCCGATCTGTTTTCTTTCAAATGGCAAGTAAATATAAAATGGAATGCATCAGACATGACAATTGAATGAAATTGGAACATATACCATGCTGTGTCCATAGTAATATTCCGATTTACCCTCAGATCATACCTTTTAATTGAAAAAATTGAATACATATCTATCACGAACTTCCTCATTTTGTCTATAGGGCCCCTCACCCCCTTCAGCTTCGTCGGCTTCTTCATATTCTTCACCATCTTCATCATCTTCTTCATCGGGTCTCACATATTGTTGATCAATTTTTATACAATACATTTGGTTTGGCGTGATCAAGAAAATCTTGTTACAACCTGCTGCTCTTGCGGATAATAGGACTTTACGCAAAATCAGCTTGTGACGTTAACCCTCCGCGGGGAAACCGACTATGGTTTGACTTTTGTACTCAATAATAAAATAGACAGTTTCCTCTTCCATTGTTGCGTGAACCCTTAAGGAATCGTAGATGCTAGCATCCGGAATTTTCAATCTCCTTCCGACATGATGAGGACGATTCACTCTGAACTCACAACCCGAAAGTGATGTAATTATTGGTGAAAGTTTGCTGTTGTACAACTCACTCATTTCTGTTTCACAACTGAATTTTAATTTGTTTCCAAAGCTGAATAAGCCCAACCTGACAGAACTTAACTTCCTGATGTTAATTTGCATGAGTAACCTTTCGTCGAAGGTATTAAATTCCACACCGTCTCATTCCTGGTACGATCAGTCGTTAAAGTATTGACTACATCTTCCCTCCTCCAAATGACATTTTTGAAAAAAGAACGTCAACAGAAACGTGATGATGTTTTTAGCAAGATTATTCAATTTTGAATTTTCAAAAGAACATATGCGGTAAATGTGGAGTATAATTTCATCTAAGATGGGAATGATGGTTGGATCTGGTAGTTGGAGGTAAGGCACCTTAGTTAAATCGCAGATATCACACGTTCTTGTAACAATCTTCCTCAACCTCTTTTTTTTCGTTTGGTGCTGAGGCGTTTGGTCAAAGTTTCGAAAACGGCTTGTATATCTCTGTCTTGTTCATCTCGTAAATGCAAATCCTTAAGCTTGATATACTGATATTCCTGTCATAATTCTGAAATAAAGCTCTAGAAAAGGAGGTCAAGTTCGGCATTGTGAGTACGTCGAATAACCTATGAGCTTGAAAACGTATATTTATGGATTCTGAAGTTTTACAAACTTTGAGCTTGTTAGGGGGGGAACGAGGATCAATTTCTTGGTTGCAAGAATTGTTATGCGTTATGTGGGAAAAAACAAGCGAATTTGATAAGTAGTCAGTCTCATGAAATGACAAAACCAAAAATTCCTCCTATATCAACGCCCCAAAATCATTCTGTCTTGGGCTCTTATCAATATCTCCTTCTCTGAGTAAAAAGCTGAAAAAGGTTCGTTGCCCCTGTACCCATTTTCAAAACTAATGTTCACGCTTCGAGATCCTTCTAAACTTCTAAACTCATCTCGTTACATGGTACAGGCCGACTCAACACGGTTGTTCAAATTGTCATATATTAATTAGCGACTTATATTTACACTTGGAGCTCTTATGACACGTTCCAGTGACAAAACTCTCAATTCATCAACACGTCACTTGTACACCATTTAGTAATAATACAGGCAATTCTTGCTGAAAAACAATGAAATCAACAGCGTAAGCTCATTGGCCGAGTAATGTCTTTTGAGTTCAACCATGACTTCATTTTCTTTCTGTTCTACTCGTTACCGCAGTTTTATGGATTCAGCCAGGTACATGGGTTTCTGGGTCCAATGCACCGCAATACAACCGAATGGCACTTCGGGGCTATACATGTGCTGCTGTTCAACGAGGTATCCCTGATGCATTACGCCGTAACAAGAACTCCACCAGTTAATGCTTGCTTTTGGAAATTTCAACGCAAGCTCTCAGATCCTTCTTGCTACTGCATCACTCACTGTAGCGGTAGAAATTGTCACAAAGCGCAATGCTCGATGTGATGAAGTAGGTATCATCTGAAAAGTCCTTTGAGGGTCTCTATTAGTGTGCAATATTGCCAACAGAATCAAATTTGGGTATTCGTGGTCGAGCTCTCCATCTGCAAAGAAGCAACCTTCACGGAGCGATATTGTTACATAAAGCTCTCGAAGTGTTAAAGTGTTGATCTTTTGAGAAATCATGAATATACTCTTTGTTGTTGTAGACTTCGCACCGAACGTGCAACTTTTTCAATATCGGGCGAGATTCTTCGAAAAAAGCTAACCCCCTTAATCCAACAATAACGTTCAGTTGGTACCACCAGATCGTAAATTTGGCAAAGCGCCGCTGACAGGTTAAAGCAGTAAAATCCTTTGTCACCAATATGTGTTGTTTCAGTGTCGTAAACACCCCTACCTCAATCTTCAGGAATGTCCCAATCAATATAGCGCAGATTCAGCAGATAATGCATCGTCACGAATAACTTGACATTCTTAAAATGAGCGGTAACTCTGTCCAGGAAAGCTTGGGTAGGATTTCTCGCGAACACCAAATAGCCAATAGGTTGGTTCGGGTCCATTGTTTCCAAGTACGTTTCTAAGGACTGCATGGATATAATAGTAGTCTTGTTGGTGCTAGTGTTATTCAAGTATTTCGGAAACCTGAAATCTGGGAGTGCACATTGGATACCATCTTGAACAAGGCGGCCTCTTTCAATGATACGATCCTCTTGCAAATAGTAAACTTAAATATGGCTATACAAATTGGCTTTGGAAAGGACATAGAATGTTGAATGAAGCGAGGCAAGATTTATGACTTGATGTTGATTGAGATTATCATAAACTCGTTGAAGGACTTGATCCGGTAATTGTACTCATGATACCATGTTTAAACTGCACACCAGAAAGAAGCGAGTGATGGGTAGAGAAAGGGAAGTACCATGGCTGTATAGCTTCCAAAGAAGTGTCTCTGAGGGAATCTTTAAGTTCCTGGTTCTTCTTTCCTAGTTTTTGGGGTATCGGATTGCATCTAGATGAAAGAAAAACAAAAACAGCACAAAATCATCACTAATAACGGGAGCTGTGAGCAAAGGTGAACATCTTTCCTCCATGGGATTGGACTTCACCACTGCCCTTCTTTTTCGGTAAAGATCATGCGGCGATTGAAAGTTTTTAGCGGTTATCACGTACATGGTAGAAAACTAGGGGTTTTTTTTTTTTTCTTTTTTTTCCATAATCTCTGATGAATTTTTGCTTCTCGATTATGGCTTCGAGGGGACTAGATCAGTTATATATTTATGCATACACACCACTATTAAATAACCACTCTATTCTTTAATCTCTTGGCTTTGGTTTTTTCTTTTCAGATTCAGCTTCCTTTTCAGCTTCAATCTCATCAACATATTTCTTAATTTCATCTATAGTCAACTTTTCGATAACGCCACCTGGTTTCATTATCGAGAGCTCGATGTTTTTGGCACCAGTTTGCACAACTTCCAACAACGACTTTACTGTCAATTTAATAGTCTCTTCATCACTAGCATCTTCCTTATAATGTTTTTCCAAAAACTCCTTCACAGTCTTTGCAGATCTACCAATAGCATGAGCTTTCCAGGCATTGAAAACCCCACTAGGTTCAGTCTGGTACAACTTGGGTACATCGTCATTAGTATCAAATCCAGCAATCAAAGTGGCAATCCCAAAAGGTCTAGTTCCTCCCGATTGAGTGTATTTTTGTTGCACACCGGCAACGTATTTAGTCAAGTATTCTACGCTAACTGCATCTTCCAAGTTCAATCGATGGGACTGTGCTTCTACTCTAGCTTTGTCTATCAAAATCCTTGAATCAGCATTTAACCCGGCAAACGCCAATAAAATGTGATGGTCAATCTTGCATATTTTGGATGGTGTCGTTCTGGGGTCTTGCAATTTCAATGTTGTTCTTCTTTCGCAACCCAAGACAACAATGTTTTTGCCTTTGACTCCAACGGCACACGTACCTCTTTTCACTGCTTCAGATGCGTATTCCACTTGGAAAACGTGTCCATCGGGGCTGCGTAGGAGTTAGTATACAACTTGCGATTTTGGTTTTGAAGGTGCTACTGTAAATTGTGTCGCAATTGATGGGGAAAATACATACGAGAATATAGATAATGCACTATCGTATCCACTCATTGTTGAAATTTAAAGGGTGTGTGTGTGTGGGTGGGGGAGTTGCTTTGTAGACGTCTATATTTGTGGTGTGTGGGTGGGCGTGTTAGCTACGGGGTGGTGAGTTAACGTCAATTGGGTTATGTTTCTGGTTAATTTTTTTGCCATTGAAAAAATAAAAAAAGATAGAAAAAGTTGGCACAGACTGTGTAATGGTATACCAATGGCAAAAAAGAATAATAAGACCAACACCAGTACTGGCAACTCATCGAAACAGATTGCAAATGGAGACAACTTTGCTAGACTCAACTACTTGTACCAACTAAGTAACTGTTTTGTTGCGTCCTCTTCATCTTCACCACCAATTGCTAGCAGTAAACGACTTCAATCTTTCCTAGCACGAGGTTATGATCGTAATTTGGATCTACTATCAAAGCGGTCCTTGACCAAGCTTTCTCCATCAGTCAAGAGAACTATATGCAAAAAGTGTCATGTGATGCTAATACCAGGAATGACAATGTCCATACGAATAGAAAACAAATCAAAGAGGCGGTACGACAAAAATGATGTTTTGGTACACAAGTGCCTGACTTGTGGTGAATGCAAAAGATTCCCCATTGGAATTGATAGAGAATATGTACCATTCTTTGAACAAGGGTATATTGAGGATACATAGTAAACACCTGAAATGTCCGTTACTTGTATTGCATGTCGTTTTTTTTTTTTCTTTTCTTTTTTCTCTTTTTTTGTTATACACTGTTTACGAGCAAGACTCTACTAGGCCATTGCTGCACACAATGCAGCCCCAACACCGGAACCGTCTTTGGCAATTCTCAAATAAACTTTCTTGCTTGTTCCTTCCAATGGATTTATGACTTCAATAGCCTTCAATATAGCGTCTTTGAAACCAGGGTAAAATTCAACAACCGATCCATCACAACCAACTTCGAAATCTTTGTTATCATCCTTGTATTGGTCTTTGACTCTACGCACAATCGTTGCCAATGGAATAGCTGACAATTTAGCAGCTCTGCTCGATATTGCCCTGGTAATTCTTTGAATTACAATTCGTTCATGTAAAGTTGTTGGCAATCGTAATACATTTTGCAAAATCAAACCTGACATTTTCAAGTCGGTTGAATCGTCAATTTGAATATACGACAACACTTCGGCATCCAAAAGCCAAGGCTCAGTGATTCTGTGAGGTAAACTTCCACCTCTTTCCTTGTACAATTCTTGGAAAATGAGTCCTCTTTCAAACAATTCAATCAATGCAACCCTGAGAATTTCACCAAGAAACATTCCGCTGATTCTCTTTTCAAACAAGTGATAACCTTTGTTGGCAGTCTCCTTGTCAACAATTTCATCAAAAAGTGTATTTGGTAAAATCTTCAAAGTGTTGTCAAAAGATCCCCATTCGGTGTTGATAACCATTCCTTGTGCATCTTTTGGAGGGTTAGTCAATTTGGGAATGTTTGCAATGGTTTCATAGTAAGCACCATTGGTACCAGTTCCAAATATACAACCAATCACAGTGTTTGAGTTGGTCACAGCGGGGTTATTTTGATAAGCTCTGGATAACAATGTTCCCACTGTATCGTTGGCCAATGCAACAACTTTGACATTGACTTCTAAAACGGTCAAATTGGCTTGCAACAAATCAACCACATCTCTATCCACCGCATCAGGGATATCAAACCCTTTAGTCCATCTGATCAAAGTACCATGGCCCAACGCAGTTTGATCTACGGGGAACGAGAAAGTGAAACCCAACTTCAATGCGTCTGAAGATTTGACTTTGGCAGTGTTGTGATGTTCTTCAAGAAAAGTTTCAATTTTAGATGCCAAATATTTAAACAAGTCATCGGCCTTTTTACACTTCATCAATTCAGGGGGAATTCTATATTTGCTTTGTTTCAATTCAAAAGTGTGGTCTCCTTTCAAGTCAATTGAACATACTCGGAAATTGGTACCTCCCAAATCGGCAGCTAAAAACAATCCAGTTTCTTTACCAGTGGGGATTTTGGACACGTGTGCAGGAATCATTGGCATGTTTTCTCTTGATTGCTTGGGCGCTTTTAAACCTGCATCCATAGCTTGAAGGAAATGCTGTGAAGCTTTGACGAGATAGTCGTCATCAATGTGGAATTCTCTTTCAATGTGACGAATGGCAAGTTCAACTTTATCTGGAAGTGACATCGGATGGTAAAATAATGGAGATTGAGCGAGAAAGGAGAATTGTCAAATGTAGTTCAAGAATGAAACGTCGAAATTGAATCTGGGTGTGAAGTTTGAAAGTACGCAAATAGCAATTGAAGAAATTTTCGAATTTGGCGCCTGATATATTTATACACAAATGTGCCCCAAGAAAAAAAAATAATTGAGTTTTTGTTGACTAAAAGGAAATCTTATTGCCGATCAATATAAATTAAAAAGAAAACAAATTTAGTCAAGGCCCGAGCCGTAGCAGCCGTAAAGCAGCCGTAAAGCAGCCATAGCAGTCTTAAAGCAGCTATTTACTACTCTCTGCTTCTCTAACTGGAGATTTTTGTACACACTTTAAACAAAGTTTGATCCCTAATGAGGCATAAACTTTTGCCGAATGGGTTGAGATCGTCCATCATCCACTTTATGCATCATAATATCAAGTCGAACAATGATTGGCGTTAAAACAAATGCGTATAAGATCATGAGACACTATTTGTAATTGATTGATGTTGCACATGTGCACACGACGTTACAACTATCCACTTAATACTTACCTTGGGAAGGGTGTTTGTTTCTGTACATCACCATTTTCAAAATTTTCTCTGTTGATGTTGAATTTATCGGGAATACTATCACACACGAAAAGAGGTGCAGAAGCTTACATCATACCTTTACAGGAGGTCACAGAGGTGACTGAAAGAGGAGTGTACGACCAAAGTGATCCAATGTCTCTCACAGAGAGTTTTATATAAACTTTTGTGTAACTTTCGGAGTATACGTTTGCGAAGATCTTTTACACCCTCAACACACACACACACAGCATACACAACAGAAAGGGGAACGAGTGTGAATATGACTATACATGAAGTAAGTTGAAGTACACTTCAAGACCATATATACTTCTTCTTCCTCAGTTGCACTTTAATGCGAGCTGTCTTGAAAAAATATTGTGGTCTGGCGCTCTTGTAACCTGTTTTTAGCATACGTATCATATATGCCCCGTATATATGTTTACATGAAATGAAATCACTGCTCAATGCATTGATAGTACGTATTCAATACGTTTTCAATACGTTCCTTAAAAAAAAGCAAAAGAGGGAGGCGGGGTACAGGAGCACACAAAATATAAGGGGAAAAACAGAGAGAAAGAGAGAGAGAGATGTGACATGGATGAATACATGCAAGAACAAGCAACAATGGGTAGGAGAAGAGGAAGGGGAAGGGTAAGGGGGAAAATGTGGGGTCTAGAGTGTGCGATTGCTTTGGGTCTGACTCCGCCAAAAGTGCATTTCATATATATATATATATATACATATGTATACACACATTTCAAATGAAGTGAGACAGATTAACCTTTTAACCAAAGATAACCTTAAACCAACTGCACTCAATATGAGAGGATATGGCGGCGGTTATGGCAGAAGCAGTTTTGGCGGTGGCTATGGAAATAGTTATGGCGGCGGTTATGGTAGCAGCTACGGCAGTAGTAGTAGCAGATATGGTGGGAGTTCCAGCTACGGCACAAGAGCATCGTCTAATAACTACTCGGGATACTACACCTCATCTTCAATTCCAGCTAATAAACAAGGTTACACCCAACCACAATATCAGCCAAAGGGAAAAAACTACCAAAAGCCCAACCAGAACACCACAAAGTATGGAAACAACTACAATCAGCTGTCTAAACAAACCCAACCAAATAAAAATTACCCACAACAGTCCCAATACAAGCAAGGGTCCTCTTCATCGAACAAGAACAACTCAAACTATAACAATGGCAATAAACTGAATTACTCGAATTCCAACTCCAGGTATAGGGATAAGAATAAAACAGTCAAGAATCAAACCATAAATCAAAATGTGAATGTCAATCAACAACAGCAACCTCGAGGAATGTTTGGTCGATTTGGCGGGGGGTTTGGCAGAATTATGAAGTGGCCTTTGATGTTCATGATGTTTGATAGGTTCAGGAGACCAAGACATGAACCAATGCCGCCTATGCAACAGCCACCACCACAACAACATCCACCAATTATAAATGTATACAATCCACCCGACAATCAACAACTTCGCGATAACGTACACCAGCAACCTAGCCACAGAGGAACTACACAAGAGTACAATGACATGGACCCTACAGCAAACCAAAGAGGACTTTCAAAGGCACAAAATAAAGCTCCACTGCACCATGATTTAAGCCCAAATCAAGCTGAACCATTTGATGCAAACAAGAGTGACTCCCAATTGATCGACGACCCAGTTTATGTAACAGCAGCAGATACCACACGGGTAAAAATTACAAGAGTCAAGAGTGAACCAAAAAGATTGAGGGAGCTTTCTCAAACTCCAACTACCGAGCCAGCCAGTAGTAATGCATCAAGTACACGTGGGAAAGTAAGGGGGGAAGAAACTAACTTGGGTAGTGAAGAAATCAGCAACTATCATACTAATGAATTACCCAGTTCAGTGAATGAGGCAAGAAATAGTAGCAAGGATTTACTGAGGGGGTTTTCCAATCAAACTATTGGACTAAAAAGCATGCTTCAACAATCTCCTACTCATGAAGGATGATTGTGTCCTACCTATTTTTTTATGTTTTTTTTTTTTTTTCTTTTCAGATTGTTTATTTGTATATGATTTTCAAAAATTTCCCACCGTAACTCCAGCAAATGTATTGCCTATTTCTCCAAGTTGTTGGTTTCAAGACGAAGGTTGAATTGGAGCTGTTTGCAGCTTCTTCGTCCATCTTACACAAAACCCCACCTCTGCTAAAGAAAAAAATAAATAAAAAAATAAAAAAATATAAATTGTAAACAATGGTCAAAACATCAACTTGACGAGCTGAAGCCGATCCTTCATTCACATTGGGATCGGGACCGAGTTCTACTATGCCACCACAGACCATTCCACCATTCAGACTATACGGAGGGGATGACTATCAAATTGTTGGTGATGCATCCCGATTCGAGCACAGCAATGAGTATAAACTACCACGATTACGACGATCTAGAAATACAACACCCACCAATTCTGAATTCACCGAGGTTGACTCATCGATGGCAGTATCAAGAGCATCATCCGCTAAGCTAACACTTGATGGGATTATCCCGTTTTACGCATCACAGGGAAGTGGTTACAATAATGAACTGGACTCATACTATAGATCTTTACGACTGAACCAGTTTACTCAAGATGATAATGACCCAAGTCTCGGCAAAACAGTGTCGGTACGACGACAACAGGTATCTATTGGGGTACAAGCACCACAGGACAATTTACTGCTTCCCCCACTCGTTCCACCAAAGGATACACTCACAAGAACCAAGTCCCAACGTGAGTTTATTCCATATCCTCCATCAATACCTGACACTAGTAATGCACCTCCGTACAGTAACAATATGCTACCCCCATTACCTCAACCACTGGAGAAATTATATGCCAAGGTTACGACACAGTTTGATAACAGTGGAGACATTGATAGTGTAATCTCACGACAAAAAGTTTTGGAACACGATTTGATCAAGCAAGTGATGAATCAGCCGTTGATTTCAATCAGAGCAGACAAATTGGGGGATCGGTACTATGGAAGGAAGATAAACATTACGATGAACTTGATGTTGTACTTGTTTGAAATCTGTTTGAGTATAATTGAAATCGTTCTCGCATCGGTGTTGCTTCAGTGTGATACTGCAATAAATATCCATGTTTACCGGTACCTTATAGCTGATGGAACAATTACAATCATTGTTGCAATTTTGTTCTCACTACATATTGTCACTTATGAGAAGCGGAATGGTAGTTTTTACTGTACTGCAGCTGTTGTATTCAAATTGATTTCATTTATCATGATAGTGTCGTACATTCTACCCAATAATCAGTCTCAACCACAACACGTATGGCAAGTCAGAAGAGCGTTGGGAGCATTTATCATAATTTCCACTTTTATTTGGATTTCCAATTTGATCATGTTCTTAACTACACTTTACATTTCCAGGTTAAATTTGCTTGAAGATTTGAATTTTGATTTCGATAAAAGAGGATTGAATGAGGAGTTTAATACGGGGCTCAACGTGGAGAGGGAGTGGGATGTTGCTAATGAAGATTTGATGAAGTTTTATTTGAACGAGAATGGTGAAATGTATGCATTACATAACGCAGAAGAAATCGAAAAGTACAAGGATAACAACAAGATACTCGTTTACACGTTTTGACAAAAGATAAAAGGGGATTAATTTTGCCGTTCGGTTTCCTGTTAATTGAGATTTTCGCCATAACATTTTTAAATTTTTTGGGGGACGGAAAACGGCTACACAAAAGTAGAACCCTTCCCTCCTAGGGTCCGCCATCACCCTACCAAAAATTTACCTACGACTCGTTTCCTTTTGGTAGGTTATTTTACTAGCCCAACATATCCCCAACATTGGAACCGCCATCCTTTCCACCAGTCATGTTGATCAAATACGTTACTTTATTGCTTTACATCCAGTTGGGGTTCACCTTACTTATTCCACATGTTTTGAAACCGCGGATATTTTCATTAAGGTCAACCAAACAACGATTACAAGCAACCATAAACCCTTTGGTCCCCACCAGGAAATTCAAAAAGGATTTTTCCATCTTCAGCTCGACCGATGAGAGCGGTAGTGGCGCTGAGGAAGGCTACGTAAACAATACGAGTGCCAACTTGACAGCAAATAATAATTTTGTGATAATTCCTAAAGAGTTGATTAACCCAACCATGTTCTCGACGTTGGGATTGAATAAATTGTTTGATTTGGTTGATGATTTTCATCTGGAGCATGGCGGCCTGAAATGGATGAATTTTAGCTTGGAGGAACAGATCTATATTCCACATGAGTTCAAGACGTACTTTATATTCAACACGAGCTCAATCAAGCAGAGTATGGGATTGGACACAATTCGTCAGAAACAGCAGCAGCAACAACAACAACAACAACAAGAGCAACAGCAACAGCAACAACCTTTCAGCTCACACACATTGAACAAGTTTTTACTGCATATCGTTCCATTTGACATACCTGAACTAGTTGAACTTGTTGACTACTACATGGTATTGCCCAATTTGCCTCATTTACTGAATTTAACATCATCGATATACCATGAAGGGTTATTGAGTTATCCGATGCTGCAGTTGCCCGTGTTTCGGACACAAATGAGTCACAATAAGCCATTGATTGTGTTTATGTTTAATGAAACTGATGGTGCAAATAGCTTGATCAATGATGCATCAGTCTCACCGTCAAAACACCAACATAATCAGCATAAACTAGACCCATCCTCAAAATCAACAACCCAGATTATGTCCATCAAGAATTACTTGAAATCGCCCGCTCCATTTTCAACTTTTTTCGACAAGTTTGCTCGCAATTGGATTAATCAAGTGGATTACGACTCATTGATTCATTCAGTGTTTTGCAACGTCAATAGTCAAGATGAAGATCATAGCTTTTGCTTGCGATTGCGTAACCAAGTAGTTGACGTTGTTCCCGCATTCAAGAAATTTGTCGCCATGTCCGACCCCAATGTCGTTGCGGATACAGTTGCATCCCAATTGAAACAAAATGAGAAAAGCTACTCTGCAAGCCTAAGCAATAACCTCAGCGACAATCATGATGACATTACAGTACAAAGCCAAGCGGTTAGACAGGTTCATGACAAATTACAAGCCAAAAAACATGCCTTGACTATGGCTGGCACCACTGGGGTCAATTTGATCCGTGATCCCAAGCACGTGTTGCACAAATTGGATGATTACATTGACAACAAATTAGATGATCAAATGGATAAACTTGGTAACAAGAAGTATGAAATTGCCGAGTCACTCGATGACAAGAAAGAAGCCGTGTTAATCTCACTCGATTCCAAAAAGAGTTCGGCATTCGATTCAGTACGCGATGCAATGAGTGATAAAAAATCAGCCTTATTTGATGAATTCGATGTTGCTGTAGAGGGGGGGAAATTTGTGTCTTTGATTGATGATAAACGACAACAGGTCTCTGATTTGATTCAGCGTAAAAAGAATGATTTGCAAGAGTGGGAGTTCAAGCCACAATTGTTTGAAAAGAAGAAGGAAAAGAGTCAGGACAAGAACAACAGCAACAAGGGTCAGGGTGTCATTGATAAATTGAAACTGAAATTGAGCCGTGATGGATCTGATGACGATGACTATGATTCCGACTACGACCATCCCGCTTTATATTCTGATCACTCTGATGGCGAAGACCGCTACGACAAGCACAGTGATGATGGGAAGGAGTATGTAAACAAGAGGAGCATGAACTCCATTGACGACACTCGTCTCGATTCGTCTAGGGAAAGAGACCTTCATGACGCATCCATACAACCTGGAGTCGGTGACTATATCGAACAAGGAGGCTTTTCATTGCCGTTATCATTACTAAACTATAAAGGGCCATCGAACAATAACGCAAATACGGCTCTCTTTGATACCGATGATGTTGTTAACGAGATCGAATCCAATAATCAACCACCGAGGAAAACCACCTACAGCCAAGTTATGAATTTGGACACGATGTCACCCATGAATCAAAAACGGTCATCGGACGAGGAGGAGAAGGAGCCATGCCAACCAATAACATGGTACAATATCTTCCATCACAGTGTTTTCGGTGAACCCAACTTTTGCAAAGAATGAGTTGAGAGAAGTCTCAGCTCCTTACCGGTGAGAGAGTTGGCCTACGAATCTAATCATCTACGCCGTTGACAATTATGTATATCTTTCTCTCTCTTTTAATTTTTGTTTACGAATTCCATTCTATATATGGTACATCAAACTCGTTTGTCTTGAAGTCAAGTATGTGTGTGGGAAAATGCCCACCCCCTTTTAAAGTTGAAGTTACAAAAAAAAAAAAAAAAAAAATTGAACTGAAATTTGACAAGCAAAGAATAATCAGACACAACGGTCGTCCCTTATTTCTCTGTCACATTCGCCCCGCTCCTCTCTTCTCATCTAAATGCATTTCGACTTCCATTGGTCCTTTGTTGATAATACTGGTTATTATTATAAGCAGTGTTTTGTGAATATGGATTTTGAACATTCGAGTAGCTATCTTGGTAAGCCCCAGTTTGTCCGTAGCTAAACCCACCTCCAGTTCTTGCGTTATCTCTATTGGGGTAGTTTGTAGGCAAAGCATTATACGGGTTACCCACTATCGTTGAGCCAGGCTGCGTTGGCTCCATCATGCTTATTGAATCACGCTTGGATCCAGATCCAGATCCAGATCCTGTGCTAGCTGTGCCCCCTTCTCCTAATCCAGGAGCACTCGAGTTTCCAGTATTTAGATATACAGAATCCTCATCATAAGATTCATCATCATATGCCAATGGACCACGCTTACCATGCTCGTGGCCCTTCATGGCTGTTGCACCCAATGCCATCAATTCCATATCATCATCACCGCCAGCTCCAGCACCTTTTTTGCCTCCTGATTTGGGTAAGAAGGAAACACGGTCATCACGCATGGGCTGGTATCTCGCATCAGGATTCTTTCTGAATATGGCCAACACACAAGTGACAATGGTGAAGATCAACAAAAACAAAGCAAACACTGCGTTAAGCACAAAGTAAACCACAGCCATAACCGATGAAACCACATTAGGCTGTCCAAAAACACTTGAAAAGAACATAAAGAATAATGCATTGATGAAATTGAAAACACTGATGGTGATATTGAATGCATTTGTCCGCTTGTCCATAAATGGACGAATCCAAGAAACAACAACCAAATGAATCAATTCTATAGCCCACACAATCACTGACTGTGGTTTACCATGCTTCTGTAATACCGCCACAAATAGCGACTTGATGAAGATGTAAAATAATGAAACCCAAATAAACCAGTAACAGTCGGCTCTATATTGAGCGTACAAAAATCCAAATCTATTCAAGAATTTGACGTCTCCAAATAGCAAATATGCCGGGTTTTTGAAATTATTTGTTGAGTTTCTTCCCATGAGGAAAACTCTTGCTGCTGCTTGAATCAACAAAACCAACGTGATTACCAACAAAAACACGGCAACAACCACGGTCCCAACAGAATCTCTTGTGGTCAATTCCCAAATACACAATACTGACACTTGGGGCAAAGCAATAATCAATAAACGATAGAGTGACCCTTTTATGATGGCGCCCCATTGTTGGCGATATTCATTGAACTTTTCAGCTCGTATCACTTTACTTCTTGTCAAAATTTCAACAATGGCCTTAAACAACATAAGACAAACCACCATAACAAAACCAAAGAAGAGCAAAAAACATATACCAGTCATAAACACATCGGTTATTTCAATTTTGGCCAAGTACGCCACACGCTGAATACCTCGCAACACCAAGATTTTCCCCGACAAATTGCTAGCCTTTTCATTGGTTGAGTACAAATCTGGATCTAAATTGTCTGCAGTTCCATAAGTATCCGAGTCCAACAAGATGTTTGCTCTTTTGGATAATCCGGTGTCATAGTTCCTCACCCCTTCAATCCACTCAAGAGACCTCTTGGCAAACTTTTGTACTGAAATAGACAAATACGATGCTCCTATAATGTCAGTTGGAGTGCCTCCAGTAGCCTGAATATACCAATTGGAAATATCTTGAACAAATCCAATTTTTATAAGCCCCACGGACCACATAAAGTTTTGTGCCCACGCTGCAGCAATGGGAGGAACTCTAGCCACAGCCATCATTGCAATAATTGCCAATGATTGGAAGTAAACGAAAAGAGACATTGAGTTGGAAGCAATGTGAGCTGCGGTACTCGAATGGCCAATGACGGAAATAACACCAGATGTAATGACCCCCAAACCGGAAATAGCAGCAATTGGCCATCCTGCATACTTAGTTTGTACGGATTTACCATTGGATAAAATTGCTTCCACACATGCTAGCTGATCTAGAGAATCCAAGTCATAAAACAACACTCTAACTCTGGCATCGACATCGGGCACGGTAAATGCTACTCCGGGGATCTGGTTTGCAATAGATGAAGAAACTTCCATGCTAGTGTCAAGATTGATATGTCCTGAAGTCAAAGGGCAAAGTGGGTTGTTGCCTTGGCCAGTGTAATCGATATCACAAAGGGACACATTTCTTTGAAGAACATTTAAGCCATAGACAATAAGGTTGATGTAAGCACCAACTTTGGCATCAATTGATGAAATTGCATTGATGTTGAAATAGACGGTCTTATTTCCTGGATAGTAGACAACATCGAAATATGACGCAGTGAATTGGGAATTTTCCATACATGTCAAAAGTGAAGTTGACTGGATATGGTTGGCAGCCGTTATCACATTGAAAAGACAGGTTAAGCCAATTAGGAGTAATTTATATGGCCGCATAGTTGATGGATCTCAAGTGTGATAGACGGTTGTAAGATAGATGGAGGTGTGACTAGTTGTTCACTGGCTGTTTAGGGTGTGGGTGTTGTTTGTGCAATGTGAAACAAGTCAGTTGGGATATGTTGGAAAAGATACGGCACTGAAGTAGATGGTGATCTGCAAGTGAGATGTGTATCTATTGCAAGATATAGGTGGAGGGGAAGTAGTTGTAGCGAAAGGTCTGTTGCACTAGTTAAATGCCAGTTGATTGAGTTGTATTGGGGCAGTTGTGTCCTATTTTTTTTTTTTGGAGAGTCTTTTGATTTCGTGTTGCAAGATTTCGAACTTTTATTTTTTATTATTTTTGTCTGTCTGTCTGTTCTCTGTTCTCTGTTTTGTGTTCTTTGTTCTTTGCTCTTTGTTTTCAGTGTCTGTTTTAAAAATTTAAAGGCGGAGTAAAGACAGTAAACAATTTTTTACACTACTAACGGTTGAATAGTTAGTTTGTATACCAAGAAGTGATAACGCAAGTGTCGTATAGATGACTCTTATATATATAGATCCCTGGTGACCGTGTCTCCAGAGATGGATGGGCTTAATATCGTACAAAGTGGTGGAAGTAGAGTCGTTGTTGTTGCAGTTTTCGCAAGGGGGTTAGAGAGAGAAAGATTTTTACTTTGTTGTTTGTTGTTTTTTAGTTTCTGATTTTGAGTTACTATGCATTACGTAATTCATATTTATTATTGTGTGACTAAATTCTAAACTTAGCACAGAGAATGTAAACATACAAATATCGCTACCCAATCTACACAATCGAGTAAGTATTATGCATTACATAATGAAATACCAAGATAATTTATATGTGTTGTATTCAAGCCTTTTTTTTTTTTTATCATCACCCATTAATAAACAAGCAAACGAAACTTGCAAACAACCGCAGCAAGCAACATTCTTGACAGAAAAAGAGTGTTTATTACATTTAGTGTGTACGCGTGTGACTCAAACCAGTTTTCTATAATTAAGCTTCCTTTTTTTTTCTTTGAAAATGCACGTGACATAAAACAAGTGCGTATTGAAACATTGGCTTTGATAAGTTGACATAATGTCAAGGAACAACTCCAAAAAAGAACCTTGATATGGGGTATGCGGACACGAGAGTGTCTTTTCCTTTCCTTGAGAAAAGTCCCCATCCCAGAGTAGGGATATCTTGCGTGTTGCAAAATCTATCTCTTTGTTTTTGTTACTCGATTGTGGTTTTCTCTACCAGAACAGCCTTGTCTGTCCTAAGCCACCAAAGCATTCAATCGATGACCTATTTTAGTTGGAAGTGGCGTTCCTTTGGCATCCTTTGCTTGTCTTGGAAAACAGTGAAAAAAGGCTGTTGTCTCAGTTCAGACACAAATTGACTCCTTACGATATACACAACTAAGAAACAACCAGTACATTTTGATAAACAATCTATGTGCAACTTCATTGAGTGATCAATTGTACACTCAATTCGAGGCTGTGGTTCACCCCAAATTCTGGACACATATACCCAAGGTTCTTCTTCGCCACACCAAACCATCACCGAGAAAACATTTTGCAATCGGTAACCTAGATGTCTTAAACAAATGTTTTTCTTTTTTATTTTTTTATTCTTTACAAAAGTAATAAAATCAATTCTAGCTAAACAAGATCCTTTGTCTTCTCTCAAGGACACACGCACCCGAGTTCTCTCCTCAATAAGGAATACCATTGGTAATTCTCTGGAATTCATCATACCCTTTGGTATAGAAACTCTCCATCGACTTCTTAATCAACTTTCTGAAATACAATGCAGCTTCTTTATCGCTCTTACCAGGAACAAACCTCAGACGTAAATTTTTTATAGTGGTATCCTTGAAACAAGGCAACCCTGACTCCAACATGGGCACAACTGTCCGAACAATCAATTCCATGTATGGACGACATGCCAAGTAACCCTTGATACACAACTCTTCAAACCACTTGAAAGCTTGAGTATTTTCATTTCCACCCAAAACCATAACCATCTCATGCGTCAACTTGAATGGTGCCGCTTCAAACTTGACTCCTCCAGGAACAATATCAAAACAGAATCCAAAATCAATGTGTAAAATATGTCCTTGGTCATCATACATGATATTACCATTGTGTCTATCCTTGAATTGCAACAAATACGAAATAATTGAATATGCCGCCAACGACTTCACCAAATTGTTTCTTGCGCGTTGAAATTCAATCGATTTTTGTGGGCCAAATTTGGTGATGTAATACTCGAACAATCCATTAACTGCCTCTCTACCCAACATATCTCTAGATGTGGAATTGGGCAAAACATCAATCACACCACATCCTGGAGCAGTCGCAGTGACCCTGTATGGGTAAACATAAAGATCTAATCCGGCATCACTCCAAATGGTACGGAAGATGGAAATCAATTGCAACGCCAAAACATCTTGTCTACAATCATCACCAACCTTGAAAATGGCACTTTGCCACTTCTCAATCTCAACTTGCTGCGGTTTACCATGTTCATCATAATCGGTCAACTCCTTCTTGATTTTGAAAGTGGCCATGAATGGAGCTTTAGCGTGTGATTGCAATGGCTTACCTGACTTACGATTGATGTCAACAAGCACACCATCTGGATTGGATGGCAAATACACACCAGGCTCAACTTTAATCAACGCCATTTCCTCATCAATCTTGGCCTTTTTCTCCGCTTTGGATTTCTTGATGTATGGTTTCAATTTACCGGAAATGTCAGTAACCTCATTAAAGAATCCAAATTCCTTGTGATAAAACGCCAAGTCATCACTACTCAATTCCTTCAACATGGATTCTTGAATTCGATCCAACACGGGCTTCAAATCATCTGGCTCTGTGGAATCATCATCCTTGTAACTATTTGCCAACATATTCCAAATGATTTGGTGTGCAAACAATTGCGACACTTTGGCAGTTTCAATAATAAAACGTTCCACATACCCCTTGGCATCGTGACGTAATGACTGGACAATCTGCGGCACATAGAAAAATGTCAAATTAACATCATGCGATTCCAATGATCTCATTGTGTATTGCAAGATATAAGGATTTGCACCAAATGGAGGTAAAAACAATGTAATGGCATCAATTGGGGAAACTGGTGACCAAAACAACAACTGATGCGAAGGCATATGAGTTCCAAGATTGATACCAATGAAAAATTGCACAGCATCAGGATACGTGACGGCTGGAAGTGGATTCTTGATTATCAATTGCTGAATCAAATCATCATGATTCTTGCTTTCATACCTCATGGCCAAATTAATTGCCAAGATGGGGTCAATTTCATAAGCACGCGTAATGTGGCTATTCGTCACTTGATGCGATGCACCGAGTATCGAACCTGAAGTATCACTTGGATTCAACGAAGTCAACCAAACATTGAACCTGTACACTTCGTCATCAAGAAATTGCAAAAAGATAGTTCGTTTCATCTCAATATCCTTCAGGCGGAAAATCGACACTGCACCAGCCATTCTTGCCACTTCATTCATCACTATCGCCTCGCTCTTGAATTTCAACTTGTTGGCACCAAAGGGGTAAACAAACCTTTGTCTAAACCAAGTCAATGCCCCATCGAAAATCAATTCCGTCAAGTATTTACAGATTCTCGATCCCAATTTCAAATGAACTTGCAAAACTTCAAATGAAAACTTGATCAATTCAAATCTTACCAACCTCGAAAGCGGATGATAACTAGCAAACCTCAAGTTTTTCAACCCCACTTCAACAAACCTAGTAAACAATTTCAACAAATGATCACTCTGATTCAAAGTGGCTTCAAAATTACTGGCAAATAATCGAACCAATTCCAAATGAGGCTCAAAACTTCTTTGCGCCTTGTCAGCCAACTTGACATCAATCGACCTGTTGCTTGGAGCATACTCCATCTTGTCAAATTCGGGATGCACTATATCAAGCTCTTGCGAATATAAACCTTTGCTCAATTCGATTGATTCTTCCCATTTTTGTGCCAACTCACTAAGCAACAACATACTCAATTTAGGTTTATCCTTCATAACAGCAAACCATACACCGCTAGCTGGTATCATTACCAGCGGTTCAAACAATATAAAGGGTATTTCAACCATGTACCGAACCAACTCGGCATTGTTAACATCAGATAACATAGTCAACCCTGCAATTTCCGTCAACAAACTCATAATCTCCTCGTCAGATGGATTCTCAGTAAAGTGGTCAAACAATCTCAGTTTTATATTGTAAACTTTTTCTCTAATGGCTTTGAATGCCAAATCAGATTCTTCATCAGTTCTAAGTGGCAATTTGTTCATAATTTGTGAGACAAAATTTGATCTCCAATTCAACTGCGATACTATTGAAGGTGTGGTATCTAATGCAGATATATTGGCATATGTAATTGCCTGTAGGTCGCGATCATGAGATGAAATGGACCCCGACATCTTTAATGCAAATGACAAGCCAAACTGAATTGGGGTTTCAAATTGCAATTCCTCATTTGCCGCAACATAAGACTGAATTAAACTCTTGACGTCAATATTCGACTTGTACAACAACAAATCTACCCAATTCTTGGCCTTTTCATGGAACCGATTGAACGTGGCACATCTCCAATCATAGTCATCAGACATGGTGATTTTGATTCCCGTGCATCTTGCTCTGAATGACGTGGTTGGATCATACTCATGCACATCAGCATCAGCAATACTTTGAAACAACAATGTCAAGATATCGAAAAGAGCAAACAACGACTTCTTATGACACAATGAAGCGGAAACTTTGTTAATCAACATGTCACAACATTTAATAGAAGCATCTTGCATCTCAGTCACTGGGTGGGTAGTCAATGTCAACATCGTCGTCAACTGATCTGCAATATGATCAGAAGTAAATTGCTTATTAGCACCAGCATTTACTAAACCAATGTAGTCACGAATAATTTTAAAGGCAATAGGACCCAAGAATTTATCAACTCCTGAAATCTTACTTGTTGGATCGGTGAAATAATACAAGATCTTTGAGCAATCACCAGTACGCACTCGCAAACTCTCACAAAAGACAGCAGCTGACAAAAACATCAACTTAGGATACGAAATTGTCCGATGAACTTCAAATATATCACCCAAAAATGTCTTGTGCTCTTTGATGTTGTGGTTTGAGGAACCACGTCTCAACACAGTGTTCAACTCAATTGACGTTTCAGTCCTGTCCCAAGACCTTTCCGACATCAATGGCGGTGTATTATAAGCAATTCTTTCCAATTCCTTGGTAAACACTTTGGCATTTTTAGAGTTCAAATTGTAGCCATGAACAACCATATTGAACCAAATGTTTCTAAACAAGTTGATTGTTTCGGTTTTTTCAATTTTCAAAGGTGCCTGTCCTAAATGAACATCGGGCAACAATTCAGCCAATGGTTTTAAATACACTGCAATTTGATCTCCAACTTCACTAATTTCATTGTGGGATCTGTGATGCTCCAATTGTTGGACATCCCCTTTGCTGATTATCGACAGTAATAACTCGTGCAAGTAAACAAAATACAAGTGATTGTCTGGTTTCAATTTCGACGACAAAATCAATCTGGAGTCATTCAAATGGCCCAACAAGGTGACATTTTTCCTTTCGAATGAGTCGACAGTCAACTTATTCAATAATCTCACCAAAACAATAAATTCACGTTCAGGCACATATGGAGCACATGAACACAATCCTTTTAAAATCAATGGCCCAATTGGCGATTCAACCTTGGTCACTTTCTGCGACAAGATGGTACAGGCCAAAGCTGGAATCGACTCATCGTCACAAGCCTCTGATACTTCAATAATGGCAGTAATTGCATTTTCGCACACTTTTTGATAATCATTCTCATCATATTCACCAGACATGCTTCCCTTGCTAAACAATTGGGAAAATGAGGTCATTGATGTTCTTCTCGAAGATAATGGCGATGACGCATACTCTCTCGCCGATGCATTATCAGTTCCACCCGTGTAATTTTTAGCAGCCCTTCTGGCACTCTTGGAAGGCCCTTGTAATCCTTCATTCGTGACGAATAACAAGTTGGTTAATGAATAGATTGTAGTAACAACGGCATCTTGAGGCAATCTCTTACTTCCCAACCCAACACACTTTGACACGTCCAAACAATATTGTGGTTGTAACCTTGGATTTGCAATAACTGAAGTGAAAACACGCGTCAATAAAGGACCAATCAGGTCATCTTTGAACACCAACAATGATCCATATTGAAACACCGTTAAACCCAAATCAGGATCCAACATGGCATCCTTAATCTCTATATTAGTCTTGAATAGCTCTTTAGATGTGTCAAGATCCAAATTGTTGGTAAACATTCCGCAACTCAAAACCTGCAAGTTGAAGCTTTTTGCCAAGTAGCCCAATTTTAATCTATTGGTGGTTGAATAAACAATGTAAGTTTCACCCCTATCCAAAAACTCCAATTTTCTCAAGGCCAAATCAGTCAAGATTTTAATGATTTCGAGTTGTGCTCTTGGGAAAGACAAGGGGTCTTTTCCATGTCCAACAACTGCTCTACCGTTGATCTCATCCTCATCATACTTTTTGGCTGCTTGGGTCAACAAATATGGCAACAAATCTTGCGATTTTGAGCCTAAAATTTCAACTAAAATCGAGCACATCAATCTCGACAATTTTTCAAGATAAAGAATGGGTGAAAAATTGAGACAAAAATCGCGTTCCAACAATTCTTGGTATGGGTTTGGGTCATCGTAAAGAAAATCTGAGTAATCCTCAATGGCACCAAGAATCTCTGAATTGTCAATTGCCGCATCCAAATTGGTGAAAATGCGGAATGTTCTTGAAGAAAAAGATAAAAACTGAGCATTTTGGTTCAATCCATCAATGACACCACTCAAGGTGAGGAAATTGCTCAATTGCAAATCAGTATTGTCAAAAAGCTTTTCAGTAAATTGATGGAAAATTTCAACAATTTCATCAAAGTATTGCCTATTGGATTGATAAGCCAAATTGATTAAAGCAATCGTCAACTTTTCACCAAGTAATGTCCAAGGAGCAATAGCAACTGATTTGGATACAATGCTGTACGCAAATTGCTGTTCTGGCAATTCAAACAAGTAAACCTTAAACTTATTGATCAAGGTCTTGATTTGACTTGGCAACTTGATTGGCTTTTCAGTAGCATCACACAATGCAACAAGAGTTTCATATTCTTTGGGAGCCATCGCGACATTGGACAACTGGGGACCATTGATGCTGTTGATGGATTTTCGTAAGGGCAATTCCTTAGGAGTAGACGTCAAGAGTTTAGCAAAATCATCCTTCTGTATACCAGTATTAATTTCTTTCAAATTGGATGGAACGTGCTCAACCGTGAGTGCGGCCAACTTCTTAAGAGCCTCACCACGAATGGTACCACGTGTGATACCATAAAAGTCCATTCTGTATCACTTGAGCTGAGTTGTGTCTGGTAAAGTAAAGAGAAGATGGGAAGTTCAAAGTCTTGGAGCGATAGAGTCTTTCAAATATATAAGAGAAGCGAGGGGGGAAGGGAAGGTCTCTGTATCTGAGGAGAGAGAGAAACAACGAAATAAAATGAAGAAAACAAAAAGTGGGGACTTTGACGCTACCAATCACAAGACTTTCACATGGTCCGAATACAAACGTTACCAAATTAGGAAATGAATTCTATGCCTGAACTTTAGTCAGCAAAGAGAGAGTTCTGCGTAACATTGCAAAGGATAAGTATAGTAGATGAGCTAATGACTTTACCAGAAAAGTATACACTGTTATGTATGTATATATATGTATATATATATACATGCAGTTCTCTTACTCACTGAAACAGCAACATCCTGTCCTGTGTTTCTACTTTCCCCCCTCTCATGAGTATGTTTCAATCAACGTATCTCTCAAGTTGCCGCCAATTGCATCTGGTTGGGCATCTTGTAATTTGAAGATTGATTCGATAACGGATAATTCAGGCGCCGTAGTATCTGATCCAGCAACACTGAACCAATCATTAACAACCAATCCAGCACCAACCACATTGGAACCTCTATTCACAGTACCAGCAACCAATGGCACTTGCAATAAACTGCTCAACTCTTCTTGATCTTGAATTGAGGTTTGTGGATGCACCAAACCACCTTGATTACTCAAAGCACAATATGAACCAACAAGAACGTTACCTGCAATAGTTTGACGAAAGACTTCAACTCCCAATACATCAGCAATCAACTCTTCTGTTTCCCTTTCAATATCAGGGTGAACCAATGCAACATAGTCATTACAACATATAACATTTCCCAATGCTGACAATCGCTCTTCAACTCTTTGAATCTTGACGGAGTCTGGTAATGAGTTTCTTAAATGCATCAATTCTTGGTCGGTAGTTTGGGTGGGTACTAAAAGTCCACGTCTATTCCCACTTGTCATACGCCCAACTATACGAGTACCGGCAATAGTTGTGTGAACGATAGGAATAACATCGCCTAGTTCGGCTTCAAACGATGAATAAAAGTTTTCTGAACCGCCAACAGCAACGAGAGCGTATGAGTTTGTTAATTTAGAGAAGACTCCAACTTCATTTGAATTTTCAAATTGAGTTCTAGTGGCCATGATTTTAGTGTAAATTGAAAGCTTTTTCTTGATGTGAATGGTGTGAAATTATAAAACGTGGAAAGCAAATATGGTTATATATATATGTATATATAATTTGGAACAATCTCTTCAAACAAGTACTTGCTTATCTGTCAACAGTGTTTGTTTATATGTTGTGATGATGACTAAATTCCAGAGATGAGGTTGAAGACAGAGTTGAAAAATTAGGGCAAACGAGAAAAAGAAATAAAATTGTTGAAACAAACACGACCTCGGATAAGTATTTGAGAGGCAAGTGCATTCCCTCAATCTTGCAAAGGAAAATAGGTTCCTCTTCTTGAAGGGTTTCACTACAGTTTACAGAGGCAGAGAGACATACACTTTTTCGAATGAAAAGGGGCTCATTTCAATTCAACTGAATTTTAGTTGCAAATCTGCAATACAGCTATGCAGTATTGTTTGAATATCTTGAGTCAAATGGAAGCGACATCGTTAGATTCAGCTTCAAATGAGGAATATTTTGGTTATCTCGATGGAACTTGAAGAGCGACAACTGTCGGGAAATCTTTTGAGGGTCACAAGAGTCGCTGTTGATGAATAAGTGGATCCGAGAGTCAAACTGTTTCAAGATATTTACAAGAGGGGTTGTCGCTTTAGTGCAACAAATTGATAAAATTGAAACTTTATTGGAAAGCTTCCAATGGGTCTTTAATCAGCTATGTTTACGAGTTTTTTTTTTTTTTCTTTCATTGTTCTCTAGCATACACTATATACAAAAAAAACCCTAGTCCAATTCTTCCTTCTCATCATCATCCTCATCTTCACTATCTTGCCACTCATTGACATCATTCATATCTTCATCCTCAGCCTCATGGTTTGGAAGCACTTCCAAACCTTTCTCACCAACAACAATATTAACGGTTTCTTTATCCTTTATTTGTCCTTTAAGAATGTAAATTGCCAACTTGTTCAATATCTCATTTTGAATCAACCGATTCAATGGTCTAGCACCCAAGTCCGCCGACCATCCATTCTTTATCAAGTAGTTCATGGCATCGTCATCCAAGTGCAAGGTGATCCTCTTTCCATTATCTTCAAATCTCTTTGTCAACTCATTCAATCTGATTTTAACAATCTTGGCAATTGCCTTTCTCGACAATCTGTTGAAAATGATAATGTTGGAAATACGGTTCAAAAATTCCGGTCTGAAATGTGATTTAACAGCAGCCATGACATGCTCTTTAGTGCTGGTATCAATTTTGCTTCCCTTTGATTCACTAATGTATTGAGCTCCCAAATTGGATGTCATTATGAAAATGGCATTGGAACAATTGACCAATTTTCCCTCACCATCAGTGATTCTACCATCATCCAAAATCTGCAACAAGATGGTCAACACTTCGGGAGCTGCTTTTTCAACTTCATCAAACAACACAACTGAATATGGTCTTCTAATCAATGGTTCTGCAAGAATGTTTCCTTCTCCATACCCGACAAATCCAGCGTTGGAACCCAACAATTTGGATGTGGACCATTTGTCCAATTCAGAACAGTCAATGCGAATCAATGCTTTTTCGTCAGCAAACAAGAACCCGGCTAATTTCTTGGCCAATTCAGTCTTACCAGATCCAGAAAGACCAAGGAAAAGGAACGAAGGTGGTTGGTTAGGGTTTGACAATCCTGATCTCCTCAATCTGATGGCATTGGACACCGCTTTAACCGCTTCTGATTGACCAACAACCGAGCTCGACAATTCCGATTCCAAGTTGATCAACTTGGCATTTTCAGCTTGACTTAATTTTGTAACTGGAATACCAGTCAATCTAGCAGCTGTCTCACAAATTTGATCGGGACCAACTGCATTCTTCAATAAGCTGTCCAAATTGGCAGACTCTTCCTCTGCAACTCTAACTTCCAATTCTTCAATTTGTTTTTCAACATCGGGGATGGCAAAGTATCTCAAGTCGGCAGCAGTGGCAGTATCATGTCTTCTCTCCGCATCTTGTGCTTTAACTTCCAACTCATCCAATTTTCTCTTTGCGGCAATAAGCAAATCGTGACCGGCACGTTCTTGATTAAACCTTTCCTTTAATGGTCCCATTTGTTCTTCAATGCTAGCCTTCTTCTTCTTGGCAGCTTCCAATCTCTCTTTGGAGTTGGAGTCGGCGTCCTTATCTCTCTCCAACGCATTGATTTCAACTTCAACCAAATGCAATTCTCGTTCAAGGTTATCCAATTCTTCAGGTTTGGAATCTCTAGCAACGGCAACGGCAGCGGCACTTTCATCGACTAAATCAACTGCTGAATCAGGCAATGCTCGGTAAGTCAAGTAACGCGAGGCCAATTGCGCAGCTGTGACAAGAGCGCTATCCAAGATTCTCACTCCATGATGGATTTCGTATCGTGGTTGCAATCCTCTCAAGATTGCAATGGTTTCATTGACAGTTGCTGCTGGGACGTCAATTTTTTGGAAACGTCTATCAAAAGCACCGTCCTTGGCAATGAATTTACGGTATTCGGCAAACGTGGTGGCTCCAATACAATGCAATTCACCTCTGGCCAACATTGGTTTCAAAAGATTGGCAGCATCGGATTTGCCATCACCCATAACAGTGTGGATTTCATCAATAAACAAAATGATAAATTCCTTGGATTTGGAGATATCATTCAAGACCCCCTTTAATCTCTCTTCAAACTCACCCTTGTACTTTGCCCCAGCAGTTAACGCACCCATATCAAGAGAAAACAATCTTGCATTTGACAAAACATTGGGCACATCTCCATCAACAATCCTTTGAGCAACACCTTCAACAATCGATGTTTTTCCCACACCGGCATCTCCCACAAGAACCGAGTTCGATTTCGATCTTCTTGCAAGGACCCTAATCACACGCCTAATCTCTTCTTCTCTTCCTATAACAGGATCAATCTTACCCTCTCTGGCCTTTTCAGTGAAATCCTCACAGTACTTGTTCAAAAACTCATAACTCGAGGAGGAATCAGCTTGTCTTGAATCAATTCTTTGGTCGCCTCGTAACTCTAATGCCTGGGCCTTGATGGCATCAGTCTTGATACCGGCCTCTTTGAAAATATCCTTGACTGATTGGTCCTCCAAAAGAGCCAACAACAAATGGTCTTGGGCAATGTAGTAGTCCTTTTGTTGTTTTTCAATCTTGGCGGCATTTTGCAACACTTGGCCCAATTGGTAGCTAGGTCTAACGTCATCGGGCGGTGGGTTTTGACTTGGTAATCTAACCAAGTGTTTGTTTACTGTTCGTTCAAATGCGGGCCATTCGTACCTTGCTTTTTGAATCAATGTTTGCAAGTATGGTGTGGATTTTTCTGTGTCATCACTGGGGATGAATGCAGCTAACAAATGTAATGGAAGCAATTGAGTATTTGAATTTTCTTTACACAAGTTGGTTGCATTTTGTATAATACGCAATGCGTTATCAGTGTATTGAGTTTCGTCCATAGTTTAGCTGTTGTAGTATGTGTATCGGTTTAAGTATGAGAAAGAAGAAAGAAAAAAGAAAAACGGAAAAAGGTAAGCAATTGGAGTTGGCAAGACATTGGTCAAATGTCGGGATGTATTTATACAAAGAATGTCAGCGGTTAGCAATGATACTGATTGGGTGTCATATGTTAAAGTTTTACGTACTCCCTTTTTGTGTAATATGTGTTTGTTTCGTTCTAGATAATTCCACACAGTGCGAGAACATACTAGAAACACATAACTATACTACTGCAATAAGGAGACACCTAACATGTATACACGGCGATAGCAGTGTATACCCATTATAGGCAAATACTATTCAACAACACAATTGTCAGCCGCACCATATACTCTCACACACCGCCTTTTGTATCAATTGGTCCTTGGTTTGCAATATCATACTGCTGCTGCCCTGTGCGCAAAATAACTCCATTGCTTGGGAATACTTTTGTGCAACTCAGGTAAAGAAAAGATTAATCCATACCAAGAAAATGGTCCCAAACACCTCCGATAACTCAAACTAACTTCTTGCCTGTACCATGAATGTTAAAATATACTGCACTAATCCATCTCCTAGCAATATCACAATGTCTACTTCAAGACCATTTCAAAGATCTTGAATGGACAGACACAGACACTAATGCCACAGTCACGACAACGACACCTCGATTCAACCTCACGGAAATCACTCCATACTTTCTCAAAATCACCCAGCAACGGGAGCTGACCCAACTGCAACCGCATGTTTACGCCATATCCACTCTCGATAAACTTCAATCATCAACCCACATCTCAAAACTCTCCAATCACAACAATATATTTTATATAAAATCAAGACAAAGTTCACTCCAGTTCGACCACAAGCTCGAGTACTGGACATTGCTCACTGCAAACTCCACTACAGTCACGGATGCAACTGCAACTGCAAACACAAACACAAACACAAACACAGACACAAACACACTTACTAGCTCCACCTGGATCCCCATCACATCCTGCCTCGAACTGATCCACGGCAGCGGCGGCTACTTATCCCGCTACATCACCATCCACCTCGAGCAAACACTAGACCAAATCGGCGAAGCAACGTTGGGGATCCCTCCGTTATACTTTGCAATAGGAACGAGTTTGGCCATGGGTAAACGAGTCGGGTTCGCAAAGCAAAATACGTTGTTGTTCAGTTGTGCCATAAACCCGGGCGAGGTGGCTCAATTCTACATCAGGCCCCATTTTGTCAATGTTGTTGGATTGAAGCGGGTTTGGTTCAAGTTTAAGGGGAAAAAATTGCATTATGTGGGGTATAACTTTATCAAACCTTTTAAAATGCTCGTGGTGGATACGCCAGAACATCAATGTTGGGTATCGAGGAATATCAATGATTTGCAATGCGGAGAGGGGGGGGAGAAGAAGCAATGCTGGTGGTGTTGATGCTGACTCGTTTGGAAATGAAAAAGATTACAATTGACTTGTAAAGGGGCCGAGAGTAGAGAGTATCAGGCACTAGCAAATCTCGTTCATACAATCTGCAGACGTTGCATTCATTTCATAATTTCGTAACTAATGATTAATTTAATGCTCTATAAACTCATAACCCGTAAATAATCCCAATTAATGGAAAAATATATCAAAACATCGAACTAAATTGTGCCAAAAAATAAAAATTTTCTCACCATCAAACCCACCAAATTTACTCCCCATCGCGCTCCTGCAGTTGCTCCTCTTGACTATTCTTCTTGAACTTGAATTTCTTCATCTTGTTAAAGTAGTTCATCGAATTATCTACAATCTTGTGTATGCTGGTGCCTGTATTAGCACTAAGTGGAGTGGTGGGACTAGTAACCATGGTAAGATCAGATGTAGTGTTATGATGATGATGATGTTGTTGTTGTTGTTGTTGGTTGTGCTGGTGTTGATGCTGGTGGCTTTTGTAGTAAACACTTCCTCCCAGCATTGAAGACGATGGACCAGACTTGGAACTACTTGAGTTGTTGCGTGAAGAGGCTGGCGTATCTTGCAACAATTCACCATGCAGGAAAGATCCATCAGGACATGTTACATCAGTCACACCATTTGAGGACCTTGTTGACGATGACGAGGAGGAGGACACCGCGTCAGAAACCAAATCGGAGCAAATTGAAGGTGGCCGTGATCTAGAAGTGGGTGGTAGTAATGATGACGACGCTGTAGATGCTGCCGAGACTACACTACTGTTGTCGTTTGCCATATCTGCCACTGGAATGGAGTAATAATCATAACCATCAATCATTACTGAGGACGGCTTGTGTTTGTGTGGACTGCCAGGCTTATTGCCGCTGCTGGTGGTGGTGGTGGTGGTGATGTTTTGCGAATAATGATGATCATGGTGCTTGTGAGTGTTGACTGTTGCTGTCGTTGACACGTTGTCGGCAGTGGTAGTAGCAGTGCTGGTGTTGGCAACTTTGCTACTGTTACTACTGTGGCGTCTCTTGTTATTTCTACCGAAAAGTGAAATGTGCCGAGTCAACAGCGAATGTGGTTGTGAGTTTGACGACAGTGCAGAATTTGGTACTGACAAGTATTGCAGCACCACTGGTGTTTGTGGCTGCAGTTGTTGTGTTTGCGTTTGCGTTTGCGTTTGCGTTTGGTGGTGCTGTTGCTGCTGCTGTTGCTGTTGTTGCAAATGTGGTGGTGGCGAATAAGGTGGGGTTAATGGGCATTGCTGATTTATGATTGCAGTATCAACAGTAGGCCTCACATGACCAGACAGTAGGATACTCGAGTTAAACCCAACTTTGTTGAAGACATCATCATCATCATCATCATCATTATTATTCTCCTCACCAATGGTTTCACTATTCTTTCTTGAGGCTGGTAATGATCGAGGTAGAGACCCCATGGCGATGGATCTTCTTCTATATAACCCGCATTTAGTCCTGGTAACAGTTTTCAAATATTCGTGATACAAGTTTTGCAAGATTTCATTGATAATGTACACTTTACAATTTTGAACAGTAGATTCCAAGGGTAGTTGGGCAAAATGTAAAGTTGAACTTAATCTACTAGGTAAATTAACTTCCCATTCTGATTCAGCAATGAGAAACTTCGAATAAATTTGTTGCCACTTGGTTAAAGGATCCGTGGTGCGGGTGGTGGGGGTGGTCGAGTTGCTGTTGTGGACACAAGTTAGGAACTTGTTTAGTTCTAGAATAAATTGTAGATTCTCTTGACAGTGAATGGAAGATAAGTAATTGTTGAATGAAAGGAGTGTAATGTTGGGGTTCTTTGACAGTGCTGGTGTTGTACTGGCGTAGGGAGTATTTGTAGCGTCACTGATACTGTTGCTGCTGACATTATTTTCATTGCCTTGTGAGGTGGTTGTGGTTGCTTGTTTATCCAAGGTAGTTGTTGAGTTGTGTATCAAGTCATGAAGAGAAGGTATATCATGCTCTTCTTCTTCTTCAGGTATTTGGTGCTGCTGTTGTTGTGTGGTCTGTTTTCTACTGTCATTGTCTATGCTGTTGATAAAAGGTAGATTGAATTGCTTCGATGCAACGCAAGGCGTAGTGGGTGCAGTAGCAGATATTCTACTATTCGAAGTACTTAGTTTGTAGTTGTTCATCCTGTTAAGGGGAGGGAAGGGTTGTTCTTGTTGAGGCGTGCAAGTTATAGGGGGGGGGATATATAGTTACAAGAGTAAAGGTTGATATATATAAAAACTGTGGAGAAGCAAAGAGCTCTATATATACAAGATGATATCTCTGAATGTATGGAGATAAGAGAAAATATTGTGGATTACAAACCCACAGTATCTGTTTTTTTGTGTAGAAAATCTAAAAGAGAAATAGTAGTACAGTATTACGTAATGAAACAACCGAAATATGATTCATCAGTTACGTAATATCTTAAGAAACAATATCACTAAATTCTTATTGTGTATTGTGATTATGTGTAACTCTCTTCACATACTCTTTTGAAAAAAAAAAAATAAGAAAGCGCACACTCCGAGATATAAAATAAACTTAGATGTGGTAGTGTACTTTGTGCTAATTCTCAGTATTGTGTGTAAATATATCTGTATATCTTTCTGTATGTGCTATAACTTTACACCGCTCTCTGCGCAAATCTACTAGTTGGTATACTCCACCTCCTGTTGTGGTGGTTTTATACGTTTGTATCTGCTGGTCAACTCAAACAGAACGTAACAAATATACAAGTATTATATGGGTGGCTAATTATAGTTTCCAGACGCATATGTTTTAAAAAAAAGAAAAAAAGAGTATTCAAAAAAGAATATAGTCATCGAATTGTCTTGCATGATGGTAATGTTGTGGCTGGATACTAAACTGCAATGTAAACTTGTTTGTTGCTATGCGTTTGTATTAAAGTTAAATATTGGTTAGTGATGATGTAGAATGGGAGAGGGGTTGACGTAGTTAGTTTGTAATTGTTTGTACTGTGGTGGTTGTTTGTTACTGCTTTATGCCTATACACTTTGTAAATAGTTTATCAATTCTGGTGACGTATAGTATGGTATGGTATGGTATATGTGTATGTGTATATATCATATTACGTAGTTGTTTTGTAAAAGAATGATATCATATCATTCTTTCTTTCTGTCTCTCTCTCTCTTTATGTCTAATAACTGTGTTAGTTAATAACTTTTTGATACCTAAATTATCAAAAAGAAAAATGTCTGGGATTGATACTTTTCTCCGCATTTCATTTTGGTGATTACTACGTTTGTTAATTTCTTTTTCTCTCTTTTTTATTTTTTTTTTTTGTTTTAAATAGATAGATCGTAAACTACTAATTTGTAACTATTGTATTACTACTGTATTATTATTATTATTATTATTATTATTAGTCGTAGTAGTAGTGGAAGTATACTGCATACTGCCTAACTGCACTACACTTCACTACAAATATGCATTTGTATTCAAATGTAACAAACGTTTGCGCAATTTTTAAAATAATACACTATGAGTAAATATTTTATTTTTTTTTATTTATTTTTTTAGTCTTCAAGGAGAGAGGTGTAGATTACGTAATAGTATATCGTATATGCTTTTTGAGTATGTTATAGTATGCACACCCCCTTTTTTTACCCCTCTTTTTTCTCAGTTTTAATTCCGTCTCCGCAATTTTGTCAAATCTGTACTGAAATACAATTTACAACTATTTACATTCAGTACTCAATACTACTACTACTACTACTACTACTACTACTACTACTACTACTACTACTACTACTACTATTTAATACTACATTTTTTACCACCTTTTAGTCTTCTATTACAAAGAGGAGACAACAAATCAAGTCTCTTTTATCGCATTCTCCACAATTTGAATATTCCTCAAATACATACATATACAATATTCCCTCTTACATAAAAACTATCAACAATAATATCAAATCACTTTTTCCAGCCACAATTTATCTCCGTTTTTGTGGTGGGTGCCTAGACAATAACTCCCCCCCCCCCCTCCTCCTCTTTCTTTCTCTCTTAATTTGGTAGAGTTCAATTCAAATCATGAAACATACTAGAGAAAGGGTATTCACAGCTATTTTTAGTCTCAAACACAAAGCATATAATATGCATGCATAACGACCTATATGCAAAAGACTTGTTGTTGTTGTAAATATGTGTATGTCGACATAAAGACTTGTTGGAAATCTCATTTTTGCAATAGTTTATTTGGTTCTACATACACCACCACAAACGAAACAATATTTTGTTTTCTTAACTGCATGTGAACCTTCTTCAGAATACACCCTGATAAAAGAAAATCTCAATCCAACTATCATGGGTAACTGAAACCAAAATCCCTCACTTCTCCTTCCAATATCCATCTACTCTTCATTTCCACTACGTAAAAATGGCAAAGACGGATATATCTTAGACAAAGTATTGCACTTGCAAGCTATACCTGAATGCAGTGTAAATAAACCATCTTTGCAAAAGTAGAGGAGTTTCGAAGAACCTTTATTATTTTTTTTTAAGGTATATGCCCAATTAACCTCAACTTCATACATATCATACAGAGAGGACTTTTTACATACACTTTTTCCATAATTGCTCTCCGATTAGGTTTAACGAGGCACCAATGCATCATTGGTCAAGAAAAGAATTCTTCCATCTATGACAAAATTCTGATAAAAAATTAATCAAACGTCGAAATTCAAAGAACCAGCAAATTAGCAGCAAAATACGCAGTGAAATTCGCGTGAGATTTGCACTAGTCCAAACAAAGACTCCATCATGGGTCAGCCACTCAAGCACATTGAACTGCATCATGTGACCTCTCCACTGAGGATGTAGCTCCCTTTCTTTCAAGTTTACTCATTTTGCAACCATTTTTTTTTTGGACACATTCTCAGAGTCTTTGACAATTCTTTTTCTCCTGTGTCACCCGGGTCATCCATACTTCAATATCCGAGAAGTCTCGGAGCGAAAAAAAAAAAAAATAAATGCCTGAAAACAAAAAAAAATGTATGAGACACGATTCCTTCATGCGCCGGGATGAGCCACGCACCATTTTGACGTTGACACAGTATCGATGATTCACATTGAAACTGTAATGTTGAGTAGTAAGCTTCATTACTAATCAGACATATCACATCAGTCTGTTCTCTTTCCCTCTGCGTGTGATCACTTCACATCTGCATATTATCAGTTACAAAATTATTATTGTTTTCTCTCTCTCTCTCTCTCTAACTCTTTCGCTCACTCCGTTAAATGACTCTCTCTGATTCCCGGAGTTTTTTTTTTTTCTCAGTGACAACCGAGAGAGAGAGAGAGTCCAATGAAAAAAACATAATTTCATCTCCAATCATCATCAATCATCAACTTTCTCTTTAGCAACAACAAAAATTTTAAATTTTTTCTCCACGTCTTCTCAAGCAAGAAATATACTAAGGACCAGTCTTTCCACATATTCATAGACTATTTTTTTTTTTTCATTCTATTTATTTGTTTTACTGAACCCTTGCTAAACCTTCCTCCCGTTTTTCAGATCATGTTGTCAAGAGGAGTTAATTCAAGTTTGAAAAGAACCGCTCAAAGAGCTCTCAAGTCAAATGTTGCCACCGCCAGTTTGAAATTCTCCAGTGCTCAAGCATCCAGATGTCTTCATACTCAACAACCACTTGCTAAACCTCAATCCGCTTTCAACAGCAAGTTTACTAGTTTAAGTTTGGGGTCTGTTAGATATGCATCCACCAAAGTCAAGGTTCCAGATATGGCTGAGTCCATCACTGAGGGTACTTTGGCTGCTTTCAATAAAGAAGTTGGAGATTTTGTAAACTTGGATGAAACTATTGCCACTATCGAAACTGACAAGATTGATGTTGAGGTTAATGCACCAGTCAGTGGTACCATTACCAAGTTTTTAGTTGATGTTGAAGCTACTGTTGAAGTTGGACAAGAGATTGCTGAAATCGAAGAAGGTGACGCTCCAGAAGGTGGTGCTAAGAAGGAGGAATCCTCGTCATCCGGTAAAGAAGAAACTGAGCAAAAGAAGGAGGAACAAGAAACTAAACAACCTGAAGAACCTAAAAAGGAGGAGCCAAAGAAGGAGTCGAAACCAGCTCCACCACCAAAGAAGGAATCAGCACCAAAGAAACAAGAAAAGAGCTCTGCTTCTGCTGACGCTCCAACTTTTACCAACTTTTCCAGAAATGAAGAGAAAGTAAAGATGAACAGAATGAGATTGAGAATTGCTGAGCGTTTAAAGGAATCTCAAAACACTGCTGCTTCATTGACCACCTTCAATGAAGTCGACATGTCCAATCTAATGGAAATGAGAAAATTGTACAAGGATGAGTTTTTGGAAAAGACTGGAATCAAGTTGGGTTTCATGGGTGCCTTTTCCAAGGCTGCTTGTTTGGCTGCTAAGGACATCCCTGCAGTTAACGCATCTATTGAAAACAACGATACTTTGGTATTCAGAGACTATACCGATATTTCAATTGCCGTTGCTACACCCAAGGGTTTGGTTACGCCAATTGTTCGTAATGCCGAATCTAGATCGATTTTGGGCATTGAGCAAGAAATTGCCAACTTGGGTAAGAAGGCCAGAGATGGTAAGTTGGCCTTGGAAGATATGGTTGGTGGTACATTCACCATTTCCAACGGAGGTGTATTTGGATCATTGTATGGTACTCCAATCATCAATATGCCACAAACCGCCGTTTTGGGATTGCATGGTGTCAAACAAAGACCAGTGACTGTTAATGGGCAAATTGTGTCGAGACCAATGATGTACTTGGCCTTGACTTATGATCATAGAGTTTTGGATGGTAGAGAAGCCGTTACCTTCTTGAAGACAATTAAGGAATTAATTGAAGATCCAAGAAAGATGTTACTTTTAGAATAATTGAAATGGTGGTAGTGTAGGCGTATAAATACATATCTGAAAAAAAAATAAATAAAAGAAAGCACATATAATAAGATAATGATGTAATGCAGTAGAAGACAGAAGGGCAAGAGATTAACCATTTTGAAATCGATTTATGACATCAGCCACGTGCCACACCCGCAAACTCTCGTAAGCTGCAGAGAAAAGTGTAAGTGAGCGCCTCACAAATGTGCCACAATGGCAACTCTTTTGCTCCCCATAATCAGCATCACCTTTACAAAACTATCAAGTGATTCGCAACATTTATATAGCGTTTATATGATACACCACAAAGTAATACAACAGAGAGAAAAAAAAAAAAAAAATTAAGAGAAAAGAAAATAACTTAACTGCAAAAATGTTGACACAAAATTGTCCTCAATGTTTACCTTCCACCCTAATTAGGTAAGTTGATTGCGATTGTACACCTCAAGTCCATTTTTGCATCAATTTTGCTCTATTTAGAAGACATATCAGAGCATCAAAAAAAAACAACAGAAGGCAGCAATAAAAAAAAGTATTCAAGGTATATAACTCTTCCTTTCAGTATTCTGCATTTGGACACTCTGCGATACGAATGCAACCCACAAGTTGGCAAAAAAAAGGAGAAGAAGAAGAAAATACAGCATAGGAGAAAGAATATCAAGTTTATTTATACGGTTTTACTTCTTCGAGAGAGAGTATTTCATTTGTATCCAATCTTGCCCACTTTATTGACACAATTCGATTATTACCATCACGTACCTGCTCATAGAAAAATAGGAGAGGATCAATTGTACTTGCTATTTATAAAAACTATCAAACCACCAACTATCTGAAAGCTTTCATTTGTTGGTTTCCTCAAGAGGTCAATTATCTCACACCATCAGTCTCTACCCAATATCAATCAATAATGGAGAAATATATCAATTTTGGAGACGAAGGGGAGACTTTGAAACTGGACCTCCAACTCAACGTCGACAACTTTGACCAATTCTGGTTACCACTGGATCTCAATGCTAGCAACAAAAATACCACCACCAATGCACCCCAAGTCAACAACAGCAACCACAACAGAACTGAGGACCTCGACTACTTAATCAATGAAACACTCACTGGACTACAGGATCTAGATGTGCCAAGTGGGTTTGCCATGGCCAATAATGGAGGCTTCCCCGCAGCCTCATACAGTCAACATACAAGGCACAAGTCAAAGACACACAGTAGACAAATGAGTGGAACGGCGATTTTTGGATTCATTGACCATACTCGAGATTGGTCCATTGGTGGAACTTTGCAACCTAATGATTTTTACAAGCCTAATCACCAATTGTTTGGGAAGTCCATTGACTGGAGAAACATCAACCCAAATGACTTGTTGAATGCAGGCACATTAGATAATTCAGCTCAGAATCAGGAAAGAGAATCGGCGGTGAAGGAGTCTAATCAAGCTAAATCACAGAAGGTTAATAAACCAGTTAAGAAAGACACACCAAGCCAAGATATATTAAATCTCAATTTCGAAAAGGAACCGACATTCTTAGTAGACAAGTATGGCAACGATGAGGGTGAAGAAAACAATTTCACTGCCAACAGATTGGCACAACTGTCTCCAATTAAGCAAATTTCAACGCCAACTAGTTCACAGCCGCATAGTCAAAATCACAATCAAATTAGCGTTACTCAACCACAAACTGTAAAGCAGAATGATTACGTTGTAACTAATCAAAGTCCCAAGTCTTACAAGTTCCCACCACCGGCAGCACCGCGGTTCAAGAATAGTAAACCCCAAGAAGAGATGTCCCCTTCACCTCTACAAAGCAGATCAAACAGGTACGAGTATCGTGAAGGTGAAACAAATAGAATTGTGAATTCATATTCTGCGAAATATTTACAATCATTGCAATTTACACAACAACAACAACAACAACAACTGAAAAATAGTTTAATGAGCGATGCTATTTTGCAACCGAAACTACCATTCGAATATGTTGACGATTTCGAACCATTGCTAGGAGAGGCAAACTTATTGAAGAACACCGATGAAGAGCAAATGGCTTCTGAAATGCAATATGTTCCTCTACCGGTACAAGAACCCGGTTATTTAGCAAGAGCAACTGGTAAAGATGCCCCTTCTTTCCAACAAAAGCAAGAGCAATTGGCGTCACCAGCAATGACGCAAGCTACAATGAGTTCAAAGCCACAACTGTCATGCTCAACAGAGCCATTAGTAGAGCCACAAGGAGGCAGCAATGAATTTGCCAACAACTTTCTTTTCAACACCTTTTTACCACCACCTTCACCACCCACACTTTCCAATTCACACGACTCTCCCAATTGGCAATCATCTCCAGAACCACAATCGCCATCCCCTGGCAGGACACCTGGACTGTTTTTGCATAAGCAACAACAACAACAACAACAAGATGTTTCGCCATTGCATCCTAGTCTAAAAGGTTCCAATGTTAATTTCTATACCCCAATGTACTACAATCGAGATCAACAACAGCAGCAACAACTTTCGGACGCATTTCAATCCTCCCCATTGCACCATATCCAAGAAGAAGATGATGATGGCGAGACACAGCAGAAGTCTACTCTTGATAAGATTGAGTTTCGACAACAGCATTTGCATCAGTTGACTCAGCGATACAATCCGTCAAGTCAATTTCTTGTGAGTAAAGGAAGTTCTCGACAACATGCCACCAATTCATCCCCCTACAAAGCCATTAGCAACAACAAGAGCGCCAACTACTTAAATTCATCGCCATTCTCAACCATAAATTCATCACCAATAAGATACTACACATCTCCCGATAAATTAACAACTAAAATAATCCCATCACAGTCACCATCAGTAGTACCACAACAAGACACTGCAAGTCCAGATCCCAACGCAACCATCACCCAAATAACCCCCTTGCGCAACACCACCTACCTATCCACTCCAGTCAAATCCAACACCCATAACCTCCTCCATCAACTCCAAAATTCAACTCAACACACGCAACATCAACACCAACAGCCACCGCCACCGCCACATTTAGAATGGAGCCCACTCATCAGTCCCAACCTGAAAATCCCCCTCAAGAAACAACTCAAGGACACGTCACCACGTAACCGCATCAAGAAAACCACATTGTTACCACCTGGCGAAATCGACAATTATTGGGTCGGACCCAACAAGGACAAAAACTTTATCTGCACATACAAAAACTGTGGCAAAGTTTTCACACGCAGGTACAATGTCCGATCACACGTTCAAACGCATCTAAGTGACAGGCCATTCGGTTGTGAATTTTGCGGTAAGCGGTTCGTGCGCCAACACGACTTGAACCGTCATTTAAAAGGTCATGGTCAGTCGAAAATGTACAAGTGTCCATGTGGGAAGGATTTTACAAGGGAAGATGCAATGAAGAAACATCAGGAGAGGAATATCTGTGTTGGTGGTGTGAATGGCATGGTCAATAAACCGTCAGTTAAGAGACGCGTTGGTGGCAATGGTGGCCATATCGACGTTGCTGATCTAAGTGATGATCGGGTGTCGAGGAGGTTATTTGCTGATATCATTAATGAGAAGAATATGGCTAGGAAGTAGGCTGACAGAGAGAGAGAGAGAGAGAGAGAGAGAGAGAGAGATGGAGAGAATGCACGACTGGTGTGTTCGTGTTATTGATGGTGGTCTTTGCCTTTTCTTTGTTTGCAACGGGGACTTTGGTCTTTCATGGTTATTTCACCCTTTGTACTTCATTTTGCTTTCAGTTACACTTTTGTTTAATATTTATATCTGCTTCAATTCAATTTGCTTTCCGTATATCACTTTGATACCAGTTTGTAGAGATGGACTTTTCCTGTCTTTTACAATTCTCTGAACCATAAAAAGTATCATTTTCATTATTACATAAACAGGTTAAATAAGCTTTCCCGTACATACCACCAACCTTCATTCCATGTCATCTCTAGTAATCTCATTTGCCTCCGCCTCAACTTCCTTAGCACCAGTTCCACCCCCTTCACCATTATGAACCTTCAAATGCTGCTGAAGATTATCTGACCGACTAAACTTTTTATTACACTTTGGACAATCATACGGTTTTTCAAAAGTGTGCAATGATCGGAAATGCCTCTTCAAATGTTCATGTCGTTTAAATCTTCTCGAACAATAATTGCAAAGGAAAATCTTTGTTTCATCATTCAAATCGGCCTCTTTGTTTTCTTTTCGACCGCGTGTACGATTCTTGGAATTGATAATCGCCGTGGGGAAAATCTTGGTGTTGGAAGGTAAGTCCAACGAAGCTAAATCAACTTCAACTTCAACCCCCTTGGAAATCATTGTTGCTACTGGGGTGTCTAGTGTTGCAATTATCGGTTCTTCATCAAGCACGATAGCATCCATCTCTTTCTCGGTTTCTCTCTCCTTTTTCGAAATCTTTGAAGATGACCTTTTGTTTCCCTTCAGCATGATTTTGGCTCCTCCTAATAAACGTTTCGATGCAGTTGCCAAGGATGACGTGGATGTAAGAGGCTGTTGTGCTTGCGGTTGTGGTTGGATTTCAGATGTAACTGCTTGTTCGTCGCTTTCATTCAAAGACATGTTCTGGCCAACATGAGATGATGACGCATTGGATGAATTGACACTTATGTTGGTAGCACTCGAGTTATCAGCGAGAGAATTGGTACTGCTGGCCCCTCTTGCTCGCTGAGTACTCTTTCCAAAAAATAGCGAGGGTGTCGGTGCAGGATTGCCAGTGGTGTTTGGTTGTTGTGACTGAGTCTGATCCTCCTTGGTTTTTTCACGTTTAGGCTTTCTATAATTCGAGCCAATTGGCTTTCTCTTCCCAACATTTTCAAACAAAGCAGCATAATCCGGTTCAGCTGCGTTTTGAGAAGACTCCGAAGTGGTGTTTTCTAAATTGACTGGTCCTCCGGTCATAAATGAGGGAGTGCCACTAGATGCCTGTCCAGAACCAGGATGCACTGCGTCCAAACTCTCACTCTCTTGTAACAAAGGTTCCTTGTCACCAACCTTTGGTGATTCGTCAACGTCATCCTGCTTAGAAGACTTAAATCTTGTAAACAAACTTCGCTTAGAGCCCTTTTGTTTCTTTGGAGGCTCAACTTGTGTTTCAGACTCTGAACCCAAGGTAAGGTTTGTATTATCTGCTGATGTAGTCAAAAATTGGTTTGGCATTTCATCCATATTCACATCATCGTTATTATCCATCTTGTCAGCAGTACTATCAGCGATTTGATTCTGACTTGAGTTCAAAGCAGAGTTGGATTTGAATATCGATCGGATCAAGTGTCTAGGCTGATTGGGTATGTTCCCATTACTCATCACAGGTTGCGTAGATGTGCCTGGAGGTGACCTTTGCGACTGATTTCGATCACCCATAAATGGAATCATGTTGGAAATGGAATTGGTGAAGCTGGAATATCTTGCGTTCCGTTGTTGCTGTTGTTGTGATTGTTGGCTGTCCAAAGATGGGCGACCGATGAAATCCAGCGAGGGGCGGGTCAATGACAGCGGTTGTTGATCTAGTGAATTTCTCGTGAAAAACTGTTGGGCTGAAAAAAATGATGGTTGCGTTGAGTGTAGTGAATTGACGGAATGCGTGTTGGATGTGGTTGTTGTAATAGGCGACATCTCCTGAAACGATGCTGAGTTATTTTGAGCACCACCTTGGTGTTGAGACTGGAACTGGTGCTGTTGTTGTGCTTGAAACTGCAGAAACTGCAGTTGCGGATGTAGGTGCTGGTTGATTACGTTGGCAGCATAATACGAGTCTATGGATCCATTTCGCAATCTTCCCATAAACTGTTGACTCTCGCTGTCAACAACACTGCGTCGATTAATATTGTTAGCTTTGTCAAAGTTGCCATGACCCATATGTTGTATGTTTTGAACAGACGAAACTCTTGATGTGTCGTCAAAGGGGCTGCCTGTAAGTTCATTGGATTGCATAGGACTCTTTAAATGATTGTTTTGAAACCCGACATTGTTACTGTGACTGATAATGGACGACCTGTTGTCATTATGGTTTTGCAAGTTGTTGCTTGTGATTATAGAGTTATTGTCAAGACCTTGGTCGAAATAAAGGTCCAGCTCAATAGTGAATGGCGGAGAGTCATCAACTACCATGTTATCTCCCTGTTGGGCAAATGTTCCAGACAAGCCTCCTGTGACATTTTTTGAATCTCTATTCGTGCTGAATTGGTCATGTTTTTGATGTTGTAGTTGGTAGTGTAGTGGTTGATTCATCTGCCGCGAAAAGGATGATTCATGATGAGCATTGAACTGCTGTGAGTCAGGGTTGTTGTTTGATAGTAGGGTCTCCTGTATCTGTGGTAGGCGTTGGTCCTGTTGTTGCTGTTGTTGTGGATGCTGTTGCGATTTCAAAAGGAACTCAAAATTTATATCATTTAGCTGAAACTCTGTAAACGTTGCGTCACCTAAAATATCTTGTTCGAATCCATTGGCATTTACAGGCTTGGAATATTGAGAGTGTAGTTGTACATAGTCATCTTTCTTTTGGGTTTGCAGGACAGATGCTTGACCTCGATTACCAGAGTCAGGAGTTATGACAAAGTCATCAGCAAACCCACTCTTTTGACTTATGCCAGCATTCAGCTTAGTGGAAAAGTCACCATAAAACTCAGAAGCCAACTGGTCAATCTCCTGATTTAAATCCATAGCGGGGAGTAAAGTCAAGCCGTAACTGATGGAGGTTTGGACCGTTCGAATACTTCACGTTATTTAAGCCCTGGTGACGGACTGATTCAAGAAATGCAACAGGAATACTAGTATGAATCTTTGTCAGCTACACCAATGAAGTGAGCCTTTGTTAAATCTTTTATAAGTGGACCAATGTCTGTATATACAAAGTGTGTGTATATGTGTCCTTCGTATTTTCTTTGAACCTTCCCTCTTGAAGAAGAGGAAAAAAAATAAAATTTATAATTTTTATTATGACTATAGTTAGACCTTTGAATCACTAGACCATAACATACACACACACACATATATATATATATTCCCAGTTAAATACTGACAGATCAACTTGCTCTTGTAGATTACACTGTCTCTCTGTTGAGTAGTTAAACCTGCTATCTCCACAGTACATACAACACTAAGCTACATCCGGAATACCCTTTTTGACGTTCAAAAACGAAATTTTATTTCTTGTCAGTGCAAGAAGGCTTGGGATATGCAAGTTGAAAGAGACTGTGGTGCCATACCCTAAATCCGAACACCATTGCCGCAGCTGGTCTTGTCCATGTAAAAGCACCGATGACCGCATTCCTTGCCCTATTGCCGTAATCGCATGTCCTAGTTGCTTCCACACTAGCCGGTGGTTTATTTATAGATGTGCTGAGATTATATGCAGTACGGATTGGTACATGACTAGTTTTTGGACGGGGCTAGGCTAAGCATCCGACATAAATGTCTAACAACTGTGCCATCCTTTTCCTACCTCTGTGGTGATCTCAACTACTCGAAGGATTAGCTCTTTCAAGAAAGGAAATGGAATCAAATGAAAAGCATAAGTTATAACACCATACAAATTACATAATCAATAACTCTCTAAGGTCAAACTGACAGGCACGAAAAGATACTAGTAGAGCCTTTTCACAGAGAATTGATTTAAACAATGTGCACCAACCTCAAATCGCAAGTGGTGTCTCTATTCTTTAGATCCTGATGGAACCCGTTGTCTAAGGCCTGTGTGTTCCTCGGTCTTGTGCTCCAGGCCTGCTCGATTCAAATGGGCTTCTTCTTCGTGATGCAACATCGACCCGTCGTTGAAAGGATCCTCGCTATCCATTTCATTATCGGCATCTGGATTCATAACCTTTAATATTGATTTTCGTTTGCTACTAACCAAAACTTGGACATCCATCTTATCATCAATTGAAATTACATCGGAGCCACACTCGTTTAGTGGCTGCTGCGCTTCCTTGGGACCATAGCCACCTTTCACCTCAGCTCCGATCAACTCGTCGCCAGTCAAATGTTCAGTCTTTGTCAATCGCAAACTTTTGAGTTTGACTTTTTCATTATTAACTACTGGGCTAACCGGAGGAGTTTGTGAAAAGCTGAATGATTTTCGCAATTTTCGCACCGACTTGTGCATGACAGGATTGTTTGGATCCAAGCTAGGTCGTATACTTCCGACTTCTGACATCTGTTCTTCTTGGTGATGGTCACTGGTATCACTCACTTCGTCATCAACTGTTTGCAATGTCTCATTAGAAGCAAGGTAACTATTCCTTAATCGACTTCTGTCAAAGTCTTGCCTCTTTTTAATCCACGAGTCGATTGACGCAGCACCACTCAATGTCGAGTTCGAATCATTGTCATGTAGAAACAACAGAGTTAGATGGTGATTGCTGTGGGTAAATGAAGCTGGGGGGTCAACGTAGTCAAATTTGTAGTCAAAATCATTGTAGTCAGCATTGACCAGTTGCGATTTCGATTTCTTGCGTTTGTAAATAAAGATAATTATTCCTGTTATCAAGGACACAAAAAATATCGGTAGGACCGTTCCTAAAACGATCTTTTCTGTAGTGCTAGACTTTGTAGATGAGTTGGTATGGCTTGTAGTGTCAAGCGGCTTGGTATTCTCCTTGACATTTTCCACCGGTTCAAATGTGTTGACATCATATAGATTGATTTGGTACCCTTGACTCACCATACGTTTATCCTTTAAATCAGTGGTTGAATTGATAACTACCAATGTCGAGAATAATGTTGCAGCGCCTAACAATTCGTCTAGGTTGAAGTTATCTGGCTGTGTCGTATTCCATGTCCAGTCATTACTATTCATTTGTAACTTGGCATACCTCGGTGCACTCTCCTCGCCATCGAATTCACCACCAATCATCAACATCTCATCAATGTAAAAATTGTTGGAAAAGTTCTCAGAATTTGCAATTGGCTTGAACAATGGAAGTGTCAATGGAAAGGTCCTCGAGTTGACGGTATCGTTATTCGCGTCACCAACATTCTTAAACGACCATCCAGAATTAAAGTCCCACGTCGCTAGCTGATACATATTTAACCACCCATCATTCAGCTCTCCGCCAATAATCAACTGCGATTGGGGATTTGGAGCAAGGATATTCGAAGCGCCGTAGAATGGTTGTGGTTTGGTAGAAGTGGTGATATTATTGACCTGTCCGGAGGTTATATTCACCGACAACAATCTACTAGTTGCTTCATTGGTGTTTGCACATAAGCCACCATATATGTAGACTAAGTCTGAAGTGTCACTGTTTGTCAATACGGTTGAATATTGGTAAAATGATGAGTCAGCCACCTTGTCAAAGTTTAACTCAATGTTATCGTTCCAGGTGCCACTGTCGTATTTCACGATATCAAAGCTTCCATCTCCACAAACGTCTCTTTCTAGACTTGATGCGCTATTCTTAAGCCCATACAACTCATCATTTAGGATGAACAAGGTGGAGTTCTCTGGTGGTGAAGGTAATGCTGTCACCTGTTGGTTATTCTGCAAATTGTTTGCCTCGGTAAACAGTCCATTCAATTCAAATTGTAACTGCAATAAATCATTGTTTCTCAAATGTAGATAGACGATTCCTTGATTGTAGGAGTACAAACTGTTCCAGTTTTTATTTAGTCTTGACATTGTGAGGGGGGTAGAGGAGTATCAGATGAAGCTAATGAACAAATCGACGTGAGGTTTTCAAAAACAAAGACTTTGTGCCCAGTAGACTTCACGAGACTCGCTTCACTATCCTTTGCTTTTTTCAAGTTCTTGTTTGAAAATTCGTTTGATTCTTTCTTTGATTTATCTTTTGTTTACCTTTGTTCCATTTTGGGAAAGCTTGCTAATTGCATCCACAGTAACAGGGATAAAAAGAGTGGTGTGGTAGCGCTTTAGTATGGTTGTAAAAAATGCGCCATTTTCACACATAATTTACTTCTTTTCTTCTTGTAAATTACCTTGAAATATACTACTAAAGTGTGCATATTCATCGTATGTGCGTTGCGAATTTGCCACAACTTACCAAATGGGTCTAGAGACACAATGCGAAGAGGAGGCTGTCAACAATTTCGTAGCCTTCTTGTTTTGGGAATTGGTCAATTGAATGCCCTCATACCATGAGTGAGTCTTGGTTAATTTACAAGTTGAGACTGTGAGTATTGCATTGATATAGTTGTTAACAACTTAGGGACACCGAAGTTGAAAAACACTGGCAAACAAGTGCGGTGATTCGTCAACGCCTTGATCCGTAGAAGAGCGTTTAAGCAAGTTGTCCATGTACGTGATTTCTGCATAGTTTGGCAAGCTGTGAGATTGTTCTAACTGTGTCAAGTGAAGTTTTGTTTATCCAGAGGCTTGCACACTTTCTCGTGGTATCCGATGTTTTCATCATATGGACTCTGGTTCAATCTCGCACCTTTTGGTGAGTGAGTTGTTCTTAATATATGTTGAAATATGTCATGTAACATCCTTACTTTTTAATTGTAGAACCGCTGGTGAGAGATGATCAAAATTACATTGAAGGATATCTAAGCTTATTCTATGAATTGACTGAGCTATTCATTCATGGATAGAGTCAACTGTAGTGGTATTCTATGTGTTTCATACACTTTAATAGTTCAGCTCTCAAAATCAGGAATCAACTACATCTGAACGAAGTAGCGTATTCCACAGCGAGTAACTGACCACACGTGGTTCTAAAGATATCTGGCAAGTACATAATCTTTTCATGACCTTTATTTTGAGTGATTCGTTGTCTGATGTAGTTATTTCACGTAGAAAAAGCACAGACATCTACAATCATGTTCGAAAGTGGCCTGACCAAGTTTTGAAGAATTGGCATGCAATATCGCACCATCATCTGGGGTGCTTGAGATCAAGCAACAACTTGGCGCAGGAAATGAGCTTTTAGCCAGTTGTGGTTCACAACAAACCTTCAGAAGCTGTCGTCATCTTCTGTAGTGAGTTGACCAGAGTATAATCTTCTGATTCCACAAACTGGTGCGAAAAGCATCCTTCTTTGTGTAAAAAGATAGAACAGAGAAAAATAAAGTTCCACAGGGAAATCATGATCTTGCGTGGTTATCCAAACAACCAATATGCCCGTCAAGACTAGAAACGAAGTCGTCGACTTGAAACAAGCAGTTGCTACAAAATCGCCAATACGTCTCCGTTGTCCTTTTGCCAACTGCCGTGCAGGCATTATCCCTTATTCGCTGTCCACACAATTAAATGTTATCGAGAATGCACCAGCTTGTGTTGCCATTGAATCACCTACATCAGATCCAAAATTAAGTTCCTCCACAACAGAGTTCTATCGTATTGATGATGTATGGGATTTTGATAACATTGGTGTTAGCAAACCATCAGAGATACTACCAGAGCCAATTATCGTGGGTACAAATAGTCAAGAAGGAGAACAAGAAAGGATCGATGTGGAACGATTGTTGATCTGTAGTGAATGTGATCGTGGGCCGTTGGGATTTGCTGGAATAATTACTGGTGGCGAGAAGGATCACCGAAACCTCAAATACTTTTTGGGCCAGGATAGTGTTGTGTACGATGTTAAATAAAACAATTGAGATATACATGGGGCGGGGGGAGGGGGGAGACATTGATTGAAATAGGGCTTGTGTATAGATGAATAGGGATATACTCACGCCGTTCTAAAAGTATGATATTTCTCATTAGATGTTGATTTCACGTTCACTTTTCGAGAACTCATAATTTTCTATTCTGATGGTGCAAGTCTCTGTGCGGTGAACATTTTGGTAGCCAGATATTTGCAACACACTTGAACAAGACCCACACCTCATAGCAATGGCACCTAAAAAGACTGTATCACATGAAGAGAAGCTAAAGCTTTTGTGTTCTTGGTTCCAATCTACACATGATTTCTACACCTTGAAGGAAATCGAACAAAAAGCGAGCAAGGCTTGCAAAATCCCGGGCATGCAAGTGAAGGAGTTGGTATCAAATTTGGTTGACGATGGGTTGATCCAGCAAGAGAAAAGTGGAACAACCAATTTGTATTGGTCGTTCATTTACACTGACAAGAAGACCAAAATAGACAGAGCCAAACGTTTGAAGCATGATTTGGAGAGTAAAAAGAAACAGCGTGAGCAGTTGAAACAGGAAATGCAAGCATTGCAGGTAGAACGGAGTGTTGAGGCAGTTCCCGAGAGGGTAAGCCAGCTTCGAGAGTTAGGATCTATACAAGCTGAAATTAATCAACTAATGGAACAGAACAATCACCTCCAACGGCATAAAGAGATTGAAAAATTGCAAGCAGGTATTGAATTCTTCGCAGACCTGATTGAGATAATGCTCTCTTGGCTATCTGAACAATCCGGAATCAAACAGTCAGAGCTCAGAAAAGAGATGGGTATTCCAGTAGACTTGGAAGAGTATGCATTAAATCCGACATGATATGCAAGATGACGGACTTAAATGGTTAGGAGCTCTTGTTGAGCATACAAAAGGAAGACAAGTCTCAGCTTAATTCATTGGAGAGCGTTGATCTCTTATCAATTTACTAAGTAGTTCGGAGTCACAATCAGTTGATTAAAACGTGGCGAAATTCACATTAACAAAGCAGAGCACAAAATTAACTGCTTGTGCTACGTTTCTTTAAGTAAACTCATATGAATCTGTCAACATATAATAAACCAAATGCTTATATAGTTGTATGAGTTTTCACAAAGATTGCTGTGCTGTGCACAGGAATGTCATACGATTCAGGGTCAAATGTATTCGGTTTTGTGTTGGCCCAACATTTAATGCACGTGCAATGTAGGCAAACCCCGATTTGGCTTGTGAAGATTTGATTGGACTTAGTCTCTTCTTTGTGGAACATATACATATGTTGATAGTCGAATGATTAACGGATGTGCATTCTTCGTTTGAGGAATATGAAATCTTATAGTCTGAAAACTTTCGTTCCTAACTCCGACGTCATAAAACTTTAAGATCTCTCTATCACTTTCTCGCATGTGACAGAAAGGCTGAAGTACGCAAATTCACATGAACTATCGAAGCAGTTTGAAAAGTTTCTGAAAGGTCAATTGCTATTCCCTGAGGCAGCATGGTAGTAGTCTTCTCTTTTTTTCAACTAAGAAGCAGAACAGTAGCACAATATAGATAATAACTTGAGATATTATTTGACCTCAATGGATGGGGTATATGCGGAAACGAAAGAAAAAAAATTTATTTTTGTGGGGTGGGGAAACGAGGGGCAAAAACAACAATAGTATAGGAAAAGCGGATATTACAAAAAAAAAAAAATTTTTGTTTGCGTCAGTGTTTTGTGAATGTATATGTATATATGTATATATGTATAATACATATAAAATCCATCAAATTCTTTCAATTTTACTTTTGTAAAGTTCTAAAAGCGTTCTAGTTATTCTACCCCACATTTCACTTACACCATCTCAATAGAGCCCAATACTTTTGACAACTTTAACCAAAACACTATTCAAATTTAAAAACTACTAGCTACCTGTCCCTTTTCATCATGGCTTCGTTTTTACCTGAAGTTGCAGAACCCAAGCATGTGGAAATTTTTTCTGCTCTTTCTGATGGTATCATTCATGATACTTCTCCAGCGTTGATCAAAGAAGTTGTTGGTGACTCTTTGACACAAGAGGAAGTTGAAGAATATGCCAGAACATTCAACAGACCATCACAAATCCCTGAGTTTAAGGAGAGGGTGTTAGATGCCATTAATAAGAACACTACAGATGCATCACGTTTATTCATTGTCTTAATGACAGTATTGGACTCAAGAATTCTTGCACCAACCTTGACTAACTCAATGACTTTAGTTAAGGATATGACTTTGAAAGAACGTGAGCTGTTGATTGCATCTTGGCGTGACTCACCATTGCCAGCAAAGAGAAGGTTATTTAGAATGGTTCACGCATTAACTTTAAACACGTTGGCATTAGTGGCCTCCGATTTACACAACAAGGCTATCCACTACCCTGATGCAGATCCTAAAGAGAAACCTTATGAAGGATTCAAGGCTGATCCATTTAGATATGATATGTTGCCAAAGCCAGAATTTGATGGTGCGGAGTTGTATTTGACAGATATTGATGTTGTGATTATTGGATCTGGTGCTGGTGCTGGAGTTGTTGCACATACTTTGGCCAATGATGGCTATAAAAGCTTGGTTTTAGAAAAAGGAAAATACTTTGCTCCTTCAGAGTACACTTTTAAAGATAAGGATGGTCTCGCAAACCTTTACCAAGGTGGAGGATTGCTTACGTCAACAAGTCAAGAAATCTTTGTTTTGGCTGGATCTAACTTTGGAGGAGGTACCACTGTCAATTGGTCGGCTTGTTTGAAAACCCCATTCAAGGTCAGGAAAGAATGGTATGACGATTATGGTTTGGACTTTGCTGCAACTGACTCATACGATAAGTGCCAAGAATATGTTTGGAAACAGATGGGTGCGTCAACCGAAGGAATCAAGCACTCTTTAGCCAATGACGTTCTTATTAAAGGTGGACAAAAGTTGGGTTACGCTAGTAAAGCAATTGAGCAAAACTCAGGGGGCCACCCATGCCACGCTTGTGGATCTTGTTACAAGGGATGCAAGCATGGTATTAAGCAAGGTTCTTCTGTGAACTGGTTCCGTGCAGCTGCTGCAAATGGCTCTAAATTTATGGACCAGGTTAGAGTGCTCCAGATTTTGCACAAGAAAGGCGTAGCAACTGGCGTTTTGTGCCAAGATGAAGTAACTGGAAGAAAATTCAAAATCACTGGCCCCAAGAAGTTTGTTGTCTCGGGTGGATCATTGAACACCCCTGTCGTTTTGCAAAACTCTGGCTTCAAAAACAAGCATATTGGTAAGAATTTGGCTTTGCATCCGGTTACTACCGTGTTTGGTGACTTTGGTCCAGAGATTGATGCCGATCATTTTGATAAATCAATCATGACTTCTGTTTGCACACAAGTTGATGATTTGGATGGCAAAGCACATGGTGCAAAAATTGAAACTATTTTGAACACTCCGTTTATTCAAGCTGCCCTTTTGCCATGGAGAGGAAGTGATGAAATGAGAAGAGATTTGTTGCGTTATAATCACATGTGTGCAATGTTGTTGATTACTCGTGATACTTCAACAGGTTCCGTACATGCTGACCCAAAGAGACCAGAAGCTTTGTACGTTGACTACACTGTCAGCAAATTCGACAGAAACGCACTTTTGCAAGCATTCTTAATCACATCCGATATCTTGTACATCGAGGGCGCACAAAGAATTTTGAGTCCACAGTCATGGGTCCCAATTTTTGAGTCAAAGATTCCAAAGGACAAGAGAAGTATAACCGACAAGGACTATGTCGAATGGAGAGAAAAAGTTGCGAAAATACCATTTGATAGTTATGGAACGCCATATGGTTCAGCCCATCAAATGGCAAGTTGCAGAATGTCTGGTAAGGGTCCAAAATATGGTGCGTGTGACACCAAAGGGAAACTTTTTGAGGCGTCAAACATTTACATAGCTGATGCTAGTTGCATGCCAACAGCTTCCGGAGCTAACCCTATGATTTCTACAATGGCCATAGCAAGACACGTTGCTCTTGGTTTGTGTAAAGACTTGAAGGTGAAGGCCAAGTTGTAAGGCAGGTTTTGTGAATAGTAGTTGTATCAGTATACTTTTTTTCTTTTTTAATATATTGTGCGGAGATAACTTGACAAAATGTTCCCTAGGGTGGTGCTCGCTATCATCTTAAATCCGGTGGGGGGAGGGGGAGGATAGAGGGAAAGGAGCGATCAAAAAAGGTAATTTACGAAGGAGTCCATCTATCACATGGGGTAAACATCAAATTGGAGAGACTAAGAATTTTATCTCCACAAAACCTGGAGGATTAAATATAAGACAGGTTCGATTCCAAACTTCAATTAAGATGGACGTTGTTTAAGTTCAATACAGTGATGTCCTCTACGTCAGCGCCACTTGCAGAGCCAAGACACGTTGAGGTTTTTGCTGCACTTTCAGACGGTGTTATTCATGATGCGCCAATTGAGCTTATCAGGGAAGCTGTTGGTGATGCTCTAACTAGTGATGAAATTCGTGAGTATGCTGAGACCTTCAATAGACCCTCACAGATCCCTGCCTTCAAGGAGCGTCTCTTGGCTTCGATAAACGCCGCTACTACACTAGGTACGGGAAAGTTTATCAGCTTGATGAATATCTTGGATTCGAGAACATTTGCCCCACTTTTGACAAACTCCTGGACCTTGGTTAGAGATATGACTTTGGAGCAGCGTGAGCAGTTGTTAAAATCTTTCAGAGACTCGCCAATATCTGCAAAGAGGGTGTTGTTTAAGACGGTGGTAACATTGACGCTTAACACAATGGTAATTTTGGGAGATGAGCTACACTACAAAGCTATTCGATACCCAGGTAAGGAGTTACGTGAAGAGGCATATGAAGGATTCAAGGCTGATCCATTTAGATATGATATGCTACCAAAACCGGAATTTGATGGTGCGGAGTTACATTTGACAGATATTGATGTTGTGATTATCGGGTCTGGTGCTGGTGCTGGAGTTGTTGCACATACTTTGGCCAACGACGGTTACAAAAGCTTAGTATTGGAAAAGGGCAAGTACTTTGCTCGTTCCGAGTTCAACTTCAATGACATGGAGGGTCTAGACTCTCTTTATCAAAACAGAGGAATCTTGACGTCAACAAACCTGCAAATCTCAGTCTTAGCTGGATCTAACTTTGGAGGAGGTACCACTGTCAATTGGTCTGCTAGTTTTAAAACCCCATTCAAGGTCAGGAAAGAATGGTATGACGATTATGGTTTGGACTTTGCTGCAACTGACTCATACGACAAATGTTTGGATTACGTTTGGAAACAAATGGGTGTATCAACAAAAGGGATCAGGCATTCCTATGCCAATCAGGTGCTAATGGATGGCGGTAACGCTTTGGACTATTCTGTAAAAGAAATCAATCAAAATTCGGGTGGTCACCCGTGCCACTCTTGTGGATTTTGTTACTTGGGGTGCAAGCATGGTATTAAGCAAGGTTCCTCGGTTAACTGGTTCCGTGCAGCTGCTGCAAATGGCTCTAAATTTATGGACCAGGTTAGAGTGCTCCAGATTTTGCACAAGAAAGGCGTTGCCACAGGTGTTTTGTGCCAAGATGAAGTAACTGGAAGAAAATTCAAAATCACTGGCCCCAAGAAGTTTGTTGTCTCGGGTGGATCATTGAACACCCCTGTCGTTTTGCAAAACTCTGGCTTCAAAAACAAGCATATTGGTAAGAATTTGAAGTTGCATCCAGCAATTGTCTTGTTTGGTGATTTTGGTCGCAGTGTTCAAGCAGATCACCATAAAAACTCAATCATGACCGCTGTGTGCACCCAAGTGGATGATTTGGATGGCAAAGCACATGGAGCTAAAATTGAAACTGTTTTAAACGCCCCCTTTGTTCAAGCTCCTTACTTGCCATGGAAAGATAGCACTCAAATCAGAAGAGATTTGTTACGGTACAATCAATTGTGTGGCATGGTGATCATTGCTCGCGATACTTCAACTGGCTCGGTTACCGGCGATCCGCAGAAACCAGAAGCGTTGTATATTGACTACGAAGTGAACAAATTCGACAGAAATGTTCTTTTGCAAGCACTTCTTGTCACAGCGGACATTTTGTACATTGAAGGTGCAGAGAGAATTTTGAGTCCACAGGCATCGATCCCTTTCTTTGAATCAAAAGTGTCCAAAAGTAGCAGATCAATCACAGACAAGGACTACGTCAAGTGGAGAAAAATTGTTGAAAAATCGCCCCTAGATGCTTTTAGTATGACGTATGGTTCGGCTCATCAAATGTCCAGTTGCAGAATGTCGGGAAAGGGCCCAAAATACGGTGCATGTGATACACGGGGTAGATTGTATGAAGCTTCAAACATCTACATAGCTGACGCTAGTTGTATGCCAACTGCTTCTGGAGTCAATCCAATGGTGACTACCATGGGTTTAGCGAGACACGTTGGGCTTGAGTTGTGCAAGGACTTAAAGACAAAGAGTAAGTTATAGTTTTGTAAAGTAAGTTAACTTTAATAAAAATGCTCTCAGTTACTACACTATTCTTTGTAACCAGTTCAACGAAACCCTTGCTGGTTATAAAACCCAGATTGTTGTGGTTGTCCATATCCCGTAAATTGGGTCTGAGGAGGTTGTGCAAGCCCAGTAACTTGAGGCTGTTGTTGTCCGAATCCGGTGAATTGAGGTTGTGGAACTTGGCCAAAACCGGTAGCTTGCGGTTGTGTCTGTTGTTGCAGTTGCGGTTGCGGTTGTTGGATATATCCAAAACCCGGCTGATTCAACCCCGTTTGTGCCGCTTGTGCTAACCCATTTTGCTGGGGAAAGTACAGCTGCTGTTGTTGGCCACCTTGCGATTGAGGAGACGCTGTTGTGGGCTGGTTGTACAAGGACATGATATTCTGCTTGTTAGTTTGCTGTGCAACCAACTGCGGGTTTGTCATATTCATCAATTGCTGTTGATGCTGAGGATTGTTTGGGTCCAAGTACTCTTGTCCATTAGAATCCACGTAAGACACTAGACCTGTAACCGGATCGGTATATTGGTAAATCTGAGGGGTTACAGGTTGTGCTCCCGTTGGCATGGTTGATACGGTTGCAGATCCAACATTAGATCCAGGGTTACTCCACCAATCTGAATTAGATGAAACAGGTCCTGATGACGTCGTTGATTGAGCTTGCGCTGTAGTTGGTCGCGGTCTAGTTGGTAAGCCAGGAGCAATTTCTTCCTTTCCAGGATTCACTTTTGCATCTTGTTTATATATGTCTATGGCCAACTCAACGTCACCATTGGCTAGTAACAAACTCTCTAATGCGGCATCTCTATCTTGATATCCAAAACTGCGCATTTGGTTTTGTTGTAACTGGTATTGACTATACTCATAAGTTGTCAATTTCCGGTGTGTCAACTTGGGTAATTGTTGTATACTCCTGGTGCTATTTGATCTCAGCCTAGCTGAGTGACGAGAGTGACTATCATCGTTGCTGCTATATTTGCTCATCCTATCGTCATCAAACTCTGATGGGTCCACATCGTCGTCACGGAATTTGCCCAATATATATTTGTCTCTAATATATTGTTCAACAGCGGTTACATCGTCATCACCATCAAACGGGAAAGGAATTCTCTTGGGATTCCATCTTTTCTTGGCTCGAGCATTCCCCACTCTTCTTAATTTATCCACTTGCTGGTCGGACCACCTATCCAAAGTTAAAGATTTAACTTTTGAGATGTTATAATTTGGTGGGCCAAGAATACGTCTGTGAGCGGAAGCACATCTTCCACAAAGAAACATTCCCAAATTATACGACGCCCATGTTGGGTACTCTGCGCCACACTCACCGCACCGATTGTCGTTACCTCTGCTGTTGACAATATCTAGTAACTGCCTTTCTATAGCCTTTTGGTGACTCTTGGACATTCTCAGGATCGGAGCTACAGGGGACTGATAATAGAGAAGGGTAGTTCACTTGCTATGTTGTTTGAGAAAAGAAAAAAAAAAAAAATTAAAATAAAATAAAGTGGAATCGAGTCTGGCTCGTTCGGGAAATTGTCAAAAAGGGGGGGAGAGAAAATCGCAAAATACCATCCACATTTCATACAACGTAATATTCGCTAATCTTTTACACATAGATTTACTTCTACACAAGAGGGATAGAGGTTGATGTCATCTCATACATGTTTCGTATCGTCATTTCGTCAACAGCCACATCAATGTCTTTGGTAAATTGACCGACGTTGATGGAACTGAGCAGATGATTGATTTCCTTCACCTCCTGGTCCGACAAGCTCTTTCTAGTGACGTACCCAGTTGCAATTGACACATGCAAAGGATCTTTCAATAACTCAGGAAATTGTAATTGAGCCCCGACACGGTCTGCTGCTGTAGTGCAGCTCTCTTGCAAACTAGAAAGGTATTGCAATGTTTCCGGTGTTTGCTTGATCTTTAGCATGCAGAATAGAGAGTCTTTGAGCGGGCTTTTACCAATGGTAATAGTGTCCTCTAGTCGTAGACATATTGACGTTTTTGAATGAATGATCTTTGAAAGTGGTGAAGATTTTCCTCTACTGTTTGATAGTAGTGTCGACAGTGGTTTGCTCTTTACCAATTTCTCTCGTACGCAATCGATGAACTGCAATTCCACTGCTTCTTTCATATGCAATGCGGGACATATTGTTATATGATGTTTTTCAAGTCGGAAGGGGTCCTTGTTTGGTACCACGAACCGATAATTATTCGACAACGAGGGTAGTTGTGATATAGAATAGTTTACTGCTTTCTCAAGTCGGGCTAATGTTGTTATTGATGGGTTCCATGGTATTGATGTGAACAAGACTGATACTTTTGACCCCGAGTGCATGTTTTGATACTGCTGCAGGAATATTTGTAGTGGAGGTGGTGCGGGTGGGGATTGTGCTTCCGTGATTATCTCCCGAGACTTCTTCTCTTCCAGCTCTTCTTCTCCGCTATCTGATTCCGATGAGTAATCTCGGATTAGATCCATATATAGATATAGATATCACTCAAGAAAAGCCCAGCCTATGAAAAAAAAATTATCTCGGAGTCTGGTTCCATGCTCAGCTGACTCTTGTCTTTTTTTTTTTTTTTTTTGCGCATTTCGAAATTTTCCAACCGCACGGAAAAGGCAAGAGAGGGTATCATACAAGTCATAATACAATGTTACCGCCTCCAATCAACATTCACAAGTGGGTAAAAGAGAACGAGGACAAGTTGAAGCCACCGGTTAACAATTTCTGTTTACACAGAGGTGGTTTTACCGTGATGATTGTTGGTGGTCCAAACGAAAGAAGTGATTATCACATTAATCAAACCCCAGAATACTTTCATCAATACAAAGGTGCCATGTGCTTGAAGGTTGTTGACGAAGGTGAGTTTAAGGACATTATTATTAACGAAGGGGACTCCTTTTTGTTACCACCAAACGTACCTCACAACCCGTGCCGCTATGAAAATACCATTGGAATCGTAGTCGAGCAAGATCGGCCAGAGGGAGTTAATGATGCCATCAGGTGGTACTGCAGTAACTGTGAAGAAATTATCTATCACAAGGATTTTCATTTAACTGATTTAGGGACGCAGATTAAGGACGCAATAGTCGAATTTGATTCAAACTTGGACAACAAAACCTGCAAGAAATGCGGGCAGGTGAACTCCTCTAAAAGGTAGTTTTGTTTTGGTTCGCAGTACCACAAAGTATCTAAATCGAATTTATACAGTAATGTTTTTTCTAATGTCTAATGGTCTCTAATCTATGTAATCTCTGCCTCAATGCTAAGCCAATTTCTCCCTCACGTAAAGTTTCTCTCCTTTGTCAAATACCCAGTCTACGACATGCTCAACAGGTTCATCAAAAACGTATGGTAGCAATGGGACAATTCCTAATCCAACTGCAACGGGTCCATAAGTTTTCAATGCCTTGTTTCCGGTGCTCTTGAACAAATATGATGAATAACGAACAGCACTGTGGATAGTAAAAGCGGGCAATCCCATAGAGGCGACACTTTGGAAAATGCCTCGTTTCAACGCGCTCAACCGCCAATCAGAATCAACCAAGCTGTGTGTCTGTTTAAATGTTTCTGCAGCAATGGCATCTGGCTTTGGTTCTTTATCCCAAGGCTTCAAACCTGGGGTGTATCTTCCCTCACTCTTCATTTTTGTTATCCAAGACGCATACGAAACATCGCCAATGATATAAAGCCAGGAAATTGCGTACCCAGACTTGACCAAATATGGATGTGCCACTGGTCTAAATGATTCTCCGATATCTGAGGTGTAAGCGACATATCGGTGGGAAGCCAACAAGATGGTTCTAAGCCTATTGGCATATGCAGCATATCTCAACCCTGATTCCTGATCGGTAACTGATTGATCATCCACTGATCCTTTCACTTTGGAAACCGTATCGTTAATATCTGACCCCACTGACGACATGTTTGTTGATGGCAAAGTAGCTGGTTAAAAGTGTGAATTTTCTTTTTTAAGTCGCAATAAAATTAAACTGAATTTTCTTTTCCGTCGACAAAGTCCGATGACATCACCATTATCTCCGGCGTGTATAAAGAGTTGAGAACAAAAAGATGATACAACTCAAGGTAGTTGGAATAGGTAGAGGTATCCTGTCTAAAGCTAATGTTCTTAATGAGAGGGCCAGGTGGATGGCTCATCCGCTGTAAGATCCAATCTTTTTAGCCTTTGAGATCTCAGAATATTTCAATTTTCGAAATATACGGCAAGTCGATAGCATCATACTGAGAATCAAGATCTGCCGTAATTAGAACCGATTCCAATAAGACGGTTTGTTCTTCCTAGCCGTTCAAACACTTCCCTTGCCTTTGGGTGGTGCCACCATATCGAAGGGAAAAAATAAAAAATAAAAATAAAAAATAAAAATACAAATGAAAATAAAAATACAAATAAAAAATAAAGACAACCAAAGCAAACAAGAAACCAGCTCCTCCTCAACTCCACAAAACATACCACAACATGAGACTTGAACTCGTCATAAGATTCACCAACGCCTTATCGTCTACAGAGCAGATACCCGATCTAACTATACCGATCAGCATCAATTTTGATAAAGACGATGTAAACAAGTTGATCAATACGATTTGGTTGAAAGCGTCCATCAGAAGCAAATTGCCACAGTGCTCGACCAAGCGATTGAAATTGATTTATAACGGACGAGTATTGAATGAAAAGACTGACTTTCTAAAGGAAGTTTTGAAGCCCCGGTTGGCAACATTGTCTGATAATGACTCCATATACATTCATTGTGTTGTGAGTGAGGAGTTAACAAGACAGCAGCTTGAGGATGAGAGCAAGTTGGATAATAGACCTCAAGAAGTCACCACTACCCCCAATGTGATTGGTTTTGACCGTTTGTTGCAACAAGGATTTTCAAGGGAGGATGTCAATGATTTGAGGAGGCAATTTTATCAAATATACGGCCAAGGATTAGCCAGCACTGGCAGTGAAATTACCGATTTAGAGGAAGATGAAAATAGGCAACGTAATTTACGACAGTTAGAAGAAAGATGGATTGAATCTACTTCAAATAATGATGCAGTTGAGCAAGGTGCAACAACGGGAAACACTGCATCTGCGGGTACAGAAACTGGAGATCAAGTACCACCTCAAACACCATTAGATACCGACGAAACAAGAATCAATGAAGATTTGCTACTTGGATTCTGTCTCGGTGTGTTTCTTGGAGTCATATCGGTAGTATTTCTTCTAGTTGATGACACGGTATTCAACAAAAGACAAAAGATGGCAATTATAGCTGGTCTAGCCATCAATTTTTCGTTGGCATTGGTAAGAGGATTGTGGTTATGAGTCTACGTAGGAAACAATACAAGTACAAAGTATACTTTTTGAAAGAAATGTTTGATCTACCAGCCCTCACTGAATTTGTCTCTTGCAATTTCAATGAAAGGGCGTTAAGATGATCGTTTGTGTAGATATTAATCTCGCCAGAAGCTTGACGCTCGCCAACTCGTAAGGATTTGGAAAAGAACAGACAAGCAACACGGTTAAAGCTTTGGCTGCCGCACAAAGAAGAAGAAGAAGAAGAAGAAGAAGAAGAAGAAGAAGAAAAAGGTAAGTGGTTGAAACTTTTTTTTTTCTGCGATGGTGAAAATTTTATACCGAGAGAAAAAGAAGTGAAGAAAGATGCGCAGACAACGACACAAAACGTGGTGACATTGAACGAAGTGTCTGTGGGCGAAAAGTAGTCCACCAGAGGGCCAGTGGCATCTTAGAAGATGCAAGCCTACCCCTTGTCGATCTCGGTCTCTGAAAATGAAGAAATTGAGAATGTGTTATAAAATCACGTGATTAGGTGAAGTGGGGTGGAAATTTGTGTAAAATGTTTCTCAATAAACAACAATCGTGAGCTTTAAATTGATAAGCATGAGTCCTTACATTAAGAGTAGATTAGAGCAATAGTTGAAATAAAAGGGAGAACATCTAATAGAGTCGAAGTAGTTCCGAATAATTCAGTAAGTAGGAGTAGTAGTAAATGCAGATATTTTCCATCCTCCCTTCCCTTCCCCCCCCTCACCCCACCCCACTTGAGTTTTTTTTTAAAAAAATTTTTGTGTCTCTTTATTCTGTTTCTCTTTGGTTTAGTTATCGGCTGACTGATCCCTTGAAACCAAGTTTTCTTTTTTTTTCTTTCTCTCTCTCTGTCTCTTTCTCTCCATTGCTGCTGAATTTATCAACTGAAAATTTAAAATTTCAATAAATCTCCCACCAACTTCTCTTGTTTGATCTTTTGAAACAATAACTATTCCATTTGAAGAGCCTTTTCTCTATCTCCTTAGTTTACCTAACAACTTCACCGGATTTTCAATTGCTGACGCTGCCACCAAATTAAGTCAGTAAAACATATATCTTATCCACAGAATCTCACACTCAATTACTCAACTTTACAATGGCAGAACCTTCACCATTACCATTCATCTACCAGTTTGCTTCTGGGGCCATTGCTGGGGTCTCTGAGATCCTTGTTATGTATCCATTGGATGTTGTCAAAACTAGACAACAATTGGACTCCACAAATGCCACCAAAGGTACGCTCAATTGTCTTAGAACTATTGTCAGGGAAGAAGGTTTTTCACGTTTATACAAAGGTATTACTGCCCCCATCTTGATGGAGGCTCCAAAGAGAGCCACCAAGTTTGCTGCCAATGATGAATGGGGAAAATTCTACAAGAATTTCTTTGGCGTTGCTTCCATGACTCAACCGTTGGCTATTCTTACAGGTGCTACTGCCGGTGCTACAGAGTCCTTTGTTGTTGTTCCATTTGAATTGGTCAAGATTAGATTGCAGGACAAGACTACCAAATTCAATGGTATGGGCGAAGTTATCAAAGATATCATCCAAAAGAATGGAGTTTTAGGTTTATACAAAGGTCTTGAGCTGACAATGTGGAGACACATTTGGTGGAACGCCGGTTACTTTGGATGTATCCATCAAGTCAAATCATTGATGCCTAAACCAAAAGATAACAAACAAAAGATCTTGTTTGACTTGACCTCGGGTACAATTGGGGGAACGTTTGGTACCGTGTTGAACACTCCTTTCGATGTTGTCAAGTCCAGAATTCAAGCTGGGTCTGCAAGATACAAATGGACCTATCCTTCTTTAGCTATTGTCTACAAAGAAGAAGGATTTGGTGCATTGTACAAAGGTTTTATTCCAAAAGTTTTGAGATTAGGTCCAGGTGGTGGTATTTTGTTAGTTGTGTTCACTGCATGTATGGACTTTTTCAGAAAATTGAATGACAAGAAGTAGACTAGTCCGAAACCGTGTTTATATAAGAGGATAGACATAGTTGTAGAGCGTAACAGTGTTGCGTGAAATTGTATAGAATGTTTTCGATAATAATATAAACGCCTTGCCATTTTGGGAATCCAAAGGAAAATTCTCTTGAAACCTGCAAATGTAACTCATTTTTTTTACTAACTTTCGTCGAGTGAGGCACATTGTGCTTAGCCTGCCTTACACAATTCCTTGACTGACACTTGGCAGCAAGAAACCTTCGCAAACCACTTGATCTCACCGATTAATTGAAGGTACACTAAAAGCTGGAAAAAAAAAAAAAAAAAAAAAGAAATATATTCACGGTAAATATCATTCTGCAACATCAAAATCAACGAGGCAAGAGCTAAACCACGGTCCACCTTCATATAGAGTGCCTTTTATAACCAATCACTCCTAATCCATGCCACAGTCGTGCTGTGTTCTAGATAACTAACACGTGGAAGCAATGTACTCAGCACTCAACCCTAACAAACCTATTGAACAATATGAAATGGTCGACCAAAGTCACCTACGATCAACATCCGGGACTGATGTGAGCACGTTTGACAATGATGATGATGATGATGATGATGAAACTCCTTCCAAGCTGTCCATTGACTCCAGGTCATCCAACCTTTTAGACGACATCGAAAACTGTGCAATGAAGAATGGAGATACAAAAGACGATTTCAATAACGACCCGTTCTTTCAGTCTATTTTACGAAAATATCGAAAACAAGGGTTTCCTTTGACGTATTGCAGTGCTGCTGGAGTGGTTTGCTTAATCTTATGGATCGGTGGTATTGTGGCGTATTCACATCAAAGTCCGTCACAGCTAATATCGAACTCAAAATGGCAAACAAATGTCAATTTGGGTGACCGGAATGTAACTCTAGCAAAATATGATCCAAGTTTGAAGAATCTAACGTTTGACGGCTGGAGAAATGGTGACTATATGACATATGAAGAGGAGGTCCATTGGTTGAGTGAAAATCAATCGCCAGGTGGCAATGGAGGGGGGTATTACTTGACGTCTACCCTGCGCTCTTATTTGATAAAACGAGCTAACAACGATTATGAGGCAATTCTTCTACCGTCCAAGAAATTTGCTTACCAAAACAATTTTTTCAATATAGAGGAAGTAGCATTGAACCCGTCAACCCCCGTTGACCATCTCAACAATTTTCATCTTATCAAAACAGACACTTTGAAACAATGGAGACACCTGTCGTTTGCCCTATATTGGATCTACAATGCTCAGCTTTCAACTTACACACCTGTTCAACCGCCTGAGAAAGTCAAGGAGAGTACATCCAAATTGAAAGCCTCCGTTTTAGAAAAGTTACATTTCGCAGAGTTTTCTCCTGATGGAAATTTTGTCTTGTTTGGGTTTGAGCACAATTTGTACGTCCAAAACTTATCGGATAATACTGTACAGCAGATCACCACGGATGGAACACGTTATATCTTCAATGGAAAACCTGACTGGGTATATGAAGAGGAGGTGGTTGCAACTGACCGCATGGTGTGGTGGTCACCAGACTCGAAACAAATTGTGTTTACCAAAATCAACGACACCCAGGTTGAGGAAGTGAACATCGATTACTATGTGAAGGAAAGTTCGGAAGTGGGGATGCAGTACGATCAATCTAATGAAGAAAAGGTTGGGCAAGTAGATCAGTATCCAATCAAAAGCTCCATCCTGTATCCTAAACCTGGCTCCAAAAATCCGTTAATCTCGTTCCACGTGTACAGTCTAGATGGTCAACGACTTGAAACTTTGCAGGACAAAGATGACAGTTTGGGAAGAGACTTTGTTGTGTACCAGGCTAGTTGGGTTGATAACGACAACTTTTTGGTGAAACAAACTGATCGAACAAGCAAAATTCTTTCAAAAAAATTGTATACCCGAGGTGTAACCAGTTTGCTGTTGCTAGGCTCGGTTAATGTGACTCAACTATATGGAGGTTGGGTAGGGAAGATGAAGCCAATCACCTTGGTAAAAGGGTCTTACGTGGACAACTACGTTGTTGATGGCAAGAACTACCTAGCACTTTTCGACCAGCCGAGTGACATCATGCCGCTGAAGATTTTGAACAAATATCAAACTATTAGTGAAGGCATTTATGATCCAACAGAGAATTATATTTACTTTCTCACCAACAAGAAAAGTGCCATGGACTCCCACTTGGTAGGGTATGATCTTTCAAAGGACAAGTATATTGAGATTACAAGCTTGGATGAAGATGGTTACTACATCACTTCTTTCTCGCAAAATGGAAGATTCTTGAATCTTCAATACGAGGGACCGAACCAACCGTGGCAAAGATTGATTGATATGGCTGAATTGCACGACTCTTTGGAAGATGCAAATACTCTAAAAAAGGCACTTTTGCAATATCCAATGGTCAACCACTTTGATGTCTCAAAAAAGGATTTTCAAAACATCAACTTCCCAACAACGATCCACAGGCAGATTAAAATCTCAAAGTTTGATCTAGAGTTATCCGTCAAGGAGATTTTACCCCCTAATTTTGACCCAAAACGCAAATACCCATTATTAGTCCATGCCTACGGGGGCCCTGGATCACAGAATGTGTTGAAGAAATTTGACATTGATGCTTTAAAGGTTGCAAGTGCAGTGCTAAACGCAGTTGTGCTAGTGATTGATCCAAGAGGAACTGGTGGCGTAGACTGGAGATTTCAAGCATTTGCCAATAATAGGATTGGATACTGGGAACCAAGGGATATCAAATTGATCACATCTGAGTACATGCTGGCAAATGAGTTTATCAACAAGGACCGCGTGGCACTATGGGGGTGGTCTTATGGTGGCTTTACCACCTTGAAAACTTTAGAGTACGATAATGGGCGAATCTTTAAATACGGAGTTGCCATTGCCCCGGTTACAAATTGGTTGTTTTACAACTCTATATACACTGAACGCTACATGAACCAACCAAATGAGAATCCCAACTATGGAAAGTATGCCAAAGTTCAAGATGTGGAGAATTTCAAAAATATCAACAGGTTCCTTCTCATGCATGGGTCTGCTGATGATAATGTACACTTGCTGAACACCATGTGGCTTATGGACCAACTCAACTCTGCAAATGTTAGAAATTATGATGTCCAGATTTTTCCAGATAGTGATCACAATATCGATTACCATAATGCAAACACACTCGTGTATGGAAAGTTGCTCACGTGGTTGAAGAATGCTTTCAACGGAAGGTTTGATGGTATGTTGTAGGTATAATGAAACGAAAAAATTGATCTCCTCCCTTTTGTAGTAAATCTCTTTTTTACTTCACCAACTATGTTTTATGAGTCCCTGTGTACATCTTTTTTTTTTTTTTTTCCTCTAATTTTTTGCAACACACGGAATGCACACCAAACGATTAATACGTATGTTGGAGGTAATTGTCTTGTCTTTGAAGGTTCACTAACATCCCCAGACAAGAGGGAAACTCTGTTAAACCCAATTCAAATTTACGAAGCCAATTTGGATAAACAATTGAGGATTTGCAAGTTGAAGAAGGATACTCTAACAAAAGCAGCCAAATATGTAAGAGATGAAAACAAAATTCAACACTTGATAAACTATTGGCGTACTGTTGCACAACTTGCTTCAAACTACGTGTTCAATGAGCAGTCTATTGCAATGAGCAAAATGGGAGGTTTTCAGGAATGGCAGCGACGTCAATGGGAAAAACAGAATGAGAAGGATAGAGAAGAAAGGGCGGCTTTTTGGGAACAGGTTTCAGAGGAGTTTCAAGCAACATCCAATGAAAATAAGTCTGCAATGGTTGAGCAACTTGCAGACCTTGGACTTCTTGTTTCGAGTGAAGGTGAACTTTTGCAAGACTCGCACGACGAAACCAAAGATGCTCCCTCATTCTCCTCGCAATTTACAATGAGGGACTTGTACAACATCTTGAAACTTGATTATGACTTAGTGTATGAGTAGCTCTTTTGTATATTTCATTGGTTGCCTAATTCGGCAGTGTAATGAAGTGTAGAGCTACCTAGGGTTGTCTCTGTTTGTGTTGAGATTTATTTCTTTTTCCCTTGTCTCAGATTTGTAACTTAAATTTTGTTTTTTGCTATATTTGAGAGATGAAGTTCATACTTACGAAATCGCTTTTGTTGCTCAACGCAATACCAAGAGGGCCACTTCCAAAGTCTGCAAAACTGAGCATATGACTATCGATCCAGGAACTGTCCTTGACAGTATAGACGAGGCGTATCTAAGTAATTTGTTGTCAGAATTTTGCCACGGTCTTGACACTGATCACGTAAGATTAGATGAAATCGTGACTTCCATACTTTCTGGTCTACCTGACAGCATCACCTTGCACGAGTTGTACAATTTTGCTTCGGAAGTAATAGCAACGAGAATAATACACCACCCAGACTATGCCATATTTGCCGGCAGAGTTGTTGCTCATCTTTTGCAATTGCAAATACCATACACGTTTAGTGAAAATGTAAAACGACTCAAACAGGCAACCAATTCGCGTGGAGTACCATACGCCCAAATGTCGGAAAAGTTCTATACAGTCGTGATGGAGCACGGTGAAGAGTTTGATGAAATTATAGAAAAGACGGGGGAAATTGAACTAGCATACTTTGGAATCAAGACTTTGGAAAACTCATATCTTTGGAGGATCGGTGATAAGGTAGCTGAGACCCCCGAGTTTATGTTTCTCAGAGTTGCGATTGAAATACATCAAGATGACGTGGATGCGGTAGAGGAGACCTACCGGCTAATGTCGCAAAAACTATTCATACACGCTCTGCCCACCTTATACAATGCTGGGTGCACATATAATTACCTTTCCTCGTGTTTCTTGTTGGCAATGAAAGATGACTCTATTGATGGAATCTACAAGACACTTCATGAAGCTGCCTTGATATCCAAAGCTTCTGGTGGTATTGGAATTCATATACATAACATCAGAGCCCAAGGATCTCACATTGCTAGTACCAATGGGCGAGCTGGTGGTGTGGTGCCCATGTTGCGTGTCTTCAACAATACTGCACGATATGTAGATCAAGGTGGGGGTAAGCGACCAGGTGCATTTGCTGTATATTTGGAACCTTGGCATGCCGACGTGTTTGACATTTTAAATATGAGGAAAAACCACGGAAATGAAGAGCTTCGAACACGGGATCTATTTTATGGGTTATGGATTCCAGATTTGTTTATGCAAAGAGTGAAATCTGGAGGTGATTGGTCCTTGTTCTCTCCTGATGTGGCACCAGGCTTGAGCGATGTTTATGGAGATGAATTTGTTAATTTGTATGAGCTGTATGAGTCTCAAGGATTGGCAACTACAACAATAAAGGCTCAAAAGCTTTGGTTGGCAATATTGGAGTCGCAAACTGAAACGGGTGGGCCTTACATGTTGTACAAAGATGCATGCAATAAGAAAACCAATCAATCAAATCTTGGTACAATAAAGTCTTCGAACTTGTGTTGTGAAATCATTGAGCATTCGTCCCCAGATGAAACTGCAGTGTGCAACCTAGCATCATTGGGTCTCCCTTCTTTTCTTCACTCAAACGATGAAAGTATTGAGTTTGATTTCGAGAAACTACATGCTGCTACAAAAGTTGTCACCCGTAATTTGAACAAAGTAATTGATGCAACTCGCTATCCTGTGGATTCAGCAGAGAAGTCCAACAAAAGAAATAGACCGATAGCTATCGGAGTGCAAGGATTGGCTGACTTGTTCCTTGAATTGAGGTTGCCATTTGACTCTGCAGAAGCAAAGAAACTCAATTCACAGATTTTTGAAACCATATACCATGGTGCAGTGGAAGCTTCTGTCGAATTGGCCATGCTTGAGACACCATATTCCACATTTGATGGTTCACCAGCTTCCAAAGGAGTTTTACAATTTGATATGTGGAACCATAAACCAACATTTTATGACGATTGGGACCAGTTGAAAGAAAACGTAAAGCATTGTGGGTTGAGAAACTCGCTTTTGATTGCTCCTATGCCAACTGCTTCTACGTCGCAAATATTGGGCTTCAATGAATGCTTTGAGCCCTATACATCCAATTTGTACACGCGTCGAGTAATATCTGGTGAGTTTCAAGTGGTAAACAAGTATCTCATTCGCGACCTAGCGGATTTGGGCATATGGAATAATGCAATGAGGAGCAAAATTATACAAGATGGGGGATCGATTCAAAATATATCGATAATCCCTGAAGACATCAAAAAGCTATATAGAACTGTGTGGGAGCTAAAACAAAAAGACATCATAGACATGGCTGCAGACAGAGGAAAATTCATTGACCAGCTGCAAAGCATGAATATATATATGCAGAATCCAACTATTGGCAAGCTCACCAGTTGTCATTTTTATGCGTGGGAGAAGGGGTTGAAAACAGGGATGTACTATTTGCGTACACAGGCTGCTACACGAGCAATACAGTTTACTGTTGATAAGGATCAAGTAGAGCTAGCTGAGAAACAAGAGGTTCACAAGAGTCTCAAAAGAAAGAAATATGTGGAGGTGACTCCAAAGCGAAGAAGAGTGTCGGTTTATGCAACGCCCGATTCTGAAGTGTATGATATTCATGATATGACCCCGGTAGCTTGTGATATACGAGATGCAGAGAATTGTGAATCATGCTCAGGATGAAACTTGCAAAACTTGTGAATAGCTGTATATAACCTATAACGGAATACAAACCCGATAGTTACATTACCCTCTGAGCTTCCTATTGGCAAAATCAGCAACCTGTGCCATACCATCCTTCGTAACAAAGAATTTTCTTTTGACCTTATCGCCCCATACCAATACGCCTAGCTCTGTGGCATAAGTCGACAACATATCGTATTCCTGCTGGTTGGCGAAATCCTTAAACAAGTAACCCTCAACCGTTTGAATCCTATCAAGTTCCAATTGCCAAAGTTTAATCTGATCAACAACATTGGGCGGAATCACTTCCAATTTGTGTTGCGATATTGCGCCATCGGCTTTACTTTGAGGTGCTCCACCAGCAGTATTGATATTATGACTGGCGTCAAACTCCACTTTTTTATCCAATTTTTCCTTTGCCAATGCTCGCATTTGGGGATGGGCATGCGTCTCCAAAAATTTGATAATCTGATCGGATGTAATTCCATTATAGAGTGCGTTTCTGATTGACTCTCGCGTGATCTGACCACAAATTAAGTTTGAAAATCTTGTCTTCATTTGAACGAATAGATTGAGGATTGCAATTTCCAAAGGTGAGTTGGTGTATGCATACACTTTGAAATTGGTTTCAATAATGATTGATTCTCGGCTATTTGACGCCATCATTTGCCCTTCGCTTTCCTCCAAAGCTTGATCAACGGCCATAGATGGTGTTTTCAATGCTGAGGAATCTGACGTAAGTGTCGTCGCTAACCTTGTTGGGTAAAACTTGTTTGATGAGCTCGATTTCTGATACACTAGTCCTAGATCTTTCAAATCAGCAAGCATGCTCACCTGAGTCTCGCTCAAACTTGATACTGAGTAGCTTTTCCCAAGCTCCAAACAACCTAGAATGAAAATAAAGTTCAAGACATCAACGGGATTCATATTCAACTCTGACGTTAGGTTTAGATACTGTAGAAGCAAAGTCCAGATTTGAGCATTCACATCTTGCAAAAGAAATTGGAATCCAGTATTCGTGATATTCAATGTAGAGTCTCCCTCCATAAGACCGCCCAATTTCAATAAGCTTAATACTGAGCTCGATGGGGCAGGGGTTCCCTCGGTACCAACCATAAAATGCAATATTGTTTCCCATTCATGAGATGCAAACTTGTCTAAAAATGTAGTTTCAATTTTGTCCGCTTCATCATCGTCGCTGCTGATACTTCCAAACGCGTTTGAGTCTTGAGAACCAGTGAGACAATCTCGAAAGTTTGATCTAAAAATCGAGTTCAAGCGTACATTGGTCCTTTTGGTATCATACTCAATCAAATGCAACAGTTCCAAACGTCTCAATGCTTCAAACTCCATTTTCTTTGCCAGCGGTTTGCACCATTTGGTTAAGTCTCTCATAGCAAGTGGTTTGTCATTGAAAACCATCGCCATTATGTAAAACTTGGCCATTGGGGATAGAAGTCGATATATGGATAAACACGTTGCTGGTGCCTCGTACAACTTCAGTTGCACGGGCTTGGGGAGGTCCTCTAGGTACTCATTAACTGTGCTTTTGAACAAGTTGGACGACATTTGTCAAAGTACAAGAGTGATAGGCGTTTTCTCATTTCTGCAAGTGGGTGGTAGCGTGAACATTTATATACAAAGTTTTAGGATGAGATCAAAATTATCAAACCCTCCTCATCTCTTTCTCACTCTCACGAACTTTGTCGCTAACACACACACACACACATAGCAAGCAGCGATGGCAAGAAAGGCAAAAAGCGTCGCAGATGATGCTTTTAATGAGCTCTTCAAACCAGAATACAAGGGGAAACGACTAACTGACGAAATCAACACGGCGGAGGATAAGTGGAATTTATTGCCTGCATTTTTGAAGATTAAAGGATTAGTTAAACAGCACTTGGACTCTTTTAATTACTTTGTTGACGTTGACTTGAAAAAGATCTTAAATGCAAACTCCCTTGTTTTGTCTGATGTTGATCCTGACTTCTACGTGAAGTATATAGACATCAGAGTCGGTCATAAATCTACGTCGCCACCAGGTACAAAGGAAGTGATACTACCACCTCATGAATGTAGGTTGAGAGACTTGACCTATAGTGCTCCAATATATGTCGACGTTGAGTATACAAGGGGAAGAAAGATTATAAGACATTATGACTTGGAAATTGGAAGAATGCCGATTATGTTGAGGTCCAATAAGTGCATGCTTGATGGGATGGATGACAAAGCGATGGCCCAGGTCGATGAATGTCCTTTGGACCCAGGAGGATATTTTATAGTCAACGGTACTGAAAAAGTCATCTTAGTGCAGGAGCAGTTGTCCAAAAACAGAATAATTGTTGAGGCCGATGAAAAAAAGGGAATAGTTCAAGCTTCAGTGACTTCCTCGACTCATGAACGTAAATCGAAAACATATGTGATCACCAAGAACGACAAGGTATATCTCAAGCACAATTCGATAAGCGAGGACATCCCCATCGTGATAGTTTTGAAGGCAGCAGGTGTTACTTCTGATTTGGAAATCTTGCAACTAGTCTGTGGTTCGGACCCAAACTACCAAGATTTATTTGTGGTTAACTTTGAGGAAGCTGCTAAACTAGAAGTTTTTACACAGCAACAAGCTTTGCTTTACTTGGGAAAGAGGGTAAAGACTATCAGGAGAGCTGGTGCGCCAAAGTTATCCCAATTGCAGGAAGGTATTGAGGCCATTGCCACTACCATCATTGCACACTTGACTGTATCCGACTTGCAGTTCCGAGAAAAGGCCTTATACATGGCAATGATGGCGAGACGTGTGATAATGGCGATGCATAATCCAAAAATGGTTGATGATCGTGACTATGTTGGTAATAAAAGATTGGAACTTGCGGGTCAGCTAATGTCCTTGCTTTTTGAAGATTTATTCAAGAAATTCAACTCCGACTTTAAAGCAAACATTGACAAGATCTTAAAAAAGCCAAGTCGTACTTCAGAATTTGATGCACTATTGTCTATCAATATTCACTCCAATAACATCACTATGGGCCTCAATAGAGCAATCTCCACAGGTAATTGGTCGTTGAAACGTTTCAAGATGGAAAGAGCTGGTGTCACGCATGTGTTGTCAAGATTGTCGTATATTTCAGCTTTGGGAATGATGACGCGTATCTCATCCCAGTTTGAAAAGTCGAGAAAAGTGTCTGGTCCACGTGCTTTGCAGCCTTCTCAATTTGGAATGCTTTGTACGGCGGATACCCCTGAAGGTGAAGCCTGTGGGTTGGTCAAGAATCTTGCGTTGATGACCCACATCACTACCGATGATGAAGAAGGACCTATCAAACAGTTGTGTACCGCACTTGGTTGTGAGTCTATCTTGGGGTTGGACTCGGCAACTTTACATGTCGAAGGAAATTTCGGTATCTATCTCAATGGTACCTTACTAGGTACTACTCGATTTCCTGTAAAGTTTGTAACAGACTTTCGTCGGTTAAGAAGAGCAGGGAAAGTGTCTGCATTTGTGAGTATTTACACCAATACGCATCAACAGGCTGTGCACATTGCCACTGATGGAGGAAGGATCTGTCGTCCATTGATTATTGTGGAGAACAACAAATCCAAAGTGGAAGCCAAACATTTGAGAAAGTTGTTGAAGGGCGAATGGGAATTTGATGATTTTTTGAAAGAAGGGTTGGTTGAATACCTCGATGTCAATGAAGAGAATGATTCTTTGATTGCGTTGTACGAAAAGGACGTTGGTGAGAATCCCAATGTAACCGTCACTCATTTGGAAATAGAGCCATTCACTGTGCTAGGAGCTGTTGCAGGTTTAATTCCATATCCTCACCACAATCAATCACCTAGAAACACGTATCAATGTGCGATGGGTAAGCAAGCTATAGGAGCTATTGCTTATAACCAGTTTAGAAGGATTGACACTTTGCTTTACTTTATGGTTTACCCACAACAACCTATGGTTAAGACTAAAACCATTGAACTTATCAATTATGACCAACTACCAGCTGGCCAGAATGCAACTGTTGCGGTTATGTCTTACTCGGGTTATGATATTGAAGATGCTTTAGTACTTAACAAGTCATCTTTGGATAGAGGGTTTGGAAGATGTCAAGTTGTGCGCAAGAATACCGTTCAATTGAAAAAGTACCCAAACCACACTAAGGATATTTTGTCAGGTATGAGGGTGGATGAGAATGATGAGCCTATCTTTCCACACCAAGCTTTGGGTCCGGATGGGTTGGGTGAAGTTGGAAGTAGAATCGAAAATGGACAAGTTTATGCCAATAAATGTGTTCCAACCAACTCTGGAGACTCGACCTTGGGACAGCCTCAACAAGTGGAAAGTCATAGGGAGGCACCGCTTTATTACAAAGGTCCCGAACCCTCCTACGTTGACCAAGTTATGATGTCTGTGAGTGACAATGATCAAGCATTGATTAAGGTGTTACTTCGACAGACCAGAAGACCTGAGTTGGGTGACAAGTTCTCGTCAAGACACGGACAGAAAGGTGTTTGTGGTATTATAGTTCAACAGGAGGATTTGCCTTTTAATGACGATGGTATCTCCCCTGATATCATCATGAATCCGCATGGTTTCCCATCTCGTATGACGGTTGGTAAAATGATTGAGTTGATATCAGGAAAGGCTGGAGTATTGAATGGATCATTGGAGTATGGTACTTGTTTTGGGGGCTCAAAATTGGAAGACATGTCAAAGATTCTTGTTGAAAAGGGATTTTCCTACTCTGGTAAGGATATGTTGTACTCTGGGATTACAGGGGAGTGTTTGCAAGCCTATATTTTCTTTGGTCCAATTTATTATCAAAAGTTGAAGCATATGGTGTTGGATAAAATGCATGCGAGAGCAAGAGGTCCAAGAGCTGTGTTGACTAGGCAACCAACAGAAGGTAGATCAAGAGATGGTGGTTTGAGGTTGGGTGAAATGGAGAGAGATTGTGTTATTGCATATGGTGCTTCTCAATTACTTTTGGAGAGATTGATGATATCTTCCGATGCATTTGAAGTGGATGTTTGTAACAAGTGTGGTTTGATGGGATACAACTCATGGTGTACAACATGTAAAAGCACGGAAAACATCATCAAAATGACGATCCCATACGCAGCGAAATTGTTGTTTCAAGAGTTGCTTTCTATGAATATAGCCCCTAGGTTGAGGTTGGGTGATGTGTTTTGAAATCTGTGTATATATTAATTATTTTATTTTGATGCACTATAAAGCTGAGTAGCCTTCATGTTTTGATAAACATATCTCTCCTTAACGCACAAACCACAAAATCAAAACAATTTTAATAAAAATACCCTAAACTAAACGATTAAGTGACCTTACCAATCATCAACATCGTCCTCAAGAGTTGATTGGTTAACCCTGATCCCTTTGGGCAACCTTATTGTCGTGTGAGCACATGGTTCTGGTTATCTTTCAGCCACGTACTGTGGCCATTACATTGATGGTGTTTCTATATGTTGTTCTCATACGCGAGTTCAGACAAAGGGTCAACTCCACAGCCCTTTTTGCTTCGGCAGTGGGATCATTGCCGTATGATGGTGATCCAGAGTATCCGTTCAACAGCGTGTTGAACTCGTTGTTTCCGATTGATGCCGTGTTTGAACTAAACACAACCTACGAGGGTAATGTCACCACTCACAAATTCACGGGCCGATATGCAACCTTTAGTACTATCTTAAGCTCTGAACTCACTGGTCACTACAAGATTTTGTCAGAAAATGCCTGCTCAAGAGTATCGGTAAATAAAGATGATCAGGATAAGATCCTTATTGTTCCCAGGGGTGATTGCAACTTTGTCACTAAAATCTCGAACCTCATTGAATCAAAGCCCAGAGCTGTTATCATTGCCAATAATGAACCTTACAGAGGTTTGCTAACAATGTATTCAAACACGTTCAACCAGGACGGTGCTTTGAGTATACCGATCGTGTTTATTACTTACGAGGATAAGGAGCTACTTCGATCAGTAGAAAATGAGGACCTCATTTTGCAAATGAGTACAGCTTCCATTGATAACTGGTTGAGCATTTTGCTTTCCATTATCGTTTCACCTCCGTTGTTGATCATATTGATATATTGTTTGATACTATGCGGACAAAGGGTGAGAAGGAGACAAATTAATAAACGCAATGCAGAGTTGGTGAAAAATTTACGGGTCTATGTATACAACTATGATCAATTGATCTTGGAGGCTGATTTTGAGAAAAGTCTCGGGTTGGCTGGGCATGCTACAGTAGCTGATCCTACTTTATCCAAGAATGCTTCGCAGCCAAGATTACGTGTATTGCGTTCCCCTGCTGATTATTTCAGGGCGTTCAAATGCTCAATATGTTTGGAAAAGTACGAGCCTTTAAGATCGAGGGTTTTGGTGTTGGAATGCAAACACATGTACCATCAACAATGTCTCTCCAAGTGGTTGATTAATTACAGAAGAAGCTGCCCCTTGTGCAATAGCACAATTCTTGAAGACCGCCTTCTCACCGGTTACGAGGCAACCTATGGTAGTGTGGATATGGAGGCTGGAGTCATTGAGGGTTGTAGCAGGGAAGCGGAGCCACAACGCCCAGTCAATTTCAGAAGTATGAGCAGTCAAGGGCTGTTCCAAAGACCGCTTTTGATTTCAAGACCGCTGGCGATCTTGAACTGCTACAACAGTGATTCTAATGGAGCACAACTAAGCACCAGTATCGACTCAGTATGATGGTGTATATGGTTTGAACAAATGGAATTATGCAAGGCAATCGAGGTAGTCGTCAATGGACAAGTGCCACCGGCGGTGACAAAAGAAAAAGAAAAAAAAAGTCTCTCCGCTTCCTCTTCTCTAATTGTGTCTCTACTCTTTTGACCGATTTGGATATTGAATAGCTGAGTGTGTCTAAGTCGTGCTCATCTACGTATTGCTAAACAACTTTATGACTCCATTTTTCACCAACCCGAAATAATTTCCCTTTTGTTGTTTTTTTGTTGTTTTTTTTTGTTTTTTTGCTTACTTAATTACCAAACTGAACCCCTTCTTGACCAACACCATGGACAGCAGTAACGACAAGATAGAGATAAAAACAGAGCCAGAGAAACAGGAGCGGAGGAAGAGGAAGAAGAAGTTAGAAATAGCATGCGTGTATTGTCGGCGTTCACATATGATATGTGATGAATCAAGACCCTGCCAACGATGCATCAAAAGAGGTATTGGTCACTTGTGCTATGACGAACCGTCTAATTCGAGGCAGCGGAAAAAAGCAGCCGCCTTGAGAAGCACTGAGACACCAACAGAACAGTCGCCAGCTCCACAAACTCAAGCACCAACGCCGTTGCCACCTCCAATACAAACTAATCCGGCTCAGCAAAAGACTTTGAAGAATTCTGTTCTATCGCAAACTTTGGCATACAACCAAGAGCCACTATTCTACTCGGAACACGCAGGCAGTGAATTCAGTTCGTTGAATGACTTTCTTTCTATTATTGATGACCCTGAGTTGGTTAATGGCGCATTGAATGACGATCCTAATCATGCCTTTTGGGGTAATGCTATGGCCTTTTCCCCAAATAATTTGTTCACTCAGACATTTCCAGAGGATATCACTCAACAACGACCTCAAGAAGAGAACGGTTTGAGACCCCCTCATGAACTTCAGTCGCAGCAGCAGCAGCAACAACAACAACAACAACAACTGCAACTATCACAGCAACAGCAACAACAACAACAACAACAACAACAACAACAACAACAACTACAACTGCAACAGCCACAGCAGCAACTATCACATCAACTGCTGCAACAGCCACAGCAGCAGCAGCAACAACAACAACAACAACTGCAACTGCAACTGCAACTGTTGGATGCCCAGCCACGGGAGGCTCAGCCCGTGATTTCAGACTCAGCTAGGGACAAGTTCTTTCTTACTGCAGCGGATCCCACCACCGAGATTTCACCGGAGGAGAGATTGAAACAGGTTATCAAAGCAAAATTGGAAGCTGGTCTATTACAACCCTATAACTATGCTAAAGGATATGCGCGGTTGCAGAGGTATATGGACAACTACATGAATGTCTCGAGTCGCCAAAGAATACTAAAACCGTTGTCGATTTTTCGACCGGCATTTCGTGCCATTGCGAGAACACTAAAAGACGTTGACTTAGTGCTCGTTGAAGAGAGTTTTGAGCGGATGTTATTGGATTACGATCGTGTTTTTACGTCGATGGCGATACCTGCTTGTTTGTGGAGAAGAACCGGTGAGATTTATCGTGGTAACAAAGAGTTTGCTTCTTTGGTGGGTGTTACAACTGATGATTTGAAGGATGGTAAGTTGGCCATATATGAATTGATGAGTGAAGAAAGTGCAGTGAATTTTTGGGAAAAGTACGGTGCAATTGCTTTCGATAAAGGTCAGAAGGCGGTCTTGACCAGTTGCAATTTGAGAACAAAAGATGGTATCAAGAGAAAAAGTTGTTGTTTCAGCTTCACCATCAGGAGAGACAGGTATAATATTCCAAGTTGTATTGTAGGAAATTTCATTCCAATAGATCCTTAGATAGCAGGTGACAGTGTTTTATTATGTAACTATATTAAGATATATCCAATAACTGTAACATTGGTATTCATCAATCCAGCATATCTTCATTCTCCAGCGCATCTTCGTCATCCTCTAGATGTGCTAGCTCTTCGTCTTCTTCTTCTTCTTCCTTCTCCTCTTTTCTTTTCTTTTCTTCCTTCGCCTTTTCCTCCTCCTCTTGGGCCTCTTTAAACAATCTAAGCCTTTCCTCCTTCTGCTGTCTTTGAACCACAATATACTGTCCAAGAGGGGTCTTTTCCCAGTTTAGATTATTGAGGAACTCTTTAACCTCTCTCTTATCACTTGGACCAAACTCAACATTTGATCTTTTGCTTGAAATCAATTGAGCATTTGCATTGAGCTTCTCAATCAATTGACTCAATTGTTTATTAAACTTGACATTTTTGGACTTTTTGGTAAATCTTTTCAAGCCAAGAACAGCAGGGGTTATCAACTCAGGAAACGCAATGCTTTTTGCAAATAAACCAAAAAATTCCGAAGTCAACTCGATAAATTGCTCACATAAACCATCTTGGTAGATTTTGGTTCCCAAATAAGCTTGATTCACTTTGATGTTGTGTTCGAAATCAACAATTTGCAATGTGGAAGGTTTTGGTGATTTTGTGATGGCGGTTGAAGATAAGACCTCATACAATAATGGAAATAACGGTATGTAAACTCCTGTATTTGACAATCTCAAAAGAGACCTTATCAAATAAAAGCGCAAGGGAAAAAACTGGGCGGTTGGGTTCAATCTGATAGCTCCTAGCGAAACTTGCACCAAGGGGTAAATAAGCTGCCTTAATGATGACTCCTCTTTGCAGATTGTCAATACTCTTGACCAAAAATCAAGGGAATGGCAGTACTGCCAATTGTAAATTGTCACGAAACCTCCTTTTCCGTTTACGCTGTTTCTCAAATGTATAGCAAGCTGTCTGACATACTCAAATCCAATTTGATATCCAATCTTTTCATCGACACTGAATAGTTCGGCTAATGAGTTTTTGCAGAAATTAATTCTGGAAATTGTGTGAGCGTTGGTTTTTCTGCAATGTTGTAAAAGCGTCGAGTAGGAGATTTTGAGAACGGTTTCCAAAATGGATTTCGGGTATTCCCTGACCACATTGTTGATAAAAGCAAAAGAAGCAATTTGTGTATCCGTGTCATTGGAGCTGGCCCAAACATTGGCCACAGCAGTAATGATTTGCTTCAACAACCGACGATGAGACAAGTAATAAGGGAATACTTCATAAAGCGAAGCTAAAATTATAGCTGCTGTCTCCGTATTGGTAATGTCCTTGAGCAAAGTGATATATGAGCTTGCGTGGTTCTTCAAAATAGATCCGATTTGAGTGGCTTGTGCATTTTGAGGAATTGTTCTAACGCCTTGCTTTGTTTTGTATTTAACAACACTTTGCACGGCAATGGGCACCTTTTTCAAAACCAATAACATCAACTCAGTGAATGCCTTTGGATCTACTACGGAATACTTGTAGTCCTCCCCACTATTAATATTCACCGCGGCTTTAAATGCACTAACAATGTTTCTAATAACCTTAGCTGTAGGCTTTTCCAACTGTGTGCCCCATTTTTCAACAAGCTTTGTAGTGATCTCCACCTTATTCCCGGACTTGGTTGCATCTTTGTCTGCACCACCTTTGTTTGTGACTTCCTTGTCATCATCTTCATCAACTACCTCCTCCTCCTCGTCTTCTTCTTCTTCTTCGTCTTCACTCATTGCCTCCAATGGGTTGACTCCTTCAAAGTCCAAAAGCTGGTTATCGTTCTCTTTCAAATACTTGTAGAATTCAGGGTCCTGTTTTTCCAAATTTTCAAGGTTCTTTTTCATATCCTCCTCATCTTCAGAAGATTCATCTGACAGCGATGCATCGTCGTCTGAGTCCTCCAATTTCTTCTTGCTCTTTTCCATTCCTTTTGGTATCTCAAAGCCGCCAGCAAAGAAGTCGTCCACTGACATTTCTCCAAAATTCTTCGTATCATCTTTAACTGCCTCGACTTGTGGTTCCTCTTTGGCTCCTCCACCTTTCTTTCTCATTGCAGCCTTTTTCTTGAAGTCCTGCGCCTTCTTACGATGTTCAATCGTATGCTTCAAGTGCTTGTTTTGAAACTTCTTTGTCTGCTTAGACGTCTTCCCCATGGTAGTTGGAATATGTTCTTGTAAAGGTGATACCGAAGTTTTTCAGATTTTTAAAAATTACTGAGATGAGATGGATAGTGTGCGCTACCGATATGCTATATTTTTCTTTTTTTTTTCTCAACTTTCTTATAACGCTAAAAGTTACTGCACAAGGGGTTTATATGACAACACAATCATTCGTGATTCTTGTAGAGATGGCGTAAATTAGGGCAGCTGTCACCAACTGTCCATGAACTGTATGAAAAGGACGCTGCACAAAGTAAGGTAAAGAAAGAAGTAATAAGAAAAAAAGAGAAAATGAGTTCAAAAAGCAAAAAAGAAAGTTCCTACCCGGATTCGAACCAGGGACAAACAGATTTGCAATCTGGCATTCTAAACCACTGAATTATAGGAACTGCAACTGAGCTACTCGCTCGTTTTGTTGACAAATTTTTCACATGCAGCAACAGATTATATTATCTTCACGTGACATACACGCGATTTAGGCGTGACATTAGTCATTCAATTACATGGTGTACTCTCATTTGAACACTATTTGATTAGCTATCTTGTTCTACAATTGGTTCAAATGGGTTGAGAAGTCTTGCTTTGGTAACTTAAGTACTATACGACAGCAAAAGCTATAAGGAGTTTAGTTGTGAATTATTTGCGTAGAATTGAACCAATTCATTGTTATAGTTTGAATGCTAAAGATCATGTGGATATTGCCAAAGTAGAAGCCCAGGTTTACAAAAGCTAGTTCCTTTCTCATGACGAAATAAACGAGTACTTATTCAAGATCATCATTGACACCAACTAAACCAAATACCCCCCTTTTTTTTTCTTTTCTTTTCTTGGTCTCATTTGTTTTCCTACAGTGGCTGCAAAAAATTGAGAGTTTCACATCTCGTAATGAAAACCAATACACATAACCAATATTGGCAGTATCAATTGGGGTACTTACAATGGTAACCAAGAACTTCATTAACTTTTCTTTTGAAACAGGTACCCGCTCTAATGTAAAACTATCGAGTATCAGTAATAGGTTGTTCAATTCAAATCTGCCTCCACAGACTTTCATTACAGAGCAGCTGAGTGCTACAGAGAAGCTTTCAACTCTAGACAAAGCACAAGCACACCATGAATGTGACATCTCTCAAACTTTAATGATTTGATTGCACAGTTGAGCATATCTCAAAAAGCATCTTCTCCCTTCAATAAGCTCTATTTGCTGAACCCTAGTTCAACAGTGGGTTGAGAGGATCCCAGAGTATCTATGTATATGTATGTATATGCTCTCGCTCCACTTGGAATCGTACACAATTTCCTGCGTTGTATTTATTCAAACATAGTGTGCCTATACCCCTACCCCAGATTTTGTTTTGTGTGGGGGGAGAGGAAGGGAGGACGAAAACACAAGCATAAGAAAAGTGTTCCAGCTGAACAACCTAAGCGGAAGTGGGCCAGTGCAAGCTAGCCACCACCTCTCCTGCGGCTCATGCTACTCTTATGCTGTGTCAGTGGTTTTGGAGGTAGTGGTGTTACAACTACTCCCAACTAGCGTACTTTTGTATTTGAAATCTTCATCAGCCAATAGAAAAACTGGAATTTGTAAACCCTCACTTTAATTATGTATGACCCGGGATTTTACGCACTAAATTCGTTTGACAGAAATAAAACAGGGAGAAAAAAAAAAAAAAAAAAATTCTCTACATTTCACCTACAACTCCAGAGACTCTACTAACGCTCACTCCTTCTGCCAGTCATTACTATATTTATTCACTCATCACATTATGTTCAGATCCTGTCTCCGTAGATCAGTCAGAAGTTTAGCCACCGTTGCTGAAGAAAAAACTCCAAGGCTCAAAAAATTCCAAATTTATAGATGGAACCCAGATACTCCAGAAGTGCAACCTAAAATGAAGGAATACGAAGTGGACTTGAACAAGTGTGGTCCTATGGTCTTGGACGCTCTTTTGAAGATCAAAAACGAGGAGGATGCTACTCTTACTTTTAGAAGATCCTGCCGTGAAGGTATCTGTGGGTCATGTGCCATGAATATTGGTGGTAGAAATACCTTGGCTTGTTTATGCCGTATAGATACGGACACTTCAAAAGATACCAAGATTTACCCATTGCCTCACATGTTTGTTGTTAGAGATTTGGTACCAGATTTGACACATTTTTACAAACAATACAAGTCTATCGAACCATACTTGCAGAGAAAAGAACAACCCGCTGACGGTAGGGAGAACTTACAAAGCATCGCCGATAGAGCCAAATTGGATGGTTTGTACGAGTGTATTTTGTGTGCTTGTTGCTCAACTTCATGTCCTTCTTACTGGTGGAATCAACAACAATATCTTGGTCCAGCTGTTTTGATGCAAGCTTACAGATGGTTGATTGACTCTAGAGACCAAGCCAGTGCCAAGAGAAAAGCAATGTTGCAGAACTCCATGTCCTTGTATAGATGCCACACCATTATGAACTGTGCCAGGACTTGTCCTAAAGGGTTGAACCCAGGTTTGGCAATTGCCGAGATCAAGAAATCAATGGCATTTGATTAAATAGAGTCATATCAAGTATATTATTTCACGCTTCAAGTTCAATGTGTTCGTTGTAGTGATTTGGTTTCTTGCTCCGAGTGAAAGCTCGGTCGCGAGCCTCGCATATCGACCTAGTTTTTTTTTTATTTTTTTTTTTTATTTTTTGTTTTCACTCGTGTAAAAAGCGACGCTTTCAAAGCCAAGGATTAATCAGTTAGGACTCTTTGATTCACATGCACAAGCTCCTAGATTTGCTTCATGAGGCAATTGCCAAAAAATTACCCCAGAAGTCGTTCATACTCTTACTGGCTCTATGTACGCCAGTTAGTGGTGATGAAATCATACGAATATTTCAATCTCCACTCAACGATGAACAAATTCGCCTCTTTGTGGATTGGGCGACAAGCTCGATAAACAATTGTCGCCAATTCTGGACCAATTTGGGGAAAGTCGAAGATGGGGTACAAGTGAGGTACTTACAAGAGGTGAGGAGAGAATACCGTCACCAGGATTTTGTTTACAATGAGTTCACGAGATATGCGTCGGAGTATTTGAAGAGCAGAACGCCGTCTTCTGAAGTTGTCAATGAGCTTGTACATTTGCTTGGTGTTGCAGAGGACTCATCTTCGGGCGAGTTTATTGAGTTGTTCAAGTTGGTTAAGCAGACAGGATACAACTTGCAATTGCGTACGCGAGGTGTACTTACGACGGATCAATTGAATCGGTTGGCTGACTTGAAATTGATAGAGACAGAACATACTGAGGACACACTAGAGGCTGCAGTTTCTCTTGACGTCACCACTAAGCTTGATACGTATCTCGAGGTGAAGAGGAAATTATGGATTTATCAAATAACTCGTGATTTTAGCAAGCTACAACTTTACAAAGATACTGGTAGCTTCTTACGCCATTTCAAAGCCCTAGTTGCCAATCAGGATAACCATAAAGTGGCACAGGCGATGGTTCTGCTGTTTCCGTTTGACGTTGTTGGGTTTCATTTATTCAATGTCCGGTATTTCATACTGACCGTAGTGCTTCCGATATTAAAGGATCTAGGCGCTAGTGTAGAAGAGCTAGATGTCACGAACGAAATTGAACAGTTATTGATACCCAGGACTCCACCAGACCTAAAGAAGTTAAAGGACTTACTCAACTCTGATCCTGAATTTGTTTCACTTGAAGAGAGTGGGATTATACAGTTCATTTCTGACTTGTCGAAAGCGGGCTCTCAAGATGTGGTGTGTGAAACCATATTGGATTGTATGAGAGAGTTTATCGGCACAAGGCAATTAGAGAAATTGAATCGATTATTGCTTGCACTTTTGAGCAACATTGACATGGTAAACATTATTTTGTTTCACACTGATTTGTCTATTTTGTACATATTGATTGACTATGTTGATTTTGAGGCATTTACCATGGGACCTGACGAAGACTTTCAAGATGTTTACTCATATTGCGGAGTTGCTGTTCTCAATATCTTCTTAATCTTGGAGGTTTTCCAGATTGACTTGTCCAAAATCGAGCTCAATTCATACACTGTTTCCTTAGTAAACAATTTTTACTATCGCTTGGGTGATAACCTCACAAATAATACCCCCATGGAGAAGGACAACGATGATTTGACGATTATTGGCAATTACAACACTTTAGTAACTGAATGGATCAATGCGTTATTTGACGATTCAAATGACGGATTATCGGATGAATTAATGAAGAGTTTGAGCATCAAGCAAATCTACAAGCTAATGGCAATCATCTACAAGCAAGCGATCATGGCGACAAAGTTGGGGAAAATCAGTATGGCGATATTGAGTAATGGACTAGATTATTTGTCACAACCATTTCTTCTACCTGTGGCGGTTTGTCTTATTAAATGGATGGCCAGGGATGATAAGAACTCACCATTGTATAAACAAGTGATTTCTGATTTGATAAAGTCAAATATTGGTGCTGACGCAAATCCCACATCAAGAGCTATGTTGAATATCTGCGGAAACGACGTTTCAAGCGTTGTTGGTGATGCCAGAATCAAACAGTATATCCATTACAAGGATGAGACAACGTCTACTGCAAATGTATGGGAAAAAGTCAACTTTACTTCCAAATTTAACCAATTTGACATTCTTTTGAAAAATAAACGTGAGACAATGATTTACTTGATTCAGGAGGTGTATGCATTTCAGGAAACAAAAGACGAAAACATCAAACTTTTCATCAACTTGTTAGTCTCAATACTGATTTTAGATTCAATTCAGAATGGAGACGACGTGGTGTACTGGAAGCAAGAATTGAACAAGACTTCAAGTCAAGACGTAGGAAACAGCAGCAGCAGCAGCAGCAGCAGTAGTAGTAGTACTGATGATGTCTTTTCATGTACATTGGATTACCACTATTCGTCAATTTTCAATGACGATGTTGACAAAGTCACAGAAGATGTAGAGGATTTCACAAACACTAAGGGTGACGACGAACAAGGCGACATTGAAATGAAAGTGCCGACTAGTGATGAAGTAAAGTCAGCACAGCATCAATTGATTTTGCAGGATAGTTTACTCGCGCATTTCAAAGCTATCAAAGACAAGACAACACACAATAATTTGTTTTACAACACAGTGAGATTACTCACTGACAAAATTTTGGAAGAGTTGGATACTTGGAGTTGAAAGAGCATCTCTTATGTACGGTCTAAATAAACAATTCTCCACTAATTACTCGCGGCTTGACTTTTATATCTTTAGGCTTCTGCTTTATTGGAGGCGGCTTCTTTACGATTGGCGTAATGACTTTCTCGAGAGGAAGTTCTGCTTGCTTTTTCTTGTCTGCCTCAAACTGCTTTCGACTCGACTCGCTCACACTTTTGCCTTCTCCCCCGCCTTGCATACTTTTGGGCAATTTTCGTTTCGGACCCTTGGCTCTACTCTTTGTAGCATGTGTTAAAGCTTTTCCATCAGCTTGCAGTGGACCACTCTTAACACTCACTGCTTTTGTTTGAGGAAACGTCAGGGCTTTGGTCAATGGAGGTCCTTGTGACAAGAGAGCGCCTAGCTTGTGCCCAAAGGACAAATCTTCAGGGGCGCGATCAGCTTCAGGAGATGACTTTTTACCCCGTGACTGCTTCAAACTTAAATCGTCCGTGGCCGCTTTCTTTAAAGGTTTCTTTGGCGGTTTTTTGTGGGCCATTTTACTCAATTGTGCACGCAACTCTTCGCTATCCCTTTGCTCATAAGTGGATGGATTGTGTTTTGGCTTTTCAGGCTTGGGTGGCGACATTTTCTGCAACTTTGACCTAAGATCAAAAGAGTCTTTCTCTTCGTAATTAATTGTCTTTGCTTGTGGCTTTACCAGTGTTGGTTTTGTGATTGATTTGAACTTTGCTTGAAATTCAGCTGGCGGTTCATCTGTGGTTTTGATCTTGGGTTTGGGTTTCACCGCTGGAGGGGCCTTGCTCTGGGCTCCTTCGACGGGCTTCTTCAATTTCAGGAATTGTGTCATAAATTCAGGCTCTGGGTCCTTTGGCTTTTGCTTATTGTAAAGTTCCAAATGCTTAGGTTTACTTGGCTTGATAAGCAGTGGCTTTGAGTTGGATTTTGATTCCGGTGATTTGCTAACTGCGCTGTCTATCCAGCTGGTTGGTTTTGACCTACCGGGTGTAGCGTTTATCGGAGGTGGCGGTGATGAAGTCTGCTTTGTAATTACAGTCGATTTTGACGATGACAATGAGGATAGCCAGTCCGGCTTGTCTGGCTTTGGCTTGGGATCCGGCAACTTAGATGATGCACTTTCTAGACTCTTTGTGGTAGCCTTTCCAGACTTGATCAAATTTTCAATGTCTCGGAAAGATCTATGCCCACCAGGTTCTGATCCACTAGTTTGCAGGACAGCTCCCGTCTTGTACACAGCTGGCTTTGGCTTTAGTGGTTTAATTGGTGCCTCTTTTCTAGCTATTGGCTTTAGTAATCCAATGGAATCCTCGTATTTTCGTTCAGGTAGTTTTGGTGGAGCTTCCTCGTCAACCTTTGACCTTCGAGGTAATGCCGGTGGTTGCTCCTCTTCCTGTTCGACTCGCCTATTTGGTAAAGGGGGAGCAAATTCGTCGTCATTCTTCGTTTTGGTTGATCTGTTGAATTTGAGATCTGGGGCTGAAATACGGTGCAGGGATCTAAAGTTCGACGGCGATTGATAATTGCTATCTCTTTTGACTGGCGATGAACTATTCAGCCTCGACGCCAACTCATCTATATTGCGCTGCAATTCTCTTTGCCTTTGACGATCCTCTTTGAGCCTCTCCTGTGACAATTGAGAAAGACTAGATAGAAAGTCATCCACTTTTTTTGATGATGGTGACACCTCAGTCATCTTTGATTTGGTTGGAGGAATAGGAAAGAGAACAAAAGTTCGCGCGGCTTTCAAAAAAGTTAAACTAGTCTATTTCTTATACACAATTTCAAAGTGGGAGATATTGTATAAGGACTCTTCATCTTCAAGCCATTCTTCCCACTTTGCAATGGTCTCTTTACACACTTCTTCATTCTTTTTAGCATCGTTTGGATAAATGACCTCCCCTCCATTTTTGATTCTATTCACCGTCAATTCCACCCATTTCTTTTTAGCATCAAGATCATCCGCCAACAACCAATAAGATTTTGTGGTTGTGATGTTTCCTGGCTTGTAACCAGCTCTAATGGCCTTTTCTCTCAATGTTCGGCCTGCTCTTACATCAGTTGATACGGCATTCTTGGCCTTTGCAATGAAGAAATCACTTAACAGTTTGTACTTTTCTGGCGACGCAATGATCGATTCCAAATCTGCATCCTTCACTGCAACGAATCCTCCTGGTTTAGCGACTCTGGCCAACTCCTTCAATCCTTTAATTGGATCTTGCAAGTGAATGACCACCTGATGCGCATACACCAAGTCGAAAGTGTTGTCTTCAAAAGGCAATTCATAAACTGATCCAATTTGAAACTTGATATTGTCAAGTTGAGGTTCTGTAGTTTCTTTTAAATTGTTTGCAGTGTCAATTAGTTCACTTGTTGGTTCAACACCAATAACAGATCCACCTGAGGTGAGATAGTTTTTCGCCAAATCGATTGTGATAGATCCAGGCCCACAGCCCACATCTAAAACGTGAAAATTAGGCTTAAGCACGGTGGTGATGAATTTGGTGGAGTTATCAACGGTTCTCCAGGCATGAGTATCTGATACTGCTTTTTTGTAACCTTTGCTGTAGTATGCTTGTTCGTTTGCCATTTTTGAGTCAAGGGTAGCTGAAGTGTATGTAGATGGTAGTGTTTCTAAATGTCCAGGGGTAGAATTGTAGACTATATGTATATATATTTTGTTTGTTTGTTGGTTTGGTTCTCGGCTTTAGTATAAGTCGGACTTTTTAACTTTATAGGAAGTTAGCCGAGGAAATTTTGAGTAAACAAATACTGACAGTTGATGATATCATAGTTCGGGTAATACATGCACGAAGCGATTAGCACACATGCATCACGATCAAATTTTGGTAATCATTCCTGGAACATCACAGAGTCTTAACGAACAACCAATAAGCTAGATGTTTTGCAGTAGAATTGACAAAGATGAGAACCTCGGAATCCTGGTCAAATGTGGAAAAGTTTTCAATTGACAACTTGAGCTGCGTGGAACACATTGATTCGACCAGCCTTCTCCAGCACAGCTCTAAAACATCCCCACAGGTATTATCGTCTGTCTAAACAATAAGCTCCTCCAGATACCATCAGCGATTCAAGAGCAAACGTACAGCGGAGTTGACAGAGATTGCAACTTTATTTTCCGCATTAGTAACCGAAGCAGGCCCAACGAGAAAGAGAAGACGTTTAGTGAAGTCATGAAGAACAAAGGGTCCTCGAAAGGTCCTCATGTAAGAGTAAATCTGCTACACACAGTAAACCCTTTCAGGTATGGACTCGAACAAAACAATCCTATGAGTTTCATCTGTGTGCATTGAAAATCCCTCTTATAATGATTCCACAGTCTTACTTGGAGCAAAACTAAGGTTACTTTATTTGGGAAAGATTCCAGTGAGGTTACCATGGACAGAATTACCCAGTGTATACTCTGGCGGGGGTGGGGGTCGAGTCTCTCCGTCGGTTTGAACTTTGCTCCATCTCTCTCCCCCCGTCAATTCAGAAAAATATGCTTCAAGGCGGGTCCACCATTGAGTTGCACAAAAGACGAGAATACACAAAACAGAAGTTTTCAAAAATTTCTTTTTTTATTTTTTATTTCTGTTATTCTTTTATTCTTTTATTCCTTTTTTTTTTTTTAAAAAAAAAAGACGTCTTTAAGTTTTAGTTTTACGAATTGTTCAGATCTCTTTATCCATTTTATAACCTCTATGGCGTATAGCCAAAGTAATCTGCCAAAACGTTTGTGTTTCCGATCAGATGATCATTGAAATTTCTCATTTTCTCTTGGCGGTGGTTCAGTTACGATTTTTCCTTTTTCATATGTATGGAGAATATTGCGTGCATCCCGCCTCCGCCTCGTAGCAAATAAATCAGGTGGTTAAGCATATCACACAAATAGATGCACTGCAAGGTATCTAAAAACGCTTAGACCTGCATTTCGCATTAGCAATAAAAATACCGATTATTCAGATCATGAAAGTGCAGCTACAACAGACACCTAATTATGGGGTATCTCAGTTAGTGTATGCTGGGAGGGTTTAGGCAACCGTGGAATGAAAGCGAGTGAGTAAATCGAGGTTCGTTCTAAACTAAAGATACAGATACCATGTGTCCTTTTGTGCGTTCTGCTGCTCTCTCAATGCTGTTTCATCTACGGAGAAGTAGATTGATGCTCAGCATAGGATATGCTTTGAAAACCATCGAAGACTCTAACACTTTTTTTTGTAGCAACTACGAAATACCTCTTACAGTGAAGAATGCAACACATGATTTCAGTAATGCAAAAGTTTGAAATTCTATAAAGACTCGTGAAAAACTATCAGAAAGGAAATAAAACCAAAAGTGGAAAGAAATGCAAAGAAGAAAGTGAACCAAAAATAATATCCAAACCTGAGAGAGTTGTCAGCTCTTTGTTTCCAATACAGTGTACGAATCAGTTGATGACAAGGAGCTTACCGAGTGTACAACCGTCAAATCGATGAAATCGAGGACAGCTGTTGATCCAGGAGTGGTAGTTACCACAGTTGACGCAGTTGCACAAATGGATTTGGATGAAGTGGAAAGATTTCGACTTTGTGATTCAGTTTGCCTTTGGCGTCGACCCATAATCTCTTCAATTGTCTTTGTCATGAAATCGAGTTTGTAGTTCAATGGTTTCCCAAACGTGTAGTCGATTCCATATTGCTTGAACAATTGTAGATCTTGTGGTGAATTTCTCGTTGTGACGGCAATTAAACTAGTGGCATCAAATTGTGAATCATTCCTTATAAATTGAGCAATGTCCAACCCCGAAATGTTAGGCATTTCTATGTCAATGAAAATGGTGTCAAATTTGCTGCCAAGGACAATTTTCTCTACTTGTGTCGAGTCTTGGATCTGAGTGATTGAACATCTTGGATATAATTTTAGTAGAATCCGGTTTAGAATTTTGAGGTTGATGATGTTGTCGTCAACAATTAGGAACTTGTGTTGTTGTAGATTTGGCATGGATAGGTTGAATTTGTTTGTAGGTGGTTGGGGTTTTACTTGTGGGCTTACAACTGACTTTTCGAAGGGTGTAATGGGACTGCAGTCCTCCTGTAGTGACATGTGCTCCAATGGCTTAGTCACTACATCCATAACTTGACTTTTAGCATCATCGTAATCTTCTTCAGCGCTGCTTTCATCATCAGCTTGGTTGTTTCTGTCACTGGTCCTACTTTTGACTGAGCATAAATCTTGTGAAATCTCGAGGGATAGCTGAGGTTTTATTGAAAAGTAGTCTAGAGTATCTTGCCAACTATCCGTGAGTGATTTTACTGGAGTGGTTGGTAGCGAAATCAGCGGTAGTGAAGATGTGCAAGAAGCAGGAACGTTCTCTTGACTCATGATGAACTAGTTGTGAATGGTTTGAAACAGGTACAAGATACCGAACAGAAAGAGAGGCCCTCGTCTTCATGTAGCTACTTGAGTTCGAGAGGAATATTGAGGTTGTTTTAAATAACAGACACCAATAGAATGTACACAATACGAATCTTTCTTTCTCTCTTTCTCCTCTCTTTCTATTTGGTTTACTCCCTCTCTAATACCTCTGGGGGGTTCTCTTTTGCTTTGTTTTTGCTTTGTGTGCTTATTATTCACGCGGGTGTTGTGCCTTATTAGAGAAGAAGAAGAAGAAGAAGAAGAATGGTTATGAGTACTGCATAGATTACATGTACAAAGTCACAAAACAAAAAAAAAAGAAAAACATTTTTCTTCTCTCTCTTCTCTTCTGCAGCACCCGCCTTAGCTCTTTGCGCGCTCTTTTCTCTCTCGCTCTGCTTCTGTCTAATTATAGTTGAGCCATTTAATTTAGTGCAAAAAAAAAAAAAAAAAGAGGAAAACGATCATTATAAACCTCATCAAACCGCAAAAGCTTCAAGATCTCTAGTCAGTTTAAGCTTTACAGATTACAGTGTTGAGCAGATGACCTTATTTCTCAAGTCAAAATTAAGCTGAAATTGCTATAAAATTAATCCCCTTGTCATTAAATTTTTTTTTTTTTTACCTTGAGCCACAATTTTGACAAACCCACGTCTTTCCTTTATTGTTTTATACTTACACAAGAAATAATAGTAGTAGCGGTAATAGGAAGAAGATTATTCCCTTGTTCTATGCAGGCAAGGAAAAAGAACAAGAGCAACAACTAAGGTGAGCTACGTGTGCGTGTGTGTGTGTGCGTGTGTGTGTGTGCGTGTGTGTGTGTGCGTGTGTGTGTGTGTGTATTGTTGATAACGATTGCTTTGTTACTACATTGAGAACCCCCCCCTCCCCCTCCCCAAAAGGGGAAGACAAACGATCAGTCCGATACTTTACATTGCTGAGTAGTGACTTAAGTTAAGTTGGTTAGTAACTGTATCTCTGTGTATATGTGTCTGTCTATCTACCTGTCATTTGTAATTTTCCACAAATAGTGTTGAACAATTTATCCACAAAAAAGTAAGCAAAACAATACCACTGTTTTTCCCTGTGTTTCACCTTGGTATAATGATACTAATAATAATCTTAGTAACAATAACATTATTACAATTGTTCAATTTGAAACCTATTGGATGAGTTAATCTGCGGGTTTCAGATTTCAATTCCGTGGATTCCATGCATAATATTGCTCGGCCTCTAATTAAACACTGTCACATGCCACTTGATACACCTCAACGGATGGTCAATGCATTGAAGTTGAAGAGCCAACAGACTGTACTTCTGCACGAATTGTATCCCACCTTGGTAGTTAGTTGCCTACAAGGTGCGTACAGCGTAGTGTGTACTTTTTTTTTCTTTGCAAGATATGAGCTTCCACCTCCCCCCATAGAGACTAAGCAACAAAAGAAAACTTTCACTGAAATATTATAACGTGCCTCGGATTTCAAATAATTGGAACTCCGCATAATTAACACCCCTCAGAATTAAATTTACTAAAGCTCTGTGTGTGGATTATTTTTGGTTGCTATTGGTCGGTCGCCTCAAGCAATGCATAACCAGTGACGTCCCGATTTTTTAACCCTCTCTACAGCTTCCCTCTGAACTAAAAATATTTCGCTTAAATTCCCCCCCCCCCCACTTTCAAAACTTGTGGCTAATGGAGGAGTATCAACGTGGCTAATGGAAGAGCACCAACGCCGTTAAATTAGTTTAAACTGTCATCACTCTAGACGTTGAGACTGACCCACATTCCCTCTATACACAAGAAACAATCTTTGTCTATGTCCATTGCATTATCCACTCTCTATTTACAAAAATAATAAAAAAAAAAGAAAAACATACTTATGCTAATGTCATTTTCTGGCAACTTCACTCATCAACTCTAAACATTGATCGATGTTTTCACCCCTGGGCGCACAAACCGGCACAATTTTCCAACCATTATGCTTTGTATCCAAAACTTGCTTCAATGACTGATAATTTTCACCCTCAGTACTCAAATCAGCTTTAGTAGCCACAACCAAAACCTTTTTATCCTTCATCCGCTCTTCACCAACCTCATCAATCAATATTTGCAAGTCGGCAACTGGATCATCTGACTCCAAAGATACAACGAAAACCAACCCACGTGATCGCTCAATATGACGAAGGAAATCCAATCCCATGCCTTTATTTTCCGATGCACCTTTAATAATACCAGGGATATCTGCCACAGTAAAAGGATCAGAGTCAATACGATGCTGTATCGTACCTATAGTTGGTTGTAACGTTGTAAACTCCCAATGCCCCACCCTCGGCTTGGCTCTCGATATAGCACGTAATAAACTTGACTTTCCAGCATTGGGCAATCCAACTAGACCCAAGTCGGCAATTAATTTCAACTCAAGCAAGAAATGAGCTGTTATTCCTGGTCGGCCAATTTTGCAAAACCTAGGATTACGAACGTTTGCAGTTAAGAAATGCATATTTCCTAACCCACCTTTCCCCCCATGCAAAAGCAACAAGGGTTTACTTGTGACTCTGTCACAATCCATGCCTAGTATAGGAAACTGATCTTGTTGCAGCTCCTCAAATTCAATCTCTTCATCGTACTTGGTCACTTTGTCATTCAACTCTTGAAAGAAATCTCTCAGTTGGTAATATTCTTCATCATGCTCTTTAAAAATCCACCCTTCACCTGGCTTGTACCCTTGACGACTCAATTGAATATTGTTCTTGTCATAATCCATATCCAATTCAAGTTCCATATACACATCATCCAAAGAATCACCTTCCTTTTTAGATACATGTTTTTTGAAAACTGTTGGATCAGGAATCCACCGAATAACAGTTCCCAATGGTATATCAATAATCACATCCTCTCCATTCTTACCATCCAATTGGCCCCCTTTACCGGGGGAACCCAGTTTGGCAACATACCTCTTTTGCAAATAATGTAGCGAGTTCAAGTTACGATCCACAACATTAATGTAGATATTACCGCCATTACCACCGTCACCCCCATCGGGAGGTCCCGCTGTGGTTAAATTATCGCGGAAAAATGAAACTGCCCCATTACCTCCAGACCCACTTGTCAACTTCATAATCTTCAAATCGACAAACTTTTTGTTCTCAACCTTAGCTGCTTTTTTGGTTTTGGCGTGTATTAGATTTGAATAAAACACATGGTGTAAATGATGTGAGTTGCCTGAAAAGTAATCGGCTATACTTATGATATTCCTTGGTTTGGGAAGCTTGCGCTTGGATATAGGAGTTGTTGTTGTTGTTGTTGTTGTTGTTGTTGTTGTTGTTGTTGCTGTATCAGGGTGTTGAATGATTTGAGATATCTTGATTATCTGCAGCTCATCATTGGATATACTCTTTGAAACAACATCCTTTCCAAAAGCGTCTGGAAACTCATTATGAAAGGCATAGTTTGGCGTGAATGAGGTTGCAGATGACACAGATTTCCGTAAACGTGGTGATGTGGTAAGATCCCGGTACAGTAGTAGCCTCACCAGCACAAGATGTGATGTCCTATTTATCATTGCAAAGATACAGTCTTGATATTGTTGCACAGATCAAGCCAACTTGTATTTTATTTTATTTTATTTTATTTTTTTTTCTTCGCCAGAAATCTCCTTCGATGATCATCTCGAGACATTACTTCCCACCCCATGTCGTCACAACCATTTCAAGAACTTGGAGTCGCAAGATGGCTCAGTGAATCCCTTGAAGCAATGAAGATTCACAGACCCACTTCCATTCAAGCTGCATGTATACCGGCAATACTCAAGGGCCAAGACTGTATAGGAGGTGCCAAAACCGGGTCTGGTAAAACTATTGCATTTGCAGCGCCCATGTTGACACAATGGTCAGAAGACCCGTATGGGATTTTTGGATTGGTGCTTACCCCAACTAGAGAGTTGGCGTTGCAGATTGCCGAACAGTATACAGCTCTAGGGGCACAGATGAATATAAAAGTATGTGTTGTTGTTGGAGGTGAAGATTTTGTCAAGCAGACTTTGGAGTTGCAAAAGAAGCCACACTTCGTTATTGCTACACCTGGAAGATTAGCTGATCATATTTTGAATAGTGGAGAGGAAACCATTAGCGGATTGAGAAGAGTTCGATATTTGGTGTTGGATGAAGCTGATCGTTTGTTGAGCAATAGTTTTAGCAGTGATTTGGAAAGATGTTTTTCGGTTTTACCATCGAGTGACAAAAGACAGACCTTGTTGTTCACTGCTACTATAACAGATGCAGTCAAAGCGTTGAAGGATAAGCCACGTCCGGCGGGGAAACTCCCTGTGTTCATGCATGAAGTCGACACTGTTGACAAGGTTGCTATTCCATCCACTTTACTGATTGAATATGTATTTGTGCCTTCCTATGTGAAAGAAGCATATCTACATAGCATTCTACTTCTTCCAAAATATAAAGAATCAACAGCAGTCGTGTTTGTGAATAGAACAATGACTGCCGAAGTTTTGCGAAGATCGTTGCGGAAATTGGACTTTAGAGTGGCTTCGTTACATTCGGAAATGCCCCAATCCGAGAGAACAAACTCGCTACATAGATTCAAGGCAGGAGCCGCCCGAATTCTTATTGCGACTGATGTTGCATCTAGAGGTTTAGATATCCCCACAGTTGAACTAGTTGTGAATTTCGACATTCCAGCCGACCCTGACGACTTCATACATAGAGTTGGTAGAACCGCAAGAGCTGGAAGGAAAGGTGATGCAATCAGCATCATTGGGGAAAAAGATATCGAGAGGATACAAAGCATTGAAGAGAGAATCAATAAGAAAATGGAGTTGTTGGAGGAGATAAACGATGACAAAGTCATCAAAGACTCATTGAGTGCAATGACAACCGCAAAGAGAGAGTCAATGCTGGAGATGGAAAAGGAAGGATTTGGAGAAAAGAGAAGGATTAATAAACGAAAACACTTGAAGGAAGAGTCTCCTAAGAAGCTGAAAAAGTCAAAGAAGTGAATATGTATCTATTTAGTTTCTAAGAACCCTTCGACAATCAATGTCACGTTAATCGCTATCAAAGTGATAATCACACCTGTGATGCAAGCAGCTGTGGGTAAATTGTTGAAATTGTAAGTCGCAATCTTGTGTTGTGCATATCGATTAATTGTAATGTAATAACTTGACCCACTCACCACCAAAACAAAGAGAGACAACACCAACAATAAATAGGACACAGCAACTGAAAACTTGGTATGATTGAAGCCACTTTTTCTCTCATCTTGCGATTTCGATTTGTCATCTCCGGAGGTATCCAATTTAAAATTCAAAATTATCCCCAATGCAGTAAAGAATAACGAAGTTGCAAATCTGGTAAATGTTAAAAAAGTTCTTTCGGATTGTAGTACATCTCGTGGCTCAGAGCTCACAACTTTCATAACCAACGGATACGGAAAGTGTGGCAGAACATGAGCATTTTCCTCGTCATCGATGGTAGAAGGTCGTTTCAACTTATGTGGAGCTGTATGTGAGGAGTCTAAGTCTATTCTTTGGGCCCCACTAGATGTACCAGCATCTACCTGGCCGTAAGGCGTAACCTCAAACTCATTCGTGCTCTCACCTGCCATTTGCCCTAACACAAACGCCTCACATTAAAAGAGTTGACAATTTTTCTTTTTTTTTTTTTGTTTTTCTTCCCTTTCTCTCTCCTCTTCATTCCACAAACCATAAACAATTAGGCGAAGCTCAGACAGAAACAGAGACTGCTCCCCAGTACTAACATTATGAGCGTGAGAGTGCAGAAACAACAAAAATGTATCAACTGTGGTCATACACAGTTTGACGTGAATAGATACACGGCAGCTGGTGATGTGTCATGTCTCCGATGCGGTACAGTTCTTGAAGAAAATCCGATTGTGTCCGAGGTCCAGTTTGGTGAATCCTCTAGTGGTGCTGCCATGGTTCAGGGTGCCATGGTTGGCGCGGATCAGGCTAGAGCAACTTTTGCCGGTGGAAGACAAAATGCCATGGAGAGTAGAGAACAAACGATAACCAATGGGAAACGAAAGATTAGAAGAATAGCTGCTGCTTTGAAAATACCAGATTTTATTGCCGAAGCCGCTGGAGAGTGGTTCAAACTAGCGTTGACTATGAACTTTGTGCAAGGAAGACGGTCGAATAATGTGTTGGCTACTTGTCTTTACGTAGCGTGCCGTAAGGAAAAAACGCCACACATGTTGATTGATTTCAGTTCAAGATTACAAATATCGGTCTACTCTTTGGGTGCCACTTTTTTGAAAATGGTCAAGGCACTTCACATAACATCGTTGCCATTGGCGGATCCTTCTTTATTCATACAACACTTTGTCGAGAAATTGGATTTCAAAGACAAGGCAACGAAAGTTGCCAGAGATGCAACAAGGCTAGCGCAGAGAATGTCTGCTGATTGGATTCACGAAGGAAGGCGACCGGCAGGTGTTGCAGGTGCGTGTGTTTTGCTTGCTGCGAGAATGAACAATTTTAGAAGAAGTCATGCTGAAATTGTGGCCATCTCTCACGTTGGACAGGAAACATTGCAAAGAAGGTTGAATGAGTTTAAAAAGACCAAAGCGGCTCAGTTGTCAGTGCAGAGGTTCCGTAATGACGAAGAGGTGGAAAGTGCCAACCCACCTTCCTTTGAAAAGAATCGAAGGAATGAATTGAGAATAGCCCGTACTTTGCAGAGACAACAACAGGAGACTTTTAGCGATTTGGATAGCATGACGGAGGATGAGAAAATCCAGTACCTTGGCGATCTTTCCAAAGACGAACAACAGAAGCAAATATTAATGAATACGATAATGAGTGACATCACCATCAACAAGGACTTGATAAATGACCAAATTGAAAGGATTTTAAAATCCAAACGTAACAAAATGGAGCAGTCACTATACAAGACTCCGCACGAATTAGCTAAAGAGAAAATAGAGGAGGATGATTTGGACAAGATCTGGAACTTGAATTGGCCGAAAAACTTGGTTAAAAACTTGCCCACCACTGAAGATGTACTTAAACTAGTATCTTCTGAAGCGGAATTGAATTCAGACGACGATGATGCCGTGGTGGAAGAGAGCCAAATGACGCCGGAAGAAGTTGCTATGAAGGAGCGAATTTGGACGGGACTCAACCATGACTACATGGTGGAACAGGAACGCAAAAGATTGAAGCAAGAGGCTGATGAGATGACCGGAAACACGTCTGCTAATACAGCTGCTAGTCGCCGCAAAAGACAAAGATCCTCAGTACCGCCAGAAATCCAGAAAGAAATTGGTGATATTGTTTTGGATGAAGATGGAACTCCCAAAAGTGCCGGCGATAGTGCTAAAATGTATTTTTCAAAAACATCGGTATCAAGAAAGATCAACTACGAGTCATTGCAAGGTTTATTTGGGGAAAAGTTTTAATTGAATATATATATATATATAAATGCCGTTTTTGTGTCATATGATTTTTTTTTTTTTTTTTTCTTGTCTCTATTTTCCTCTTCCTCATCGCATAGAAATGATGTTACCTTTGCAATCTACGCTTCTTCTAATCAAAATCAACACAAGTTATGGGGAAACAAAGAAGAGCCGCTATTCTTCCAACCAACATCATCTTGTTGCAGAATGTTGTCAGAAGAGATCCAGAATCTTACCATGAAGAGTTTCTACAACAATTATCCCATTACGAATCTTTGAGAGACTTGTACTTGGAGAATCCCACTGGAGCTGATTCAAATTCAACAACCGAGTTTATTGAACTCATTGGATTCCTTTCGGCTGTTTGTAACTGCTATCCAAAGGAAACAAAAAACTTTCCCGAGGAATTGAAGACCATATTACTTGATAATCATCGTGATTTGGCTCCAGAATTGAGAGAAAAGATTATTCAATGTTTGACAATGTTGAGAAATAAGGACATCATCACCGCCGAAAGCTTGATACAGACGATATTTCCATTATTAACTGCATATGCTTCAGGACAAGTGCTAGCCGGGCAACATGTGAAGCAAATGAGACGTCAGATTTACTCGACATTGATTTCGCTATTAAAGTCGGTCAACACTGGTGCCAAGAATCAACGACTAAATAGATCCACGCAAGCTTTGCTTTTCAACTTGTTAGAACAGAAGGATACACAGGGACTATGGGCCACCAAATTAACCAGAGAACTTTGGAGAAGGGGAATCTGGGACGATTCAAGAGCAGTGGAAATCATGACACAAGCAGCATTACACCCCGATGTGAAAGTTGCCATTGCTGGTGCAAGATTTTTTCTTGGTGCTGATAAGGAAAGGGAAGAAAATTTCGAAGATTCTAGTGACGAGGAAGGGTTTGATATGGGTGCGTTGAAACACAAAATGGAGGTGAATAAAAAATCATCCAAGAGAGGAAAGAAATTGGAACAAGCAGTGAAGCAAATGAAGAAGAAAAACAGTACCAAGCATTCAGCCACGTATTTGAATTTCTCAGCAATACATCTTTTGCGTGATCCTCAAGGGTTTGCAGAACAGCTATTTGACAACCATTTGAGCTCTAAAAACTCCAACAAATTTGATTTGGATCAAAAAATCTTGTTTATGAACTTGGTTTCGCGGATGATTGGAACTCACAAGTTGATCGTGTTGGGAATTTACTCTTTTTTCTTGAAATACCTCACACCAAAGCAAAGAAATGTTACGCAGATCATGGCCGCATCAGCACAAGCTTCTCATGACTTGATCCCTCCAGAGAGCATTGAGTTGGTGGTTCGTAAAATTGCTGATGAATTCGTCAGTGATGGTGTTGCTGCCGAAGTAGCATCAGCAGGAATCAATACCATTAGAGAAATATTATCGCGTGCCCCATTGGCCATCGAAGCTCCCTTGTTGCAAGATTTGACAGAGTATAAAGGCTCAAAATCAAAAGCTGTTATGATGGCTGCAAGATCGTTGATTTCGTTGTATAGAGAAGTTGCACCGGAAATGTTGGCAAAGAAAGATCGGGGTAAAGTTGCCAGTATGGATTTGCAGAGAGGTGAAAAGAGTAAGTCCAAACCTCAATATGGTGTGGAGAACAATGTCACGTCAATTCCAGGATTGGAGTTGTTGGCGAAATGGAAGCAAGAGCAAGGACAAGCAAACTCTGATGAGGAGGCGGAAGATGCTAATTGGGAAGTTGATGAGGAAGAGGATGGCAGCGATGTCGAAGGAGAATGGATTCTGGTGGAGTCAGACAAGGAGATTGATATTTCTGATAGCGAGGATGAGACAAACAAGAAGGCAGAAGAATCGGACTTGGATCTTTCATCTGATGAAGAAGATAACACCGAAGAAGGTGATGATGAGAGACCGAAAAAGAAAGCCAAGCTCGAAGTTGATTCGAGCAATGCCTCCACTATAAACGACATCCTTTCTAGCCGAATCCTTACACCCGCGGATTTTGCGAAATTGGAAGAATTGAGGACGGAAGCTGGTGTTGCTAAATTGATGGGTGTTACAAATGAAGACGCAGTGGATTCTACCTCCTTGGTCGGAAAAGTCAAGTACAAACAATTGAGAGAAGAGAGAATCGCACAAGCCAAGGAAGGAAAAGAGGATCGTGGTAAGTTTGGCTCCAGAAAGGGTAAGAGAGATGCACCTCACTCCACTACGAACAAAGAGAAAGCTAGAAAGAAAAACTTTGTCATGATGATTCATAAAAAGGCAGTTCAAGGAAAACAAAAATTATCTCTTCGCGACAGGCAAAAGGTGTTGAGGGCCCATATAGATAAGCAGAAGATGAAGAAGAAGTAATAACAATTTTGCTTGTTTATTACTACTTTGGAAAATATACTAATACATAAAAGGGAAAAATTTCTTTTAAAAAAAAAAAATTGGAATAGGTCCAAAATGTCAAATTCATGGAGAGCTAGCGGCCAACTTCTTTTTCTTTTCTTTCTTTTCGTGCTTCTTTTTCTTCTTTTTTATTTCTTCTTGAGACAAAGTTGGAGCTGGTGCTTCAACTTCTTCTGTTTCAGCAACCTCTTCAATCAAAGGAGTTTCAGCCTCTTCGAATCCACTAGTATATGGATGCTCTGGACGCTTGTAGTCGGACCCATCTTTCAAACTTTGTTCATACTTGGCCTTTTCAGCATTGTAAAGTTTCAATTCATCTTCGTACTTGTGTTTCCATTTGGCTTTCTCCTCATCAGAGATGTTGTCCCAACGCTCTTTGACCAACTGGTTCAAGTCAATAGCTCCAAGATTTGGCAATCCCTTTTTCTTTCTCTCCTCAGCAATCAATTTACGCAAATGGAAGCTGAATGCAAAAAACATTGTCAATGGTTTCTTTGGTGCATTTGGATCCCTTTCAACCTTTCTTCTCTTTTGACCGTTAGCTCCAAGGCCGTGTTTCACAGAGGAAGCGGAATCAGCCGCTGCTTTCGTGGCTTCTTGAATTGCCTCCAATTGCTCTGCTGTGATATCTTCACTGCCTCCGGTGGCTACCTTGTAGAAATCAACCGCGTTTTTAGCAGCTTCCAGAGCCGCCTTGGATAATTCAAAAAGGGACGCAATCAACGCGTCCTTGCTTGCTTTTAGTTCTGACATTGCTGTTACCTGTTGCGTTTGCTGTTATGGTGTGTACTCCTCCGAACCTGGGTTACAACCTTTAATAGTCACTTTGTGTTGGTGTTTGTGTCCTGTCGACCTAGTGGTACCGTATCGCAGCAAATACAGTGTGGGGGAGGGGGGAGAGAGAAAAGAAGGCGAAGGAAATTTTTCGACGCAGGGAGAGGAAATGTTTGGGGTTTTAAAGATTTTCTTCTCGCTCGAAAGAGTTGACGAAAAAGAAAACGAGGACGTCGTACTTTCAGTGCGAACTTGGGGAACAGAATTTTCAGTACGGCGAGATTCTTGTCTGTAGGTGGGAATAAGGCGAGTGGACTAACTTACAAACAAAAACCACAACAAAGTACAAAACGCGAATTTTCCTTTTTTTATTTTAAGAAAAAGAAAAAGAAAAAGAAAAAGAAAAACACCCACCCGCGTCTCTTAATAATAAGGTGAATACACTCAACTCATTCCAAGCGTCTACTTTTCTTGAATTCGTGTGGCTCTTTGAATTCGGTGTCGTGTACCTTTGTAAGTTATGTCAGAGCTCCTTTTTCAAACTGAACTCTCATCCACTGTCAACAGAGTTGGACGCGCCGTGGAAAAGGCTTCTCGGTCTTTGCCCATCTGTGGATCATTTGGAACTCCTCCAAACAGCAAACGTGAGGGGTTGCCAATCCCGAAGGACGGATGCCTTGGTTTCAACAGTAGCCATTGTAATAATCTATGCGTCACGTGCAGTATCAACCCCGACAAAAAATTATGCGCTTCCAAAATTGCGATCCGCCCCCTCCCCCCCCTCAGAAAATTTACCCACCGCTTTCTCCTCTATGCTTGGTCAAATGATAGGCCAACAATTGCTCAACAGTACCAAAAAGTATGCCATTGCATGCCCAGGACAGGGTATAATACGTAACGGCTTACTCGAAGCAAACAAAAACTACCGCGATTTATTTCAACCATACTTGGATGAAGTTGATTCAGCTTTGAATTGCAACTTTTCACAATATTTGTTCCAGAGAGATGTAAATGACGATGAAATACGCCAATGGCTACAAAAAACTTCAAATGCTCAACCAGCAATCCTTGCATCTACTTATATTACACTCAAGACCTTTGAAAAGGTTCACGACGTAGGTTTATTAGACAATGCAAAATTCCTACTTGGACATTCGCTCGGTGAGTACACAGCATTAACACTAAGTGGAATATTTGACTTGTCCACTGCAGTTCAATTAGTGAGAAAAAGAGGGAGGTTGATGGAAGAAGTGGTAAAATCTGACAAGTTTGGGATGATTGCATTGATAATCAAACCGGAAAACGTGTCTGAAATTGTGGATTTGGCTACCAAGCACAATGTTTTGGGTAACGTTAATTCAAGATACCAAGTTGTCATTTCGGGTGAATTAGTAAAGCTTAGGGAATTTATTGATGTGTTGAAATCGGTGAACAAAAGGTCCTTGTTGAAAACAGAGCAGTTGCCAGTATCCATTCCATTTCACAGCGCAGTATTGAAGGATATCGTTCCAGGGTTGAGATCAGTCGTCGAGGGCAAGATAGGTACGCAACTGGTGCCAATCATTTCCAATTTAGATGGAGAAGTTTCTACAGATAGTTCTACAACTGTCGAAAAGGCCCTAACTGCAAACTACAAACCAGTTCAGTGGATGAAATCAATGGACAAGGTGATTGATTCAGATGTAGATACAGTCTTTAACCTTGGACCTGGCAAGATCATCAATGCTATTAACAAACGATACAATGTGAAATGCGTTCCTGTAGAGGATATTGAACTGTTTTAAAATAGAATAGCCTGTATACTAGACGCTGCGTGTGTAGACTCTATCAGATGATGAGTAACATTGGTTTTGTCCCTTGATCATGTATCAATCGATCAATCAATCAATCAATCAATCAATCAATCAATCAGAGTCAAAAAATAAAGAAAAAAAAAAAAAAAAAAGAAAAATTTACAATAAACCGCTGATAAATTTACCTTCTTTGAAACAATTTTGAAAATTTTCTTGCACTCTTTGTGTACGACTGTAGTAGTTAACAACAACCGCGCAAAAATGGCAAATGAGGTCCCACGAGATCTGCTGAAAAATTTATTTCCAATCTCATTGATATCTAATCTCGAGTTTCTTTACCCTTTTTTTTTCTTTCTTTCTTTCTTTCTTTCTTTCTTTCTTGCTTTCTGTATTTCCCCGTTTCTATATCAGACCATGGTTGCCCAGATCTTAGATGGAAAAGCTATTGCTTTAGATCTTCGTACAAAGATACACGATGAAGTTGCTCAATTCCAGTTGAAGCACCCAGACTTCAAACCAAAATTGGCAATTGTCCAAGTTGGGGATAGACAAGATTCCACAACGTATGTCAAGATGAAGTTGAAGGCGGCTGAAGAAGCTAGCATTGGGTGTGAAATTATCAAATTACCCGAAGATATCTCCGAATTTGAGTTGTTGAATGAGGTCTCAAAATTGAACAACTCGTTGGATGTTGATGGTATTTTGGTGCAATTGCCATTGCCAGATCACATCGACGAGTCAAAAGTGACTAATGCAGTCTTGGCAGATAAAGACGTGGATGGATTTGGTCCTTTCAATGTTGGGGAATTGTCCAAAAAGGGGGGAGAACCAAAATTCCTACCATGCACACCAAAGGGGATCATGCATTTGTTGAAGGTATCTGGCGTTGATGTCGACGGTAAAAGTGCTGTGGTTTTAGGAAGATCTGACATTGTGGGAAAGCCAGTTGCAAACTTGCTCACCAAAGCCAATGCCAGTGTCACCATCGTTCATTCCAGAACCCCTATTGAACAAGTCAAACAGTTTTTGAGCGAAGCTGATATTGTAGTTGCTGCCATTGGCCAACCAGAATACGTCAAAGGAGAATGGTTGAAGCCTGATGCCGTTGTGATTGATGTTGGAACCAACTTTATCCCTGATAGTACCAAGAAAAGTGGCCAGAGAATGGTTGGAGATGTTGAATATGAAGCCGCTAAGGGAAAAGTGCAATTGATCACCCCAGTTCCAGGTGGAGTTGGTCCAATGACAGTTGCATGCTTGTTGGACAATGTTATAATTGCAGCAAAGAGACACTACAAGGCAAACAATGAAACCCCCAAATTCACCAACCCTTTAAAGTTGGACTTGAAAAAACCCGTTCCTTCAGACTTTGAAATTTCACGTGCTCAACAGCCTAAGCGTATCACCCAAGTTGCCGAAGAGGCTGGTATTTTGGATGCCGAGTTGGAACCATTTGGGTTCACCAAAGCTAAAGTATCATTGGACATTTTGAAAAGATTGCACAACAAAAGGAATGGTAAATATGTTCTTGTTACTGGTATTACTCCAACCCCGTTGGGTGAAGGTAAATCGACAACTACGGTGGGCTTAGCTCAAGCTTTGGGTGCACATTTAAACAAAAATGTCTTTGCAAATGTGAGACAACCATCAATGGGTCCAACATTTGGTATTAAAGGTGGTGCTGCTGGAGGTGGTTACTCACAAGTTATTCCAATGGATGAATTCAATATGCATGTTACTGGTGATATCCACGCCATCACCATGGCAAACAATTTGTTGGCTGCCGCTATTGATACGAGAATGTTTCACGAATCAACTCAAAAGGATGGACCATTGTACAGAAGATTGGTTCCAGAAAAAAAAGGTAAGAGAACATTTACCAAGTCTATGTTGAGAAGATTGGAAAAGTTGGGAATAAACAAGACCGATCCAAACGACTTGACTCCAGAAGAGATTACTGCATTTGCAAGATTAGATATTGATCCTGAATCGATCACTTGGAAGAGAGTCGTTGATTGCAACGATAGATTCTTGAGAGGTATCACAGTTGGAGAAGCACCAACGGAAAAGGGGTTCACTAGGGCCACTGGTTTCGATATCACTGTTGCTTCCGAATGTATGGCTATCTTGGCATTGGCCAACTCCTTGGAAGACATGAGAGAAAGGTTGGGTAAAATGGTTATCGGTACATCAAAGCAAGGTGTTCCAGTTACTTGTGAAGATATTGGTTGTGCTGGTGCATTGACGGCGTTGTTGAAAGATGCCATCAAACCAAACATTATGCAAACCTTGGAAGGTACACCAGTTTTCGTTCACGCTGGTCCTTTTGCCAACATTTCCATTGGGGCTTCTTCCATTTTGGCTGATAAGATGGCCTTGAAGTTGGCCGGTACTTCAAGTGACTTGACCCCAGAAGAAAGAAAAGAGCAAGAAGGTTATGTTGTCACTGAAGCAGGTTTCGATTTCACTATGGGTGGAGAAAGATTTATCAACATCAAATGTAGATCAAGTGGCTTGGCCCCGGACGTTATCGTCATTGTTGCCACTGTTCGTGCTTTGAAAGTTCATGGTGGTGGCCCAGAAGTTAAAGCTGGTGCTCCATTGGCCCCAGAGTACACTCAAGAGAATGTCGACTTGTTGAGAGCTGGTTGTTCAAATTTGGCCAAACATGTCCATAATGCCAAATCCTATGGCTTGCCAGTTGTTGTTGCGATCAACAAGATGTCTTCAGACTCTGATAAGGAGCATGAGGTCATCAAGGAAGAGGCTTTGAAAGCTGGTGCTGTTGATGCGATTGTCTCCAACCATTGGGAAGAAGGTGGAAAAGGAGCTGTTGACTTGGCCAAGGGTGTTATCGATGCTGCCAACAGAGAAGACAAGAACTTCCATTTCCTTTACGGAACCGAACCTTCTATTGAAGATAAAATTTCAACCATTGCCAAAGAAATGTACGGTGCGGGTGAAGTTGAATTTTTACCAGAGGCTCAAAAGAAGATTGATTTGTACACCAAGCAAGGATTTGGAAAATTGCCAATCTGTATTGCAAAAACTCAATACTCATTATCGCACGACGCTAACTTGAAGGGTGTTCCAACTGGATTCAAGTTCCCAATCAGAGATGTCAAAGCTTCAATAGGGGCTGGTTACTTGTATGCCTTGGCAGCTGAAATCCAAACCATTCCTGGCTTGCCAACTCATTGTGGGTTTATGAATGTTGAAGTGAATGAGGACGGAGAGATTGACGGATTGTTTTGAGCAAAGCCCATTGTGTGAGAATAGATTAAAACTTTTTCAACCTAGTTTTAACGAATGTTTATGAATTGATGTTTTTTATAGTGATAGATGATAGTTCAAGTATAGTTCAACACATATTTACATATTTACATATTTACATATATATATATGCTTACTTTTGATTAACAAGATTGAGAGTTGTTTGTATAATTCAGTTCCAACAAAGCTGATGGATTCCCATGTCCTGGTTGTTGGTTGTGGACATTGGACTTGGGATAAAGTGTTTTGCAGTACTTTGATACATAGTAAAGAAAAAAAATCAATTGTGAATCGGAAAACGAGAAAAATTAAAATCATCAAATTTTATCTCTTCACCCAACAAAGAAGATAAACAAATCGGAGATTCCTTGCCGAATACAATCAGAACAAGAGAGAGTATTCCTTACCAGCACTACTAAACTCTCAACCTCACTGCTGACTTTTGCATCAATACCAGACACGGTGAACTAATTTTTTGAAATCGATTATATACAGCTGTACGCTTTACTATCGTGATGTCATTTACAAGGTTGTCTAAGCAAATTCAACCCATCGCAAGGACTGCCGTTGCAAGACAAACAGCCTCTCTTGTATCAACTCAATTGTTCCGTCACTTCACAGTCCCATCTGTATTCAACGCCACCAAGCCTGTCATCTGCAACTCCATCAAGACTTCTTTTAGAACTTACAGTGTTTTAACTGAGTCACCAGAAGCTAAAGTATACAAATACGACGACGTTAAAGAAATTGCCACAAATCCAAGCAAGCACCCCGATTCAGTTTTGGTTGATGTTAGAGAGCCTGTTGAGTACGATGATGGCCACATTCCCGGGGCAATCAATGTACCTTTCAAAAGCAGTCCTGGGGCTTTAGACTTGTCAGAGGATGATTTCCTCGATAACTTTGGATTTGAAAAGCCTGAAAAGAATAAGGAGTTGGTGTTCTATTGTCTTGGAGGAGTTAGATCTACTGCTGCTGAGGAGTTAGCCAACACTTTTGGGTACAAAAAGAGAGGAAACTATGTTGGAAGTTACGAAGATTGGGTTGCGCATGAGAACAAGAACAAGTCAGTTGATTAGTGGTTACTGATTCTGACGTACTCGAACAGACGTTCTTTTGATTAATTCACTTGTTTATAGTAATTTCTTTTTATTTTTATTTTTTTTTTCACCTTCAAACATATCTAAACTATCGTTTTATAGATAATGCACGTACAATCGCCGTATTCATTTAATCTTCTTCTACTCGTTACGAGGTCTAAACTCCAACTGTCTAAACTCTTTTCCTAATCTTCTCTTTCTCTTTCTTTCCATGGCCTTTTCTCTCTGCTTAGGTTTCATGCTATCATATTTGGCCTTTTGTAAAATCTTTCTCTTATCACCACGTTTCAAAAAGTATGGTTGGCTTGATTTGCCCTCCTTCACATTCTGATATTGTTTCTTTTTGTATTCTTTCAAAAGCTGGTCTTCCAAGTCACGATTCTTTAAAGTATCCATTCTCGATTTCAACGATTGAAGCTTCAACCTGATTTCCTCTTTTTCATCTTCACCCAACCTTGACTTCTTATCCTTTAAAATCTGTTCCATATTTGAAATTTCCTGTTTACGATACTCATCCAAAAAGGCATAATTCTTTCTAGTTTGCGTCAAATCAGCCTTACCATAAGCCGCATCGAACCGGATGTCTGTATGTAATGTCTGAGACTTTCTCGAAGGTAGACCTTGGATGTCTCTAATCCTAGAGACCGGCTTTTTGCTTGATGCTTCAGCCGGTGCATGTTTACTCCTCTTTTTATGAGTACTGGTTTTGGACGCTTCTGGGCCCGAATCTGAATCAGACTCTTCGAAAAAACCTTCGGAGTCACTATCACTGTCTCGACTGGTCCTTTCATTCTGTAATTTAGATTGAGCATCACGCAAAGTTCCAAATGGCACGGAAGCTAAGTCATCATCTTCTTGTGGTGTTTTCAGGCTCCTCAGACTGTTTGGAAGATTTCTTGGCTGGTAGTTCGCTTCGCTACCCGAAGAATCCAGATCATATGCTGGCCGTATTCTTGAATGTTTCGGCATCGCAGTATCTTTGTTCAAAAGGACTCGTTTCTGCTGCGATGTGATTAGTTCACGAAATTTGTATTTATCGATGAGACCAATGTATATGCAGGACTCGCAACCATAAGGATGAGACTTGCTAATGTGTGTCCTGTTTACATTCAGCAAACAGCTCCGGAAGTCTCAATCAGTGAATTGGGCGGACCTAGCCAAGCTAGAAGCTCACTTTGACCCCAGTTGCTCTGTTAATGCATATTAGATATCTACAAATGTGTGCCCTTGATGTGTATGTATTCTACTTAGTATTAGAAGTTTCTTGGCCGAAGCTGCCTCAATTGAAGAGTATACACATATATATATATACGTATGGTATGTGGCATGAGTTATTGTCCCTGTCTATATAGAGGACGGGTGATAGCAGAGTCTTATGAAAAGTGGGTATATGTAAAGATTACGTAGTGTTGTTGTTATTGGTACGAAGAAAAGAACTACCAAAGAAACAAAAGACCAAACGGAGAACAAAAGAAAAGAAACAAAAAATAAAAAAAAAAAATTTGTTGAACGATTTTTCTCAAACCAAAGAACAACAAACAACAAACAACAACAAACAACAAACAACAAAAAAAAAGAGAAAAAAAAAAAAAGAAGAAAAAGAAGAAAAAGAAAAAATAAAAAGAGTTCAGTCTTTTCAGTCAAAGATAACTGTACTTCATACAATCTATTCCTTCAGTAACAACTACTTACTACAATCACAATCACAATGTTATCAAGATCCATTGCTCGTGTTTCAAGAGTATGTCTATTCACAATTGGGGAAACTCACCCCTCACCCCATCTTTAGCAGAGATCTAATTGCAGAAGTTGGCCCGAGATTGGAAAATGAAAAGAAACTCGCGTTGAAATGTTGGAACTGTGTCGGAGAATGATTCGACAGCAAAGGTCAATTAATTGAGTTGAGAGATCCCTACACTTCGTTCCATCATCTAAACACAGTGATCTTTATTGCTATTAACTATGGGCACACTCTAACTTGTCAACCATTACTAAACCCACGTTTTTCGTGCGTGGTCGGCGTCTTTTTTTTTCCCCTTCTCTGTGCCATTTTCCAACCGATTTGATTTTACGATACTTCCCGGGATTATAGAGTACTAACCTTGAAATTTTTTTTTTTTAGTCTGTTGCCCAACAAAAGAGATTCTTGTCTTTACATGAATACCGTTCTGCTGCATTATTGAGCGAATACGGTGTTCCAATTCCAAGAGGTTACCCAGCAACCACTGCTGAAGGTGCTTTCGATGCTGCCAAAAAATTGGGTACCAATGAATTGGTCATTAAAGCACAAGCATTGACCGGTGGTCGTGGTAAAGGTCACTTTGATTCTGGTTTACAAGGTGGTGTTAAGTTGATCTCGTCCCCAGAAGAGGCTAAGGATTTGGCTAGTCAAATGTTGAACCACAAGTTGATCACCAAGCAAACCGGGGCTAAAGGTAAGGAAGTTACCGCTGTGTACATTGTTGAGAGAAGAGATGCTCAATCTGAAGCATACGTTGCTATTTTGATGGACAGAGCTAGACAAACCCCCGTCATTGTTGCCTCTGCTCAAGGTGGTATGGACATTGAAGGTGTTGCTGCCAAAGATCCTTCTGCCATCAAGACTTTCCCAGTTCCATTGGAAGAGGGTGTTTCTGACCAATTGGCTACTGAAATTGCATCGTCATTGGGCTTCACCAAGGATGCTATTCCAGAAGCTGCCAAGACCGTGCAAGGATTGTACAAGTGTTTTATTGACCGTGACTGTACTCAAGTCGAAATTAACCCATTATCAGAAACTCCAGATCACAAAGTTTTGGCCATGGATGCCAAATTAGGTTTTGACGATAATGCTTCTTTCCGTCAAGAAGAAGTTTTCTCATGGAGAGACCCAACCCAAGAAGACCCACAAGAAGCTGAAGCTAGTAAATACGGTTTGAACTTTATCAAGTTGGATGGAAACATTGCCAACATTGTCAATGGTGCTGGTTTGGCTATGGCCACTATGGATATCATCAAGTTGTATGGTGGTGAGCCAGCCAACTTCTTGGACTGTGGTGGTACCGCTACCCCAGAAACCATTGAAAAGGCTTTCGAATTGATCTTGTCCGATAAGAACGTCAATGGTATTTTCGTAAACATCTTTGGTGGTATTGTCAGATGTGATTATGTTGCCAAGGGTTTGATTGCTGCCACCAAGAACTTCAACTTGGACATTCCAGTTGTCGTTAGATTGCAAGGTACCAACATGGCTGAAGCTAAAGAATTGATTGATAACTCTGGTTTGAAATTGTATGCTTTCGAAGATTTGGACCCAGCTGCTGAAAAGATTGTGGAATTGGCTCCAAAGAAGGCATAGAGAGAAAGGAAGATGTATACGTGAAGCATATATAGAGTCTTAAGAAATTGAAAAGATACAAATGGTGTAAACTTTGTAAACAGTGTGCTTAAGATTGTCTTTGTAGTCAGTCAAGGGTGACAGCGTCAAGAAAAAGAAGAGAGAGAAAGTGAGAGAGGGGAAAAAAAAAAAAAAAAGAAAAGAATCCACCTCAATTATCGCCACCAAAAAACTAGATACTTCAACCATATAGTCAATTGCAAAACTCAATTACAACACACTCACATCACAAAAGACATGTTTCTAACCCGAAGTGAATATGATAGAGGTGTGTCCACATTCTCACCTGAAGGAAGACTTTTCCAAGTCGAGTATTCTCTCGAAGCCATCAAGTTAGGTTCAACCGCAATCGGTATACAAACCAGTGAAGGTGTCATATTGGGCGTGGAAAAACGTGTCACATCATCCTTACTTGAATCTTCATCCATTGAAAAGATTGTTGAAATAGATCACCACGTAGGGTGTGCCATGAGTGGTTTGACTGCTGATGCCAGATCGTTAATTGACCATGCTCGTGTGTCGAGTTTGACTCACAACTTGTACTACGATGAAAACATTGGTGTTGAAAGTTTGACCCAGAGCGTATGTGATTTGTCATTGCGGTTTGGAGAAGGGGCCGATGGTGAAAAGAGATTAATGTCGAGACCATTTGGTGTTGCTTTACTAATTGCTGGCTTTGATAAGGAAAAGGGGCCACAGTTGTACCATGCAGAGCCTTCGGGAACTTTCTACAGATATGATGCGAAAGCAATTGGATCGGGTAGTGAAGGTGCACAAGCTGAATTGAACAATGAGTACCACAAGAGTTTGAGTTTGAAAGATGCTGAATTGTTAGCCTTGAAGATTTTGAAACAAGTTATGGAGGAGAAGTTGGACTGCAAGAATGCGCAATTGGCAAGCGTGACTGAATCCGAAGGATTCAAGGTTTATAGTGATGAAAAGACGGATGCGATTATAAAGGTATTGAATGAACAAGCTACAGATGAAGATACTTTGATGAGCTAAATTCAATATATATATATATCACACAAGGTTAGCATACTACTCAGGAAAACACAGTTCCAACCTGTCACTCAACTCTAGTAATTTTCTATTTTCCCTCTCGCCAACTTTCCTAATAGTGGATAGGAAATACGTTAAAAGCTCGCCAAATTTCTGGTAACGAAGAAAAAAGCTTTCATCCATGTACTCAAGTCGTTGTTGCACCAGATCATCATCCATTGGCTTATTAAACTTGCCCGGGAGCTCTTTTGAGAACGTTTCATACAAACCAGGATGTATATATACCAACATCTTCTTCATCTGAATAGTATATGTTTGAAACTGAATTATGAAATAAAACATCTCCCTCACACAAAGTAGTGTCTCGGAGCGTGTCAATAACGCGTCACTAAGTATCGATGTTGTATATGTTTCCAACTTGACCTTCAAATCGTGGATAGATAAGGACTCATTTGTAGCTCTTGCTGTTGCTGTTGCTGTTGCTGTTGCTGTTGTTGTAATTGTTGTTGTCTTACGCGAATTGATCCTCTCATCAAAAATTGTATTCATTCCATATTTGCTCAGTAATTTGGTATTGAGTACTGCATCACTTTGAATTACGTTTGTGCCCAACTCTGCTAACGATAGTTGCCTGGCATACTCATCCAACAATTTGCAAACTTCCTCATAGTTACTTTCAACCACATCGTACATTACATACGACTGTAAATGAGTGACAAATGCAAGGATACGCGAGTGCAACATTCTGCATCTCAATATCCATTTCTGTACCTTTGGCGGGAACGTCTTTTCTGTCCATATCGTTGAAGTATTAATATCATGCCAATTGCTTTCAACTTGCTTGGTGACAAACTTGAGCATGAATAAGAATTTGAATAGTGTCTCGTACTGGTACGATGTTTGCCTATTCAAGACGAAATTGAGCGGGAACAGGAGCGGAACAGTTACATCAACACTTAGAAAAGTTGCGTCATCAACTCTGTCATTTGTACCACTTCTATGACCCTTGCCAACTTCATTCCGTACTTCTTCGCTACTGTTATGCTCTTGTAGCATCTTTTTGAAATCGTAATTCGATGTGTCCGACCCCTTCCTCGATATTAGTTCCTCGGTTGCTTTGAAAAAGTTTTCAACGGTGATTGTAAAACGTTGGTTCCGTTCCGCGAGTTTGCTTGATGAGGTGCTACAATCTGTATTCAATAACGAACCAAACTGCTCGTTATACTGTCTCAGAACTTTCAGGGTTGATATCTTGAATTTATTTCTCTTCAAATCTTGAAATGCAGAATCCATAAATGAATCAATTCGGGAAGAATCCTCCAATAGGAAAATTGTTTGGAAAGTTTCAACCAAGTTGGGAAACTTGTATCCTTCAAAAAAGACTTTCAAAAGCATCTTGTTGGCTCTAGTGGCAAATAAATCGATTTTGAGGTTCAAGTCAGGAGCATTGAGACTATTCACACCTTCTAAAGTTTCACGCAAGTACTGAAAATCATGCAAACCAGTACAGGTTTTGAACATAGTTAGGTATTTCCCTGTGCTGATTATCTTGTTCTGTATCTTGGTATCACGAAATTGCTCTAGTAAGCCATCTTCTTTTATCGAATATAATTCATTCCAATAGAAATCGCTATTTTTTTGGAAAACCGACTGTAGTTTTTTTGGAATTTTAGCCACCCTAATCATAAACTCATCAAAAGGATCCTCAATACGTCCTTCAGTGAGCCACTTATTCAACATCAGTAGGTATTCAACACTAACTTCGTCATAAAGTGCAGTCAAGAACTGGTATGAGATAGCGTCCCCTTTAAACGCAGATATCCTATCTCTAATTATCGTCAATACAAGCCCGCCTTTACATACTCTCATTTTCTCGGTGTACATGTCAGTTTCCAAACGGTGGCGTGTATCGATCAACTCCTCCCGCGGTAGGTTCTGTCTCTCTTCATTCAATTCATGGATAGCTATAGCAATCGAGTACATGTGTGACATTTTGTTTGCAACATCCTGGTAAAGAATTTGGTCAAGAGTGTTGATGTTGAATTTCGAGTTGTGGTGGAATTCATGCTCCAAATCAATGAGTATCTTGATGTATTGTTTGAAAAATGTGGCTGTGGCGTGACAAAAAGCTTGCACAAGTTTCCCATGAGCTGCATCGTTGTAAATTTGTGTGAATGAAGTCAATCCAGAGTAGTATTTCCCGATGCGAATTATTCTCTTTGTGACTGTCTTCAAACTGATGTCTAGATTCCTGGCAATCTTGAAGTCAGGGCCAAAGACTCTAGAGTTTATCGACAGTCGGTTGTAGGTCTTACTGTATTGGATATAGTGGCCCTCTAGTCCTAAAAGGGTGAATAGTATATCCTTTATTATCAACGCTTGTTGTATGCTCATATCATTGATTTCCAGAAGTAATGGCGCTGGTATCTTTTGTGCTATTGGAGCTTCGACTGCAGTGCAAGAGTAATGTACGCTACTTGTGTCCTCTGAGTCAAATCCGATCAATTCAACAGCATCAAAGGCAGATTGTGGAGTAAATGGCCTATCCTGATGATCCATGGTGAATTCCTGGCTATGATGTAAATCTCGAGGCGATGAATACGTTGCCCCTCTATTTTTTTGGTTCAGTTCCATAAAAGCTGGGTCCTCCTGTAGTCGATTAATCTGTGACGGGGTATATTGATTCATACTCACAGGTAGTGATGGTACGCAATGAGGAAGGATGGAGATGTTTTGATGTTGTGGTTTTCAATTGTTTACAAATTTCAAATTCTTTTCTTTTTTTTTTTTTTTTTGTTTTGTTTTGTTTTTTGTTTTTTTATTTTTTTTCTTCTTCTGTCGCGTATATAGCGATCTACACAAAAATCAATTTACTCTAACCATTCCAGATCTTCATCATCTTCAACTTCCAGAATGTTCATGGCTGCTATGGCCAACTCTGCCTCTTCCTGTACTTTCTTCAACCCACAGAGATCCTCTAAGTACCCCTGCTCGTTCATGCATCGCTTAACAAAATCCCACTTATTCACATTGTACTCAGTGATGACGCGTTCAGAACATGCCGAACAGTGGGTGTAAGCAGGAGCATACCATGTTGTTTGAGAAAAGTTGTTCAAAAACCCCCTTATTTGATGCGGCGTGGTACCAAAAGTTGTCGTGTCATTTTTCTTTGCTCTATGTTTATCTGGTTGTTGCAAAATAGAAACTAGCAACTCCACAGACAACGATGAGGCCATCAACGCACCTCCTGGGCGTGTTACTGTGCACATTTGATCTAATGTACGGTCGCTTAAACTGTCATCAGGAGCAACAACGTCATTGCAAAAATAACAACCTAATCGATCTGCTTTTTGTTGAGTGATACTGCCATGCCTCATAACCAAAAAACTGTCAAATCCTAATGCCGCATTGATGACTATCTTGTCCTTGGCAGTTCCAATAACAGTTGGGAGCCACCTTGATTCCCTAGAGTCCATTAATAAAAACACAACATCATTCTTTTCAATCAAATCTTCCAACAGCTCGAACGACGCCTTTTGGTTCTCATCGTCTGTAACTGGATGTCCAATCATTGGCACTTCCAAGCAAACTCCCTTTGCAACAACACCAGGATATACCTTTTTCAAATTTTCAGCCGCTCTTTGAGCTTTATGTTCCCCTTGTCCACCATCACTGAAACAGTCCTCGAAATTGAAAAGCAGCTGACGTACAGGATTTGAGTATGAGACCCTTCCATTGTCCACAAATGTTATGTTTCTGAATCCCCAACCTAGTAACGCCCTCCCCACGTAGCTTCCCAATGTACCTGCACCTAGAAGTAACACACTCTGTTTTTTTATGATATCAAGATCTAGTTGCGGTGCTATCCTCCATTTCATTAGCTTTAGATTTAGCTCCACAGCCTGGCTTGCAAGCTCTAATGGGTTGATCAACAGACCCAAGTCGGCTAATTTCGGACTCAATTTTCCTTGGCTAGTTCGCTCCCACCCTGTCACCTTTGGTGGGTTTTGTAGTGACACTAGGGAAAGGGTTTGTTTGAACGCACCTTGTTTTCTGTATACAATCAAATCAATCTTTTCAAAGCCTACTTGTGCTAGGTGGAAAAGATAGTTTTTAACTTGAATCGACGGTCTACGTTCATGAGTGACACACGCATCATAATAGACAAACGTGTGGGATTTCCTCTGGTCGGCTGCATCAAACAATACATTATTATCAATCTGGAAAAACTGACCAGAAACATCACGTTCGAGCAATTGCAACGTTTCCTCCTCCACTGCACCTTCTTTTTCGAGATTCCATTCACTGCCCAATATTGGAAACGCCACCCAGTAGTAAAACTTGTACTTTTTCAAATCCGAGTAGCTCCATACATAGAACTGATTAAACGTTCCCAAATCAAATGTCTTTGCCTTGGCTATTCTCTCTTGTATTTGCTGCCCCCACAGCTTCAAAAGATCTTGTTTATTAGTATTCTTGAACTCCTCAATGGTGTTTACATTTATCAATTCACCACTTAAAACTCGGTTATCCTCTTTAATTGGCTTTCCGTTGGAAAAACTCTGATCATCCAAATGAATGGTGGGTGTGTCATTGAATTTGTTCAAGTTTTGAGTTTGTAGTTGGAACCCCCACACTTTCTGACTAGATGCATCTAGCTTGAACTTGTCCAATTTTAGTTCAGCAAGCTTTGTAAAGAATGAGGAGTCTATAAACGACTGAATTGGTGTATATTTTGGGTGAGCTTTGGGGGCCATTTCGTTGGTGACAAGTGTTGTACTAACACAACTCTATGCTCACCTTGTGCGACCGACGCAAAAGAAAACAGAAAAATTGGACGGCAGAAAATCCAACAACGAAACATCAAAAACACCTATTTCGTACACACACACACACACACACACAATCAAGATGGCATCAGAGGATTGGAGAAAGATAGACATTGATGCATTAGAACCGGAATACCACTTATCAGCTGCTGAGCTTGTTCCCGACTTACCACAGATATCACAATCGCAGATATCCTCAGTGGCTCAACAAGTGAGGTCGCAATTATCATCAGGTCAATTCCAGCAGGCACTCGAACTAGCTTTGGATAACGTTCCGTATATTGCTGACCTGCCTCAGACAAAGGAGTTGCATGCCAAAACCGTTTTCGAAATCTTATGTTCGATAAAGAACAATAACAATATTTCGGAGTTGGGGAAATTTGTCAAGAATTTGAACCAAGAGCAACAAGACACTCTTGTCAAGTATTTGTACAAGAGCATGTCTGAATCTTATGGCCAAAAGCAAGGTGCGTTGTTGTTGAACTGGTTTGAAAAGACTGTGGAGGTTACTGGTGTTGGCGCAATTGCAAGGTACATGACGGACAGAAGAACTGTATGAAGGGATGAGCTTGATGTCTCGGAAGTTATGGAAAACGTTGAATACAATCACGACACAAAGTATCACCTTCTGTAACGTCTTGGCAGATTGAAGATTTGTATACTGTATATATATACACTTCTTGAGACTTGGTTTTGAAACATCTATGGAAATACAGGATATTACTCAAATATCATTAGATGCCAATTGCAGGGGGGTGCACTATATACTAGTCTACAAAAGTTGTACTCTTTAAAATATATATATATTACAAAATAAACGTTAATAAGAAACTAAGTATAAAAAGAATAAAACAGACACACTAAGCTTTAATTGATTTCAAAGGTGACGACTTATTAGAGCCACTCTTTTTCTTGATTTTCCCAGAGGATAAGGGCACGGAATTGTACTGGCTTGATGGTTGTAAGACATTCTTTGTTGGAGTATGTTTCGGAGTTGCACTTCTCGATTTGTGCTTATCAGACTTGCCAGAGTTTTTATTTGGGGACCTTTCAGGAGATTTGGTTTCCACAACCGAATCATTAAATATTTCATTCGGATTGAACCAAGGTGAAGACCGTTCATTGAACAAATTACCATTTAAGTCGTCACTCAACCCGAGTTTGGTGGGGGAAGACTTCAATTTCCTGATCTCGGCATCTTTTCCAGCAATAGCCAATTCGTGCGATCTTTTCAATTCTGAGATCTTATTTCTGTAATGTTCTTGTTTCTTTGCGAATTGATCTTGTAATTGCTTGTACTGTTCCTTGGAGTCACTAACTGTCTTTTCCAATTGTGAAATGGTTTCAATCTTGGTTTTCAATTGATGAGTTTTCGATTCCAACTTGTTTGACAAATCCTCCTTCTCAGATTGGAGCTCTTGCTGCTTTGCAATAGCAGCTTCGTGATTGGATTTCAATTGATCTTGCAATGCTTGTTTTGCATTGTTCAACTCTTGAACCTCTTGATCGAGAGACATAACAACACTGTTTAAATTATCAATCTTGATTTGTTTTGCTGAATTATCGGCTTTCAAAGTTGACAATTGTGAGGAAGTAGTGTCCGCCTCAAGTTGGTGTGCTTGTTTCAAATCAGACAATTCTTGCTCTAATCCCTTAGACCTTTCAATTTCCGAGTCCTTCTGCGCAATCTCCTTCTCCTTTTGTGCCAACTCTTTTTGAATTTGTCCAATGTCGAAATCGTTGCTTGCCAACAACTTTTTATCCTCGGCAATCTCAATATTCAACTGTCTGATACGATCCACTAATTTCTGATTTTGCTCCTTCTCGTCCGACACTTTACGCTGAGTATTTTGCAATTCTTGTTCAAGTCTTTCTGTTTCCTCTTGCTGTTTGATTTTTACTTGCTCGTATTGAGTCACTTTTTGCTCCATTTGAGTCAACTCATTGACGATTCTAGTATTCTCTTCCCTTGTTGCAACAACTATGGCCTCCTTCTCTTCATTTGCCTTTGCAAGCACATCCAACTTCAATCTCAAGTCTTGGTACGCATTCACCATTTGACTAGTCTCTTGCTTGAAATTGGCGATTTCATTCTTGATTTCAGAAATGGAGTCAGCATACTTCTGTTTGGAAATCCGTTGCTCATTCTTTAAAGTCTCAATTATCTTAGTGTCCGTGTTTGGTCTTCTTGGCACAGGTGGTTTACGGACTGTGTAGTTCCTATCGATTGTAGCTCGTGGGACAGACCTAGCCTTTTGGGCAGACACTGGACTACGGTTTCCCAGAAACTTTTTCAGAGGAGCACGTCTTGATGAGGAGACGGTGGGTAGGGCGTAGGTTGGTAGAGACATTCTTGATGCAATGGTGGTAAGAAATGAAGAGATAGAAGAGAATATAGACTACGAAATGTAAACAAACAAAAATGTAAACAAAAATGGGAAAAAAAAAAAAAAAGAAACAATGTTTTGTTGCAAATTCAAAACTCTCGTGTAATTGTGGTAGCGCTTGGGTCCTATACGAAGATGAATCCACATCATCGCCCAAGAGATACTGACGCTCCGTTAATATTAGCGTCCTTGTGAAAAGATTGACCCGAGTATTCCACAGTGGTGCTGGACGCGTATTCAATTTACATTTCAAAACTGGTCAAATCGGGATCCAATTCATTATTCAATATATAAACTGGCTTTCTCTATGTATTAATTTTTTCCCATCCAAATACTCCATGTACTCTCTCCAAAGCGTATCTCCTTTCTTTAAGCAATCGACATCACCAACCATAATCAACCCGTACTTGGCTCTGGTAAGAGCAACATTCAATCTTCTTTCATCTTTCAAGAACCCGATCGTACCCTGTACATTTGACCGCACACATGACATTATCATAAAATCCTTTTCTCTTCCCTGGAACGCGTCGATGGATGCAATCATAATGCCAGAGACAATGTGAATATTGACTGGCTTCGAATCATTGGTTATATCATCGATATCAATTTCAACTTGTAACTCTTCATTTGTAGGATTGATTATATCGTCCTTGACTAATATGGATGATATCAAGTCACGTTGACCAGAGTATGGTGTTATAACACCAATGTTTTCCCTTTTTATTCCCTTTTCCACAATCAAACTCTTCAATACTTGTTGAATATAAGAAACTTCTTGACGATTGGTAAAAGTGTATCCACGGTCCTCACGAAGAAAATTGCGCACAGATTGTTCTCTTGCAGCTCCGCTTGTATCCCAAAAATACAATGGGTTCTCCACACCAGCAAGTTTCCGTGCATCTGCGTCTATTCCATCTATTAATTTCCCATCGTAAAATCTATTCCTTGGAAACTCGCTGATTGCAGGGTGCATACGGTACTGGGTATTCAACATGTGTGGTAATTTGTATGTTCCATTTAACAAAACCCGTTCAAATAAAGATGTGGACAAGCTCGGAATCAATGAGAAGCAACTCAATTGTTTCTGATCACCTACAAAAACAAATTTATCAGCTCCAGATACGGCCAACGGGATCAAAGTACTTGGCTCTGATGATTGCGTTGCTTCATCCATAATCACAACAGGACATTTAACAAGCGACTTCAATTGGGTTCCCCCAGCAACAACAGTAGTTGTCAAAATCACTTTTGATTGTGCCACCTGCTGGCTCGTGATTTGAAACTTTTCCTGCATAAATTGCTTATAAGCATTACCACTGATGACTCCAGTGCCACGTCTCAAATCATTTTGCACTTGCTGATGTTTCAATGACATTGCATCATAGATTTTATGATGTAAGCAAATGCTGGCTAATGGGTGGTCCCTGCTGTATTCCTTTTCCTTTGATGTTGCAGCTACTCTCAAAATCAGTTTGCCATGTTTGGGCAATAACTTTTCAGCAATATTATCAATCGCAATGTTCGAGGCTGCAACAACTAATATCGGATATGTATTCAATGACTCAAGCAACTGGATTACAGTTTCATAGATGGCTGATGTTTTACCCGTTCCAGGCGGGCCCTGCACCACACTAATCTTGTTATTCAATACAGACTGAATGGCTGCCTTTTGGGAATCATTCAAAGTTGATGAGAAATTGACTCTATTGTTGAATGAAATTTGTTTGATTGGCTCTTTTCCTAACAACATTTTGATAAAACTTGGGTTTGATAGATTGTCCATCGCATTGAATATTCGACTCACTGGAACCGATGCTGGTAAAAGTTTCAAATGTTGGGCATGTACTGTTTTCGGTAAAGGTTGATTATTCCACTTGTAAAGAATAATAATCAACTCTACGTGACTGACTTTGGCGGTTTTGCGATTCTTTCCTGTCTTGACACTATCTACTGTGGCCACTTTCCCATACCACGGAATCTGGTCATCCAAAATCAAAAACATTGCCTGGTCTTTTTGAAATGGATCTTTTTTCAATTTTTTAAATCGATCTGACAAGAATTTATCCATTACTTCTGGCTTCATTGGTATACTCACCTTGAACTGGTTGTTCTTTTTGTCTTGATCTTGATACCATTCGATAATCAAGTCTTGGGGCTCGATTATATTCAGCACGTTTGTGAGTTGATCTTCCAAAAAGACATTGAAACTCATTTCCCTATAATATTCATCAATGTTGTCATATGCGAGTTTCAATTTCGAAGAAGGGTGGTATTTGGTAATGTAAGGAGGCAAAACTAACTCCGACAGTGGTGTCGATGCTCTGGATGGTGTTTTCTGTGCAGGAGAACTCCGTCTAGGGACAGGCTCTTGAAGACTACCTGGTGTTTGCTGAGTGGAAGGACTCTTGGATTTCTTCAGTTTAGTGGCTCCCTCTTTAGGGTTTTTCTTCAGATTGATGCCTGACTTAGACGAGGTGTTCTTGTTTTCAGACTTGCATGTGCTGTTCCTAAAACTTCCCGAGTCTTTCTTAGGTGTCCGCATTACACCCTTTTCATCAAACGTAACAACCTGGAAAAGTTCAGGTAATTTTAATTTTCCATCATTAGAACCAGAGGGGTTCTTGCTATCGATGGATTTGTTGTCGTTTGAGTTTTCGCTCTTCTTGGACTTGGCATTTTTGGTATTATTTGGCTTAGCCTGTGAAAACGCTTTGGGCCCTGTATTAGTCTTTGCATTGGTCTTTGCACTGGTGTTACTCTTTACACTGGTGTTACTCTTTGAATTAATGTTGTTTTTTGTGCTTGCCTTTGCCGTGTTGCCTTTCGCCATATCTTTATGCGCATTTCTTTTACCGTCTTTACCATTCTTGGCATTTTGTTGGTATTTTCCCATACTAGAGCCAAAGCTACCAGCACCAACAGCTCTCACAGTGGATCCAGACTTGACCTGACTGGCAAATTCTTTTGACTCCTGGTAATGTTGTCTTCTTGATTCTGCTTCCGGATCCTCTTTTTTCACTCGCCTGGGTCTTCCCTCAGTCCTTCCACCACGTCCACCCCTTCTGCCCCCTCTTCCACCGCGTCTCCCACCTCTTCTTCCTGTAGATCTGCTTTTAACAACCACCTCTTTCAATCCCAAAAGCTCAGTTAAAAATTTATCGTCATCTTCACTAACGAAAGTGAGATTTGCCTGTGGTGAGCCCAGTAGGCACTTTTTGCATTTGATGATTTGACCACTGGGAGTATTTGCAACATTCAAGTCATCTCCTTCTCCACATGATTCACATTCAATATCTCTAAACTTGATGTATTGCGCTAGTTTCCCAAACAATGCACCATTGGCTAACGTGTACTCGGCTGTCGGGCTTTCTCCCGTGTCATTTGTGTTACTGTCCAAGCACTGGTGACACATTAACGCCATATCATTGAATCCATAACGCAATATGGCTAGTTGGTGGATATTGGAATCTGCACATTCTTCACATTCTAAAGTCTCGTCATTTGGGAAAACTCTCACAGTCTTGTGTCTTGTCACTGAGAAATGCTTTTGCGCATCATTGGGGCTGTCAAAGGTCTCCGAGCATGTTTCACAAGAGTATTTGTTGATAGAACTCATTGTCGTTGTATAAGAGCAGTCTATTTATATCAAAAAAAAATTTTATTTTTTTTTAACGGCGATAATTATGCGGAATAAGTAAAGCAGGTGCATAAAAAAAATGCTGTGCTCTAACCATTTCAATATCGACTACATGCTATGAGAAACGATCGAGCTATACGCAAGCTCAGATATCTCAGTGTAGCTCCTTGGCTGGGTAATAACTATCCCCGAAACTTGAGTCGTCTTCGATGGTCATCATATTGTAAATTGAATTCAGGAAAAAAAATAACGACAACTGCAGGACTCGAACCTGCGCGGGCAAAGCCCAAAAGATTTCTAATCTTTCTCCTTAACCACTCGGACAAGTTGCCAAAGCACGTAGACGACTACGCCAGAAAGCTTATTTTCTACAAAAAAGACTCTTAGTGCTTACATGTAAGTAAAAATCCATAATGTATTTTTGTCATTAGGAATCTGGTTTAGCAGGTCAATAACATTCGGAACAAGTGTAGAATAGGAATAATAACACAACAAGATGTGATTTGTTGTATCCAAAATGTACCACGCGTGATCCATACTCAAAATAGTCAATACATTTTTGCATGGAAATTTGACAAAAATTCTCAATACACTGATTAAACAATTACAAGGCCGTCACTGATCTTCCAGATAACGAGACCAACTGGAACAGTTACACAGTCAAGAGGTTTATAAGCAGTATGTCAGAAACCCACTTACCTTCCATTACACTTTAATCAATGCAAGCTTAATGTCAGAAACCTAAGACCACTTTATCTTGAAAAAAATCTGCAATAATTATAGTGAAATGATGTTGCAGCCTTATTCAAGAACTACACCAACTGATGGTATTATAGATACATGCTGATTATGGTTTATTGAGATTTGAGACTGCACGCGGGACTATGGGATAATAAATAGCGAGTTCTTAACTATGGAGTGTCTCGTATAGTGTGACAATTGTTATATGTGACGAATAGTTGGGTGATACCTTCAACTAGAGAGAATAGTGTTTACCAGAAGGAAAAAAAAGCAATACAAGGAGTATACATGTTTATACATAGTTACTCGTGGTGTTGGATTCATGAGGTTTGGGAATATAAATATGGGAATTTTGTTTCCAAATCTACATGAGTCTACAGTATAGAGAACTAATGATTATGAAACGATTAACGAATAACCAATTGTATAAAATAAAAGACAAGCTAGAAAAGAACTAATAAACGAAATAACAATTTCTTTGAATCCAAGTTTCCCAAAATTGTTCCAAAGCCAAAATTTCGGCTTCAAAGTTGACAACCGACAAGCCCCATTTTATATCCTCTAACCACTGCTTCTCCTCCCTGTTCAACTCTTCCACCGCAACGCCAGATGCAGTACTCCAGGATCTATTGGTGAATGTATTGTCATCATTAAACTTGTTGGCAAGAGCAAACCCAACAACAAGGTTGACCAAGCGAACATTGTAGGGGTAGCGGCGTTTTGTATAAATGATTCCAATGAGCACAGTGGAGATACTAAGACTGGTGGCTTTCAAGATCGCAGTCACAGATTGTGTGTCTATTCCAGGTAGTAAAGTTTGGATGAATAAAGCCATACTTTCTTCATATGATGGTGGTAATGGTGTTGCAGCAGCAGCAGTTGCTTGTTGAGTGTAAGTTTGTGGTGCGTAAAGCTCTTGGTGGTGGTGGTGGTGGTTGTAGTATGGGTCTTGAAATGGTTGTTGAGGTGGTGGTGGATAAGGCCAATGATAATGGGGCATGTAGGGTTGAGGGTAACATGGCACCACATCATAAGGGACGTGGTAGTTCATCGTCGTCGTGACTTGTGTAAAGAGACTTACTTAAAAGCTCTTCAAAGTGGAAATGGATGAAATGTGGTATGTGTGGCCTGAAGAAAGAAAAGAGAACAAACACACCCCCCATAGAATCTCATTTCAGAAAAAAAAATTTTTTTTTCCTTTTTTTTTTTTTGGTTCTTTTTGGGTTTTCGTTTGTTGTTGATAATTTTCATCATTACTTTTGAGCATTTGTACACGCACGATGAAAAAAAAAAGATGACACATAATCTTTCACAACAGAATTTACACCCAACAACGATTGCTGTTGTGAGACAATAGGGAAATTCTTTTCAACCAATGGGTTTATGAGAATGTAATATGTGGAACTATTAACTCAAGTTGGTATAGCATTATGGCTATTGTAGACACTTTTTTTTTTTAAGCAGAATGGAAAAGAAATTTATAGTAGTGGGGGCAATAGGATGACAATGAAAAGAGAAGAAATTTCGGTAAGAGCATCAGAGTGGACGTTACATATTTAGCAGAGCTTAAATATCGTAAATTCCTTCCAGTATACATTCTCCTTCCATTAAACATCCACACTTCCCAACACAATCCAATCTTGAACTTCTCCTTCACACAATACCAACTTGAAAACACCACTATCCCATCCGAGACTGTGATTGTGTAGATTTCCGGCATCAACATCTTCAATGCCGAGGTAATCGCTGATTCTTGTTTTGATGGTTAGCCACAACGCATTATCTATTGGCCAGATATTGCTGTAAACTAAGGATATATGTGGATCATACTCCTTTTCTGCCCACTCAGCTGCCTTGTAAGTGGCTCTCCTGCGAATCTCAGCTGTATCAAACTCCTTTGTCGTACTTTGCGATGCCTCTCTGCTATGCTTCTTCAGGGGTCTCCGCCTCACTGTGTTGCCCTGACCATCAGTGGTGTACAAATGTGGATTTTGTTTTTGATTCTCAGCTTCAATGTCGGCAGGAGCTATAACAAACACCTCTCTCATAATTTGAGCGAGTGATACCAAATTGGGGTCTTTCACCACTTCAAAGTATAGTTTTTGAAAGTATTTTCTTTGACTATTGATGTTTCCAATAGTCACGAGCTTGGTGTGATTTTTGGGCAAAGATTGCAACGCCACTACGCAAGCAGACAATACCTTATCAACATCGTCTTTTGTTTTGGATGGGTCATCGAGGTTGACACTGACATTGGTGGTTATTGTAATGTGTGGTTCAAATTTCGGTGGCAGACCGGGGAACAACGTATTAATGGAGCTACTCAATGTAGTTAGTTTGTCATGTATTTGAGAGTTTGGTCTTGGACAAAACCACAACGCAACACCTAATCCTTAATGTGGTTAGTATAAACTTGGATATTATGTATTGACACTGATGACGTACCCATTGTGATAGATAAGGAGAGAGGAGCATTCACTTGACAGGATTTTTACACCGAGAAAAGAAAAATTTATAAAATCTACTCTTTCTAATATTTACTACTTAAAACATCGGCGCCTTCTACGGCAGCAGAATCTACAAACCAGCTGACTTGCGTACCAGATGTAATATCAGTCACCAACTTCGATGGCAATTGACTCTTTGGGTCATTGAAAATCTCTTTCAAGATTGGTGCTTTTCCAGAACCTTGTGCTACAAACGCAATCGCAGTAGCACTCTCCAAGACCGGGAAAGTAATAGTAATTCTTCTTGGAGGTGGCTTGGGGGAATCGTTCACATATGATACCAATTGAGTCCTCTCATGTACAAGTTTGTGCCCCGGGAATAACGAGCATGTATGACCATCGGGACCGCAACCCAATAATATGACATCGAATTTGTGAGGTAAATGAGCTGCATACCTTTTGGCAATTTCTTTATCCTTTTCAATATCAGCGCCTTCAACTTGTCCGTCTTTACCAGTCAATAGCGATTCGTCAATTGTATGCACTGTAGGCTTGGCTGAGGAAAGGCTCTTGAGCACCATCTCGTTGAAAAGCCCATAATTGGAGTCCTTATGGTCCAATGGCACAAGTCTTTCGTCACTAAAGTACACTTGCCATTTGTCCCATTGAACCTCTGCCGCAATGTCTTGATTGTCAATCAATGCTTCTTTCAAAACTTTACCCAAGGAACCCCCTGAAATCGCAATGTTGAATGACCCATTGGCATTGATTGCTTCCTTCTGATGTTTGATAATGTATTTGCCAACCGCATCTGCGAGCTCAGCTTGCTCAGAGTAAGAATATACGTCAGCAGTCATTCTGGTGAAGGAAAAAGAAAAAAAAAAGGGTTTCAAGGAAAGCAACTTTTACTGATTGGTTTTTCCTTTCTTTTTTTTTTTTTTTTGTTTTCTTTTTTATTTTTGTTTTCTTTTGCGGTCGTTTTTCCGTAATCTCCGTTATAATAGAAAACTATTTCACTCTAAAAAATGGGAATACTCGGCGCTATCCTTTATCTTGTTATTCATAAACTTTTCCAATTTGTTGGCATTCTTGAAATACGTTGTGGACTCGCTATTATAAGACCGACAGTTCTTGAAAATCAACCTCGCATCATACAAAAACTGTTCAAACGATTCGTACTTGTCGTTTTCCAACTTCAGCTCCATTGTGGACAAATCCATTGGCTCTTTGATAACATCGTAGTAATCTGGTACTTCATCTTTGTTGACGGGTACCGCAAAGGGCCACGCGGAAGGATGATTCTGGATCTCTGAAAATAGTGTAACCATGAAATTATAATGAGGACCTCGTTTTGGTTTCTGAGCCAATTTATCCATCTCCTCCAGCCACCCCGCTTCAGTCAATCCAGGAATATCTTTATAGTCTAGAGTCACATTTCTGTTGGTTTTGAATATCTGAAGCCCTGGTCTAACAACGTTGGATTTCGACCGCAGTCGAATTTTTCTCTCAATTGCGGCCTTCTGTAGAAGAAGGATCTTTCCCAGGTCAAGGTATCGAAGAATAGACGGAAGCATTGAGCATTGCATCAACGTGCCACCTTCGTAATCCTTTATATATCCCATCCACACTGATTTGTCAAGTGTTATCTCTTTCGTGAACCCTTGCTTTTTGAAGTAGCCGATAGCATAGTTGTCTGCATAAGTTAAAAAATATTTGATGGGAGACGTCGCTCTAACATAGTCCTTCAAGTGATTCATCAAATGGGCACCGTATCCACGTACTTGCTCGGTTGATGAGATGGCACAAAATACAATCTCTGCAAACTCTCTATTATTGAAGGGCCTATAGGTTATACCACCAACCACAGTCAATGGCTTCCGGACAACAGCCATCGATAGATGTGAACGATCATAAACCAATCGAGATATATACTCACGCGGCATTTTTGGCAACTGCTTTTGGAAAATGTTCTTGAGGCCAGTCAAGACAATAAGACTATCCTTTGTGTTGTCGTTGTTTACCACTCTGAACTCAATTTTGCCTTCTTTTTCCTCAATTACCGAAGGTCGTTCTTTAAAGGTGTATATTTCTCCATCAAAGTTGAAGTTGGTTATTCGTTTCCGTTCTTCTTCTGCTTCATCATCCGCATCGTCTTCATCATCATCATCATCGTCTTCTTCTTCTTCTTCTCCTTCTTCTTCGCCGCCATTATCCCCACCATCGTTGTCGTTATTGTTATTGTTATCGTTATCGTTATCCTTCTCTGCCTCCTCTTTTGTCTCCTTCACTTTCTCTGCTTTATTTTTCGGAGGCTCCTCCTCATCCTCTTCTTTCACAGTTGGGGTATTCTCTTTTGACTCCAACTTTGTTTTCTTATTCAACGGTACATCATCTTCATCTTCATCATCTTCCACTCGTATTGTTCTTTTCTTATCAATCATGATTCGGATAACAAGCAAGCTGTATCAAGATCGTTGAGAATTGTTTTTTTTTGAAAAAAAAACCAAGAACAAAAAACAAAAAAACAACAACATCTGGTTATATGCAGTTGCAGAATTCAGTTGACACAAAACTACACACTATTTTTTTTTTTTCGTTCCCTTTTGCTGAGATGACTTCTCAAAAAAAAAAAAAACATCATTATTAATCAAGTTTGCCTTATTCTTTCTCCACCATACAAACATGTCGAATTATACTCAATTAACACCAGCAGATGCTGCTTCTGGTGGCCCAGTTGCAACCGTTCTTTGCTGCAACTGTGGTGTCCCCATGGACGGCTCACAAGGACTTGTGATGTGTTATGATTGTATCAAGTTAAATGTTGACATCACGGAGGGAATTCCAAGGGAGGCAAATGTATCGTTTTGCAGAAATTGTGAGAGATTCTTGCAGCCACCAGGGCAGTGGATCAGAGCCCAGCTTGAATCTAGAGAACTTCTTGCTCTTTGTCTCAGACGTCTAAAAGGGTTAAACAAGGTGAGATTGGTTGATGCATCATTCATATGGACAGAACCACATTCACGTAGAATTAGAGTGAAGCTTACAGTTCAAGGCGAGGCCATGGCCAACACTATTGTCCAGCAGACATTTGAGGTTGAGTATGTTGTTATTGCTATGCAGTGTCCTGACTGTGCAAAGTCATACACTACCAACACCTGGAGAGCAACTGTTCAAATTAGGCAAAAAGTGCCCCACAAGAGGACATTTTTGTATTTGGAACAGTTGATTTTGAAACACAATGCGCACATGGATACTGTGTCAATCCAAGAGACGAAGGATGGGTTGGATTTCTTTTATGCTCAAAAGAACCACGCAGCCAAAATGGTTGACTTCTTGACTGCAGTTGCTCCAGTGAAAGTAAAGAAATCAGAAGAACTTGTTAGTACGGATATACACTCAGGATCCTCAAGTTATAAATTTTCCTATTCGATTGAGATTGCACCCATTTGTCGTGACGATTTGGTGGTATTGCCTAAAAAATTGGCCCATTCTATGGGAAGCATTTCAAGATTGGTCTTGTGTAACAAGGTAAACAATGCCATGCAATTCATCGACTTTAATTCATTGCAAACGGCCGATTTATCGTCCCAAGTATATTGGAGATCACCATTCCCATCCTTATTGGATGCTACGCAATTGGTCGAGTTTGTTGTTTTGGATGTTGAGCCTACTGGTGATATTAAGGGAAAATACGTATTGGCTGATGTTGAAGTTAGTCGAGCTAGCGATCTAGGGTCCAATGATCAAACGTACTACGTTAGGACGCATTTGGGTGCTATTTTGCATCCAGGTGACTCTTGTCTTGGATACTACTTGACCAACTCGAATTTGAACTCAGAGCTTTGGGATACCTTGGACACTGACAACACGCCTGAAGTCGTTATCGTCAAGAAGCACTACGCCAGAAAATCAAAGAAGTCAAAGAACAGAAAATGGAAGTTGAAGAGAATGGCTAAGGAGCATAACGATATCATTGCCAATGACGACTCGAGACAAGCTAGACAAGAGCAAGAAAAGGCAGAGAGGGATTATGAGTTGTTCTTGCAAGAATTGGAAGAAGATGAAGAGTTGAGACAAACAATCAATATGTACAAGGCTGACGAAGGACAACCTCAAAAGGATGACGATGATATTGATGAAGATGAGGATGATGCACCAAGAATTGCTATTGATGAATTGCTTGACGAGCTTGATGATATGACGTTGAAAGATATGTAGCTATGTAAACCTTTATATATAGAAAAGATATAAAAACAAAAAAATAAAAAAAAAAAAAAAAGGAACTTTTATTTTTTAAAGGTCATCACACATAATGACTTTCCGTACATAAAACTCAGCCCTGGTCACACCTTTACCAATATGAATGACTAAACACATCTCTAAACTTCATATCTCAATACATGTATCCATACTCCTAGAATATTTTAGAAATTTCTAGTTGGTTGCAAACTCTTGATTTTGACTTTTTCTGACAAGGTCGTGTACCTTTACCAATTGTTGACGAGCCTTGAATTATATGTTTCAACAACCTCCACACTTAGGCGATGACGTAAAGTTCTTCGTTAGAATGGCAAGGAGCAGTAATTGAAGGTCCCAATTGTGGCGCTATATATCAGCCCAACCCATTTTTAGTTGTCTGAGAATTCGTCCAAGGATAATTGCGTTGCACGTGGGCAAATAGAGAAAAAACAATAAGCCAAGGGACGAAGTGATGGAAACAATAGGAGATGCAAATATGCCTGTTGTCAGTTGATGTCACAGGACTAAACACACGGCACATGACTTTGGAAAAACTGCATTGTTTGTTTTTACTTGGGTGGTGTTACTACATAGGCTATCAAGTAAATTGTCCTACCCCCCCCCATGTGGTCTACCAAAATTAAAATATATTCTTTTTTTTTTTTTATTGTGTACAATTTGCATTGTTTTTGTAACGATTGTCAAATCAAGGCACGTTGTCGTTGCAAATCCATATTACTTGCCTTCACTTTCTTTAGTAAAAGCATGTGATTCAAGATTCCCGTCCCAGGGATAGACCTAACTCTAGAACCTAAATCTGATGAAACCAATTCTTCCTTACTCTAATTGAACTGGGCTGCTCAGCGGCACGGTTGTTCTCTTCTCCCCAGACATTATATTTCGATCCCAAATTTCCTCAACACAAAAGCCAATTTCCTTCTTCATTTTTTTTTTTCTTTTTTTTTTTGGGCGCAATGTTTACTGTTTTGCAAATTACACAATGGCTTGAAAAATGAGACAAACATTGATCTGATAATATATCTATCAATAATCCACAGAATACTTTGGTGGTAACCAATTAGATTGATCTGGTGCTAACTGCTCCTCAAAAAAAAAAAGAAGAATGAGCTCTTCTCCCAGAAAGGCTTTAAGCAAAGGCAACTCGCCATGACAATGTTAAATTTTTTCAGGGTTTATCTTGATGTTGGAAAACCACTTTGGAACGTTGTCGAGGTTGCAAGTAACCCTCGAAACACAAAAGCTACAATGTATCAGACTCAATTTACCTACCTGATTTGCTGTTTTTACAATAACAGGCTAAATTAAGGTTATGATCCCATTGTTATATTCTTAATGCACTTTACTGCAAGCTTGGCATATGATTTCATCAAGTTCTTATATATATATATACAGTTCTGCTCGGGTGATGACAGCAAGCGCAATATGTGAATGCACTGCAATAAACAGCTATGATTTCAAGCTACTTCTTGCTCATTGCTACTTGGACGGTTTTAGCTTTTGCTGCCCCATTAAAAAGAAAGGATGACTCCTTCAACCCACTTGACCATGTAGACTTGTTTTACGGCACTGAGAATGGAGGAAACATGTTCCCTGGGGCTACTCGTCCTTTTGGAATGGCCAAAATAGGTGTAGATGTTTTGGATCCAAGCTTTGGTAATGCATACTCTGGTTACGCTCCGGGCGGGGAGATTAATGGTATTTCAATGATGCACGAAAGTGGTACTGGTGGTGCTCCGGAATATGGTGTCGTTTCTCAATTGCCGTTTACTGGGGAGTTCAATCCTGGAAAAGAGTTGACATTAGCAAGGGTGCAACATGATACAGCTCAAGTTGGTTACTACGGTGTCAATACAAGTGACGTTGATATAGAGGTTGTTGCAGGTGAGAGGTTTGGCATTTTGAAATACAACTACCGCAACTTGACTGAAGATTCCCAAATTCTAGTCAATGTTTCTCATCATTTAGGTGCTCCGGATAGACCTTGGTGGACACAGAGGTTCGTTAATGGCTCAATAGATGCAACAACTCAAGGTTACACTGGAGTTGCAACGTTTAAAGGAGGATGGGGAGACCAACTGGCTTGGAACATACACTTTTGCTGCAACTTTAGCACAGAAGCAACAACAATCGCAACATTTGACAACAATGGAACTACAAAATCAAGCCAATCAGTTCTGAAAGCATCCCAAGATAACTCATTCGGCGTTGTGTTCAACTTTGGCAAGGCTCTGGAAGTTACATCACAAGTTGGGATCTCTTTCATTTCGGCTGAAAGGGCTTGTTTCAACATCAACTATGACCATACCTTCAATTCCTTGCTAGAAGAAACACGAAAGACCTGGACTGAGGAGGTGTTCAACAAATTCGACTTGACTGGAGATTCCAACACGATTGACCAATTTTACACCAACTTGTATGGAACTCATTTGATCCCAACCAACAAAACCGGGGAAAACCCAAATGCAAATTGGCAGCCATCTGACACTTATTATGACGATTTTTTCACAATCTGGGACTCCTTTAGATGCTTGAACCCATTAATCAACATTGTCAACCCAACAAGAGGCTCGGAAATTGTCCAATCTTTGGTAAACATCTACAGAAATGAAGGCTGGACACCAGATGGTCGTTCGGCCAACCAAAATGGGCGTGTCCAAGGAGGAACCAACAGCGACGTGGTTATGGGGGATGCTGCTGTCAAGTCGATTGAAAATGTTGACTGGTCCGCTGCATATTCTGCAATGAAACACAATGCCGAAGTAGCACCTCCCTATTGGCATGATTCTTTCGCCCCAGACGCATCAACAAAGGAAGGACGTGGAGCCCTTCCAGACTGGTTAAAATACGGTTATGTGACCCGTAATTACACAAGATCAGTAAGCCGTACAATCGAATATGCTTATGATGATTTTGCCCTTAGTGTGGTTGCAAAACAATTAGGATATCAAGATGACCATGAAAAATATCTTGCCCGATCTGCCAATTGGCAAAAGATATGGAACAAAGACGCCACAGCTGATGGATACAACTATACTGGATTTGTTCAACCTCGGAATGCTGATGGAAGTTTCAATTCAACAAACTATGACCCGTTTTCATGTGGTGGTTGCTATTGGGGAGATGATGAATATGAGGGTAAGCCAGTTGAATATGGCTTTGCTGTGCCCCACGATATTGAAACTTTGCTTTCCCTTATTGGAAGCAACGAAACTTTCATTGAACGGATCAATGATTTGTACCCTTTGCATGGGAAACAAGTTGCTGATGTAGGTAATGAGCCCAGTTTTCTCACGCCTTTCTTGTTCAACTTTGTCAATCAACAGTACAGGTCAGTGGAATTGGTCAATTACATATTGAAGAATGATTTCAAGCAAGGAAGCAAAGGTTTGCCAGGGAATTCAGACGGAGGAGCAATGCAAGCTTGGGTTATTTTCAGCTTGATTGGCTTGTATCCAATAGCCGGAACCACCACTTACTTAATCACCTCCCCATCATTGAGCAGCATCAAATTGAAATTGGAAAATGGTGCAAATGTGCACATTTCAGCCAAAAAATTGTCCAATGAGAATATCTATGTCCAAAGTTTGAAAGTGAATGGCCAAGAATGGAACCAAAACTGGATTGATCATGATACATTGTTTGGCGAAAAAGGCGGGTCAATTGAGTTTCAATTGGGAAGTGATGCCAAGATTTGGGAGTCGGGCAATGCTCCACCAAGCTCTGGTCACTACACAGCTTCAGAGTAGATCTTTAGTTTAGAATTGAGAGTAGATTTTTACAATTTTTATTGGCTAGTGGTAACGCCAAACATTTAATTGATTTCATCGAGTACAGATTTGTTGCGGCGTCTTCAACTTGCTCACTGGAATGCTGTTTCGTAAAGAGGCTCTAAGAGGAGAAACTGTTGAGGAATTAACTTGATTGCAAATACGATTGCATCTGCAGACTATTTGGGCAACCCTAAATTGAAATTTTTTTCAACCAGTTGACGTTGTCAAGAAATTTTTGCAGCCTTTGACGCAAATACGTGCTTGTAGACTGCAAATGAACTCAGCTAACCTGTAGTAACAACACTTCATCTCTCCAAAGAATTGAAACGCCGCAATACTGGCTTACACTTTTCATACGCCTTTGCATTTCTTGCGGATTAATTGAGTACTTGATTGCGCATCAGCGTGATCCTTTTGGTATGACGCAAACTAGTTCATGTTTGTTTTGTATTAATTTTTTTAAGGAAGCAGTAATGATCGTGTTACTATTGATATAGCCTTCCTTCCACAAAATCAAGTGACCATTTAGTCGGGTAAACTCTGCCACTAGCTTGTGCCAAGCTCCAACACAAATAAGGAGGAATTATCTGTTTCCATTTTTATTCTTTTTAGCTAAGCCTGTGACTACTATTTCTGTTCCTATTTTTTGAAGGCTTAGTAATGTGATTCTCAGTGCAGTTATGTACACAGGGGGGCCATGCCTCCATAGAGAGGGTATCAAGCTGTTTATGCGTGACACCAAAGGTCATTGAGAGTCATGGATACTGATTGAGCTATGTGCAGGTGCCTGATTATTGTGAGCGGCACGAACATGTCAAGATAAATTTTAATAGTGAAACGTGTGGCAAAAACTGATCTACACTATGAGGGATTTTTTTTTTTTTTTGCACATAGTTGAGGTAATGAAAATTATAAATTATTATAATGAGCAGAGAGAAGAGAAAAGAGACACAAGCAACGTTACATAGTAATCATAATATTCTTAGACACAGTAACAAAATATTTCTAACACTCAATTTTCATTCCACACCTGTTGTTTTTACTTTTACAACCAACTTTACCCAAGAAACCATCCCCATTATACTACTAGAAACGGGTATCAGATTCCCACCCCATCTTTTTTGACACTTTCGTGTTAAACATCCCCTACTATCCACTATGACAGACTCTCCCGGACCCGGAAAACTTTCAAAATTGGGTAGATTGTTTGGCAAATCTCAAACAAACTTGCCAACAGTGCTGCAACAACTGGTCAACAGCAAGTCCAAGCTGCCTGCTGTTGGAGGAGAAAAACAAACTCAACATTCTAATTTAAACGAAACTACTTCACTGACGTTGTCAACTGCGTCTGATATCGAATCACCTCCACCACATCCAAATGAAGAGTACGATGACGTGTCTCCATTGCCCTTGAAACAACCTCAACCACGGCAACCGCATATTCCGTCACCACTAGCTCAAAACTCACAACAGCCAGCACCAGCAGCAGCAGCACTATACCAAGTGGACGAATCGTCGCCGAAGATAGCGACTAGAGCCGGATCTCAGTCACCTAACACGCCAGGCCGGGCTTCACCAAATGTGTCACGCTCATCATCTAGAAAAATGACGAGGCAGCCATCACTCAGCGTCAAGAACAATTCCACCACGTCCTTAAACTCTCTGCAGCAGCAGAACCAGTCAAGATTTGTCATGTTGGAAAATGGCCTCCATGAGCATCACTTACGAGCCATGAGACGTCATGAAAGCTTTCCAATATGGTCAAAGATTGGTTGGGTGCCAATAAGGTGAGGGACCAGGCCAAAAGCGCCGTGCCTGACATGGCTATGCAGCTTTCTTCATCAACACAGTTACAACAACAACAACAACAACAACAACAGCAAGCTGGCCCCAATAAGCCACCGACGCTATTTTCTAATTTGGTGACACAAGTAAAGAATCACACGAGTCCCTATCATCAACCGGGAACTATTTCTGAGATCAGTAATGCCAAGGTTGCTGAAGTTGGCGCTGGTGACGGTGCTGTTTCCGCTGCAGCTGCAGCTGCTGGACCCGATTGTCGTTCGTTTGTGGAAAAATATGGAAGGTGTCAAGAAGTCATTGGACGTGGTTCATTTGGAGTTGTGAGGATCTCTCATAAGAAGCTTGACCCTGCATCTTCGTCGGTTATTGCCGCAACTCCCGGAACTAATGGACAGGAAAAACTTTACGCAGTAAAAGAGTTCAAGAAGAAGCCAAATGAGAATGAGAAAAAGTACAATAGGCGGCTAACGTCAGAGTTTTGTATTTCATCATCACTAAAACATTTGAATATCATAGATACTTTGGATTTGCTAAAGGATGCCAAGGGCGAGTATTGTGAGGTTATGGAATTTTGCACAGGGGGTGACTTGTACACATTGATTATTGCGCTGGGTAAGCTAGAGTATGCCGAGGCTGATTGCTTCTTCAAACAGCTAATAAGAGGGGTAAACTATATGCATGATATGGGTGTCGCACATCGTGATCTAAAACCAGAGAATATACTATTGACGCAGAATGGTGTTTTGAAAATTACTGATTTTGGAAACTCCGAGTGCTTCAAGATGGCTTGGGAAGAGGAAGTGCAATTTTCCGATGGAGTATGTGGGTCGTCTCCTTATATTGCTCCCGAGGAATTCACACAAGATCTGTTTGATCCTCGTTGTGTTGATATTTGGGCATGTGGCGTCATTTACATGGCCATGAGAACAGGTCGTCAATTGTGGAAATTGGCAGATCCAAAGAAGGATGAGTTTTTTGAAGAGTACCTTATCAAGAGAAAAGAAGCTACTGGCTATGAGCCTATTGAGAGTTTGAAACGTGCTCGCTGTAGGAATGTTATATACTCAATCTTGGACCCAAAGCCAGAGAGAAGGATAACTGGGAAGCAGATATTAAACAGTGAATGGGGTAGAGAAATCAAGGTGTGTAATGCAGGAGAGGGAATTGCCGAAGTAGCAGCTGTGTAGTGTATAGACTGACGCGTAGTGAATTAAAACAACGCTAAAAAAAAAATAAAATATTCTGTCTGTTTGTGTTTAGCTTTTTTCTTCGTCAAGACATACCAGCCCTTTCAGGAAGTTCAACAAAAAGCGCAACTGCGGTTCAACGAAATACCACTCACTAAGCTTTACTTAGCTCCAGACACTCAGCTCCACTCATTCAACCAGCAAGAGCTTTCTTTTTCCTTGTTCTTTTCTAGTTTTTTATTTTTTTTTTTTTCTTTTTTATTTTCCTTTCATTCCAGATCTTACATCACCTAGCATACCGATATGGGAGAGTTATCCGATTACCAACGTCAGGAAAAAGTAGGAGAAGGGACATACGGAGTCGTTTACAAAGCTCTCGACACGAAGCACAACAACAGAATAGTTGCTCTCAAGAAAATCAGACTCGAATCAGAAGACGAAGGGGTGCCCTCAACTGCGATTCGAGAAATATCCCTATTGAAAGAAATGAAGGATGACAATATCGTGCGTCTATACGACATCATCCATTCCGACTCGCATAAATTGTACTTGGTGTTTGAGTTTTTGGACTTGGATTTGAAGAAATATATGGAATCCATCCCACCGCAATCCAATGCTGGCTTAGAACCACAGATGGTGAAACGATTCATGAACCAAATGATTCGCGGCATAAAGCATTGTCATGCGCATCGTGTCTTGCACCGGGATTTGAAACCGCAAAACTTGTTGATTAACAAAGAAGGTAATTTGAAATTGGCCGATTTCGGATTGGCCAGAGCCTTTGGTGTGCCCTTGAGAGCATACACCCATGAAGTTGTCACACTTTGGTATAGAGCACCAGAGATTTTGCTCGGTGGGAAGCAGTACTCGACTGGGGTGGATATGTGGTCAGTTGGCTGTATTTTTGCCGAAATGTGCAATAGGAAACCATTGTTTCCTGGCGATTCCGAAATTGATGAAATATTCCGTATTTTTAGAATCTTGGGTACGCCAAATGAAACAGTTTGGCCTGATGTCAACTACTTGCCTGATTTCAAACCCGGGTTCCCCCAGTGGAAAAAGCGGGATTTGAAGGAGTTTGTGCCTAGTTTGGATGATAATGGCATCGATTTATTAGAACAAATGTTGGTGTATGATCCAAGCAAGAGGATCAGTGCCAAGCGTGCACTTGTACACCCATATTTTGTAGATTAGAGTAGATACATAGAAGTGTCAATAAATGCTATGGGATTAAAAGGGGTTATACTTTCGACTGGAAGTAATTGTGCAACTTGTTGTAGAAATAAAGCAATAGTAGTAACAAAATGTATCGTATTTTAACTGGCTCGTCTTCGTTGTTCCCACATGGACGACGACGAGGAGGAGGAGAAGGAGGAGAAGGAGAAGGAGAAGCAGCTTCTTTTGTAAAAGGTTGTGGCTTTTCATAATAAGGGCTCGTTGGACTGTGTGGATGTGCATATTGAGACAAATTCTGACAAGACCCCGCTCTAGAAATTCTATAAGGTTCCATAAACGTTCCATCCTCATCAGAATCGAGTTCAAACATAGTAGGCGACACTTCCAGAGTGTTTGCCCTTGAAGGCGAGTTTTGAAAAGGTACACCACGTCGCTTGTGTTGCAAAGGAGAAACAAGTGCTGCATTTCGGTAAGACGCAGATCTCTGTCGGTGGATCGCAGCACGCAACAGCAGCCCACTCAATGTTTTAACCGGCGGTAGCTCGGTTGGGACTGAAATCACCTCACACAATTCACTAAAAGAAACCACCCTTTTCACACTTTTGACAGCCTTGACTTGAGCCTGAAGGTGACAGACTCGACCTTGCATGGTGTCTGAATTGTGCAACAACAATTTCAACAGTTGCGATGTGCATGAATTTGTTTGTTTGAGTTTCTCGATTCTATATGCTAATTTCGTAAAGGACTCGTTGACTTGTTGATGTAAATACGCAACCTCTTCCACTAGTTGTCTCAATGTTTGTCGAGTTTTACAATCAATGACAACATCCTTCCGTAACACACCATTCAAACAATGGTCGATATAGCATAGTCCGACAACATCATCATATGGCGAAGCTGCCAAAGTGGGAGGTTGCAGCAATGCAAGTGGAATAGGCACATACTTTATACACTCCATCAACGAAGACGTTTCATCTGAATCAGATCCATCTAAAGTTCCCTCAGGTACGGCCTCATCATTCGAACCCGGCAAAGACTCAGGCAGGTGCATTGTCATTTCCTCATGTGACAGAAACACCTTTTGATCTGAATCTGCGGGTGGAAGATTTAAAAGAGCACACGCTTCTGTTTTGGTTAATGCTTGTTGATCTTGGTACTTCTCAAGATCCTCGGTTGACATGGCAGAAAGAAGCGGATTCGTTAGCGGCTTTTCCGTGTTGTGATCTTGCTGCACCTTCATCAAATTCTGTGCTAGCTTTAGCAAATCTTGAGTTGGTAGACGGGATGTTTCGTCAGTATCAGAATCGCCCCACACTTGCTCAAACAAGGGTGATAACGTATCGACTCCCCGTTTACGTGGAGTGATTTCCGGGCTCGGAGGGGTGTAATTCATCAAAGAATACCAAAACGTGGCTGATTAATTCACTGTCAATGTGTCTCCTTGCAGTAACACAGCTGAACTGGATAAATATAAGCCTGCTCTTTTATCTCTTTGGCCTTTGATCCTTGTTTTATCTCGATATGTATCATGCAAAAGGGATATATTTTACAAAAAAACGTTTTGTAAATAGCAAAGTCTATTTTTTGTTTTTTATGTCTTTCTTTTTTTGTGTACATTTCGGTATGTACACGCCCTGGTCTTACTGTAATAGGAAATGTGATTGCAAAAATTCAAACAATAGGGCGTCACAGGTCGGTAATGGATAGCAAGGCGACCTATTTTCGCACTGACACCATTACACATGTGCCACGGACCAAACATACCACACAAAGGAGATTTATACTCACAAGATACCCAGGTCTATGTTTTTTCGTTGACTCTACCACTGGGTACCACCTACAATAGTGGTGCGCCTTTCTGTACGTTTCTATGCAGTCATCGTAGCTACTTCAAGCTCCAGCAACAACGATCAGTGGGCTTAATGGGACCTCTGCATAGCCTAGAACACTTCAATGTCGCAAGTAAGTGTCGTGTAAACTACTCTCACGACAAAAAAACAGATGACAAACAAGAAAAGAAAAAATAAAAAAAAAAAAAATAAAAAAAGAAAGTTACAAGTTGAACCGTGGCATCACTCAGTTCATCATGTCTTACGATTCATATAGAGGTGCAGCAGGTAGAGGAGGATCAGATAGAGGAAGCGGATATGGCGATGATTTCCACGGTCTGAGTAATTTCCAACGCGGTGGCGGTTTCAGAGGTAGAGGTGGAAGAAGAGGGGTGCCGTATCGTGGCGGACGTGGAGGTTACGGCGGAGGTTACAACTCACTGTACTACGGAAGCAACTATCGAGGCCGCGGTGGTTACTACAACAAGTACAGCAACCACAACAATCGCGACAATTGGAGTCGAGGAAGCTCGTACTCGGAGCAAGAGGAACAAGAAGAGCAACCAGAACACAGAGATGGTTCAGTAGAGCACGACGAGGAAGAGGGCGGACATTCGAGTCAAGATTTCTCTCATGGGCGTGGTGGTAGTGGCTACAGAGGAGGACTGTTTCGTGGAGGATACAAAAGTCGAAATGGAAGCACACATCACCTGGGTGAATACTACAAGTCAGGAGGCGTAGTGGATAAAAACTCTCGACATTATAAGGAGTTCCTACATGATACAAAGTTGAAGGAGTTTCAAAATCCATGGATAAATATTATGGGTATCACTGATGAAACAAGGCAGGCAAGTTTGGAGGAAAGCTACCATGAACAAGCTAAAGCTGATGAAACTATTCGAGATTTACAAAAGAGGAAGCTCAGGCTAGAAATGGCACTCTCAAGTTTGGAGAAACATGCCGCTAGAGAGGAGTTGCATGTACAGCTAACTAATGAGAAATTGGATGAATTTGTGTATATTTAAATAAAAGGTTGGGTAATACTACTCGTACGCGCTTTCCGTAGCTCAACAAAAGTACAAAAAAAAAAAATAAAGGGAAAAAAAGAGTAACCACGAAAAGGGATTACATTTCATCCTAACCTCCTACCCCCTCCCCCCCCCCCACATAATGTCCTCAATTGAAGATCTATTACAATCACTCCCAGATAATCGTGTTGTGTACTACACCTTGGTATTTGCCTTGCTCGTTGGTGTTTTCAAATTAACCACTTTCGTTCTCAGACTCGGATCCGTACTTGTTGACCTTTTCGTTGTACCTCCTGTTGACTTTGTCAAGTATGGTGCTCACAGTGGTAGGTGGGCCGTCGTCACTGGTGCGTCTGATGGAATTGGTAAAGAGTTTGCTTTGCAATTGGCCAAACGTGGGTTAGCCATTGTGTTGGTTTCCAGAACGAAATCCAAGTTGGAAGCAGTAGCTGAGGAAATTGCAACCAAGTACAAAGTCGATACTAAAATTGTTCCTTTCGATGCTGCACTGGATGATGAGGCTAACTACTTGGAATTGGAAAAGGCTGTTTACGACTTGCCAATTTCAGTCTTGATTAACAATGTTGGGCAATCGCACTCAATCCCGGTTCCATTCTTGGAAACTGACACCACTGAGTTGAGAAACATCATAACCATCAACAACACCGCCACTTTGAGAATCACCCAGGTTATTGCACCAATAATCAAAGCCACTGTCGAAAAATCACGCGGCAAAAATAGAGGTCTTATTTTGACCATGGGTTCATTTGGTGGATTGTTGCCTACTCCTTACTTGGCTGTCTACTCCGGATCAAAAGCATTTTTACAACAATGGTCCAATGCATTAGCTGGTGAGTTGAGTGCTGATGGAATAGACGTTGAGTTGGTCATTTCATACTTGGTTACATCAGCTATGTCCAAGATCAGACGTTCCTCTTTGACAATCCCCAACGCAAAGGACTTTGTAGCATCTGCTTTGAAAGGGATTGGTCGTAGAGGTGGTGCTCAAGAGAGATATGCAACTAGCACTCCGTTCTGGACTCACGCTTTGATGCATTTTGGAATTGACAATACTGTGGGTGTTTACTCCAAGATTGCCAACCAACTTAATCTCAGCATGCACCAGTCAATCAGACAAAGAGCGTTGAGAAAGAAGGCCAAAGCTGCCGCTTCAATAAGTGCTGAAAAGAATGATTGAGAAATGTGTGTATCACGTGTATAGATAGATAAGAATATTCTAGAAATGTGATGAATGTTCTCGATCAAAAGCGACGGAACGTAAAAAAAAAATAATAATAAAAAAAAAGGAAAAAAACGCTGATTGTGCAGAGAGGGTAGCCGGTAGCGCCATATCCCAATAGAATCATAATCGAGACGACTTTCTTTTGAAAATTAGTTTGCTACAATCACAACTTTCCTTTTCTTCAACGATCTCTTTCATCTAAACTCAATTGATTGTCGAGTCACAACAGATATGGTCAAAGATACGAAGCTTTACAATTTACTAGGCGTTGACCCTTCCGCCAGTGAAGCAGAAATCAAAAAAGGATACAGAAAACAAGCATTGAAATACCATCCAGATAAACCAACTGGTGATACCGAAAAGTTTAAAGAAATATCCGAAGCATTTGACATTTTGTCCAATGCGGATAAGAGAGAAGTGTATGACCAATACGGTCTAGAGGCCGCTAGAGGGAACGCTCCAGCTGCCGACCCCGGCAATCCATTTGGTGGAGCTGGTGGTGGTGGTGCTGGAGGATTTAACTTTGGTGGTGCTGGAGGAGGCGGTGGTTTCAGATCTTCTGGTGGTGGATTCTCACAAGCTGATGCTTTCAATATCTTTTCCCAGATGGGTGGTTTCGGTATGGGAGATGACGGATTTACTTTCAGTCTGAGTGGTTTCGGCGGTGGTGCCGGTGGATCTCCATTTGGTGGAGGAGGTTTCAGGTCTGCCGGAGGTGGCGGCGGAATGCCAGGTGGTTTTGGTGGACGTCAACAACAAAGACCAGAACCAGACACTGTATCAATCCAACTCCCTGTTTCGTTGGAAGACTTGTATAAAGGTGCAACCAAAAAGATGAAGATTACTAGAAAAGATGCCAGTGGAACGAGAGAACAGAAAGTTTTGGAAGTTAATATAAAGCCTGGCTGGAAATCGGGCACCAAGATCAACTTTGCCAATGAAGGAGATTACCAACCAGAATGTGGTGCAAGGCAAACTATACAATTCGTCATACAAGAAAAGCCAAGTCCAATTTTCAAGAGAGATGGAAACAATATCAAAATGAATGTCCATTTATCATTTAAGGAGTCACTTTGTGGGTTTGAAAAAGATGTAACTACGTTAGACGGCAGAAGAATCTCATTGAGTAGATCTAGTCCTGTTCAACCAAATTCAACCACAAACTACCCAGGTTTGGGAATGCCAATAAGCAAGAGTCCTGGCCAAAAAGGTGACTTGGAAATTACTTACAAAGTGGACTACCCATCGTCATTAACCCCTGCACAGAAGCAAGCCATTTTGGATAACTTTTAAATAGTTATAGAGTAAATAAATTCAAACTCGTAAAATATTCTGTAAAAAGTGCGCAAAACAAACAAACCAAAATAAAAAAAAAAATAAAAAAAAAAAAGAAAGAAAAAAGCACAACCTCTCTTTTAACACTTGTGTCTCCAATGTCCGTCATACTAGCGTCGGCGGGGTATGACCATACCATAAGATTTTGGGATGCCCTCACTGGCGTCTGCTCAAGAACAATCCAACACACTGACTCGCAAGTCAATCGATTGGAAATCACTTCCGATAAACGGTATCTTGCAGCAGCAGGCAACTTGTACGTTAGATTGTACGACATACGGCAAGCTGGAGCCTCTGGAAACACATCGGTTCAGAATAACAACGCCGCGTCAAGCAGCAGCAGCAGCAACAACAACAACTCCAATAACAACCCCGTAATGACATTTGAGGGACACAGTACCAATGTAACCTCCCTAGCATTTCAAGCGGATAATAAGTGGATGGTAACTTCCAGCGAGGATGGAACTGTTAAAGTCTGGGATGTGCGGTCTCCTTCAGTGCAACGAAATTACAAACACAACTGCCCTGTCAATGAGGTAGTGATACATCCAAACCAAGGTGAATTGATTAGTTGTGACCAGGATGGGAATATCCGCGTTTGGGATCTTGGTGAAAATCAATGCACTCATCACTTGATCCCCGAGGATGATGTGCCCATAAACTCACTAAGTGTTGCTAGTGATGGATCGATGCTTGTTGCTGGAAACAACAAGGGAAACTGCTATGTATGGGGTATGCTGAACCAAAAAGATTTGACATCATTGACACCGGTAACAAAGTTTCGATCGCACCTGAAGTACATCACGCGAGTGTTGCTAAGCACTGACATGAAACATTTGGCAACTTGTTCTGCTGACCATACGGCTAGAATTTGGTCAACAGAACAGAATTTTGCTTTGGAAACTACTCTACAGGGACATCAGAGATGGGTATGGGATTGTGCATTCAGTGCCGATAGTGCATATCTTGTCACTGCCTGTTCTGACCATTACGTAAGATTGTGGGACTTATCCAATAGCGAAACCGTAAGACAATACAATGGTCATCACAAAGGGGCAGTTTGCGTAGCATTAAATGATGTGTAAATATAAACCTATAAAATCCAAAAATAAAAAAAAAGACAAAAAATATGAAACGTTCTCTTTGTCACATGTACTCGTCCGAGTCAAATGTATGAAACAAAGTGACTTGTTCTTGTCTTGCATTGAATATGAGAAATCGAGTCTTTGTGATGAAAATGTTTGCATTGGCGTAGCTAAACAACCTCTCCAAACACGAATGGATGCTTCTCTTTGACTTGATTGAGTGGTACCCTTGACGTAATTGAAGCAACTTCTCCTCAACCTGCTCTGTCTCAAATTTGCAATTGACGTGTTTGTAAAAGAAGTATGCACATCGGGCAAACAATTCCATCGACTCTTCAAAAGTGCCAAAAAACGTGCCAACTCGTTCCTCCACCAACACTGTCATCAATTTTTCGATACGTTGTGCCAATTCCAAGAATATACATTCATCAAAAAACAATTGACTGCTCAAGTCAGCAGGAAATTTGACTGCGAAAAGCACCCGTGAATAGTACTTTAAACTTTCCAACCCGGTATCAAAATCAGTACACTCGCATACATCGTTGCTAATCTTTTGGACAATCACGTTGAAGGGGAAGGTATACAATGCAAACACTTTTGTTGTCATCACTTCATCAATCAAATGCTTTAGAAAAGTGACTCTGCTGGGAACGATTTGGAAAGTTTCAATTGACTCAATCAACAACTTTATCAATGAAGTTGCTCCATTTCTTTCAATCAAGCCAGCAAATTCTTTCAACAACAAACTAAAGTACCCTTCATCATTGATGTTGTAATTTGATTTGGGGATGAGGATAATTGCAATGAAAAAATTGCGAATTTGAATTTGACGAGTATACACATCCAAATCGAATGGGTGGAAGCATTTTGAGCATGACTGTTCCTTCAATATTGTATTTGGAGTGGTGAGCACAGAAGTCAAGCTGGAGGACTTGATCTGTTTCAAACACTCATTGCATTGCATTGTGAAAAATACATCCTGTTTTTGTAAACACAATTGACACTGGCAATGGAAGTGGTATTTGGTGGAAAGTTTGTGGGCCCTGATTTCCGCCGGTGCATGTACATCAATGTAGTTGACAGTGACTTCCTCATTGGCTTGAATCGGTAAACTATTGACAACGGAAAACACTTGGAAGCCCGATTCAATTTGCAAACAATTTGGCAAACAACTATGGTTAATTATGGCATATTGTGGATCCAAAAATACACCAATGCGCTCATAATGATGGTTTTTCAATATAGAATGGTTCACCATGACCACATTGATCAAATTTTCCAAAAACTTCCAATTACTCTTTGACATTTTGATTTGTCCCTTTTTGAAAAACTCCATTGCCAATGAATATTCCTTGAAATAGGCATGGAACATTTCAACCATTTGTGACTTTACTGAATCCCGGAAATTCCGAACTTCACTAGCAAGACGAATTTGACGTTGATGAGTGCACAAGTTGTTGACTTTACTTGCAAATTCGCTATCCTCTAAGTAATTAAACAACACCAAAAATGTCAACAAAATGATTCTGTTGCTGTCCTTGTTGGATTTCGTGGCTATAATCATGGACTGAAAGATTTTTTGGTAATTTGTACTGTATTTAGTCGGAGCACCATCCTGCACATCAAATAGTACTGCCCCTGTAGAAACATTCATCACCTGTGACCCAATGGCCAAATCAACATTAGCTACAACACTTCTTTCTCCAGGGGTAAGTTCCTTACCCATGACCTTCATTCTGTCATTGGAAATGGTATCGTAGAATTCTCGCTTACAACTTTCATCATTTGGAAAAATGTATACATCCTGGATCAACTTGATGGCTAGACGGAATTTCCAATACTCAGGGCTATCTTTATTCCTGGACGCCTCGCTTTGTAGCTTGGCGATGTTGAACTTGTCCAACGTGCTGAGTGGAGACATACTGCACAGAGTGGAAGACGTCAGGGATGTTTTGCAACCAAAATGGCGATGTGTGAAAGGAGGTTTTCAAAGAAGAACTTGCAATAGAATTTGCTTAAAATTTTGAAGAAGAGTTGGTCTATTTTGTTGTGATGTAAGGTAGTGGAATATGTGGAAACTGCAGTCTATTAGTTATGCCACTGAACCAGGTAAATTTGTAATGCTGTTGGTTCTAGGATCTTTTATTTTGTGCAACAACCATGGATTCATCTGCTTCTTCTTTTTTTTTTTTTTTGTTTTCGAATGAATACAGGCCCATGAAATGTGTTACACCACCATCAAATAGCCACAACTCTATTCACTTCTAGTGGTAGTGCCACGTAGAACAATCACGACAATATAGAATGTTATAATATCCTTTAATCACCCTAGTAGATCAATCGAAGTTTCTCCACTCAAGGTGTACTCCTCTTCCTCTTGAGCTCCAGATTCACCAACAGGTGGTACCGAAAATATTTCTTCCAGTTTCAGTGACTCTGCAACCGATTGCCTTGGTTCCTCTGTATACCCCCGTAACTCATCCTCGAAAAACCCTCCAACCTCCATGATCCACGCCAAGTATTCATCGAGCCAGCATCTAACCACCCACCATGCTCCAAATCCATCCCCGCTATTGAGGCTTATTTCTCGTAAAATAGAAGTCAACAAGTTTGATGATAGCAATAAAAACATTCGAGGGTTGATTCCCGGGAGCCGGGAAGGCAAGGCACTAATGAAATCAGCATAAGATTGCATAAGTGAGCCTCCTTCTGTTTCCAATGTCATTTCAAGCATCTTGACTACTTCCTCCTTCAATATAAATATCAAGGTGTTTAAGTTTGCTTCAGAAGTACATGGTACATCCCTTGACACCAAATCAGCAAGGTCTAATTTCTGCCAGTCTTCCAACATTGCTTGCTTTTCATTATCGTCATTCAATATCCTCGATGCTGTAGACCCCGTGTCTATGACTTTGATTAATCTATTGAGTATGCTGACAAAACGTTTGGCCATTTTCAACTTCATGGAGATAAAGCTCTTTGAGTTTTGCGAGTGGACAATAGAATTGGTCAAGGTTCGAGTGTAGGTTGATGCTATCGTCTTTAGTTGGTTGAGATTATCCTGGGGCATCATGTATTGCATATGGAGTTTGCTCAACATGCGAATCATCTTTTTATACATTAGCAAATCGCATTTCTGGACCCACTCCAAAACTGGTTCAGCTGCGTACAATTTGGAAACCGAAGTGGACAAGATGCTATTGAAGTTGTTGAAACATGAGAACAACCGTTTCAACTGCATGAAGCGAAGTGATTCAAACACAGTGTTGACATGGACTTTATATAACGAAGCCAATGTATCAGCAACATCACGATCAGTATCTTGAGGCAAATACGAATATATCGACGGTAGTTCAATAGTGGTAAATGGGTATGATTTTGGCGCCACAGACTCCATCCCCAAGAGTTTAAACAAACCGGGAACGTACTGTAAATGCGAAACCAGCGGTAACTGATCGCCGATGTTAGATGCTGATGCAAGTACCAGTGGCGAGTTTATGGGACTATATGTTGGGGTGTTTGTACCGAATGCTGACTGTGGGGATTCTTCGTACGAGACTGAGGATCTTGTGGACAACGGAGACTGTTCCACAGAAGCAGAACTAATACCGAGCCGAGCAGGTGACTGAAGACGTGATTGCCAGTTACCTTCCCCAGAAACTTGCGATTCCAGTGCTTGCACTCCTCTCCTAAGAAATTGGTTCTGTTGAAGTTGCTGTCTCTGCATCAACTGCTGCTGCATACTTTGCTCACCCTTTAATCGAATCCCGCAATAGTGATATTTCAGCTGCCCTCTCATTCCCAATCTTCGAGTAGTTATCGTTGGATATAGTATTCTCACCAATTTCCCAAAGCTAGCTGGAGAGAGAGGCGATAGACTGTTATCGGCACAGATCTGAACATATCTGGCGTATATCCTAGTACGAGGGATCACTGCTGTGGGTGATACCTCACAAGCTGTTAAAAGCCAAACCATGCCAAAGACCAGTCGCTGTGTTTCTTTGCTGTTTTGAGCTTTTTCAAGTGCTGAAGATTGTGATGACAGAAGGGGTGATGAGGATGATCCTTCCAGAGTTGCTGCTGAATGCAGAGTTAACGGGGCAGTCGTGTCAAATTCCTGCTGCTTTATGCGTCGTGCTATTTCTGGCAAGGGCATGCTCACCTTTGCCATTGCCATTTTCTTTAATTCCTCTTCATAAGCAGTCGAGTGAAGAACAGATGAAATAGACGAATTGTTTCTTCGATGTCGTCTAAGGTGCGCCGGAGGTTTGGATTTAGTTGTCTCTTCTTGTAGCAAATCCGGCTGTAGCACGGGGTTGTCTTGTTTTCGCAATAACGACAGGGATGCCGTAGTTGTCTGACCATATTGAGTTTGTTGATGTGGCTCTATCGTGGGGATGGTTGATGACTGACCCACGGAGGGCTCGTATCGTGCTGGGAACTGTAGGGGCATGTGTGTAGTTTGCTGTATCTGCTCGCCTTGTTCCATCCTCTGTAGTTGAAGTTGACTCAGTTGAGAAAATTGTGATGAAGAACCGTAACTACTCTGATCCGATGATTGAAATGCAGGGTTGCTGTATTGTCCAGCACTTCTATAACTTGTATGTTGTGACAGGGGCATGCTTAGATTGACACTCTCTTGAGTGAGATATGCAGGTTGTGAATAGCCGCCAAAAAAGGGTGGTTGACCCAACGACTGTGACGAGGAAGGTAGGCGTTGAGACTGTGCATTTGAAGGGTTTATTGGTAGGGTATACGGTTGTTCAGAAAGTTGTTCTGGAAGGTATTCGGGCTGTGCCTGAAAAGATGCAAAGTTTGTAGGTTGTTGATACTGGGAGTATTGAGGATCATGATCGGAGCCTGGAAAGTTGTGCGATAGCGCATGCTGTTGTTGTTGTTGTTGGAGCTGCTGCTGCCGCTGCTGCTGCTCTTTTTGTAGTCGTATCTGTACTGACTTTTGATGTGATGATAATTGCTCAGGGTTCATAAAATCATCAGTTTTCTTTCTTGAAATATGCAAGGGGGGGGTATCTATGATATCTAAAACAATAGTATGCAATGTAATGAAATAGGATTAACCCTATAGTGAAAGTTAAGCGAAGTGAAGTGAAGTGAAGTTAGGCGAAGTGACGGTTTCTAGCTAATAGGTAACTGAAATTGATCCAAAGGAAATCAAGAAGTAGAAAAAAAAAAAAAAAAAAAATTGAAAGAAATTGACGAAAAATAAAAAAATAAAAGAAATGGATGCAAAGGGTGCAAAAAGTACAACGATGCTAATAAAGGGGGGATACTAAAGTAGACAAGATCGGATGGCCAAGACTACTATAGGAGGTGTACCCTGAGTTTGAGACCATAGCCTTTACTGCAAGCCAGAGTTTCTAAGTGTAACTGTTGTTATCACACAAGGGAAGTTCACAGAATGCAAAAGTAAGAGTAGTGCTTGGATATCCTGTGATCTGGTTATATTATTGAATAAAAAAAAAAAAAAAAAAACGCTAAGGAAATTTTTCTTTTCTGTTGTTTGTTGTTGAGCATTGCCGATCAAAAGGGGGGACAAAATCAAAACATCACTACTAATTCCCCCGTTGCTTACTCATACATTACGTAACTATTCTCAATACAAAACTGGAAATGTAATTAGAGATGGTGTTACCTATCATTAGTAGGGGTAGTTCTCCCTGTGATATGCGAGAGCTCAATCTCTCAGTGTTCAACTACATTTGCCTTCTTTTGAACCTTTGACCTCTTTTCTGAATGGAAATATAAATGGCAAACTGAATTTCACGACCCCACATTCTCAAATAATGAGCTGACTGTTTTAGGATATTAAGCACCAGATCTGAAATCAATGAAAGTTGCACTAACGTCCATTTAGGTCATAAATGCGCTAGTCTGTGTCGGAGACTGTCTGCTACAGTCAAATTTGGGCCATCAGATTCGATCTAGATGAAGCTGTTTGCTGTGTTATATAATGTCCTTTAGGAGCTTGTGCCAAAGAGGTAGCCCAGCTTACGTCGTCCCTCGCCTTGTTTTGCCCCCAGTATCTCGTCCCATTGCAGGTCGAGAACTCACCGAAAAAGAAATCACGTTTACCAAAACATGGTAGCTCAGCACACACACACACACACACACACACCAACAATCTCATCTCATCGAAGAGGAGAGAAAAAAAAAAAAGTTGGAAAATTAAACTTCCTCTGAACCAAGCACTATCACCACCAAATCAATATACACCTTCCCACCATGGCCATCTTGAACTCAAATCCAGAAATTCTATTACGTAAGCGTAAAAACGCTGACCGTAAGAGATTGGAGAAACAGGAGCAGATCAAAGAGAAAATTGCTGCCTCAAAAAAGGCCAAGTTGCAACAGAAGAATAAATTCATCAGAGCAGAAACTTTACTAAGTAATCACAAATCCAACGAAATTGAACGTAAGAGGATCAAGAAGGTTTCGAAAAAGATTAACAATGGTAGTGATGTACCAACTTCAATAAGTAATAACAACAGTGGTGACAGTACAGACAAAGTCCAGGATGTTGGGGAGTACAAGTTACTATTTGTTATTAGAATACCCAACCATACAAAAGGATTGAAAATTCCTAAAAAGGCCTACCAAATATTGCAAGTTTTGAAATTAACCGAATCAAACACGGGTGTGTTTGTGAAAGCTAATGAATCAACGATTAAATTATTGGGATTGATTGCTCCGTATGTCATTATTGGTCAACCTTCAATTTCATCAATACGTAAATTGTTTCAAAAGAGAGCCCGTATAATGATTGAAGAAGAAGCAAAAGAAGAAGGCAATGCAGAAACTGGACAAGTGCAAACCAAAATTGTAAAATTGGACAATAATCAAGTTGTTGAAGACCAATTTGAAGATTTGGGACTTATTTGTATCGAAGACTTGATTCATGAGTTGATCAATTTAACTGATAATTTCATCGCCATCACTTCGTGGTTGTTGCCTTTTAAATTGAATGCTCCAGTCAATGGGTGGGGTCCACAAGCTAAATTGGCAAGGTTGCAATATGCAAATGATCACAAAGTTGAAGTATCGTTGGCTCAGGATTACAAGTTGAAGGAGGTGGAAGACTTTGATTCCATCATTGATCAACAAAATTAATTGATTTATCGAGGAAGATGCGAGTTAGGGTGTACACAGGAGTCGCCTGGGCGTGGCGAGGCCGCCAGCGGTATTTAGGATAGTTGAATCCAAGATAGTTCCCGATCCACCCGTTAGATCTCCGCCATAAAACCAGTTCTAGATTTGTAGATTCTGCAAATGGATACAGATATTGTCACTAGTGCTCGTGCGGCGTATATTGGGGACTCTCAGTGTAAAGCACACGCCGTATTGTTTTCCTTTCGGTGTTTTACCCACTCATGTAATCTCAGTTAGAGTATATATGGAATGCGACTAATCATTCCTTTGCAAGGTTTACAAAAGCAGCAGCTAAATTGATCCGCCCCCCTCCTCCCTCCTCCCCCCCTTAAGTAGGCTTTCTCCTCTTTTTCACTGTGCATTGAGATCAATAGCACTGCTTCCTGATAAATAGCTTGCTTGTGAAATTTTCATGCTATGATGTTGCAGGTGCTAAAATTCATGCACGTCATCTTGTTCCTTTTCCTTTTGTTCCGTTACTATGCATTTAAGCAGTGGAAGGGAGATGGCAAACTTTTTGTTCGTAAAGGCGGGGTTGTCTGGCAAATAACAGAGAGATATATACAGGGAAATTACATGCTACCTTTTTGGGTGCTTTGTATAACCAAATGCTTGCAGGTTGCTACTTCTTGCCATTGCAGCCATTGTGCCAACCATATATTTGAGATCATGACATCACCACTCCCTTCTCTCCATAATTTCGTCGTCACCGGTGACGTAAGCTAACTTTAAAAGCCAAGGATGCTACTTTGGGTACTACCTTCAGTATGCATCTATTTTTAGGGTTAATGTCAGTGAAATTATAAAAGTTTAAATTTATGTTTGTAAACTATGAAAAAAAAAAAGCGTCAATTGAAGAGGAGAAAGTTTATTGCGGATTTGTGATACCGCGCTTTTCAGATATTGTTCTTCATTCGTATCAAACAGCCCCGTTTTGACATACTTAATTTCCGGCGTCTACTTTCTTTGCAAATTTCTACCTGTGTTTCTCTTTTCTCGTCGTTGTTGCTAATTTCAAAACGAAGCTAATAGCAAAGGACTAAGAAACTAAAACTTAAACAGAAAAAAAGCAAAAAAAAAAAAAACAAAAAACAAAAAACAATTAAAAAGGACAAAAAGTTGTACAAGAACAAACAAGTCAAGAATAACCGAAGCGGGAGTACATACAACCGAGTGGAAGTGGATAATGTGGCGCTAAACACTTAAAGATAGAAACGGTGTATCCCACATGACATTCAAAAATAGAAAAGATCAAAATAGGTTTCGGCTTTGTTCATAAAAGCTTGTGATTTCGGAAGACACAAAAGTGGGGGGGGGGCCAAAAAAAGAAAAAAAGAGAAAAAAAAGTATTATTACCCGCCGTGGATACGTTCCGGCTCAAGCAAAATATTAGGTCGTATTCTTTTGAATTTTGCACAGCATCAAATAACAAATACGAGGCTCTGAGTGGGAAGATCTGCAAGGGATTACACAGAGTACTCACACTGCACTACTGCATCCATTTGCGTCAAGGCGCACGCAAAGCATTCTGTCACCTGCAACATGCATGTGGTCCTTGAATTGTTTCTTTACTTTTTCTCTGTTCACAGATTTATTTCTGCAGCATGAAGAATGCAGACTGTGACGTGTGTCCTTGAACGAACAAAAGAAAAAAAAAAAAAAAAGAGAGAGAGAGAGAGAGAAGAACAAAAGAAAAGAAACGAAAAGAAAAGAAATGAGGAGATAGGGGGTGGGTGAATCACCACTCTCACTTTATACACAGTGAAATGTACAATTTAAACTTCTTTCCATTGTGATTGGTGTCAGCAAATGCAAAAACTTTACGCTACTTTGCATTTAAGAAAGCACATGCACTGAACTGGAAATAGCAAACAAAGGGGTTTTACTATCATATTTGTTTGACCTTTCGCGAATACATACTTTTCGATCTTTTTGTTGATATACTTGTTACGATAAGCATTTCATATCCCTGAAACTCTTCCATAGTCTTCCCTTCAGAAAGTGATCGTAATACACTTTATTTTTATTCATGCTCTTGTTGGGTTGAGAGGTGGGGGGAGAGAACTTGTTCCAGTGGACCAGCATCCGAGACATCCTTTGAGCGGTTGAATGCCAGACCTAATGCATAAATAAATGCTCCTCACTAGCCTCTCATGAACCCCCCCAAAAAAAAAGAACAATAGAAAAAAAATATAAAATGAACAATAAGGGACATTTCTCTGTTTTCTTTATTTTCTTTATTTTTTTGTAAATGGGGTAGTGTACCCAACACCAAAAAAAAGGATATTAATTTTTAGTTTTTGGTTTTGGATACACAAAACCCAACTTTTTTTTATTGCGTTAACCCTAAATTTTGCAAAAGATAGAATTATGGCAATACACATTTTTCTACCCATTTGGCATAAGGCACAAAAGGATTAGGCATTTGGAGGAATAGTTAAAAAAAAAATGACAGAGACAACAATGAACAGCAACAACTGAAACGAGTGTGTTTGACAGTCATCCTGTTGTAATGTCTTTTGTTTGCATTGTATCCAGGAAAACTAGTCTGAAACGGAAACAGAAAGTGTGTCTAGTCTTTCAACAAAGCTGACTCGACATTATGCCTTCATTAGCCAAATCTTCTCGTTAGCATAACATGCTTAAAAGTAAGGAATACTGCCCTTTCCCCCCTCTTACGCCTCCAAAGAAATGCCTTCAAAGGCGGTCAAGATTGTTTGCAATCTCATTCTTATCAAACAGAAAAAAATGGAAAAATGAAAGCCGACATTTTATGTTCCAAATTTATTCTTTTTGCGTTCTTGCGCCTAGACCTTCACTTGAAAATAATATTGAAAATTGTGTATGTAGAAGACAATAGACCACACAAGATAAATGCACACCTTCTAAAACACATCACTGGCTTCAGGTAGTAATGACTGACTGTGGAATAAGTATATCAGCAAACGAACAACCCAGTGTGATTCCAAAAAAAAAGAATTTTATAGTAATTCCCCACTCCCTAGCCAAATCTTCCAACGCAACATTTCAGAGTAGGTAATTAGACTTCTCGCTAGAGTTGTTATAGTCTTGTGTAGTCAAAGTAACTTTTTTTTTTTTTTTGTTTATCTAGCTGTTGATGCCTATACTGCTCTTCAGATTCACACAATGTAATTACGAAAATTATTTATTTTTATGCAAGAAGTACAAACTGTCAAATGTGTACAAAACTGGGCAAAGGAAAGTAGAAGACGAGATTTTATGGAGAGCAACAACAGGTTACAAGAGGGGGGTGGGGTGGTGTGGAAGAGAAGAAAGAAAGAGAACATGCGCAAAGCAAGTACGAAATTTTGTAACACTTCTGTGTTACAAATTAGTTGTGGCAAACGTGCTTTACACAAGCAGCTCGTGCCCCCCCCCGCCGGTAGTTTGTGGCCTATTGTGTTTTTTCATTTGCCTCCTGCTTGATTTATTTCTCTCAAGTCTTGGTTAATTTTCTCTGGCGGCAGATCCATTTAACCCATTTGGCTTAAGAATCATCCGATTCTGGAACGGTAACAAGGTGGTGGAAGGCAGTGGAACATCCGAGACAATGAAAAGGGGGAGAAAAAAAAAAAAACTTTAAACAATAAGCAACAACCATTTTGGGAAACTTCTATTATCTTATCACACACCTTGTCAAGTGTGGTTATCCTTTTGGTTATATCTATTGTATTAAAGATGTATGCATGTCTCAAAATATTGTCCATCACCATCAACAGGCTCCTCTTGCCGGTTGCAGTGGGCCCTTTCTACCTTCATTTTTAATTTTTTTTTTCTCTCTCCATATAACACCTTTAATCCGAGGATAAAATATACAAGGGAAGATCGAAGTGGTTTTTAATATTGCTGCATGTACGTAAAAGCAGTAAAGTTCCGCCTTGCCTTCTCCACATGGATGTAAAAGTGTGCCTTCCATCATTTGCCACTTTCCACTACTATAACTCTTTCCCCTATTATTCATGTGCCTGTAACGTTTGGATTCTTTTCATTGATACACTTAGAATAGTTGAGTCGAAATCAGAACACAATAGAGGACTTGGATGACTTGGATGGAACGTTTGAGAAAATGTTGCATCCGCTCTCTCCTTAACTTGTTTATTGTTTTTCAATTTCTTTCCCTTATTTTTTTTTTTTTTAAGTAATTTGGAATGTAGAGGTAGTGTGGCTCTAATGTTGCCATTTCATTAAAGCATTGTTGAGAACTGGGAAATGTTGCCAGATATTCCGGTTTTTCGTCGTTATACGAGTCTTTGTGAGTGCAACAAAGACAGTTTTGTTTGCGGATCCAAAAAAGGACAAGCAAAATAAAAATAAAAATAAATTATTATATTTCTTTCTTTCCTTTTTTTTTTTTTTTTGGAACCCGCCATCTTTGTGTGCAGATAACCAATTTAGACAATAAAGGAGACTAAAATAGATTAAAAACTCCAAGACATTTTCGCAGAAAAAGAAACTGAATACAAAAATGTATGGGTTTGTGCATAACGATTTGTGGCTCTACACTTTGAAAATACTGCATAGACCACAATACACTACGTAACAAAGAGAGCAGAATTAGAAGACAAGGGAGAAAAGACCTAGAATCTAAATGCAACATTGCTAAAAAAGTAAAGTATGCGGGAACGAAACAATAGAACTTCCTATACATAAACTTTGCTCCCTTCAAACTGAAGTTTGTTGCGTACACAAAATAACCGGCCGTGTTCAGTTTAGTTGTTCCCAATGTTTATAAATACAACAGGGATTCGGTACCTTTTTGTTTACCTCTGTTATATCATGCATTTCTTCCTGGAAGTTCTTAATTTTTGGCCATAAATCATATCACATATTAAAACCATTTCACCAGATCTCGCCTTGACTGTTTGTAATAGTGGGATCTATCTTTTATCCCCGAAATCTCGTCCCGAATTGATTTGATTGTTTTTTTTTGCAGTCTTTTTTATTTTTTTTTTTTTGTTTTTTTTTTCTTGTTGATTCCCTAGACATATCACGAGGTTGAATTTTCAGTTTGTTCTAAGTTTGGTACAAACCTCCATTAGATTATCAACGTCTTCCATACCTTCCGTGTTGTACACTATTCACAAAGTACAGACACAGATCTAGAAGTACTACGATATCTCCCGCCCCATTAAATCTCCAATTACAGACCTTCAAAAGATTTGCAGTTCATACTAGCATTCAATCTTGAAACCTTCCTGATCCGCCTGCTGCAAAAAGACTCCACTCACAAATAGTACTTCAAATTTGCTCAAGTTTACAACAATGGCAGGTTTGTTAGATTTACTAGATGCAGATGAGATACTCAACAGACAAGAACAAGAGCGGGAAAGACAAGAGGCATTAAAGAGGTCACACGCGTCCGTCAAACTGTCCGACACAGAAACACATCCTCAAGGATCTGATTCTTTGCAACCACCTGATCTTAGATCTCCAAGATCTATGATTACACCGCCACAAGCTTATTTATCGAGGAGAAACTCAATACCAAATATTCAAATGTTCGACACAACATTTAGTATCAAATCAGAAGGAAAAATAAGTACCTCTGTTACCTCATTGAACTCGTCGCCTATAGATCTTGGCAAAGTTGGGAATGTGTCAATGCTGGACAAACACACACCTCCGAACATCGCCACATCATCTACATCAACATCACCACAAGTTTCATCTTCTCCGGCAAAAATTGCAATGAAGAGTCCCAAAATTTGTGTCTCTCCAACAACAACAACAACGACAACTACTACTACAACAACAGCATCAGCAACAAGAACAGCTAACGTGCCCGAAACCACAGCTACAGCCACCACCTCCGACCAACATTTTTCCAACTCATCAAAACCGGTATTTCAATTACGCGAAAGGCTCCCCAAATCCAGAATCAACAAGCGCATCCTTTCCAAGAAAAGATTCGTGAAATTTGCTATACGACGCAAGTATTCCACAAGAAAGAAGATTAGTGATACTAGGCAGCTGAAGTTGCACATCAAGTCATTGAAAGCTGGAATCAAGATAAAATTGACCAAATGCGACAACTTGTTCAACTTGTTTCATTGTTTGATTCCATTCACCGAGGAAAGAAAATTCTATAGTGTCTTCAATGATGATGACGCAACAAACCCCATTGCTGAATACCAGGAAGTGACTGACGATCTTCTGCAAAATAATAATAGCGCTTTCAAAAGTCTAGCTTCTGAAGGTTTACAATTGATTGATAACAATGTCGTTGACTTAAGTGAATATTCCAACAAAATTATCAAATCCTTTACGAGTCAACTGAGCCAAACTACACCCACTTTCAATTCATTAGATACTGCAGTCAATACACTTTTTGGCACCAAAGATTTCACCTTGGTTCGAATCACGAGATCAACCACCGATGACGTCCATGGTTCATCAATATTGAAATTGGAAACAGCAAAACCTGGCGACTTTAGTTTGATTGATGATGAAGAGAACTCTGACGAAATGTTGCATTCTCTTGGTGGTGGTGGTGAGGTTCCCAATAATTTGTTTTTCAAAAAGATTATTGCACGACCAAGGTACAAGAGTAATATGAAGATTTACTTTATACCTTCCTCCCACGTCAATTATTCATTGTATACCGATTGCCGATCATTTGAAAGAGACTTGTTTAATGGGGTAGTTCAGGTTGCATTTGAGGATATCGAAAAATGTGTCAATGAAACAGAGCCCAATTGGGATAACGTCGATGTTGAAAATGTGAAGGTCAAACGGGTTGATGGATACGAGAGAAGTGTCTATTGCACATTTCCAACAGAAGATGCTTTAAAGAGATTTAAACAGAATTTGATTGAGAGTTTGAAAGAGGAGGAGTGCAAAGGAGAAGATGCATCTTTCGAAAGTGGATCCAAAGTGGCAACAACAACGGTGGCCAACGAAACAACAGTCTCGCAAAACACAACCACACCACCATCTCAGGTTTTACCTGCTCCTCAATTTGTATCGCCATCGGAATCAGCAAACGCTCACAACCAAGCAATTCTACTGCAGACATTTATTAATTTCCAGTCTCCTCAATTTCCAGCACCATTCCCTTTCCAACACCAACTGCAACAGTCGTGTCAACTTCCTCAGCCTTTACCAAACAGGTCTCTATCATTTGACAGCCAGTTCGGATACACACCAAGTCAACAACAGCAGCAGCATCATCATCATCTACAACCACACCCTCTTTCATTTGTCAATGGCAGCACATTGCAAGGACAGAGATCAAGTTATCCAGTGTTATTCCCACCCACGCCACATCACATGGCGTCACATCATCACCACCACCACCACCAGTACCGCCACTCATTGAAGCTGATGGCAATTCCAGCCAACAATTACGTGCAATTGCCTCCCTTGGCTACGTCTTTTTCGCAGACTCCACGCTCATCTATATATAAAGAAAATCTAGCTTACTTGCCAATAGTACCACCTTTGTCCCTTATCCACACCACGTCAAATAGGAACATTGACTCCGAAGAGTTTCCTCCAATACAAAAGAGTTAGGGTTTTCAGTTTCAATAAAGAGCTGTATACTAGATCTCGAGGTTTCCACGTTGCAATAGTTTTGATTTCAGTTCGTCAATTTCATTTCTTCTGTATTTCTGCATTTGTTGAATGAGAGTACTGAGTACTACTATGTCTTTGTTTATGTGTATATGCGTTGCTGTTATATAAATGTGTTGCATTAACCTAATTTCTTTCACCTTAATTTACGAGATAAAGTCTAGACCTTTTCTTTGCAAAGAAGTCACACAAAAGAATGAGCTTAAATAATATATACATTTATAATACACAAAACTAATTATAGTCACAAAAACTAGCTATACTTTGTGTTTCCTTCTTATTCCGGTTAAGTGTTTGCGCATTTTGCAGGTAGACCACTTCTTCAAACAACACAATGCGATCTACATAAAGTATCTCGTTATATATTATAATAAATCAAAGCTAACATTACCATTTTCCCATTTCTATCCTTTACCCAAAAAAAAAGTTCCGTAGCTGTTGCTGGCTCACCCGGAAGAGATGAATTCCGTTATCTTGTGTTCGCTCTCTCTTTGTTTACTCCGTGCAATTCAGATTTTATCAAAATTCGAGCAGGTGCTACAAAGTACCCTCGTAACATTTTTCTTGTCATCAATTTTGCATTTCGAAGCTACACTTTATTACCAGTGAAACACCGTACACGCGACGTTGCATATGGTAGATTGTGTATAACTGACCTATCACTTGTGGTGTAAACAGCAACTCCTTTGCAGGCTTAGTTCTACAGTATAATCTATCCATGAAATCGTCAATTACTTTTATTTTATGAGAGAATTTAGACGCAAAATGTGTTTACTTATACAACCATGATTCCACTTTGCGTGAGTTTGTCAAAAAACTCTCCTAAAGTAAACGCAGCTTGATTTCCACTAGAGTCTTGTTCAACCATCCTTTCCGTACAAATGACAACCCTATTTCCTATCCTTTCCTAATAAATTGTATCTAACTCAGTGATTTCATTCTTTTTCAAATCTGTCATGGGAAACCTTCCATTCTTATCCAAAACAAAAGCCATCAGAAACTCCTTGATGTTGTTACCCTCAAGATCCAAAAGCTCTAACGATTGACACTTGAACTCACACTCTATGGTTCGAATCCGATTTCGCGACATGTCCAAACTTTGCAAGCTCGATAAAGCCCTCACACGGATTGGAATATGATCAAGTGAGGCATTTCCAAGGCGTATAAACTCCACGGAAGGTGGAATCTCGAACTCAAGAAACGTTACCTTATTGAAAGATAAATCGAGGCTTTTAAAGCAAGTCATCCAGTTGGAAGATGACATCAAATTATCGTGAACAATTGCTGCTTAGGTTCAATTCTTTCACGGATGCAGGAAATTTCACACCGACAAGCTCTTCTATCCTACAATTTCCAAGATTAAAAATCTCCACAGTGGATGGTAACTTTAAATCGCTTATAGATAACCCAAAGTTATTACTCAAGTCCAATTTTTTTAATTGTTGTGATTGGGGCCATTGGCATTGGTGGAAAAATCAACTCCGCTCAACTCTTCATGAGAACCTAACAGAAGAAATTCTAGGAAAGCTGGAATATCAACATTGCAGAAAGACGTCAACAGATTACCTTCTGCATTTGACTCGAATGTTGCTAATATATTCTGTAAATTAGCTTGCTATCCGTCTATCGAAATTTAGCAACAACAAGAAAAAAAAAAGGATTGCAATAGAATGTAGATAAGGTCTTTCTTTATTTGTATGTGATTTCCAATTGAAGTTATGATGACCGGGGAAAACCAAACTTCATGAACAAGTGACCAGCACATCGTGATATGTACATGCGAACCCAATATTTTATTTTCTTGGATCTACCACATTTTTCTCTCCCTCCCCTGGTTTTAGCTTTATTCTGCAGATCTTTATGATTTCACAGAAACTCTTGAACCTTCGTAGTTTATGAGGGGAGATATTACAAGGGAATCAATAGTCATACAAAAATACAAGTAATCTGTTCATTTAAGTATTGTGTACATAACATATTTGTTTCTTCCCCACATTCTGATTAAACCTTCAATGCAACCTGTTCTTCAGTAATGTATTTTTCAAACGGTTTCAAAGCATCAGCCACATCTTGCTTGACAAATTTTTCAGTTTGCTGAGGAGCTCTACCAACAAATGTACTTGGGTTCAACAATTCATCCAATTCCCCCCAAATTGGCTTGAAATACTCAGTGTTTTTAACACGTTCAATCAAATCGTTATCTCCACCTTCTTGCTTAACCACAGCAGAAGCTTGATGTGACAAGACTCTAATCTCCTCGTGGCAATCTTGTCTTGATCCACCTTTCTCAACCATTGCCATAATAATATTCTCAGTAGCCATAAAGGGCAATTCCGAGTTGATTCTGCGTTCAATCACCTTAGGGTAAACCACCAAACCAGAAGTGATGTTCAACATTGTTGACAACAAAATATCAACAGTCAAGAATGCCGAGGGCAAACTGATTCTTCTAATTGCGGAATCATCCAAGGTTCTTTCAAACCACTGCACCGAAGCAGTTTGTACAGCATCGTTAAACAATCCTCCCAAATGTCTGGCCAAGGAACAAACACGCTCGCATCTCATTGGGTTACGCTTGTAGGCCATAGCACTAGATCCAATCTGTGATTTTTCAAATGGCTCCTCAATCTCTTTCAAGTTTGCCAATAGTCTAATGTCAGTGGCAAATTTATGAGCAGTAGCACCAAAACTGGCCAAAGGACCCAAGACATCGATATCGATTTTACGTGAATATGTTTGTCCAGTAACTGGGTACACAGTGTCAAATCCCAATAATTCAACAACGCGCTTGTCCAAAGCCTCAACCTTATCGTGATCACCATGGAACAATGACAAGAATGAAGCTTGAGTACCAGTGGTTCCCTTTACACCTCTTAACCCAATATCGTTTCTAGCTCTAACGAAATTTCTCAAATCCCACAACAATTCCTGCAACCACAAAGTAGCTCTCTTACCAACTGTGGTCAATTGAGCTGGCTGGAAATGGGTCCATCCCAAAACCGGCAAATCCTTGTATTCCAAAGCAAATTTACTCAATCTGTCAATAACGTTAACCAATTTAGGAATCAAAACGTCATAAGCGTCTCTCAAAAAGATCAAATCAGCATTATCAGTGACAAAACAAGAAGTAGCTCCCAAGTGGATAATACCAGCAGCAGCAGGACAAGTCTCACCAAAGACATGAACATGGGCCATCACATCATGACGCACTTTGCTCTCTTCAACAGCAGCATCTTGAATTTCCTTATCGGTGATGGTCAAATGCTTTGACATTTGTTCAATTGCTTCGTCGGTGATTACATCTAATCCCACTTCCTTTTCAGCTTTGGCCAAGTTCAACCACAATTTACGCCACGTGGAGAACCTGTTTCTGAGGGAGAAAATTGCCGACATCTCTTCGGATGCATATCTGGAGGATAATGGGGTGGAATATTTGTCGTATTCGGAAACCATCTTGGATTGGGTATGTGGAAGTAGTTGTGTAGTTGTTGGTGGCAAAAAGAAAGAAGTGACTTTAATCAATTAGAGATTTTTCACTTCATAGATGTCATCTCCAGTTTATATTTGTTCTCTGCCGCTTTGTGTAGTAATGATGATGCGTGCACAGACTTGAAATTAATTTTCAATTATTTTTTTTTTTTTTCTGACTCTGATCTCCTCCTCTATACAAAAACTCCGATAACGAAGAGAACCATTGTAAATTGAGAGTATATATATATACAGGTTAGTAGCATTTCGTTTTTTTAGAAACAGTTGCGTATGCTCCTAATCAATCATGAACACTTGCATTTACCAAGAGATGTCAGGGCCATGGAATTTTGAATTGATGTTAGTGGAAGTCTTCACGTGATGCGGATAAATCAATACTCTATCCGCCAAATATCGGGGAGGCGAGCTTTTGCTTACTGAAGATTAGCTACCTATAAACGGAGTAGTTGCAGCTGCAAAAGTGGAACTGTGAGATCAATAAGCCAGTACTACCCTCCGTGTATGCGTTGTTGTCACCAGTGTTTTTTTTTTTTTTTATTTATATTCAACTTCCACAGTGCACAACTAACTTTCTTTGTATTGCCTGTGACCATTTCCAGTCGCGTCACTACTGTCAAAAACTTTCTATTCAAAATCAGAAGTGAGAACAAGTTAACAGCTACATCGATGCGTGATGGTATTGCTTCAATTGCAAAGCGAACCAAACCATGTCTGTCTCATCTATGTCAATCACAATGATCGCTTGTTTGACGTCACGTGAAAGCTGGTCCGGAAAATAAAATAGAAAAAAAACACAATCAAAGTCGCTTCTTCCAACGGAACGGAGATAATCACAAAAATTTTTCATTTAAAGGACTTGAGTTACCGGATATCAACGTTTACGAAATATCTCCACAAGTTGAGAAAACAAGAAAGAAAGCACAATGAATCACCCCACCGCGGAGACTATACCAGGATCACCAACTGGGTCTGAAACAGAGCTGAATCAACAGAAGAAACGCCGCCTCTCTAATTCCCCAGTTAACTCCACCACCACCACTACAACATCAACATCAACGTCAGCATCAACATCTAATGAGACTAGAAAGTTGGCGCAAGCATCACGGACTCTTCGTGCATGTGAATTGTGCCGTAAGCAAAAAACACGATGCTTTAGATCACCCGAGTACCCGACTTCTTGTTTGCGCTGTCGTTTCTTGAGCAAAACTTGTTCGTTCAAATTAGAGGAATCTGAATCAGCATCAACTACATCAACAAATGCAGCCACAATTGACAGTCAAGGTAATTTCAAGGTCGATTTGATTTTGGACAGAGTTAACGAATTGTTGAGTATAGTGAAAAGTGGCCAAATGAGTTCAGTTGAGCATGCAGGCAATGGTGTCAATACTCCCGGCCAAGACCAGTTGATAAACAGTGATGCGCGATTGTTGTTGGAGACAGCCAGTTCCATGCAAGGTCACCATCAAATCAACTCCAATTCGTTGTTGAATGTTGAGTTGTTGGAGCAGACAACTTTGGATTTCCAAAGCGCCACACCAAGTTTTGTCACGGCTCCATTCACAATAGTTAGAAATTCAATGAAGAATGAATTTTGCCCCGCATCAATACAAAACTTGTATCAACTGCGGATTTATCTGCACTCGAATAGGCCAAGTAACATTATTGAATTGGGGATTATGACTGAAAAAGAAGTGATTGACGTAGTGGGAAACTTTAGAAGAAACTATGGTCGTTGGGTATCTTTTCCAAACTCCTTATCTACAGAAAATCTAGTCAGGGACCTCCAAGAGAAATCACCTCTACTTTTGACTACGTGCTGCTGTGTCAGCTACCGCTATTCTGCTGGACCCAACCAAGATAACCAACAGCGTATCACCCGGTTGGCCAAAGTGCTCATTAAGGAACTCAGCCATAATTTTACCCAGTTTGCGTCGTTTGCCAACAACGATTACGGCTTGGTTGAGTTTTTCCAAAGTCTTGCCGTATTGAGCTTGTACGCGGGATCAATATCGTCAGTAGTAACAGATGAAGATCCAGAGTTGGCGGGCTTCAATTTGGACCCATGGCAGTTGTCAAGTATTGGCATTACCACTTTTCTCACCAAATCGACGTTTCAGTTATTCAAGACAAAGAGAAGCAATACTGAAGATGGTTATGAGACATTGACAATACTACGCATATACAACCATTTGTGTTTGGTTCATCTTATAAACAGTATTTTTTCAGGACGGCCGTGTATTTTGGATGATGGTAGAATTCGATATTGCACAACGGCTTTAACGTTGTTCAACGCCACCAATTTCGATGGACGTATGGTTTCTGAAATCAATATTCTTTACATCACTTACAAGTACCTCCAGAAAAATGACGATGCTAATAATGCCCCCAATTTGCAAGATTTCCATTTCAATGAAGTTGTTAAAGAAATTCAAACGTGGTTTCAAAATTGGGAATACTTGATCCAACAACCAGCTCTACAGTTTGCCGAGTTTAATTATCATTTTTGTTCAATTTTGATCTACCTTGCACACAGCTTCCAGAAATTGCAACTTGCTGGAGGGGCAGGTGGCGGTGTTGTTGGTGGCGTTAGTGGTGTTATCAGTGACTTGAACATGTTTCTTCAACAAGACATATTGGATCTCATATTGAAGCAATGTCAACCACAAAATTTGCTTCTGATGTATCAACATGCAAGGGATCTTTTAGAGCATATCAAGCAGATCAGTAGTGAATCGTATTTTGCTTACTTGTCAGATCAGCTACATTTTTGTTTCTACTTCAGTGGTGTACTATTGTCAAGGATTTTACGTCTTGCTGTAACGTCGAACTTGTCACACTTGGAGGAGTTCAAAGATGTAAATACAAAGAGAGGGTTAACACGTCGATTGCAGCCAATTGTCAACTTAACAAGAAAGATTGATGGGTTCTTGTCCGATTCTGATCCTGTTATACTAGCAAAGTACAATACTGGTTTGAAACATTGTATCGAGGATGTACTAAATGCTTAAAAACCCCTCCCCTAACATAAAGATTATATAATCGTGGCACGTTTACTTGAGATGCCCTTTGTAGTTACCTTCCATGTAATCTATGTGCACAAATGCTCTTTCCACGTTGGGTAAACTTTCAATACTATACTGCAACGCTTCAGCAATATCGTGACAGTCCTTAAAGCTCAAGTCAAACTTATCATTGGCGAATACCAAATCAACTTCAACATTCAAGTTATCACCAACGTGATAAATCTTCAATGCGGTAATACGTTTGATGGGTTCAGCAAAGCGGCAACAAAGATACAAGATAACCTTGTACTCCAATGGGTCGGCTACTGCGCCAGTGAGGTTGTTAATATGTTCAAAAGCAGTTTTGCCCCAGTTGAATATAATGTAAATAGATAATAGTAATGCACCCAATGGATCAAACCACCAAATGTTGAAAATGTGTCCCAACCACGGCATCAACAACGAGACCGAGTTGAACACAATATCCGTCATTGCGTCTTGAGCCAATGCTTGGACTGATGAGGATTGACTCTTGGAACACCAAATCCAACAGCCCAATTTAGCTACAATGGTGATAACCATAATGAGCACAGCATCGAATCCAATAGTGGCGGGAACTCGCAGTTCAGGTGCGCTGAAAAATAGCCTCTTGAAAGATTCTTGACCAACTTGGAAAAATGAAATTATGATTATGATTGAGAAAATGAGTACTCCCAAGGGTTCCAATCGTGACCGACCAACGGGGTATGAGTGCTGGACTTTCCAGTTGTTTTGTGCAGCTAAGCGATTGACAATATAAATGATGAATGTGGATAAGAAGTCCAAAATCGAATCGACCAATGATGCAACAACCGAAATTGAATTTGTAAGTAAGGTCACAGCAATTTTCCCCACTAGCAACAAAATATTGATTAGGAAATTGACTAAGATGGCAGTCAATACTTGCGAACTATTTTCTTCTTCATTATAGCCCAAGAATTTAGATCCATCATTGGCAACGTTGCCTGGAACATCATAAAACCTCGAGTATTTAGACAATGAGCCCTCGCCTCGCTCCATATCGGGATTCAACGAGTCATAACTCTTCTTTTTGCCGTTGGCCGATACTTCTTTATCAGTGGGGGAAGTGTTCTTGTCATTGTGGTTGTTGATGTGGCCGTTGTTATCTTTACTCCGAGGACTATTGGGCTCATCAGTTTCTTCAATATTATCCAACAAGACACCACGACATGAATCACCACTACTACCATAATTACTCAACATGTTATAATGAATCTTTCCCGCATCGAGGAAATTATCAATCTCTTGAAACTTGCTAATCAAATAATTTTGTTCTTCATAATAGACTCTAGCTCTTTTGTTCTTGATCTTTTGTACGTCATCACGGTAATGCGCATACCAGTTACATAATGGTTTTGCATTCCCAATCAATCGCAGTGGTCGTAAGCTGCTAACAATTTCAACAAGGTTTCGTCCTCTTGGCTCATTAAATACACTACCTTCGTGTAATGAAATAGTGCTTTCGTCGTGCAACTGGTAAAATAAAGGTTGCGAAGGTTGTGAAGAAGACAAGTTGACAGCATTGGACCCATCAGCAGCAGAGTTGGGGTTGGTTACTGAATGGTGACTAGATAGCAATCTATGGAAAAGTGGTTTTTCTGGAACCAATTTCATGTACTCATTGGCAGAAAATGAGGAGCGCCTTCTTGGCGAACCAAACTCTTCAAATTCAGTGTAATAGTCTGATGAATGGGCTAAATTGTTGAGGGCATTGCCTGACCTTGAACGAGACGCAGCGGCAAATTGAGGTGATCTCAGCCTTTCTTTATGCTGTTTATTATGTGATACAAGAGCCGAAGGTAGTGCTGAGGTTGAATATTGGGCATGACGTAAGTGGTTTGGTAAATTGGGGTGGCTGATTGGTGATGGTTGTTTGTTATTCTGTTGCAAGTCATCTCGATTGCTGTTGCAGATAAGAGGCTGGATTTCGTCCTCCGAATAGTTTTTGGAACCCATGCTAGGTGAAAGAAGTAGTGCGTGTATGTGTGCTAGGTTTCTAGGTGTGGTGATTCCAGCAAGCAAAGTAAAGATGTAGATGTGTCGGAGTACAGTGTTTGTGTACCTGCCGCGTGGTGCGTGTGTGTAGGTCAAATGGTTGTGAGTGGATACGTAATAAAAACCTGCTTTAGTTTATTACCCGGCTTTTTTTTCAGAAGATTCAAACAGAAACAAACAGAGACAAATAGAGACAAACAGAGAGAAGAGGAAAAAAAATTTTCAACTCAACTCTTCTTCTTCTTCTTCTTCCGTTTACCAACGACAATGTGCTTTGTTTAAAGCTCAATTCAGTCTTTGCATAATAGGACAACCACACATCTCTGGTAATTGTTGTCACTAATATAATCGACTTAATTGGTATGTTCATTACTATACAATTGAATGGCGCCTTTCCATGGCCACTACACAAGTCACCAGTTTTCTTTCTCAACATGATTAAACTCAATGATATAACTTTATTTTAGCTGAGGATGTACATGCAGGACATATTGTTAAGGAATTCTTCGTTTATGATTGTGATTGTGACTGTGTATTTGCATCAACTAAGGAAAACAGGTAGCCAAGTTCAAACGAAATGATGCTAACTATTAACTCCTTTGTTAGTATGTGTTTCTCTTTGCTCCTCCACAATTGGACATCTTTCATACAATTGATCCACTTTTCCATACAAATATGATGAATATGTTTCCTACATTTTTTCTGTCCGGTGACTCGTGATCCAATGGATAAACTTACATGCATCACCATCTGATTATTTAAATTTTATTGGCAGAGTTGATCTATGGAAGATGACACAGACCCCCACAATGGGTATCCCATTCCCAATGGCTACTAACCTACTTATTAAGGGTATGTTTTAAAATAACAGGATAACTATGTTATCGCGTGATTTGTGTCGATTCATTATGATGAAAAGTATATGTTATCAGTTCTGCTTCTGAACCAAAACAACCTGAAGATACCAACTTTACCAAAGCTCTAGAATTACTCTGATTATGAAATACGACACAATCACTAAATGCGAGTGCATTTTTATACTAACTTTTCTATCATTTTAGAGTCTTTTATAGAACAAAAATACATTTACTCAAACAAACTAATACTTTTGTAAAGCTCATTACTTCTATACGTTGAAAATGACAACTTTACCATCGATACCCGAGGTTGACACTTGTCCGTTGGCGAAATTTTTGATACTAACAATTGTATTTTGGTGAATGGTGGTCAATGCTTTTGCAGCCTTACCATGTCCACCAGCACTTGGCTTGCTAGCTCTCCCTTTCAAGTCCATTTGCTTAAACATGTTCAAAGCTTGGTGTGAAGAGATCTCCTCGTCATCGTCGTCATCTCCATTGCCAACTTTTGGTGTTTCCTTAGTCAAGTCCTTTTGTTCTTCAATTTGATACGCTTCCTGCCAGTTTTGTTCATCGCCTTTGAAAACTACCAAGTTACAATTGAAACCACCAACAACAATAGAGTTTCCCGATGTCCAAACAACGGACTTGAATGGCAAATAGTTGGTCTTGACGTTCAAAATAGATCTTGGCTCTAAACCTTCACCTTGTGGGTAAACAACACCGATGGAAGAGTCATGCGACACCCACGCCAATGCATCCCCATCAGGGCTAAACTTGACACCATGTACCCACGCATTTGTCTCATTAGTATAGTCACCACACAAGGTTTGAAAAGGCAATTTGGTACCCCATACACTAGCTTCAGGCTTGGCATCAATACCCTTGATATACCCACTGAAAACTCTAATATGTCCATCAGTAGATCCACTAGCCAACAACACACCATTAGGATGCCAATCAATAGTGGTGATTGTCGATCTTATTGGCTTCTTCAAATGTTTTGAAACCCACCAATCATTCTCTTGCTCATAGTAACAAACAGCAATAACTCTATCACCAGACCCGACAGCAAACTTGCGTCCATCGGGGGACCATCTGCACACAGTAGCAGCTCTGTTGATACGCAACAACACCAATGTCGGTTTGAATTCGCCATTGTCGTATTCCCAAACTGACGCATTACGATCTTGAGAACAAGTCAAGATTCTTGATCCATCGGGTGATATATCAACAGAAGTTACAGTCTTGTCATGGTCACGCAACTGGGCCACTAATTTGGGTTTGGCTGATAAGTTGTGTGGATCGACTTTGTAAAGCTCAACCAAGTTTTCCTTGGTGATTGCTAAAATGGTACGGTCGGCTGAAAAACAGTGGTCTTTGATGGGCAAATGACCCAATTGGTAAATGGCTGGAACTTTTGACATTATCTTGGTAGTGGTTTGCGGTTTTGATAAACGTGTAGTTCAGGAGTGGCTCTCAACTAAACTATTGGTTGGTGAAGAAAATGGCTGTGGATGGAGTTTGGCCGAGCGTTGACGGGCAAAAAAAAAACAAAAAAGAAAAAAAAAAAAGAAGGCAGAACGGTTTTGATATTTCGAGCCGCAATAGATTTTAGAGGAAGTCCGAATTGCAAACGGGTATCCGAAAAAGACGAGTACATTTATTTATACAAATCCTCTACACCAGTCCAAGTTCTTTCAATTATCTTGGTTTTCCTGTTCTTGTTTCACTTTAACAAACTCTCTCACCTTCTCCCATCTTCTTTGAACAGTAGGGTTTTTGATCTTGATCATTTCACCATCCAATCTATCAACAATAGCAGAAAACAAGTTCCCAGTCTCCTTATTGTACAACACTCTCAACCAATAAAAGATCAAAAACAAAGTCAATTGATACCCACTAGCATTTCTGAAAAACAAAGTCCTCAAAACCAAATATACAATCAAAAACAATTCGTCGTAGGCAATCCATGACGAAATAGTAGACGCATGATTGAGCACACCTTTGATGTTTTTCACTTTGCTCAAATGCAACACACTCAATAAGAAATATGGCAAGATTTTAAACACTGATTTGAAAGTAAAGCACCAAACGATGGTCAAGATCAAATATTGGAAATTTTCGTGACTCAATAATGTAGCTATGGGCGGTAAGAAATGTAAACCAAACTTGTGACTAAATGTAGAGGTCAAAGCCACTGCTGAACCAAGTAATGCCAACCTATAGGAAATTGAATTGATGTAGAACACATTGGGTAACCAGAAAATTTGGAAAATAAAAGAAACGGTACCAAACACAACAGATGCAATGTGCCCACCAAGCCATGCTTTATATTTCAAAGCATTGGTGTCAGGTTGAGCTCTGACTAACTTCTTTTTGAAGTTGTGTTGCTTATCGTTAGGGGTCTTGTTTGTAGGAGTTTCCGGTTTAGCTTCTTGTGGTGATGAGGCCTGTGTTTTGTGTTGATCATGTGTTCCAATTGACCCATTTTGACGGGATTCAGTGGCAGTCGAAGACATTGGTGTTGTGGTGAATATGCGTAAAGATTCCTTTGAAGCTTACAAGATTTCTATGACGTACTTTGAAGGATGTAGCAATGGAAAGAGAAGGAACTGAAATGAAATTTCGCTTGTATGCAGGATTACTAAAGATAAAAAAAAAACAATCCTATTGTGCTCTAAAATTTTCTAGGTCCACCTTTCCCAGTCAGCCGATTTCCCATTTCTCATTTCCCTCTTCCTCCCCCTCGTCTCCGCGCAGCATCCCCAATTGCGGTTTGCTCTGTCGGAAGTCAGCCTTGTCTACCGTACGAAAAAAAAAAAAAGAAAAAAAAAAGGGAATAAAGAAAAAGAAAAAAGAAATAATACAAGATTGCACACAAAACGCGACTCCAACATCAACAATTGACCCAAACTATAAACAAAGCATATATCAGCCACATCACATCACAGCTGCGAAAGCACCGCATACTACTACGACAACCACTTAGGAATGGACGTAGATTACACAACAAAATCAAACCTTACTGAGTTGGAGGCGGCAGTGCTCACTGAATACCAAAACATCAATTCCACCTTGATCAAGCTAAACCAAGGATTAAAGAGCCTTACAAACAAAGACGATCTCGATGGTGGTGAAAGTATACGACTGGTTGAAGCTTTAAGGCAGATGGAAACCAAACTACTGCTTATCTACACGTTCTTTAAGGGTGCAGTTTACACACTCTATGCGGATGAAGGGGGGGATGTCGAAGAGGAAGTGTATGGTGACGAAAGAGGGAATACATCAGAGGACGAGAATGAGACTACAGGGTTGGATGGTATGGATGAGGACGACAAGGGTACAAATGAACTACTGAGTATCTCCAATACTTGAAAACAAAGGAGAACGGATATGATGAATCTTCAACATCTACACAATCTTGTACAGCGTACCATTGTGGACCAATTCGATATCAGTGATTATCACACCCCTATTGATCAACAAGTGATCGAAATCGATTGCGCCAATGTACTTGATTTTGCCCTGTTTTTCAGCTGACTTGTCACTGATGGCGAATTCTCCTTGGAATCTAATTGCATAATCCCTATTGGGATTCAAGACAATTTTCTCCTTACTTTGATGCGCTTCATGAACTTTGCCACTGGATTTCTCGTGGATTTTAGTTTCGGCATTAGATCCAATCCGAGCCATCCCCAACCCAATTGGCGATAACGTGTCGTCCTTGATGGAGTTCCAGTTTATTGATTTTATAGCCCATTGGAAATTGACTTGGTGGTGCAGCTTGTTCTCTTGTACAATATCGATTTGCATTCCAGAAACACTTGGGTGTACCAACTCGACCCAAATATTGAACTTGCAATTGCTGTTGGCGTGTAGACTCAAAGGTAGTCCGTATATAGCACGAACTTCATTATTTGAGGAAAGTTTTTCAAGAACGGCATAGTTTATATTATGCTCTTGCAATTCGTGACAATAGTGGTCTATATCTGATTTCTTTCCATCTCCCGCATTGGTGTTGCTTTGCATCATTTCAGTAGTAATGTAATTATAGTAAGCCATGTCGACATAACGCAAACCTTTAGGATAGTTCAAGGTCTTTTTCCACAAGATGCTGGAGTTGAGCCAAAGTGGTAAAAAGATTGACCTCTGGATATTTGACTCTTTTGATTGATTTAGCTCCTCCTTTATTCTCCAGTATTGAATAGTGGCATACAAAAGCATCGATAAGCTCGAGGAAGTGGCTACAAGTATCACAATAGTTCGAAAGGGAAGTCTTTTTCCAATTGGGGCTATTCCGTTGACTCCATTGCGACTCATGTGTATAGCATTTTTAACTAGTGCGTCGTAATTTGCCTTGTCAAATTGGCGGGGGTGGGAACTTGTCCTTGCAAGGTATCTTATAGGAGAATGAATGCTGGTTGCGGGTGACACTATCCCCTTAAGCATTATAGATTGAGCATCGATTATTAGTCTTGGTTTCATTGACAACTGTATCAAGAAGGAACGCAAGAGAAAATCACGATAAAGTGGAGCATGGAAAAAAAAAAAAAAGAGCCGCACAATTCTAAGTCATTGTAGATTCATCTCCACATTACATTATATCTAAAATCTAGCAGTCTACAAAATGTCTAATCTACTCTTCAAAACTAGCCCAGTCTAGCTTCTGGCTTTCAAATTCTTCAATCATCTTAAGCAAGTCCTGTTTTTCTTTTTCTTCTTTCTCTTTGGCTGCCTGGTCGTCTTGTGGACGAGTCTTGGTGGTGGATACTTTGCTCTTACTTCCTCGCGGGGCATTATCCTGAGTCGGTCTGCTCACATCTTTCTTAAACCCCCTGCGCTCCTGTTGTTTCAATGTGTTTCCTCTTGGCGTCTTTTGTTTCGTGTCGCTGACTTTAAAGCTGTCTAATCGTTCAGCCAATGTCTTACCCTGTGGAGCTTTCCTGTCTCTCACACTCACATCCTCCTCTTCATCTTCACTGACCTCTTCCCAAGCTGTAGCATCGTCTGCTTCTGCTTCTGCTTCTTTGCTCTTCAGTGCAACAGTAATTCTGGCAGCCAAAGATCGTGCTGCATCTGTCATGGGTCCTTTCGAATATAGCTTTTCTGAAACGACTGTCTTGTCATCGGAATCTTCAACATAATCATCACCTGGCGTATTCTGTTCCCTGTGCTTCGATGGTACGCCACTGTCCGTGCTCCGTCCTTTCTGATGTTGTTTACTGAAGTCCTTATTTCGATGATGCCCGCCCTTCTCGTGTCCTTTATGTCCATCTCTCTTATTGAAATGTGGCTTAGCATGAACATCGTTATGAGAATTTGTGCTTCTTCTATCCTTTTGCGGCAGCACATTCACTTCCTCCTTTGTTTCATTATCACTGCTTGCCCACCGACTTTCAATTCTCGATTTCAGCGTTATTGGCTTACTCCACCTGCTTTCTAAATTATGGCCTCCCGTCTTTGAAGTTCTTGAATCACCACCACTAGGCTTTTCTCCGCCTGTTTCTTCTGTTGCCCATATCGATACTAGACCCATTTTTCTTTATCGCAACGGGGTCCTCTGATCTCGTAATCGCAGTCTCCGATTTCATCATTTTATTTTTTTTTCTTCTTGGAGTGCGACACAACCAAAAAGATCAAGGAGATCCACCATTGAGTGATTAACTGTGAACTATTAGGATGAGACTTGCTGCTTGAGTGTTGTGAAGCCCCAACATCGACATAGCTTGTATGCAAACAAGTGCTTTGCTCTGCAGAAGTGTATTGGATATCATTTTGCCGATACAGGCTACACTATTTACGCCTAGTTGTATAGTACGCCAAGGGAGCTGCAATCTTCACTAGTAGTTAGTTTTACTTGTGTTAGTAAGGATTGACTAAACATCGTAAATTGTTTGTAAATGTTTAGTGTCCATTTTCATCGGATATAAAGCAATTTGAAAGCTTAAGTCCATAGTCTTCACACCCGGAGCTCCATTGCACTTCAATTACGTACACAATCACCACGGCCGTTTTGCAACGGCTACCACAAATGTGCTAACATCACACACACACACACACACACACTCTCTCTCTCTCTCTCTCTCTCTCTCTCTACATAAATCTTGTGTATATATAAGTACCTCATACAATTATGCATTACCCTCGTGCATAAAAAGCAAACCTGTCATCCGAAATAATAGAACTGCACCGGCTTGTTTTTCCGCAATTATCACTAAATTACACAAAACTTGGCGACAACAGGGATTCACATATATAAAGCTCAACAAATTTTGCTATTCATATTTGAACCCCCAGATCCCATTGGAAAAGAAAAAAAAAACTACTCAAATTCTCCTTTACGAATTGCCCCCTACTACACACTACTCAATTGGTTGATCAGTAGCACATACACATACACATACACAATGTCTTCATTTAAATTAGCCACCGATTTACCCGCTTGGAAAGAATTGGAACAACTTTACAAGAAAGAAGGTGAAAAATACGATGTCAGAGCAGCATTCGCCAAAGACCCAAAAAGATTTGAAGAGTTTTCTCGTATCTTTACAAACTATGATGATTCAAAGATTCTTTTTGACTTTTCCAAAAACTTGATCAATAAGGAAATTCTTGACAAATTGATCCAATTGGCCAAGGAAGCGGGAGTTGAAAAATTGAGAGATGAAATGTTTGCAGGTGATCACATCAACACTACTGAGGACAGGGCTGTTTACCACGTTGCTTTGAGAAATGTCAAGAAGCACAAGATGCCAGTTGACGGTAAGGACACTACTCAAGAAGTCTGGGATGTCTTGAACCACATGAAGGAGTTCTCCAACCAAGTTAGAGACGGAGAGTGGAAAGGTTACACTGGGAAAGCCATTACTGATGTTGTCAACATTGGTATCGGAGGTTCCGACCTTGGACCAGTCATGGTCACTGAAGCCTTGAAGTACTACAGTAAGCCAGGTTTGAATGCTCACTTTGTGTCAAACATTGATGGAACTGATATTGCCGAAGTGTTGAAAAAGGTCAATGCAGAAACTACCTTGTTTTTGATTGCATCCAAGACATTCACCACTGCTGAAACCATCACCAATGCCACCACTGCAAAGAACTGGTTTTTGGAGCACGCCAAGGATACCAAGTACATTGCTCAACATTTTGCCGCCTTGTCAACCAATGAAAAAGAAGTTATCAAGTTTGGAATTGATCCTAAGAATATGTTTGGTTTTGAGAGTTGGGTTGGTGGTCGTTACTCTGTATGGTCGGCCATTGGTTTGTCCGTTGCCATTTACATTGGTTTCGACAATTTTGAAAAGTTTTTGGCTGGTGCCGAAGCTGTTGATGAGCATTTCTTAAAGACTCCTTTGGAAAACAACATCCCCGTTATTGGTGGTTTGATCTCTGTGTGGTACAACAATTTCTTCAATGCGCAAACCCACTTGGTTGTTCCTTATGATCAATACTTGCACAGATTCCCAGCTTACTTGCAACAATTGTCTATGGAATCAAATGGTAAGTCGGTAACCAGAGCCAATGTATTCACCAACTACCAAACTGGTACAATTTTGTTTGGTGAACCAGCCACCAATGCTCAACACTCCTTTTTCCAATTGGTCCACCAAGGTACTAAATTGATCCCTGCTGATTTCATTTTGGCTGCTCAATCACACAACCCTATTGAACACAACAAGCACCAAAAGATGTTGGCGTCAAACTTTTTCGCTCAATCAGAAGCTTTGTTGAAGGGAAAGAGCGAAGAGCAAGTTAAAGCTGAAGGAACTACTGGAGGTTTGGTCCCACATAAGGAATTCAGCGGTAACAGGCCAACCACCTCCATCTTGGCCCAAAAGATTACCCCAGCCGCATTGGGTGCATTGATTGCTTACTACGAGCATGTCACTTTCACCGAAGGTGCCATTTGGAACATCAACTCATTCGACCAATGGGGTGTTGAATTGGGTAAAGTTTTGGCCAAGGTTATTGGTACTGAGTTGGAGGATAAGAAGTCTATTAACTCACATGACCCATCCACCAATGGATTGATCAACACCTTCAAGCAATGGGAGTAGATACGTAGAGATTTGTATAGTATTTTAATTGATTTTTATTATCGATCAGAGATTTTTCGAAAGCGTGTAATAACAGCGATGACGTAGAGATTTCGAGTGCACAAAAAAAAATAAAAAAAAATAAAAAAAATAAGAATAAAAAATAATAGCTTACTGTACCCCTTGACCGTTTTCCCCTGCAAAAGTTGAAACCATGCTGTCTGAATTTGAAGCTGATGGTCCTGAGCTGGATTTGGAACTAGATTACCCACTCAGAATCGTTCTTGTCACCGATGACCCCAAATCAAAAGAGTCGGAAATGGAGGAAATTCTCATGGACAAAATCACAACTTTCCGTTTGATGCATGCATTTTTCGATGCGTTGGATGAAAACGTTGCAATTCCGAATGAGGGACATATCAAGTATGAAGTTGGTAGTGATGGTCTAGTTGTTATCATAGTTGACAGCACGAAATTGAAGGATGACGTGGTGAAGTTTGTCGAAGAATATGATCAAAAGTTGGAAGTACGAGGAAGTGTGGAAGAACAAGAAGAGGAGGAGGAGGAGGAGGAGGAGGAAGAAGAGAAGCATGTCAAGTCCAAAAAGAAAAAGACCAAGAGCACGTGAAGAATACATTACTGAAGCTATAAATCCAACTCATAGCCATTGATCCAGCATCGAACTCTTTTCAAGTTCAACAATTTCTTAATCTTGGATTCAACCGAGTACAAATCTGTTCCAGGATCTTCACTATGTCGGAGAACCAACTTATCCATCAAATGCTTGATTAATTCTGATTTTGTGATGTACAAATTTATAGGTATGCTTGTTAGATCAATTTCTGGTTTGAATACATAGATGAGTTGTAGAGAGACTGTGAATTTGCTTGCATTTGTGATTTCAATGCTCTCCTCTTCCTCTTCACGGGATCCGTCGCCATCATCATCATTGTCATCCTCGTCATCCTCGTCATCCTCGTCATTTTTGTCATTTTTGTCTTTGTATGGTTTGTTGTCGGTTGTTATATCAAATTCTAATTCACAATTATAAGTCCTCGATTCGGGATATTTAAACTCCTCCGCGTCTTCGTCATCTCGCCTTCTTTTTCTTGGGTTTGTCATTGTAGACTCTGCACTTACAAAGCCCGTGTCGTGTAAAAGCTTGACCATTTCCTGACCCAATTGCGACATAGTTGCGTTCCTGAATGTCTCATCCAGTTCAGTTGGTTCTGGACTGCTTGCTGCAGAAGTATCTTTGGTGCATGCAGAGATGTGGTTTGATGGCGAAGAGTCGCTTGCATTGCTATCTTGGGCGTTCTTTTGCACGGGTGAGATCGATTTCCGTTCTTTCGCTGAGTCCTGACGCGGTGTTGAGGTTGTTGGTAAAGACTGTAGTGGCCACTTGATGGGGGTCTGTGGTGGAGGTGTGGTATGACGTAACTTATCATTTAACAGTCGTGAAGTAGAGGTAGTCTCTAATGGGAACGGTATGAAAACCTCCTTTTCACTCTCATCTAAGAATATTACAGTTTTGGTGTAGCGATCATCGTCTTGTTCATTTTGAACAGTTGATTTGGTAGTTATCACTTTGGACATAGCAATTGTGGTAGTCTAAAAGATGTATATGGACTACCCTCTGATATGATGGTTTTGATTAGTTCATGTAGCAACAAAGGCAAGGTGAAATGAAACATTCAAAACTCAAGGATGTAAAAAATTACATCAAAAAAAAAAAGAAGGGGAATATTGTTCGCGTGAAACGCGACACTACAAAATAGACATTGAAACAGAGAGAAATATTGGGAAATACCAGGAAGTGGCAGATTCTTAATGTACTCGCTCGTATTGTGAGTTGCGTCTACATGGAGAGTATTGAGTAAAAGATGCTACAGAAAGTCTTGCTAATCCTTTGAGACAAAGATATCTTTATTCACAGGTCAATTATGCAGCACGACGACAAAATTGAGAAACATGGACCCCATATATCTAGGTCAAACAAAGCAAATAAAGAGGAAACCTCTGCCTTGGATATCAATGAGGCCGAATCTTCAAAGTAGAAGGTCTTTTGTGTTTATTTTATTTTTTGTTTTCAGATTTTGTTTCTATGTAGTGTGTTTAACTCATCTCCATACTTGAAAATGCTGCTTCCTACGCGTCCATCCTTTGCTATCAGTTCGTTAAAGATGATATGTGCAAGTGGCTTATACTATACACATTTTGCTATTTTTAATCATCTTTGAACTTAGGGTAATAAGATAGTCAAGTTTTAGGGCTGCAAAGGTTGGGTAGCGTCTCTAATCCAAAGCTCATTCGATACCCTACGCTGCATTAATCTTGCACGTAGAGTGATAACCAAAGCTCGATCAATCTATCTACACAAAAAAGTCAACATTGCTGCATTCACTCCACGATTCTAAGCTTCTATGACCATGCCAGTTTATACAGCCTCTCTACGTCACATTCAAACATTGAAACTTTTATCACCTATCAAAAACTCCACACAACCGGTCTTCCGTCATCTACGACTCCAGGTCATTCACCAGGTCAATAACAGGCTCATCGATCTTATAACTCTTGACGAAATCATCACCACTCACACGAGTCATATTCGTAACACTCGCCTCATCATTACCACCCTCACTAGCACCATCACTTGCATCACTAGTGACTGCCGAGCTGTTTGTCGTGGTCGTATCTTCTGCACTCGCGCCTTCAGCATCGGCGTCGCCACTATCGTCATGCACATTTGAAGGCGCATCATAGCCATCATGATGTGGCGAAGGTGCAGTGGTGCTTTGTTCGCTATCGCTCGGTGTGGTAGCTGTGCGTAATCGTTCCTGTTTGATCCTTTGTCTTAGCCCGCTGCGGTCAGTGTGGACTTCATGATCGGTGCCTGGTGTAGGGTAAATGCAAACTTCTTCATTGGATTCAGCAGCAGAGACAGACCCAGAACCAGACACAGCGTCATCACCATGATAATCCACAATTTCAGTACCATCACTACCATCAGACTCCCTCTCCTCCGCAATCAGATCCATCCCATACCTTGGCTCCAGTACTTCTTGTTTCACTTTAGGTTCATTGCCTTCTCGTTTTCCTCGCAACTCCTGACTGAGATACGCTTCATGTTCATCCAAATCGTCATAATCATCAAATCTCGACAGATAAGGTTGGAAAAAGGGCCCATTGTTGCTGTCACTGCCACTGCCACTGCCAGCACCACCAACAACTTCCTGCTTCACTTTAGGATAAAGGTCAGGAGCACCAGCCGCACTTGACCAACCAGCATTAACACCAGATGAGCTAGTCGACAGCGGGGACGAAACAGCCACTGCTGAACCACTACCATGATACACACTTCTTCCCTTCCCGCCACTCCAAAACCTAAACTTCAACCGCGAAAGCAAACTCTTGCTCGGTATGAACCGTTTTACCTTATTGACGCGATTATGTAATCCAACAGTGATATTCGCCTCGGTCTCAGCACTCATTGTAAACATCCATGAAATAAAACTAAACACCGTGCCCAACACGACTCCAACAAATAGGCCAACGTACACGGCACACATGATGAAATGGAAAGTCGTCGTGCCAAACAACAACAATTGGGCAATAAACCGCTCTATTTGAACTTGATTCATGCCCGTGCCCCTTGCACCTCCTGTACCTCCTGTACTTTGTCCGAAAATCGCCGCGTACAAAACCAGCAAGTGTCGTACCAACCAGCTCGGCTGGTGTTGAGCACCTGTGAGTGATGTGATCAAATGCACGTGCTCATTGGTGTCCAACTCGAGGAAATAGCGTGCGGGGATTATAAACGGAATCTTGATGAAGGGGGTATAGATGCATATCGAGAATAGGTAAGTTAGCGGTAAAATCACGACATTTGTTAAAATTATGGAGACCAATTGGATGGAGTATATGATTGGCGACGCAATAACTAGAGCTAGCGAAGTGAGTGAGCTCATTTTTTGGTGGGTAAAGGAGATCAATGTAGCTCTCGCAGCTCTCAATATGCGCGGTTGCTACTTATTCTTATGATGAATTTTTTTTTTATTTTTTTTTTTTTTTTTTTTGATTTTACCCGCACCCATACTCAACTCCCAAAGAAACTCTTGTTCTCTTAAAAATAAATCCTAAATATTCTCTATGAAGTAAAAACCAAAAAAGAAATACACACACGTAGATAAAGAACGAAATCCGTCTTTTTTATTTTTCTCATCTAAGATAACATGCTCAATGGTGCCGATGTATTGTTATTGTTGTCCAAGTTATTGCTGTTATTACTACTGTTGTTGTTGTTAGTGGTGGTGGAGTTGTTGTTGTTGTTGTTGTTGTTTTCACCACTTGTTGCTGATCCAGTACTCGTACTCCCATTACGATGCTCGTGTGGTCTAGCTTGACTGCTATGCTGTGCGCCTTGTGGTGTGCTGCTGGTGGCTGTAGTATTTTCATCAACAATAGACATGACGGTATCTTCATCGTCGCCACTCCCTGTTTTAGCTGCTGCCCGTGCTGCTGCTGCCGCGGCCGCTGCTTCCTCTAATCTCCTCTTTTCTTCTTGTTGTCTCATTTGCAATTTGGGGTATTGTGATTGTATATGGTCCAAATAGTAAGATCCAAACACACTCCAATGGAAATTGACCAATGTGGCAATCCTTTGGGCTATATTTTTCATTTCTGTGTTTGAAGCCTGGGCCGGCTCAGTACTCTTTTCCTCAGAAAGCACCGCTATTTCCGCCATCAACTCTTTGAATATTTTCGCTTCCATCAAGCCATACACTTCGGAACTTGGCTGTATGTGTTTTGCGAGCCAATTGTAACTAAATTCAACCAAACCCTGGGGTAACTCCTTGTTCGGCACAGCATTCTTAACCAATTGTAGTGCAATCGATTGGATATTCTTGGTCCATTTGACATTACCATTGTCATCAGTGACTATAGCCAATACTTCTTGTTGAACTTTGGTTATATTATCCGGAGATAATAATTGTGTACTGGCTTTGGCATTGACAACCAATTGCTTATACAAAACAACGCATAATTGAACGCAGACTAATTGACGAACATCGGCACGTAAAAGAACCAACCTTGTATGATCAAATGTCAATGTAGATGGAAATTCAGTGGCCATTTGACGACACGACAACAAGTCAATGATGGAGCTAATGACAATAGGTTTTAGCGTGGCTTCATTGACTTGCAAGTTACTGTAATCAACATCAGTAGTCTTTTTCACAAATTTCTTGTAAAACCAGTTCAATGAGTCATTGATGTTGATTTTCTGGTGACTGATTAGAGTTTGGAAGTAGTCACGCTCGAAATCAACGGCTGTTTCAATCAACACTGGTCTTAGTATCCTAATCTGATGGTTTGCCACATCCAACTTCATCGCTTCCAAAATTTGGAAAATCATTCTCAATCCACCAACAAGAAATCCCACACTATTGTATTTGGCTGCATCGATAAACTTGGCGCTCATTTCCAGTACCCACTGGTCCCTCATTGGTGCACAATGCAGCTTGAAAACATCACCCAACCATTTACTCATTTCAACAAAATCAAAACTTCCATGGTGTAGTTGTTGTACTAACAACTCAATGTCCATGATTTCTGAAACTTGTTGACGATCCTTTGTTGGTAACAATGACAACAATATGTCTCTCAAAGTGGTGAACAAAACAGGCAACCTAGTAATTTTTAAACTTTTCGGGTCAATATTTGGGATGAAAAACTGTTGGCACTCTTTTTGAATCTCCAACCAGTACTTGTCTATGATTGATTTTTTACGTTTACCTCTTTCACCATCCAAGTTTGGCCTGAATTGTAACTGGGGATCGAAAAGTATATCATGACGTAGTTGTGGGTTTTTGAGAATTTCATGCAAGTCGATTTCCTTCAAAGATTGGAGATTGATGGGTGGGACAGGTGGGACTGATGAAATTGGTGTGGTGGTAGTGGATGAAGACGTGGAAAGTTGGGTGTTGGTCTCCTCTGCGGTTGCAATCGGTACATTAGCTTGTAAAAACACGTTATTGTGCTTCTTGCGGTAGTGAGGGAAAAATGCCGAGTTTGGGTTGTTGTAGTTGATGATAGGTAACGACCTTGACCTAAACTTGCGTACAAATTTGGGTGTCTTTGTAACTGGTGGCGTGGCTGTTGCAATGGTAGAGTTTGTGCTGGTGGTGTTACCGGTGGACGATGTATGAGAAGGGGTTTTGTTACTCGTACTTGAATTGGTAGCACGATGACCATTTTCAAGCCTTAGGCGTTTGCTAGAATCGGATGAGGAGGAAGAAAGTCTCTTTTGGCTGCTCGTAGTAGGTTCCTGTTCCTGTTCCTGTTTCTGTTGTTGTTGTTGTTGTTCAGGAGCAAAAGGTGTTGATGGAGGTAAGTTTGGCAACTTTGGTGCAGTTGTGTGAAAATTGTTACCAGTAGTCGATGTAGTTGCTGCCTCAACAGATGCGGGAAAAGATCCTGAAGGAGTTGAAGAATCAAAGCAAACTTGTCTGAACTGAGCTTGCTGTTGTTCTGGTATCAACAATTGAGGTGTATTGTGATGTGTTGAGGTGTTGGCAGTAAAAGGTGGCAATGCCGTTGGAGTAGCTAAAGTTGGACCAGAGTGTTGTTGCAGTTGGGTCAACAGCTCATGATGGTGGTTGTGGTGGTGGTGGTGGCGAAGGTGCAGACGCAGGTGCAGACGACTATGTGATTGATGTTCCTGTTGCTGCTGCTGCTGAGGATGTTGTTGCTGTTGTGTCAGTTGCCCCTGGTGACAATGCAGTTGCGCATTAGTTTGTTGTTGTTGTTGCTGTTGCTGTTGCTGTTGCTGTTGCTGTTTGTTATCTTCTGAGTACATAGTGAGTGGTTGCTGTATGTGACGTTGTTGTTGTTGAAGTAGATAGTGGTAAGTGTTGTTGAGAATAGTGGGTGTGTGTTATATATAAATTAATATATACTAGAGAGAAGATGAGATTTTAGTTTTAATATTTGGTTGAGGTTTGTTGAAATATGAAATCTGAAAAAAGAAAAAGAAAAAGAAAAAAATAAAAAAATAAAAAAATGAATAAAAGAACTGAAGATTAACAAAACTAATTTTATCTATATACTACTTAGTAAATGTTATTAACATTATTATTCACACACATACACATACACACACAACAGAAGAAGACTATTCATTTTTTTTTGCCTTTTTGCCTTTTTGCCTTTTTTGCCTCTTGCAATTTTGACTTATTTTTTTCTTTTTTCTTTTGACTGTTTCTATTTGTAAGATAAAGAGACGACTTTTGGAAGTTGTTTACTAATAAAAGCGGTCTCTCCGTCTTTTAAAGTGTCTGTAGTGTATGTATTATATACACACGTATGTACTGTAATTAACGTGTAAGAATAATAATTGATTACTTTTTTGCCTCTTGTGTATGGTTCAAATGAAAAAAAAAAAAAATGTAGTAGTAATAATAGTAATAAATGTCTCTCTGTCTCTTTGTCTCTCTCCATTCACCGACAAAATAAAGTCGTCCCATAGTTTGTTTGTTTGTTCTTTTCTTTTTTTCTTTTTTTCTCAATTTATTAAATTTATTAATTTCTTTCTCTCTTTTTTTTCTTCCCCCTGCTTTGTGTCATCTCCTTTCAATTCCCCGTCTCACATATTACTTTTTTTTTACATTTGCCTTTACTTACCCGTAAATAATAAATAAGCAAAAAGAAAGAAATGCAACAGCAATAATAAGAGATTGTGCATATAGGTCTTTAACAAAAATAAAAAGAAATTTATCTAAACGCATCATCTTTTTTTACTGTGATCTTTATAGTCATCTCTTTCAATAGTGAAACACAACACACACGCAAATGATCATCATCATCATCATTTCACGTACTGTGTATGTGCATTATATATTTTTGCCACCACCGTCCATCAGTCATTACTAATGTACTATATAACACACAAGAAAAAGAAGCAAAGGTTGACCGGATGTGGCACAGCATAGCCATAGCTCTGGAAATGTAGTGGATTATTCTAGAAGGAAGTTATCCATTCCCGCAACGGATAAACTCACATCTGCTAGTTTAGCTGCTAATATTGTCCAAAACTGGTGAAGTTTTGCTTATTTTTGAAGGCTTTAAACTTTCCCGTATTTCCTTCATTTGCTTCGCCACCAACAACTTTTTCCACTGTTGTTACAGTGTACATATTTCCGTCACCTCCTCCTTCTCTACTATTTCCCACTCTCTGCGACAGAGAAGATACAACACATTGCATTTAACAAAGAGACAAAACTTGGACCTTTATAGTATTAACGCAGTAACAAATTCACCCCTTCCAATCTGCAAGTCATGTGACATCCTCTTCAGGGCAGGGGAAGAAAGAAAGAAAAAGAAAAAAAAGGAGAGCACCTTTAAACCCTTTGTGAGATTTTGCTTCCGTTCAATAGTGATAGAGAGGAGAGGCAGTTTGCAATAATTCCTAATCCATCATACTATATCGTCAAATTTCTGTTGGGGTATTTCACTTTTAAAAGGTGAAATTTTGAGCATTCTTTTCTTCACTCTATTGTTTTTTCTATTTTTAATATTTATTCCTCTTTTTTTTATTTTTTTATTTCTTTCTTTTTAGTAATGAAATACGACAAAAAAGAAAAATGAATTTTCCGTTAAGTTAAACTGAGGAGGAGAATTGGATTTGAGTAATGTTGTAGTCAAGACATCATATACTAGGGCCGTACATATACACACTCCACTTTCACCGGTGCAATCATTGATAACTAATTTGCATAATAGTTAGTGTGCTTTCAACTGCTGCAAGCAAAAATGCACCAAGATTTTGTATAAATATCTCCACCAATTTAACTCAAACCAAAATCTGTATGGAAGATTCAAATGAGAATACGTGAGACTGCACTACATCTCTAACACTGGCCCCTTTTTCAGTTGCCCAGAGGATGCGAGAAAGTTAAACTGCAATCTCGCCTTGTACTCTCCTCCCTCCTTCCTCTTCCTTTTCCTCTTCCTCTTCCTCTCGATCCACAGTTTGCTCTATTTCGTCAGACAAAATTCCTACGAGTAACAAAAGTTGCCATTTTGTGTTATCGAAATATTGTTTCACTTTGGTCTTATTGTAATACATACTTTGTGCAATCTTTTTATATCCTCGTTTGAGTCACGCAATGCAAAAAGATGATCATTGACGACATTCAGCTAAAATGATAGCAGTAGAAACAACAAGGCGACAGATGCAAAAGCAAAAAACAAAAACAAAAACAAAAAACAAGTGACAGCAAGGAGGAGCCGATAAGTGCTTTGTTGATTGATCTCAACTGTGTCTAACAACTCGAACTTTTCTCAGACGCGTAAAACGTATTGAACGAGATTAACGACCAATACGTATGTGTATTTCCTGTACGTATTTTTTTTTTTTTTTCGTCTGAAACAATTATTTTTCCGCTATTTGCGACATTTGTTTCACAATATTTGTAGTTAGCTTCACGACATTGCCCCTCATTTACTTTCTCTTTTTTTTTTTTCTGTTTTTGTCCTGAAACGGCACCTTAATGAAAGAATGTGCAAATTTGTACAGATTTTGTCAATTATAATGCAATCGGCTTTCAAATACAACTAGAGTCTTCAATCTAAAGCGATGTAGCTGCACAATCCTCTTCAGCTTGTACCGTGGGCTAAACAAGTCAGAAGTTGATAAGGTGAGGGGGTGGGGGAGGAGTGCAATGTCGCGCCGTAAAAGGAGAAGTGAAACGGAAAAAAATAAAAATGAAAATGGAAATTGGTTGTGACGTAAAATTTGCTAAAAACAAAAACATGACACATTTTGGTATAATACGACATAGGCTGATTCACAAAAGCATAATATCGTAGTACACTTTGAATAAGCGGAATTCAACTGAAATCAAAGCTTGACGAATGGGGTCATTCGTTTCTAGTAGTTGTTCTGTTCAAATTTGCCTCTTTGTCTTTAATTTTGCCATAAAATGAAATTTTCAATGTAAAAGTCTACAGAATCATCGTGACAATATGGATTCTTGGTAGCGACTGACAAACATTACAACTGCAAAACAAATCGTTTGTCAACAAGCCAAAGCACTTTATGATTGTAATGCTTTTTGAAGTTGCCACCTCTAACTATCCATGTACCACGGGACTGCTTCCAAAACTGAGTCAACTCATCGTTTGTCGTTCATTTAGAGCAAGAAATTTGTAGCCGAAACGGCGCGGTGCGGTGCGGCGCGGTGCGATATTTTTTCCGTTTCTCTTAAACCCTTTTACTGCCGACGCTACCATAGCAAATACACGAAAATTTTCCCATCGCCCATAAGATCACCCCAGATATACCCCTTCGTTCTCAAAGTCATTCATCCTCTTCATTCTCTTCATTCTCTTCATTCTCTTTTGGCGCACCAAGTGACGAGTCCCATTACATCGAGAGGCAGTACTTTTATGAGCTCACGAAAGGGGGGGGGGCACCCTTTGCTCTATGAAACAGTGAAAGCACACACACCCCCCCCCCCACATTTCTCTTTTGTGGTCATTGGTTATGAGCCAAAAGAGCCAATCGAAATATGAAACGAGTGAGCAACAAGGCGTGAGTTTGCATCTATGGGTGTACTAACACTTCTGCCCTGTCCGCAAGAAATTGCTCAAATACTTCTGGTTACTCAGTTTGCTGTGTTCACCACATACTTGCTCAGACACCGTGTGCTGCATATTTGGGTTTTTGGTTTTTGGTGCTTGTACGTATCTGTAATTATGCTTAAAAAAATAAAACTTTTGCGATGACTTTAAGCATTGAAATTATGCCCAAACATATATATCGTCAAGTTTGATTAGGAATTTCACTTCATAACGACCTCAGCGATGAAATAGCGTCCACAAAAGAGTTGTAAAAAGGAGCTTTTCTTTCAAGTCAAGCGTATGTTTTCAGAAAACATGTTCACTTCGTACATGCATTGAGGAAAACCCAAATCATTCTCATAAAATGTCTTCCTCTTTGTATCGCAGTCACCAAATAGTAGATTTCCCAGACAGGTGTAAATTTGTACTCTTGTAAGCCTGTTCCCCGTACAGCAGCATTTGCCTCTTCCATGCCTACACCTTTACGAGAAGAGGTTGCTCCTTATCAGATTTGAAAATGTGTTGAAAGCAGACCACCATTTGTCGCTATCAGTCCTCAATAGTCAAATTGGGCCTCGCTTAGTCGTTTCAAAAGCTACTTAAAAAAAAAAAAGAATTGTAAATGTTACTCGGCATAAATTGCACAAAAACCGACAAATTACTCAAACGGGAGCATAATCTTATGAAAAGCAGGAGTTAAAGGCTGAAGAAAACTCACTTAATGATCTCATCAGTATTGCATTAAAGCCATCAATGCCATTACGATGTTCAACATTGTTACAGCATTGTTTTTGAAACAAGGGGAGACGTAACTCCGTTACAGGTACGTTTTACAATCAAAAACAAGAGTTGATAACCATGATATTCAGTAATGATAGCACACCGCTAGACAATAAAGTTGATGAGAGAAGGGAAGCTGCACTGTGTTACTGAATTATCATTCATTACGCTTTGTAGAACCAGGCAATTCATGACATCCCTCAGCACCACGTTAGGTCCTATACCGCACTAAGCTTCTAGCCTTTTGTGTAATCTATACGGATGTGCTTAGTCCATCTTGTCCATCATTAGTAAAGACCTCTGCCATCAGATCTGTGTAACCTCCTCTACATTGCGTCCATTGGATTTCTTTCACTTATCAGATTTCCTTTTGAAGCTGAAAATTTGTTTGACGAACTCATTGAGTAAAAAGATCTGAAATTGCTCGGTTAAACTTGTACATCTTGAGGTAACAAA